CCCCCCGCGGCCGACCAAATCGGCTCGAGATCGCGATCTCGGGACGATTTGGTCATCGGCCTCTCCAAACCGTCCACCCGCGGCCGGCCAAATCGGCTCGAGACCGCGATCTCGGGACGCTTTGGCCATCGGCCTCTCCAACCCGTCCACCCGCGGCCGACCAAATCGGCTCGAGATCGCGATCTCGGGACGATTTGGCCATTGGCCTCTCGAACCCGTCCAACCGCGGCCGACCAAATCGGCTCGAGGTCGCGATCTCGGGACGATTTGGTCATCGGCCTCTCCAACCCTCCCGTCCACCCGCGGCCGACCAAATCGGCTCGAGACCGCGATCTCGGGACGGTTTGGTCATCGGCCTCTCCAACCCGTCCATCCGCGGCCGACCAAATCGGCTCGAGACCGCGATCTCGGGACGATTTGGCCATCGGCCTCTCCAACCCGTCCAACCGCGGCCGACCAAATCGGCTCGAGATCGCGATCTCGGGGCGATTTGGCCATCGGCCTCTCCAACCCGTCCACCCGCGGCCGACCAAATCGGCTCGAGACCGCGATCTCGGGACGGTTTGGTCATCGGCCTCTCCAACCCGTCCATCCGCGGCCGACCAAATCGGCTCGAGACCGCGATCTCGGGACGATTTGGCCATCGGCCTCTCCAACCCGTCCAACCGCGGCCGACCAAATCGGCTCGAGACCGCGATCTCGGGCCGATTTGGTCAGCAGCCTCACCAAAGGTGGACCAAATCGGCGCGAGACCGCGATCTCGAGACGATTTGGTCAGCGGCCTCACCAAGTCGCGGTCTCGCGCCGATTTGGTCGCCCTCCCCAACCCGTCCTGGGGCGTCCACCATCGGGCGACCAAATCGGCGCGAGACCGCGATCTCGAGGCGATTTGGTCAGCAGCCCCACCAAACCGGCTCGAGAACGCGACCTCACGCCGATTTGGTCGCCCTCTCCAACCCGGCCCGAAGTGCCAGAGCCAGTCGCCCATCCGACCTGCCCCGCCGCCCTCCCGCCTCGTCCCCAACCCGGCCCGGCGTGCCGGGCCCCAGCATCGCTTCCCGACCAAACCGCCACTCCGGGCCGACTTCGGCCGCTCCGACCTCTGGCCCATCCGCGAGCGACCAAACCGGCTCGAGAACGCCTGCGCCCCCCGGCCAAATCGGCTCGAGAACGCGTTCTCGGAGCGGCTTTGCCCGCCGTCCTCCTACCTCCTCCCCAACCCGGCCCGGAGTGCCAGAGGCGTCGCCCACGCAATCGCGTTCGCGCGCCCGTCTGATCCGCGGGAAAGGCGCTGCCACAAAAGCTGCGCCAACCCACGATGGATCGCTGGCCCGCTTTTGTTCTTGCGACCGGCGGGCGCGAAAGCTGCCAAATATTGCGACCCTGGGGAAAGTTTCAGGGTGTGCACTGCACTGTTCGTGAAATTATCCGAGACGCGAAATACGCACCAATTACAAAGAGCTTACGCGGCCGCTTATTTAACAGGTGCCCAAGCTGTAACGTGTCGTCACTGGTGTCCAGAGAAACAAAGCGCAGGAGCACGACCGTGCTACACTCTATCATACCTTTCTCCTCCGTGCCTACTGTTTCCGAGGTGCAAACAGAGGCCTCTTGTGGCAGCAAAGTCCGTTCCTTTTTTTTCGTTCTCTCTGTCAGCGCCGGCTTTGGGAGCGAACTCAACTTTTCGGCCTCCGCAAGCTCGGCGGCGGTGGGTGGGGGCGAGTCCACCTCCATGTCGGTCATTCTTGTGTGGTCTGTCTCTATTCCTAAAATCTGTTCCGCAAGCGGACTATCTGTATCTTCTGCTATTCCGAAACTTTCGTTTTCAAGGAGGGCAAAGAGGAAGAAGCGGCCGCTCAACAAATCAAAATGCACCGCAACGCAAGAGCATCACTTCTTCTTGGCTCAGAGTCTTTATCTGCTTGGTTTGCTAAGTACACACTTTTTTTCGACTTTTTGTTTCGCTCAGCGAGCACCTTTGCAGCGCAGATACTCGCACGAAGCTGTTTTGTGTTGGTGGAACAGTAGTTCTGGGAGTTTTCTCGCAGCTGGTGTTGCTGACCGACTGGAAAACGGCACAGAGAAAGTAATGCGCTAAGAGCGGAAAACCTTCAAGGTTGGCATTTGCATTGGAGCTATTCTGGAAGAAAGCTTCGGAGCTTCGGCCAGGCTGGTTGTGGACAGTTTCATGCCTACAGCGGAGAGCGGCATCACGGGTTTTATGCCTACCGTTGCCGATGAATTCAATGTTCCTGAGGAGCTTGTTGCAATGGTATTCAAGCCTGGAAGGTTCATAGCACTACCGGGATTCGCGCCCCCGCTGCCTTGTTTTGACGCGGATTTCAGCAAGTTCGTGCTGTGGAACGCGAATGTCGGTGGCTGCATGAAGCCAGCCGATGCGGATGAGGCGCTGCTGGTGGTCTCAAACGCAGTAGCTCCTTCCGGCGGCCCCTGACTGTGTGTTCCGGCTGATGCCCGCCAAGTTGTTGTACCTACTACAGGTGGTTGTGACTGCGGCGCTGTACTGCTAGCGAAAGCAGAGCCTGCTGTTTTGCCGCCACCACTTGCGCCTGCAGTGTAGAACAGGTTGGGGTATCCTGCCATAAGATCGCCGTTTGTTCCGCGCGCAGATACTGGAGCCGCAGGACCCCCACCTCCGTAATTGTTCCACACGTAGTACCCCTCGCTCGGGGCGCTGCTTGCCGTTTCAGGCATTTGCTGGTCCGGCTCGACTGCGGTAAAAGTTCTTCGATTATACACGTCTCCCTGCGAGGACAAAGAAGAGACCAGCGGCTGGGGCGGCTCGAAGTTGAAAATCGCGAGACTGTGCTCCTTCGCCGCCTCGGGAAAAAATGAGGAGGGCAAAACGGACTCGTGCGTGGTTTTCAGCCCCGCAGCGCGCTCATCCGGAATGGCCTGGAAATTGATGATGATTACACACCCATACATTTTTGTCACAGCTCCAAAGTGATCCTGAAGCTGCCAAGGATGTCTTAAAAAGATGAGAAAACAGATCAGTTTAAAGACGGAAGATGCAAACCTCTTCATCCTCGTCACTTGGGGCCAGGGAGGCAGAATCTCGCGGTGTTCCACCCGTGGGCCTCTTTGCGGTAATGTCCATCTTCCCCGTATCAGACGTGTCAAGTTGCGACTGCGTGTGACTCGAGCCGCCAGCCAGCAGCTCATAGAGCCACGAAAAAATGCTAGCGTCTTGTTCCTTTCCATCCACCGCCCCAAGACCCCGTGGAAAACCACTATCGCTGCTCGCCAAGAAGTCACTTTCCGAGACCCCGAAAAACCGCAGCACCTGCTTTCGCATGGTTGCGTTCATCGTCCTCGGCAACATCTCTGCCGTCAATGGCTGGAGCACCATCATTTTGTTTTCGTCGCACCACGGCTTCGTGCAGGTGAGCACCGGCTCCTGGTCCAGGGTCGGGATCAGTTTTCGCCGCAACTCGTCCATTTCGAACCGGATTGCGTCGTACAAATCCGCATGGGTTGCGTCACGTGCCTCGTAGTTGCGCTTCCCCGCAATCTGAAACTCCTGCGGTTTCGCTTTCTTGCTTCGCAGTTTTGACGCGGGAGACGGCGACCCATGCTGATGTTGGACTAGTCCTCGGCCGCCAGCAGTTACAGTGGTTTTATGATCGGCCGCCGACTGCGCGCTCGCTGCAGTTCCGCTCGTTGTGGTCTTTCTCCAGAATATCTGGATTTTCTCGAGCGCTTTGACCAAGCAGTAGGTAAAGACCCCGTGCTCGCGCCCAACATCCGCGAAGTGCAACTCCAGCGCAGTTTGCCCGAAGCTCGCCGCGCAGTACGAAAACACAAACGGAGCGGCCCGCCGCAGGTAATTGCGGCGTCGGAAGGGCGTGGTGTCGCGGTCCTGCTTGAAGTCGTGGGTCAAGTCCACGTCCATGCGCCGGGCGTACTATTGAGAGGAAAAATCCCCCCTCCCCATATTGAAGCGGTATGTTTCCAAGAATTTGTGTTGCGGATTTGAGCCTTAGTTCCCCATGATATCCGTAGGCCAGACGTCGGGGGTCCCTCACCCGACACGCCGAACTTCCTCCTTCCACACGCAGCGTCGGAGGGGTCGCACGTAGCCCTGGAGGTGATAAACGAGGGTGGCGCCTGTATATGCAGTAAAATACTGCACAGGAAATGAGGAAGTCAGAAAGGAACACAAATGTTCTGGGATGACTGTTTAGGAACATCCCAACAACCTCCGCCAACCACTGCCCTCGAATACACAAGAGAAAGCCGAAGCTAACTCAACTCCGGATACCCTTCCCGAAGCTGACCTGAACCGCCTTTCTCCACAGGTCAGCGACGAGGCAATGCCCTGAGGGGACCGTTAGGAACCTCCCCAAACAATCGTCATGTCGTTTCGCCGAAGCGAAACAGTCTGACGAAAGAGACGCTCTACCAGTACCCAGCGGCAAGTACACGGTAGGCATGGGCATAGGAGAACCGAACCGCACGACCACTCGACCGAGGTAACCCAGGGGGCCCTGTCCGTAGCAGCCCTGGGGACCAAACGACAGCGACGGAGGAAAAACAAAAGCCAAAATGACTACCAGTCAAGCAGCACAGGAGCGTGAACACGAGGGAGCACAGACAGGGGAAGAACCCTTGCTGAGCCCGGGCACAGCCCCATGAACCCGCCCCCACACCGCAAGCCCCGGAGCAAGCTCCGATAGCCACCCTGACCCCGTCTACCCCCGAAGCAGCGTCGGCAAGCGTGGACGAACTCCTGGCAAGAGCCTCGCGCAACGGGAATTTCCCGCCAGGCTCAATCCACGAGAGCCCTGAGTGGAAGGCAAGACGGCCTCGCTCAGGAGAAGCAACAGGACCCCATGGTTCCAGCGTAAAGTCGTCCACCTCCGTGTCCACGCACCGCAGGTTCCGTATAGCAACGTAGGCCAGAACCGCCGATACTGCAGCCACCGCGAGCACGAGAGCCGCTAGAGAGGAGGTGTAGCCAGTTAGGGAGTGAAGCTACGTCCTCCTCTCCCGAGAGAACGTTCGCGATCAAGTCCAAATGCGCCGACGCCGCCGCGCACGTATGACCCACCGCTCCTTTTCTGGGACGCATCGCTACTGAAGAAGAAGCAGGAAAACCGCGCCACGCATCCCGCCGCAAGTACGCCACCGCCAAAAAAAAAGGGCACCACCGCACAGGGTCCGGCTACTATGCCTACAAGCCTGACCTCAACGCATCTTGGGAGTCCGCGCCTGCGCTTGTGGCGGCGATCGGGCCAGAACGCTTGTGGTCTGACTCAGACTTGTCTGCATGGTACACGCAGGAGGAAGTATTGCTGGCACCCACGGGACCCGAGGTCCACGACGACGACCGCTCGCCAAAGACATCCATACGCGGCAGAAGACGAACCCGAAAACCCGCACCAACCCGCCGCAGGCAACCCACCACCATAAGGAGCCCCACCGCACAGGGACCGGCCACCTACCATGCCTACAAGCCTGACCTCACGCTTGTGGGAGTCCTTGCCTGCGCTTGTGGCGGCGAACGGGCCAGAACGCTTGTGGTCTGACTCAGACTTGTCTGCATGGTAACCGAACAAGGAAGTATTGCTGGCACCCACGAAACACGATGTCCACGACGCCGTCCGCTTAACAAAGAATTCCATACGTGGCAGAAGACGAGCTCGAACCAGCGCAGCAGAGAGCCGCCGCAAGAAGCCGCGTCGCCTTGTAGAAAAATTGTTTACACTTCTCGATTTGTGCGTGTCATCCTTGCGCAGGGGCTATGCTGCCTAAGACATCGTCTCTCAGGTGTGGGCTCAAGCGTTCAGCGACATTGCCACAGTTGCAATGTCAAGGGCACGGCCCCCGTCCCAAGTCTGAGCCAAAACTATGACTGTAAGCGAGCAGGGGACACGCTAATCTTCTCTGTATCGTTCCAATTTTAACGGATGACTCCCGAAGGAGATCCACAAATCACATCTGTCTTGCAAGAAGGTCACAAATCACATCTGTCTTGCAAGAAGACAAGGGCAGAAGATTCCGCCCCTTTATGATAGCGATTTGTCATGCTGCTGGGCCTAAAGGGGGGCCATTTGCCATGGTGAACTACTAGACCCATACGCCCCTACCTAGCCTGGGGATCTGGCCGCAGTGCCTCTCTGCAATACAAAGCTGATTTATGGTCACAAATCAGCATCACAAATTTCCGCTTTGATATGGGGAGGGGGGATTTTTCATTTTGATACGTACTTCGGCTTCACTTTCTGCAGCTGCCTTTTGCAATATTCGTTGTTCCACACGTGCGGGTTATGGCCGCCGTAGTTTTCGTTTGGCAACTGAATCCGCTGCTCCGCGTACCCGACAGACACGAGGCCGCACAACGCGGTCTTCTTCGTGAGAATATCGGCGATGGTGCTGGACGCGAAACCAGTAGACGATCCAGGAAGTGCATGAGGAGGTGGGTACTGCCGGTGGTGGCAAAGCGTGCTATTCGTGTTCGAACTGCTGGAGGCGGAGGAGCGGGCGGTTCTACAATAAGTTGGGAAAAAATCATTGTGAATCAGTGGCACTCAGCGACGAATCGATGCATGACAGGAAAAAACTCCATCAAAACCAAACGCGATTGAAAAAATCATACTGTCCGCAGACCGGATCCACCAGGGTCAACGCGTGGTCGCAATCTAAGAAGCAGGTCAAGTGCACGCCCGGCGCGATGTTCATCACGATGTCTTGCACCTCTTGCAGCAGCACCAAGCCCTGTTCCTGGTACTCGTCGGTTGCCAAAAGCGCTTCCTGCAGTCCTTCGTGTTCGTAGCCCGTCACGTCGTCGACCAGGACCCCGAACCCACTGAAGAAAAAGACCAAGCAGTCCCCGCACTCGCTCCCCTCCACCAGCCACTGTAGGTGGCGCAGGATGTTTTCCCGCGTGGGCATCGTGTCCGCATTCGGGTTCCACGCTGACCGGGTTTTCGGTCGTTTCACGTCATGGTCGTGCAGAATCTTGATCTCGTCGAACAGAAAAGAATCTTTCAAAACCGTGGCGAGCCAAAACGCGTCCGCCACTGCGCCGTGCAGGTAGGCCGTGCGCATGGGGTAATTGCAACCGACGAGGAGCGCGCGCGACCGCGGCTCTCGCGCGGGACCGGGCGACGAGGAGGCCATCGAAAGGGTTTTGTAGTCCTGTGTTCTCTCTATAAGCAAATATGGTTTGAGTGAGAGAATACAAGAACGGTTTTCATATGGGATATGGGGATATGCATGTGCACTAGAATAATTCCGCCTCAACTTATGTCGAATGCGGCAGCGGCTATCGCACAGCAATTATATCCATTTATCAAGGTCAACCGATTGAAACCATAGCCAGCAGATGAATTGTACAAATACCGCGAAAGGACGTCATCAAGAGGCGTCGACGACAAACCAAGAACCCACGACTCTCTTCGGGCGTTTCCACTTCAAAACTAAGAACGGGACTTGCGGTTGCGATGAACACTTCTGCTTGAATGAAAACCCGTGCGGAACGAGCTTTCAAATCGTTTGGGTAGGTTATTCTGCCGTTGACCAATGCCGATGGATAAACAATATCACACATGTTGCAATGTACAATCAAAAAATGAAGTCTGAGTAGAACATCATCATACATGAAGTTTTCGAAGACATCTGAATCAGCTGTGAAAATCTTACACTCCTCTTCGTTCATCCTGACAATTGGTGTGAAGGCGCCTAGCCCTGTGCTCCGCTTCCGTACGCCGCCGAAGCGGACTGCGCGGTCGGCGGGCGGCCCGGGTAGGGAGAGGGGGCCCCCTGCGGAAGCGGCAGGCGGAGGGCGGGGGCTTCCTGCAAGTGGGATGAGACTGAGATCAGTCGTCTCTTCAGAAATACAAATATGCAGCGGGCGTTACTTCCCTGTTGATTCATCTCGATCTTCCGCTGCTTCGGATCAGGACCACCCTGGTTCCCGTCGTCTTCATCGTCGTTCTGCATTTTCTTCAACACCCGCGCGTTGTATTCAACCGACAAAGCCTTTGCGACGGCCATAATGTCGTTCAGGGCAGAGTGAACAGCAACTGACCTCAAACGCGCACGCAGGGATTCTCTGTTCGCAAAGTCAGCCTGCAAATCCAGGACTCCGCTCGAGTTGTTGGCTGTCGCAGAAGAGGAACCTAGACCATCACGGAGCTGTTCTGCTTCGGTGAGACAACGCTGCAGGAACGACGTCCACGCACCATCGTCGACAAGCAGTGCGGCACTGCGCTGGGTTTGACTGATGAACGCTTCTATTGCCTCGACCTCCTGTTTCAGTTTGGTCTCGAGCTCCTGCTTCAGTATCAGTTTGGTATCGAGCTCCTCCTTGAATAGGTCTGCTTTCTCCGTCAGCGCCCGACTTTTTGCAGCAAATTGCAATTGTGCGTGCTCGTGGTCGTCACCAGTATTGTTCGGCAACACAGCCAGCGCGTGTCCATACTCGGAAATGAGTGCAAGCAGAGGCACGAAAAACTCGCACTCGTTCACCAGATTCTTACAGTCCAGCTCGTATCGCAATTTCTGGACAAGAAGTGTCAGGTCGTTGTCGGGCCGCAAGAGAATGTAAGAAACTTCCGTCAATGAGTCGTCCTCCTCTATAACAAGACCAGCTGGCAACTTCCCGACGTCAAAGAAATAGGTCACGATCTTTTCATTTTGAACTTGTAGAAAAACGCGCGCGAACATGCTGAAAAGCTGTCCCTTAGCTGGACCGTCCTGCTTCCACACGAAGTCCCAGTCTGCGTCGAATTGAACGATGTCCCCTTCGCCCCTCCACGAGTTGGCGTACGGCCGCAGACTGAGCGAGTCAAAATGCTTCTGCTTCTTCCGCTGGAGCGATTGGAAGGAGTCCTTTCCTAAGGTAAAATACAACCAGTCGTTGCTGCAGTCCACCATACTTTCATGAAATTTCACGTCCGTATGCAGATGCGTGAAAAACAAATCCTGGTTTCCGTTGTTCCATTCTTCAATCAGACGTTGAACGAAGCGCACTTCCGAAGTAATCGCGGCATTCGCGCTCCCAATTGCAGCTGCGACCGACATTATTCTGTTCAACAGTTCCACTTCGTCTTCAAGTTCAAAAATGTGGACTACTATCCGGAAAGATAGACTGTGAGAGGTGTTCCGAAATAAAGATCTCTACTCAACCTACACCTGCTAAAAATCGTGATCTGAGCAGCACGAAGGTGTCGATAAAGAGGTGAAGTCTCGTTTTCTTTTGTCGAGGTAATTCGCCGTCGCTTCGTTCCTGCCGAGGAGACGCACAGTATTCAAACGCGAAATTCAAATTGATCGCCAACAGAGATGATGCAAAGCGTCGAAAATGGGAAAAGACATCTTCATGACAGTTCGTACTAGCAGAACCAGCCCAGCCAACGGGGAAAAAAAACCAAAAAAAAGAGAGAGTGAAGCGCACGAGAAAAAACAGTGTATCCTATTCGAAAAAACAGCGCCAAGAAGAAACCACTCACTCACCCCTCCCCTCTCCTGCATCTTCATGATCATTCTATAGGTATAATGACCACAACTTCCAGTCTCCAGGTCTGTCCAGCTCTAGACTGGCATAAGTAAACTACAGAAACAAAAAAAACAAAAAAAAACGAGGGGGGCTTGGCTCCTCTCATAGGCACCAAAGACGTGAAAGAAAACGACGTGGGTCAAAAAAGACGCCAGAGTCTTCCAAATATTATAGAGGCATGCCAATTTGCTCCTTTCCGTCATTGATCGCAAGGGCATTTTTTTGTCCAGTTCTGCTACAGTTCTTCCAAAAAGTGAAAAATCTTCATTTTCCACTCCTAGCAGCCTCTCAGATAAACCGTATGAGGTGTGCACACCAGCAATAATTCACGATCACGCAGACGCATTTCATTTTCTTGAGATTGATAATCAATAAATTGCACGGCACCTCGAGAAAAGACCCTACCCTGACGGAGGACTCTGCAAGAGCGCAAAATTCTATGCCGAAGTACTCAGTAGACAGAGACAAATTCCTTCATCAACTGAAAGAACGAATGCCGGAAATTCCAATTCTGCTAGCTTGCAGAAGCTCTAGGCTTGAATCACGCGCACAGTGACGGCGAGGTTGTTACGCAGACGGTCGCCGGGGAGAAAGTTGTCGATTACAACGGCTTCTTCACAGCCCTCAAAACTGTCCCACTGCTCTGACGCGCAACAAATCTTCTCGTCAAACAAGAACTGCACCTTCATCCGGCCGGTGAGAGGCAGACTAGAATCTTCAAAACCTCCAAGGAACTGGTTGCATCTGTGGCTGCTTTTCCTTCCCGAAAAGGGATTTGCCTCCGCGGCAGCGCCAACTTCAAATGGGTTTCGCGAAGGATTGTTCGCAGATGTTCCGCGCGGAGTGATCAGGACACTGGTGCCGGAACCGCTGGTGGAGACACTGTAGGGAGATGAATTTCCAGAATTGTTACACACACCAAACAAGGAGGTAAAATTCTGTTCCAGATTCAGAGGGCGACTGTGATACTAGGCGAATTTTCGCGGAAAGTGGCTTCACAATGCAGTTTTTCTCATCGATCTTTCTCAAAACGCAAAAGATTACCCCGTCTCCGCAGCCCCGGCGCCGAACCCGCCAGCGGTCTCCCCGGCTGGTGACACACTGCTGGTTTTCTCCGTGGACCGCGGCGTGCTCCCGGCAGCGTTTTCCGCAACCGGCACCCGCTTCAGCACCAGCGCGCAGTACCCCGGTCGGGAGCAGAGCCTGCCCGCGGGGTACAGATGCAAGACGGCCGTGATGTGCTTCAACGGGAACAAACCGCTCTTCAGGCACTTCTCGTCGATTTTCGGCAGCACCCAGCGGAACTCAGCCGGACCGCAAACTTGCTTCCACAGTTTCGTGAATTCCGATTTCAGCTGCACATTCTCCGCGCTCACCTTGTCAAACTGCAGCTTCAACACGCGCTCGCTCTGCTGCACCTTCTGGGTGAGGTTTTTCGTCGTGATGGCCACGGTCTGTTGCGTCTCCTTGCAGTTCTCGGCCGACTCGATCTGGCGCATGTAGGTCTGCTTCTGCTCACTCGTCTCCACCGCGTGGGCGATCTTGGCCTCCGTGATCTTCGTCTGCTGTTGCAGCGAGTGGTCGACGGAAACACGCTCCTGCTGCAGCAGCTGCTCCACCTGGGACAACACGCGCTGCTCCAGGAGTGTCGTCGCGGAAAGTGGATTCGTCGCGTTTGCTTCCGCTACAAACTGCGCTCTGCTGCTCGCTCCCGGAATAATAATCCCGGCAAACGGTTCAAGCTGTTCCTGCTCCGCGCCGACATTATCCTCGCGGGAATGTTCGTCCGGCGTCGATCCGATCGAGGAGCTAGTTTGCGAAGAGGAGGAGAAGCGATTAGGTTTGTTTGCACCTCCAACAACAGCACCACAGCTCGTAGTAGTTCCCAGGTGCCCTTGGACAATCTGCGCGATCTTGTACACATGGGCCTGGAGCCGCGGAAAATCTCGGGCAATCACTTCGGAGGAAAACTGCACGAAATTCTTGTCCAAAACGGCCGACTGATACTTTGCCAGCTCAGAATCGAATACCTGCACTGCGATGCGGTGGATCATGCCCCGGCGGTGCAGGTGGTCCACCTCATTTTCATTTTCAAAAGACGAAGAACCTCGGAATCGCTGGAACGCGTGCTGCCCGGTGGTCGCACAATTGATCACTTCGTAGCTGGTTTCCGCCTCCGGTTCCTGTTCCTGGACGCTCCGGCCCAGCGACGTAGGCGTGGCGAGGGGCTTGAAAGCAGAAGAAGCGCAATTCGAGCCGCTGCTGCCACCACCACCACCACATAGGTGGTCATAGAATTCCGCCCGCAGCTGCGCAATCTGTTCGGTGCACAGGATGTTCTGGCGAAAGTCAGCACTGGTGCCGATTTCCAGGTCGAGGTCCTGGCGCATTTTGTGGAAACTCTGGTGCGCTGTGTCGATTTCCCGGACGAGGTCCTTCATCTGATTTTCCAAACACAGGAAGCGCGGACTCAGCTCGCTTTGCTTCAATTCATCCAAAAGGGCAGGGATGCGCCTGGTCTCCAGCGCTTGCAGGTTCTGCTCGAATTTTTGCTCAGTGTGCTGCAACCCGGCGTCCAACTGTGTGATCTCTCTGCTGGACGAGTCGAGTTGCGTCTGCAGCGTTTTGAAGTACTGGAGAACCGCCTTTTTGTCTACCGAGTTAGGTTCGTACTTTTTGCTCTTGTCCTGTGACTGCGACGTTCTTCCGCGCGGGTCACGATTGCGGTCGTTCCTGCTGCGCCCGCGGCTTAGCGCCGTCTCGTCGAAGCAGAAAGGATCTGGAACAGTGCTAGGACTCGAATCTTCAGTTACCTCGGCCTGGACCTCCTCGGTCGGGGACGACACTGCTCGCGGTGACAAAAACTTCATGTCCTCGCTGTAGTTGCCCTCATCCACAGGTACGGTTTCGGAACTTGTTGCCAACCCGGCGGCCTCGTCTGCCGTGCCCGCGGAGTCCTGGCTGGAGGTCGAGAGCAGGTTTAACCGACTGATTGAAGTAGCTGGCACTTGATGGGTAGTACTCGCGCAACCTCCGCCTCCAGCGGTTTTGTCTTCCTCAGCGGTACTGACCAAGGGTGAGAAGAACCGCGGCAAGACCACCTCAGGAACATCGGCGCGCCACTTTGCTTTGCACTTCTCGAGCAAGGCCTTTTCGAACGCCGACTCCTTAGCCGTCCAGCTGCGCTCCACTGCAGCGGCGATGCTGCCGTCGTCCGTGCAAAACGCCTCGAGCTTTTCTACCTTCCCCTTGAAGAAGCTGTCCACCTTTTCGTCGACCAGCTTTTCCACGTTGTGCCACAGCTGTTCCAGCTTCTTCGGCAGCGCGTGCTGCAAGATGTCCACCATCTTCGCGTTCTCCTGCTCCAGGTCCTGCACGTAGCGCTCCTCGGCCTGCTGTGCCTCCCACCGTTTCCGGTCGCGGAGCAGCCGATTCGCCTCCGCCGCCGCGGAACTGGCGTGCGAGTGCGACGGCCCGCCACGGGGCGTCAGAATGGACGTCGGTGCGGTGGAGAATGGGGACAGTGACCGTTGGTGCTGTCGACTGTACGGCTGCGGTTGACTGTACTGGTGACTCGTCGCACTAGTACCGCCGAGGTTGCCCGCATGCGCAGGCGGGAACAGGTGGAAGTCCTTCATTCTAGTTTGGTTCTCTCCGAATGCAGCCCCGACAAGCAAAACATAGACGAATTTGATTTGTAGGGTCACAGAGTATGCTCACACTGGTGCGTTTTAGCGACATAGTTATGGCATTTGCAACTGCAGCCGGTTATTTTGCGCGGTTCTCACACGACGATTTTAAATTGCGGTACCAGCGGGCGCTTCCCATATTGGGTTTTTTTTTACTTTTTGTTTTTGCGTAGCGCACTAAACAAAAACGCTCACACAGTTCGTTGCAACTTATCGAAAACTCTAATCGAGAGTCAATCGTTCGAGTCTAGATACTTACATGTCGCAGCTGCAGGGAAATGAGAAAAAAAAACAGCGATCGAAATCGAGATCGACATCGAGAGGTGGCAATTCACCAATGCCTATAACTTTTACCACAACTTCTCCTTTTGGAAGGACGAGGAGTTCAAAAATGATAAAGCGCGCGCTCTTATATTCCCTGAGTGTGTACTTTCTTGCTCCTAGTATCTATTCACTCCGCCGTCACTCTTCCTGAGTTGCAACGGGCAGCGGCAACGTCGCCCATCGATGTGTAATGAAAGAAACTACTTCATTTTGTGTCGCAATTCATGCTGCCGAAACTCCGAAGTACTTTGTCTTTATTTTCAAGAACACTACGAAACGAGGCCGAAAATTTTGGACCCTTTCTGGGTGCTGCGACAAATGAAAAATAAAAAAACAAGAAAAGCCCTAGCCTTTGCGACAACCAGCATGGATGCCCACGCGCAAGTGGCGCCGGATTGTGCGCGGCTGCCGCCTTCCCAGCTCGGCCCCGTTTTTGCGCGAAGACCAGCACGGAAGCCCGCGCGCAAGTGGCTCCAAATCGTGCGCGGCTGCCGCCTCCCCAGCTCGGCCCCGTTTTTGCGCCCGGACCAGCATGGGAGTCCGCGCGCAAATGGCGCCAAATCGTGCGCGGCCGCCGCCTCCCCAGCTCGGCCCCCTTTTTGCGCCCGGACCAGCATGGGGGCCCACGCGCAAGTGGCGCCAGATTGCGCGCGGCTGCCGCCTCCCCAGCTCGGCCCCCTTTTTGCGCCCAGACCAGCACGGGGGTCCGCGCGCAAGTGGCGCCAGATTGTGCGCGGCTGCCGCCTCCCCAGCTCGGCCGCCTTTTTGCGCCCAGACCAGCATGGAAGTCCGCGCGCAAGTGGCGCCAGATTGTGCGCGGCCACCGCCTCCCAAGCTCGGCCCCCTTTTTGCGCCAAGACCAGCACGGAAGTCCGCGCGCAAGTGGCGCCACATCGCGCGCGGCCGCCGCCTCCCCAGCTCGGCCCCCTTTTTGCGCCCAGACCAGCATGGAAGTCCGCGCGCAAGTGGCGCCAAATCGTGCGCGGCCGTCGCCTCCCCAGCTCGGCCCCGTTTTTGCGCCCAGACCAGCATGGAAGCCCGCGCGCAAGTGGCGCCGGATTGTAAGCGGCTGCCGCCTTCCAAGCTCGGCCCCGTTTTTGCGCCCAGACCAGCATGGAAGCCCGCGCGCAAGTGGCTCCAAATCGTGCGCGGCTGCCGCCTCCCCAGCTCGGCCCCGTTTTTGCGCCCGGACCAGCATGGGAGTCCGCGCGCAAATGGCGCCAAATCGTGCGCGGCCGCCGCCTCCCCAGCAAGGCCCCCTTTTTGCGCCCAGACCAGTATGGGGGTCCGCGCGCAAGTGGCGCCAGATTGTGCGCGGCTGCCGCCTCCCCAGCTCGGCCCCCTTTTTGCGCCCAGACCAGCATGGAAGTCCGCGCGCAAGTGGCGCCAGGTTGTGCGCGGCTGTCGCCTCCCCAGCCCGGCCGCCTTTTTGCGCCCAGACCAGCATGGAAGCCCGCGCGCAAGTGGCGCCAGATCGTGCGCGGCCACCGCCTCCCCCGCTCGGCCCCCTTTTTGCGCCCAGACCAGCATGGGAGACCGCGCGCAAGTGGCGCCACATCGCGCGCGGCCGCCGCCTCCCCAGCCCGGCCCCCTTTTTGCGCCCCGACCAGGATGGGAGTCCGCGCGCAAGTGGCGCCAAATCGTGCGCGGCCGTCGCCTTCCCAGCTCGGCCCCGTTTTTGCGCCCAGACCAGAAGTCCGCGCGCAAGTGGCAGGCGCGCGCCCGGCTGTGCGCGGCCGCCGCCCCCCAAGCTCGGCCCGCTTTTTGCGCCTGGACCAGCATGGAAGTCCGCGCGCAAGTGGCGCCAGATTGTGCGCGGCCGCCGCCTCCCCAACTCGTCCACCTTTTTGCACCCAGACCAGCATGGAAGCCCGCGCGCAAGTGGCGCGGCGCCGTGCGCGGCCGCCGCCTCCCCAGCCCGGCCCCCTTTTTGCGCCCAGACCAACATGGAAGTCCGCGCGCAAGCGGCGCCAAATCGTGCGCGGACGTCGCCCCCACAGATCGGTCCCCTTTTTGCGCCCAGACCAGCACGGATGCCCGCGCGCAAGTGGCGCGGGATTGTGCGCGGCTGCCGCCTTCCCAGCTCGGCCCCGTTTTTGCGCCCAGACCAGCATGGGAGCCCGCGCGCAAGTGGCTCCAAATCGCGCGCGGCTGCCGCCTCCCAAGCTCGGCCCCGTTTTTGCGCCCGGACAAGCATGGGAGCCCGCGCGCAAATGGCGCCAAATCGTGCGCGACCGCCGCCTCCCTAGCTCGGCCCCCTTTTTGCGCCGAGACCTACCAGCATGGGAGTCCGCGCGCAAGTGGCGCCAGATTGTGCGCGGCTGCCGCCTCCCCAGCCCGGCCCCCTTTTTGCGCCCAGACCAGCATGGAAGTCCGCGCGCAAGTGGCGCCAGATTGTGCGCGGCTGCCGCCTCCCAAGCTCGGCCGCCTTTTTGCGCCCAGACCAGCATGGATGTCCGCGCGCAAGTGGCGCCAGATTGTGCGCGGCCACCGCCTCCAAAGCTCGGCCCCCTTTTTGCGCCCAGACCAGCATGGAAGCCCGCGCGCAAGTGGCGCCACATCGCGCGCGGCCGCCGCCTCCCCAGCTCGGCCCCCTTTTTGCGCCGAGACCAGCACGGAAGCCCGCGCCCAAGTGGCGCCAAATCGTGCGCGGCCGTCGCCTCCCCAGCTCGGCCCCGTTTTTGCGCCCAGACCAGCGTGGAAGTCCGCGCGCAAGTGGCGCCGGATTGTGCGCGGCTGCCGCCTTCCCAGCTCGACCCCGTTTTTGCGCCCAGACCAGCATGGAAGCCCGCGCGCAAGTGGCTCCAAATCGTGCGCGGCTGCCGCCTCCCAAGCTCGGCCCCGTTTTGGCGCCCGGACCAGCATGGGAGCCCGCGCGCAAATGGCGCCAAATCGTGCGCGGCCGCCGCCTCCTCAGCTCGGCCCCCTTCTTGCGCCGAGGCCAGCACGGGGGTCCGCGCGCAAGTGGCGCCAGATTGTGCGCGGCTGCCGCCTCCCCAGCTCGGCCCCCTTTTTGCGCCCAGACCAGCACGGAAGCCCGCGCGCAAGTGGCGCCAGACTGTGCGCGGCTGCCGCCTCCCCAGCTCGGCCCCCTTTTTGCGCCCAGACCAGCACGGAAGTCCGCGCGCAAGTGGCGCCAAATCGCGCGCGGCCGCCGCCTCCCCAGCTCGGCCCCCTTTTTGCGCCCAGACCAGCATGGAAGTCCGCGCGCAAGTGGCGCCAAATCGTGCGCGACCGTCGCCTCCCAAGCTCGGCCCCGTTTTTGCGCCCAGACCAGCATGGAAGTCCGCGCGCAAGTGGCAGGCGCCCGACTGTGCGCGGCCGCCGTCTCCCAAGCTCGGCCCGCTTTTTGCGAATGGAACAGCATGGAAGCCCGCGCGCAAGTGGCGCCAGATTGTGCGCGGCCGCCGCCCCCCAGCTCGTCCACCTTTTTGCGCCCAGACCAGCATGGAGGTCCGCGCGCAAGTGGCAGGCGCGACACCGTGCGCGGCCGCCGCCTCCCAAGCCCGGCCCCCCTTTTTGCGCCCAGGCCAGCATGGAGGTCCGCGCGCAAGCGGCGCCAAATCGTGCGCGGCCGTCGCCCCCGCAGATCGGCCCCCTTTTTGCGCCCAGACCAGCATGGATGCCCGCGCGCAAGTGGCGCCGGACTGTGCGCGGCGGCCGCCTTTCCAGCTCGGCCCCGTTTTTGCGCCCAGACCAGCATGGGGGCCCGCGCGCAAGTGGCCCCAAATCGTGCGCGGCTGCCGCCTCCCCAGCTCGGCCCCGTTTTTGCGCCCGGACAAGCATGGGAGTCCGCGCGCAAATGGCGGCAAATCGTGCGCGGCCGCCGCCTCCCCTGCTCGGCCCCCTTTTTGCGCCCAGACCAGCATGGGGGCCCGCGCGCAAGTGCGTGGCGCCAGATTGTGCGCGGCGGCCGCCTCCCCAGCTCGGCCCCCTTTTTGCGCCCAGACCAGCATGGAAGTCCGCGCGCTAGTGGCGCCAGATTGTGCGCGGCTGCCGCCTCCCCAGCTCGGCCGCCTTTTTGCGCCCAGACCAGCATGGCAGTCCACGCGCAAGCGGCGCCAAATCGTGCGCGGCCGTCGCCTCCCCAGCCCGGCCCCGTTTTTGCGCCCAGACCAGCATGGAAGCCCGCGCGCAAGTGGCAGGCGCCCGACTGTGCGCGGCCGCCGCCTCCCCAGCTCGGCCCGCTTTTCGCGCCCGGACCAGCATGGAAGCCCGCGCGCAAGTGGCGCCAGATTGTGCGCGGCCGCCGCCTCCCCAGCTCGCCCACCTTTTTGCGCCCAGACCAGCATGGAAGTCCGCGCGCAAGTGGCGCCAGATCGTGCGCGGCCGCCGCTTCCGCAGCTCGGCCCCCTTTTTGCGCCCAGACCAGCATGGCGGTCCGCGCGCAAGTGGCGCCAGATCGTGCGCGGCGGTGTTTGGGCAAGGTTAGCAGAGTCTGGCGCAGGCTTAGCGCCTCCGTGTCCGTGCGCAAGTAGCGCATGTTTTTATAAAAGTCGAGTAACTGGACTAGCTTGCGCTTCAGCTTGATAATTTGCAGCCATTGAGAATTTGCAACAGTTTTTGCGGCCCATCTGGCTTGCGCGCATCAACGTAAAAAAACGCGTGTCGGTCTGCTTTCCATTTCGACCGTTGCCCACGAGGTACTTTTGGCACGGCATATGGTGGGTAGACAATGTAGGTCTGTCTACCCTTCTTCTCTGAGTCAGTACTTGACAGAAAGCAGTCACTTAGCTCTGCCTTCGGCAGCATAAAAAGACCCAGCAAATCGTGGGAATCCGGACAGAGATCTACAACACAAAGAAAATGCAAGGCTTGCACCTCTTGCTCCGTCAACGGCCGTTCTTGCGTGGATTCCTCATGACGTTTGTGCTCGTTGTATGAGCTTAGTTTTACCTTCTTTCCCGAAAACCGGGGCGTCGAGGAGGCTATTTTGTGCATCACATTGAAGTCGTTCAGCAGTGCATTGTGCGCAGTGCCACCGGTTGGGAGGGGAAACGACAGCTTTAGACCGGCAGGTCGATACAGAACAGTGTCAAGGAGGACAAGCGCATCCGCGATCGCAAGCTCGCGGTTCCCAGTCGCACACAACCGCTCATCCAACATCACGCCCCTGAAGCATTCGTGCAGTGATTGCGCCGGCGAGGATTTCCAGTGAGATCGAAGCTGATCCACCAACGTCAGACTGGTGATCCCTTCTGATTCGCGGAGCCGCAAGTTTCTCTTAGGATCTTCCGTTGCGACAAGGTTTTTCGTAAAAAATGTTTGCACGGTCGGCGCCACAAGGATTAGCGGAAGAGCTATTTGCTCGTGGATCTGTCCGAGTCGGTATCGAAACTCCGAATCACCGGAACGGCGTAGTGGCCGCCCCTCCTGCAGGCTTGTTTTCACTACAAGTGGTAACCAGCGATCCTTCTGTGTGCCGTAACGAAAGAGCACCGTAGCTGGCCATCGGAACGGCACGTTGTAGAATTCAAAGCCCGAATCGATGTCCCGGACTGCGTTACAGAAGTAGCCAAGCCCCTGGCAGTTGATCAAGTGCGTTCGATTCGCACTTCTAGAAAGCGAGGTTGCAATTGAAGCATCCAGCGGCATTGCACCATTCGAAGCCGTAATCGAACAAAGCTTGTCTTCCCCGACGTGGGCCGCACCACGAAGATGGCGCAGCAAATTCCAGGGAGCGCGCTGGGCATCCCTCGTGCTTACCGCCCGCGCGTGGTACACGTGCATTTCACGTGCCTCTGCAGCACCCTTGTCGTCTGCTAAAAGGCCGGTCGTGATAATGGTGGCTTAGCCTGGTACTGCGAAGCTTCGCAGGCAGCGCGCAGCAGTCTGCTAGAAGCACATTTCGCTTGCATCAAGGGCAACGCCGACATGCTTGAACCACATCACATCGCTCGAAGATCACAACATAGGTGCACTTCTACAAAGAAAGATATTTGAAAAAAATGTGTGTATTGCCCATCTACAAACACAGTCTGTTCTAAGCACTTTGGAAGTGTGCTACTCTTGCTCTCTTGTTCTGCGAAGACCCGGCAGTGCTTTACCTGCTGCCCAAGCTGCAGCGCATCAGCCTGCCCATCTCGTCGTCGGACAAGATTGATGGGCAGGACAATGTCCTGTTGAAAATATTGCTCGTTTTACTGTTGTGTCTGGCTCGGTTCATTTCCTTTTTGTTACAAGGTGTTGCTGCAAAGTAGAGCCAAACCCAAAGTGTCAATGAATCATTGTTTGATGAGTCAATCAACTAATGATTACAGGTAGTAAAGTTTCAAATGAAAGTGATTTCAAGCAACTGCTCTACACATCAAGCGCCGAGGCGGTACATCGTGTACGTGTTCAGAGTCTTCTGGTTTTATATTTTTTCCGCCTCCCGAATACTGGTGGTGGTGCGTTGCAGATGATACAAATTGTAGCCTCCGCGGAGCCGCCGCTTGATTTGTGGACCCAATTCCATGAAGGCAGTTGGCGGGGAGGCCTCTTGTAGTCGCGTCCTGGTGCTCATCGGAGAGGACGCTGGTTGTACATTACCAGTGGCAGTAGAAGATGCGCTCGAGCCGGGCGGTGGGCCAACAGGACCCGAGCTTTCGACCACGCTCGGCGCTTTCTCCGGCTTCGTCGCAAACGACTGTGCATCCGATGCTGTTCTCGTGCAAGTGGCAGCCCAGGCTGATGGCGGTGATTTTTCCGGCGGTAAGTTCACAACGTCCTCCAATTTGCAGGGATAAGTTTTCATCGGTTCTGTTTCTTCGTATGCGACGCAAGCCTCTTCCACCTCTGCTCCCTCCTGCTTACCACCAAAGAGCATGCTCCGCGCCGCTTGACAGGCTGCCGCCATGCTTGGTTGCTTCCCCACCGTCATGGATTCCTTCATGAACGACTCCGACACGATGTTCGTCGCTGCGTGGTGCACATTCGGCTCGGAAACATCCTTCGCGTCTTGCTTTTGCTTCTCCTGCGGCATGCCTGTAGACGCGGGCCTGGTTTCGTCCGGTTTCGCCACGGGCAGCATGTGGGCCTGCGGCAACGTCTCGACTGGCAGCAAGGCAGATTGGGGAATGTGGTCCAGATTGATGTTCGTAGAGATCATTCCAGTACTTTGCCCAGCAGCCGACTGTGCACTTCCGATTGCAGTGCTCTCCGTCGCGGCACCAGCCGCAGTGGCAGGAGCAATTGTCTCCGTCTCTTTTTCGTTTTTCGCTGCATAATCGCAACAGGGCTGTGAATCCTCATTCGCGATTTTTGCGTCAGCAGCCTGAATTGCTCCGCTGGCGAAAAAACGAGCAAACGCAAGAACGCAGCGGAACCACACCTGCCCTCTCCTGCTCGGCGTCATTCTCATTGATTCTGTCGGTATCTATAGTTAGAACAAGATTACAATATACTCTTGCTTCTCTATGTGAGGGTTTCTTGCTTCGATACGGTTTGTTTCATCGTCGTCTAGAGTTCACTAGGGGCGATCCTGAATTCCACTTCGAGCGGACAACTTCAACAGATAAACTTAACTGTCTTTCGTGATCTGTTGTCTGAGCGCGAAAAGGCGATCACGATTTCGATTCCAGAGAAAATTCGATTCCGCCCCTAACGACTAACGAAACTCCCCGTCTCCCGGTCGAAAACAAGACTTATTCGTACCCCGACCAAGAACAGTGGTGATTTACCCAGGTCTGGTTGATGAGATTTTTATGCTGTTTATGTTTTTCTCAAACGTTCCATCCTAAATATTCACCCTGTAATTTGGAATGACGCGTTTCGAATCCTACAGAGCCGTTGCCGGGGAAGGAAGCAACAGACTCTTTTCTCGGTGGACCAGTTGCCACCTCACCGGATGGAAAAGTTGTATGCGTGGGTTGTTCGTTTAACAAATTTTTCAAACAAGTTTAGTATATTCAGCTGCGCTTATGGGGTACAATAGCGAGCGATTTCAAATGATGGCAAACCACCATATCACGAATGTAGAAGGATGATGTAATGTAAGAATAGTGTATTTTTTGCAAGTAAACCGTAAAGTGAAGTGGTAAAAGTTCCTCGTCTTTTGCGCGAAAAATTGTATACAGTGCAATATGACAGAGAAACGACTGCTGATATTTCCCGAAAACAAAGTGAAGAAAGTCGACACTCACGATCAAGTGACCATGACCAATATCCCTTCTACTTTTTCACGCTCGAAGGCATGGGTTTTTTCCTGGACGCCGACTGTTGCGGGTGCTCCTTGTACCAGTTCGTCAGGGAGCAGATGCTCATATTGGTAATCAGCTGCGCCTCCTGCGAGTGCTTGTTCCTCGGACTGCTTTTCGGCGATGACCTCTGCACCGGTCGCTCCACGGATTTCTCCCCGTGCGAAGGTCGCTTCAGATCCTGGTGTGGAATTGATTTGATAGATGAAAATGAATGTGATTACGGAAACCTGCTTCGAGAGAAAATTCAAGACTCTCTTCGCTATGGGCCTGAATATGCCGTCAAGATAATGCAAACTCTAAATTGCGAGTTGAGTCGTAATTTGAGATAAAGTTACTTAGTACCTTGAAGCTCTTGGACTTCATCATGCCGACCTCCAGTGGCATGGAGTGCTTGTCTGCCTTGGCATCAAAGGGATGCAGCTCCCAAAAAGCCGTCGGGAATTTCTGCCGCGGCGAGCCGAGCGATTTCGGCGACGGCGTTTCAACTGCTTTGCCTCCACCCATATTGCGACTTGGATGCTCTCTTTTCTATCAGGATCAAAGCCTAAAGGCAAATGCCGACGTGTTGTGTTGTGTGTCGAGCAGGTCGAGAAAAGTGCGAGTTTTGATGATAAAGTAAGTGTATAGCAATGTAGCAAAATCGATTGAAATCGTTCCTGAATTCGGGGTGTGTTTGGCCGTCCAAAGGTTGGAACCAACACTCAACGGGGAACTGGAGGGGAATGACAAAAAAAAAGTTTTGTTGAAACTTACTCAAGTTGCGATTTCAACGAGAATGTGATTGCACGAGTGTGGACGAAGCAAAAAACTTGGTGGTGAAAAAACGAACGAAAGACCGAACCAATGCCATGCGCGAAGTGTTGCAGCAGAAAAAAAAGCGCACGGACCGACGAGATAGCGTGGCGCTAATTTGGCAGTGAGCGACTTCAAACCGATCTGCTTCTGGTACACACGAGGCCGAAAGAAGTATACAAAACCGACTGAGAGGCATGCATGTAGCTGCTTTATTTGTGGCAGCGCGTAAACAGATGAACGAGCATTTCTTCATTCAAGCCGTTCTAATTAATTTTGGTGCAAAGTGAACGACCACTTTGACTTTGTCCCAAAAGCATGTCTTTCTTGGGCTTCACCTTCGTCGAAATTCAGTGAAAGTGCATTGATCTTATGTACATTTTTTCAGAGTCTCTCCAACTCCAAGAAGGCTTGTTCATTAGATGTGTACTTCGCGAAGATTTCTTTCAAGCAAAGGAAGTGTCGGCTCTGTATCTTCCAATTTTCCCGTGTTGTTTCTTGTTTCGCTCCTTCAGATGCTTGTTCAGAATACGTTGCAACTGCACCGCTGTGGATTTCTTCTCAGACTGCGCCGCAGCGGTGTCGGTGGACAAATTTGTCGCGGCGAAAGAGGACGCTCCTTCGGCAAACCTGCTTCTGGCCTCGTAAGCACCTCCGCCCCGCTGCGAAGCGCCTTGATGCGCCGGCGGTGGTTTGTAGAACCGGCGCAACGTGTCGGGCAACCGCGCTTGCTTCAGGCCATGCTGGGCCTTCTTCGGCACGAAAGCAGAGTTCTTCCCGCTGGCGCGCAAGGTGTTCGCCCGGTTCGCGACCCAATCGGCCTCCACATCGGGAAGCTCCGGAAAAATCATCGTGCGCTTTTTGCTCGTGTTGCCGTCGGAAGACAAATCTTCGCTCTCTTCAAAACTAGCCTCGTCTTCACCTCCCTGCCCGTCCTTCCGCCAGTCCCGGCGGAAGGGATGTTGATCGTCTTGCTCCGGAAACGATTTCGTTCGGGCTGGGTCTTTTGCTTCCCGCTCCAGAGGACTTGCGCTTGTGCATTGCTTCTGTCCACCTGAAGAACCACGTGAACCAGCACGACGCCCAAATCCGAACTCTGCAAGATCTGAGTAATCGTTCTTCGCCTCTTTTTGTTGCCACTGTTCCATTTTTCGATCCAGTTCCTCGGCAGAATCGGGCAGGAGATCGATGTCTTCTTCGTCTACCTTAAAATCATGTTTTTTTGCGCCTGTACTGCTCGAGGACGTGCTGGCTAAATCGGCGAGATTTATCGCTGCGTCAATCCGGCTTTCGTCGTCTTCCACGTCGTCTTCATCTTCCACAAAGTCCTCGTCGTCCGCTGCTAAGTGGCTTTCACTTGCCGTCTCCGTGCTCTCAATCACGCTTGTGGTATTCCTCCCTACATTTCCTCGGACGTGGCTGCCGGTGCTGTTGCGCTCACGTTCCCGCTCTGAACTAGAAAAAGCTTCTTGCTCCGCGTGCGCAGTCGCCATCAGCGCATCGAAATCCGGCAAAGACACCAGTCCCGATTTTTGCACGTCGTGGTGGCGCAGAGCCAGTGCCAGTGTCTTATCGGGCACTGTCCCGCCCGAACGCGATGCTGGCTCGTCGAAGGGAACTCGCCTCAGAAACTTCAAATCGTTCCCACTGTCGCTACCGCCCGTCGAAAGCAGCTGCCCGAAATCCGCCTGCGAGAACACCTGCAAACGCTCGTCCTGTGTGATTTCCTGGTGGTTGAGTCGGCCGTTCCGCGTCTTCACCGAGGACGAAGTTGCTGCGAAGTGTTCCTCATCGTCATCTGAAAGACGACTACCTGAGGCACTTCGCTTCTCTGCGAGAATTTCCCGGAGCTGCTTCGCCAACGCCGGGTCGTCGCTCGCGTTGCGGTAAACGTGGACCCCCTCCAACGCGCGCTTCGATGGGGAAACTGCGTCCAGCGCCTCGGCTGGAACGAGCGCGCTCTGTCGAAACTCGTCCGGGTTGGAGAGATCCAGGCTCGCGTAGCCACCTCGCTGCTCCACGAATCGGCTATCAGGATCGTATTGAGAGGAAAAATCCCCCCTCCCCATATCGAAAAGGTATGTTTCCGAAAATTTGCGTTGCTGATTTGAGGTCACAAATCACGTCTGTCTTGCAAGAAGACAGGCGCAGAGGCTTCCGCACCATTATGGAAGCGATTTGGCACGCTGTTGCGCCTAGGGGGCACCCGTTTGCAATGCTAAGCAACTAGACCTATACGCCCCTGCCTAGGCCGAGGAGCTGGCTGCGATGCCTTACTGCAAGACAGATCCGATTTGTGTACCCAAATCCTGCATCACAGATTTCCATTTCGATATGGGGAGGGGGGATTTTTCCTTTTGATAGATCGTTGTCCGCAGTCAGTACGGTATGATCTTCTTTACCGGAAGATGAGTCGCTCTCACGACCAGCGGCAGGATGATCGTTCCGCCTCGCATTTTGTGTCATTTTTTCCTGGTGCGCGCGCTCCAAAGACGCAAACAACGCATCCACGGGGGAGAGCGGACCACCGGAAGGACTGTCTTTACTCTCTGTGTTCTTTCCCACGAACGGCTCTGCTTCTGTGCCGCTCGGTGTACTGCTTTCGATCGGAGTGTTCAGGCATTGTGCATCCATGGAAATGTTCGAAGAACCCAAATGTTGGTTGTCTTTGTTTCCGTCCACCTGACCAGGCGTAATATCACTCCCAGTTGCAGCTGCCGAACTGTTTGTTCTGCTTTCCGTTGCTGTAGTTGCAGCATCACGTGCACCCTTTTCGGATTCGGCTTCGGGACTTGCATGAAGATCTTCCTCGCACTCAATTGTAGCAGCATCATCCCGTCGACTGGCAACGTCTGCTGTGCACGACTCCCAATACTTGTCCAAATCTATCATCACGTCCTCCTGTTCCCGCGTGTTCACTCGGCTGCGCTTTCGTGTCAAGCCCTCCACGTACCGCTGGTATGTCGCGTTGAACTGGATAATTGTGTCCACCTTACAGGGCTTCTGGATCTCCTCGAACCGCTTCGGAATCCGCATGCGGCTCAGATCAGAGTTCAGGTCCTGGACGGAATTACTATTTGAGGGCGAGCTGTAGTTTGAAGCGAAATTTGCTGCAGGAAGTGTGCTGCTCCCAGCAGCGTTTGCACTCACCCTCGCCATCCCATTTTCGTCCACAACATCCAGTTCCGGTACGAAGTTGCCCTCGAACTGCGACTCCGCAGCGCTCTTGGCCTCCATGTCGGCTTTCTCGCGTTGCTTCAGCAGAAACTTCTGGCGAGCGTTCATGTGTTTGCTCATGACCGGCCGCAGGGAATCCCGCAGCCACGGAGGCAGTTTCAGAATCTGCTCCTCTTTCCGGTCCAGCTTCATCTGCTCCTTCTTCAAACTGATCTCTTCCGCGAGCTGCTTCGCCGTTTGCGGATCCGCGATGGGCACGTCCGGGAGGAGTTTGGAACTTTTCCCGAACTTCGCCACCTCTAGCTGTTGCTGTTCGAGGATAATTTTCCCCAAGCTGTCCAGCAACACGATAGCGGAAGAGAGCAGCGTTTGAGGGCTTGGTCCATCCGACACTGACCCGGACTCTCGTCCCTGCTCCGTCGCGGAACTTTCCGGCGTTCCTGTGATGTCTTTTGGTGCTCGGTCCAGAGGTACGAAGTTCGGCCTCTTTTTCTTGTCCGCGCTTGCGGGGGTCGAAGCAGTATTGCTCCTCGTCTGCTCCTCCAAGTAGCCCCTACAGTATTGCGCCAGACCATACAGCACTTTCACCACGTCCACGCAGTCCGCCGTCGTCGGCTCCGGGGGCGCGGGCTTTTTGAACAGCGCACAGGTTGTTCTCTTTGAGCACCCGCGACAGGTCAAGGTCTCGGGCTGTTGGAAAAAACGTCGGAGCCGCTTGCACGCATAGACGATGCGCACGCTCATATTTTCCTTCACCTCCGCGTCGGGTAGATTCAGCTCCGTGCTCTTGCGCGACCGCTTCTTGCTGGGCAGCACAACGGGACATTCACTTTTCGAGATTCGCAGCAGCGCCCCAAGCCGCTCTCGCTGCTGTTGTTGTGTACCATTTTTCTTGTCGACACCCGTCATGGCGTCCACGAGACGAGACAATGGCAAATCCTGTGCAGCAAACAGCACTGCACGTTTCACGGCGACACGGCCGGGACCCGAGGCCTGGCACGTCTCCTCTGCAAATCGATGGAAGTGCTGCAGGTACAGAAAAGCCTCGCTTCGGTCAAAGCGGCGCAGGCCAGATCGAACAAGCATTCCGAGGGCCCCCGAACGACGCGGGGGCACGGAAAAACTCGCTCCCGGGGGTTCCGCGCGAGGAAAGAATCTTCACAACATGTTTTTCCTGCTGTATTTCGCACATCGATCAGTCCGTAGAAAAAAGACAAAAATCTTCTAGGAGGTGGCAACCGCGCAACCAAACATTGCTGGGCCTCGCGACTAGTACCTCTACTCTACCGACAACACTTGAGTGCGAGAAGGTAATGTGCAGGCTGCGCGGGGCGCACGCTGTCTGGATCTGAGCAGAAGACGAATACCACATCGCATTCGCGGAGGCAACACTTCGGAAGACCAAGTGTACAACATCGGTGGTCTTTGGAACCCCAGAACGTGCAAGACAACAAGATACTTAAAGACAACAAAACTCTAGGCTTTCCGATCTTGTTGCTCTAGTTGTCTCACAAAAACTTAGACGGGAAAAATAAAGTCTAGAAGTACCGCTGTGAACTACCGATGGAAACGAAATCGGGAACAGTTGACGACGCTGAATATCGCGGTACTGAACATGGAACTGCGTTTAGCTTTTTAAAGCCTTCGCGATGTCAGTCGAAAGACTCGACGACTCTTTATCTGTTGAGACGCTGGGTCAATCATTCACGACTGGCAACCAAGGCCCCTTTCTATGTGATCAAACATGAAGAGCTGCAGCTTTTTGTTAATTCAATGTTCATCAAATCGCTGAATTTTCAGGGGTATAAATAAACTTGAACTTAGCTGCAACTCTTGCTATGAGATACTGGTCTCGAATACATTTGGTTTCTAGTTTCTAGATAGCAGTCGAACTAGACCGCGCTGAACTCGAACGCCAATAACAATTGGACAAGAGGAAGCGCAAACTCAGTAGAACGGATTCCGGTATGATCGAGCTGCGATCGAGGCTGATCTCGTTGAGCACGCGAACGATCATCGACAGGCCCTTGGCGCGGGCGCGCAAGGGCTTACTGAGTCTATGGCAATGCACTCTGAACCCATCACACGCGTCCCCAGGAAAAAGGCGAGGGAAAGCTGCGATGAGGTGGCGTGAATAGCAGCGGGTGGGAAAAAGATTTCGGAAAATCAAATTCCTGATGACGTATCCGCCGGAGCGGAGTAGTCAGGTGTGAAGCCCGAAAGCGTCCGGGGACGCGACATACGTAGATCGTGGAAAGCTTTACGTAGTTTTACGATGACGAATAGCTATTTTCCCCGGGGAGACGAATAGCTAGAGAAAGAAACACAATCACGAGAGAGCAGGATCATACGAATAGCAGCCAGTTCAATGTTTATTTATTACAGCAAATAAACTTGAACTTAGCTGCAACTCTTGCTATGAGATACTGGTCTCGAATACATTTGGTTTCTAGTTTCTAGATAGCAGTCGAACTAGACCGCGCTGAACTCGAACGCCAATAACAATTGGACAAGAGGAAGCGCAAACTCAGTAGAACGGATTCCGGTATGATCGAGCTGCGATCGAGGCTGATCTCGTTGAGCACGCGAACGATCATCGACAGGCCCTTGGCGCGGGCGCGCAAGGGCTTACTGAGTCTATGGCAATGCACTCTGAACCCAATTTTGGCGAGACATTCTGGGCACGAGATTTGATCATTAGCTGGTACAGATCATGAGCATGTGAAGCGTGCACTAGCGTAGCGCTACGAGAAAACCAGGACGAGACTTCTAGTGTGCCTGGATCCACTGAGTCCTGATTGCGAGTAGTGATTTGATTGTGCATGCTGTCGAGCCAATGGTGTTCAAAAGAAAAAGTGAAGATCTCGATTCGCTTTTCTTTACTGGATTTCGAGCGTGGCGGCATCTCTAGCTGGTCCCACATCGTTGAAGAAATCTAGTATGTCAGAGTCTAGAAGCGCGTACTTCTCATCGTTCATTTCCAGCTCTTGCTCGTCGTCGGAGGGGACGTCATCGCTTGGCGGCATCTCGAGCTCGGCTGGGTGCACGGTGAAAAATCGTTCTAGATCTGGGTGCATGAGGAAGGAGTGTTCAAGGTAGTCTATGACATCCACGCTGTACTCCTTTTCCCACATCATGGACTTGGGCGACCAGCCCATCCACCGGCTCACTTTGGTTTTGTAGCGGTCGTAAGCTTCGCGCTGGCGCTTGGATCCACCTGGGAGGTAGTTGAAGTGGAGGGCACGGATCCTCAGGGCTATCGCTAGACCTCTTCTGGGGCCATACGGCGTTGTGCCCATCTGTTTTGCTACGCGATTAATGTCGCGTACTGATACCGGAAAGACGTCCGGGTGCCAGATGTTCGAGGGTATTCGTACCTGTGTGGTGGGTAGGAGGGGATGGAGTAGGACAGTTCTAGTAAAAGAATACTTCGCATGAGTTGATACCGTGTGTCGTTACTGGTGATGCATTTGCAAAAAAGAAAACAAGAATATGATAGACATACCTGAAATGTTTCTCCCGGCGTGGGTAAGCATTTCATGCTGGGGATGGTGATCAGCATCAGGCTCGCATCGTCTGGGTCGACCCGGGCGATCTGCGGGTTGATGGATATGAACGATTTGGGCCGCAGTCCTGTAACCCACCACTGTAGGAATATCCGCAGGTCCCTAGGTGCCAGCGACTTGGTGCGGGAAAAGTCGGGCGGGATGGCCTTGGCCCGTAACATCGGTTCCAACATGCGCTTCACATTTTCGAATGTGAGCGTCTGGAGCGATCCTCTCCATCCGTTGGTCTTCTCGAGTCCATTGAGAGATCTCAGACGCTGCCCCGCTAGCGACAGGTACACTAGTGGGTCGCCGTAGTCGTGATCCACCAAAAATTGGCCGAATCTCTGCAGATCCGACCAGAGGACATTTGGGTGTTTCCGTCGTAAGGTGGCTAGTCCGTCGCGGTCTCGCGGCACGTGCGCGAGGTTCATAAAAAGCCTCGGCTCAAACTTCATGCACCAAAACATCCAGACCCGCCACTTTGAATTGCGGTTGCTGAGTCCGTACTCCGTAGAGAGAAAGATCTCCTCTTCCGGCCAAATAGCCAGCACCAAATCGTCGGGCATGGCCCATAAATTGCTGTAATATCTAGAGACTACGGGTGGGGTTCTTTTGTTTCTTATCGCGGTGGCCCAGTTGTCTAGTCTCTCTCGCGGACCGTTATAGTAATTGTTTTGATTACCGCGACTAAGGCCTGCTAAGTCCTTGGGCGGGACTGCGCGTATCCGCGCCTTTTTCAATTCGTGACTTAGCAACATCTCCTATTGCCTATTATTGTGGAATTTGGATGATCATACTGCTGCTTACAACACCGTGGGAATAGTGCTGATCTTTAAGGGTTCATACTGGAAACAGGAAGTAGATTTGTTATTATTTCGATCGATCGAGGGCTCTGATCTTATTGCACACGGGCGAATCTTACTCTCGGGGACCTGATATCTCTCGTTCTTGTCCGAGCGAAGCGCTCCGATGTCGGCAAGAACACATTGATGACTGTGCTCAAGCGATGCACCTGCGCTCTGTGTGCGTGGCAGGTGCTCATCTAGATGCTGAGCATGCAACTGAAGCCTGTAGATGTGTTAGAATCATTTGAATGTGCCAAGAAGAAACAAAAAGCTACGTACAGCGAGCGCTGGTCCGGTCGGTAGATCGCCATGAAAGAAAAATAAAACGTAATGTAGATGATGAAGAAACTATACTTTCGTCTTTCGAAACGCGTCCAAATTGCAATCATTGTACAAACATTCCATCTCACTAACAAAGTCGCTCAAAGTGCTGAGAACTTCTTGTTCAGAAAACGGGAATTCGGTTCCGTACTTGCTCAACAATTCGTCGAACATATCCTTCCTCGTACACGCATCCGAAACGTTGAGATGCGTGTTTATGTAGCCGTGGTAGAACCACGAATCGGCGCTGTGCAGCCGGGCACAAAGCGACGAGGCGGCAGCTGCTGGCTTGGCTCCTTTTAAATCTCCTTTGATGATGCCGAAAGTCGCGGCGGCATTATCCACATGCGAAATGCAGTTCCGCCCCCGCAGGTAATCGCGAAAAAGGCGTTCACCGAGCGCCACTGCTATCAACTCGTGCGTAAGAATGCACGATCGCTTGACAAAGTCCGGCAACTGCTTCTCGGTTCGATGCAATGTGTACCCGATGGACTTGCCCGGGGCGGTAAACAAAACTCCTCCGTAGGCCACTCGCCCCGCGTCGGCGGAGGCGTCTGTCATCAGGTGTACTCGCGCTCTAGTGGCGGCTTCGGCCTTGATGGTGGTCTTCTCGTTGGCGGCGATGATCGCCCTGGCCTTGGTTAGCATGACTACTAGATTCTCGACTACCTTCGGCTGCGCTATTTTCTCATGGAATTTGGCGGCGGTATCGGTCAGGTCGTACAGGTGCTTGACACAAGGGATCCCCTTCTTGTACTTTCTCGAAAAGAGCCCATACATGAGCACTCCCTGCAGTTTCTGCAACTTCTTGAAGTGGGAGTGCGGGTTGCGCTTCGCGAGGCTGCGTAGTACCTTGTCGATCTCGTCGCAGATGAGCGCGACTTTCTTCTTCGATAGGGAGAAAGAAATTTGCTCCTTAGACACCTCGCACAAAACTCCGAGGATTTCGCAGCTCTCCGAGAAATTAGCGAACTCGACTTTGTCGGGTGCCACCGCGATGCCCACTATCTGGCACAGTCTTCGGACTGCATTGCTGTACACCGTGTCCAAAACTCCGTCGGAGACGGTAATGATGTCATCTATGTACACCATGGATGGCACGAGCAGCACTTTGTTCAGGAAGCAGTTCAACAGCTCGCTGATTCCCCCCACGAATCCAAACACCGAATGCACGTTTCCGAAGTTCAAGGTGAGAAGTTTACCGTATTCGAAGCTCATGGTCGACGGGTTAATATCTTGTGCAAAAGTATCGCACTCGCGATGCAAATGTGCATTACAAAAGCCATGTCAAGTCAAAGCCGCGCTACAAAAATAGTTTCTCATGCTGAAGAAAAATGTAATGCGAGTGCGATACTTTTGCAAACCATAGTTGAAGATCCGGTACATATTTCTGTCCGGCGAGTGCACGCCGAATTGAAAGTATGCTTGCTGCAAATCATTTTTGCAGAACGTCGGCATGAAGGAACGGCCCCCGAACGCCTTCTCCGGTTCGGGAAGAGTTGTCAAGTCTGTCCATGCCATCTTCTTGTTCCCCAATGCTGCTGCTTTTGCTCTGCCTTCGTTGATGGATTTCAAGACGTCTCTCTTGTCCTGTGCGAACTGGGACGAGAATTGCGGGTTAAGCGCGTATAACGCCGCCTGCATCACTGTCGGGATGCCTGGGAGAGTCATGTGCTCCGTTGCGGGTGACAGCTCCTCGTTTCGCACGGACTCGTCTGAAATCGGACGGACCTTCTGAAACCGGCCCGTGTCGTCTGGCCGTTGACCTAAACCAAAAACGTCCACAAAGTAGGCCCCTTTCCCCATCATCTGTTCCGCCGTCGACGAGTCGATAGGCTCTGCGAGGCCGCTCTTCTGGAGCTTCTCGTAGGCCTGGTAGCACCTCTCGTGTATGTCGAGATCATCGTCGCAGCTAGGCGCTTTCTGCGCTGCTCGGGCTGCTTGCACCTTCGCGTGGCGCAGCGGGTCGTGGAAGCTGAAGTCTTGCACCCGCTGCAGCTCGCTTGGTGATAGCTTCCTGCCGCCTGGCCAGGCGCCATACACCGGAACTAGGCCTTCCGAAGGGAAGCCTGTGTTGCAGAACCCGGAAAGTCCATATAACATGGACCGCTTCTCGGCGTCCAAGTAATCGCTTTTTTCGGCTAAGTAGTTCAACGCGAATACGTTCAGTTTGCGCGTTGGAAAGCCCGGGTCGGTGCCTAGGTAGGAGTTGTTTATCTGGTGAATGTGCACAGGTTTCTCATCTTCATATTTCTGAATCTCGATTTCGTTTGCTAACAGGTGGGCTTCTAGGTCGTCAAGTATCCCCTGAATTCGCTGCTCCTCCATGGCGATCCTGGTGGCAGCATCCCACTGCTGCAGCTTCCGCAGATGATCCAGCGCGGCTCTCCGCTCGGGCGTCAGAAGGTCGCATTCGTCCCATGAAGCGCATTCACGCTTGGCGGGCGGAGGAGCTCTTGGCTCCCCCTGCTTCTTGCTGTTGCTCTTTCGCACCCGCTTGCGCGGCATCGCTAACGCACAGAAAGATCGTGTTCCACGGGCCCGGCTGGGACTGCTGTTCCGATGTCCTCCTGACTTTAGCTGGACGCTGCAACTGGTGGTCGGAAGCAGATGAGACGTTGCCAACAGTAGAAATGCCGGGGTCAGTGAAGGATTTAGCCTGAGGCTTTGCTGCCTTTCTGTTCTGCCACTCGCTCCACAACTTCACGGTGTCCGGTGAATACTCCGGTGCTTCTCTCCTCGGAGGAGGGGCTTCGCTGGTCCAGAGGAGCGTTGCGACGCCTTTCCGGGCTCGCTCCCGCTCTCGCCACCCTGGCGGGGAGAAGGTGGGATGTTCCTGCAGAATCCACCTCTCGCGCGATTCCTTGGTTGGGGACGGGGTACCCGCCCGCCGTCCGTTCGGACCGCTCTTACGAGCGTCTTGCTGCTTCGCCGCGAACGGGTGGACGCGAGTTCGCGGCTGTAGCGGTTTCGGTATGTGCAGCGGGTTGTCAGTAAGGACTGGCTCCGCGAGGCTGGTATCCCAGACTGTATTGCCCTCGGTGTCCCGCGCCTCGACTATCACCTCTTCGTCGACGATGAGGTCTTTGACCCTCTGAGAATTGGGAATGCGGCGGCGAAAGATGACGCTACGCTGTGCCATTCTAGGAAGAAATCACGGCGTGATCCAACTGCATGATACAAAAGATGTAGAACAAGCAAAAAACAGCGGCTTAGAGTACGGCCTAGTGAAATGGTTTGTATTAGATGTTCTAAGGGTGAGTAGGCTTTTACTATGCGGGGGTAGTGTAGCTTGGATACGACTATGCTAAGTCTACGAGGTGTGTTTAGAATCGTCAATGCGATGCCCCTACGACCCCGAACGAATGCGTACGACACAGCAACGACAGAAATGCGATAGAATCCGGTGGATTGACGACTGAGGCGGTCCGAACTACTACGATGACTCTAGTGCAAGGTAGAGTGTCCGAGGAGAAAGTTAGAACGAATTGCTAGACGACGTGAACACGCATATTTGAGAACGGAGAGCCTGCACATGCGTGCAATGCATGCTACGAGTGCCTAAATGACGTCCCTGTCATCCTTTCAATTGATAGCTATTCGTAGCTGGTAGACGAAAGCCATGCTCACAGCTGCGATACAAGATATTTACGTGATGAAAAATCACAAATCAATAACAAATCTTGGATTGTAGTGCTCGTTCGGGGTAGGTATTGGGTCTTCAGCTCGAACGCTTACTACGACCAGAATCTGTAATGCAGTCAACAAATATAGTTCATAGAGCGAAGAAAAATACAAAAATAAAAATGTCTGATAATCTGCATTGACGAGACCACACGACTGATGTTCGTGTGGGGAAGCGTGTCTAGGTGGTCGCGATCGTTCGTAATACTAAAGCTGGAACGATACGGCTTCCAGCTCGAGAGAAGTAAATATAGCTCATATTTTCGAGAAATTTTTTAATTTAACACTACGCTCTCTTCAGGTATTCGGCGTTCTTAGTTTCTGTATACGAGTGGTCTTTCGTGCACTTGTTGTTCCCTGTGGGTTGGCAGAAGATGATCGCTCCCCTATCGTTCTTGACTTTGTTGATACAACACAAATGGTATGTGCACAGCTTGTTGTCTGCCTTGAGTTCCTCGAGCGTAGCCTTGTTCTTGTAGACACCGGTGATCAGCTTCTGCCGGAAGACTGGGATGTTGCCTTTACCTCCCCCGCCTGATAATAATCAAGATGAAAAATGAACAATGCGAATGCTATGGGGATCGAGATGTCGCATGCTCGGCGACAAATGTCGCTGTGACAACTACATGACAAAGAAAAAGTGTACCTTTGGCATCAAGGTCGCCCTTCGTGGCGCCCTTCGAGCCCGGAGGGAGGGTTCTGTTTTCTCCCCCTCCTGGGGCGGCGGGTGGGGGCGGCTGCTGTCGCTCCTGGTCCCTGCCGTAGTGGTGGTCTTGCCACGCGCGATCGCGGTAGTCGTAATCCCGATACGATGCGCGGTCTGGACGAATGCGGTGATTGTGACCCTGGTGGAAAGTGGGTAAATCGCAGCCCCCTCCGTACTGGCTCTGGTAGTTGGCGCTGAACAGCTGGCGGCTTCTGCCGCCGCCTCCGCCTCCGCCGTACCAATCCCAGTCGCGGAACTGATTGCCGAAACCTTTTCCATTCGCACCGAACCGCGGACGCGGGTTGTACGGGAAGTCGCGATCACCCCGGTTGGTAGGTCGGTCACCTCGGGTCTGGTTCTGTGCGGTTTTATGACCCTTCCCCTGGCTGCGGCTGCCGCCTGGGTTGGGTGCGTGCTCCTTGACTTTCGGGTTGTGTCTGTGCGCGATGGCACGAATCGACGTCGTCCATCCTTTGGAGGACTTCGTTTTTTCCACACCCGCAACTGCTTCTTCGGTCCAACTTTTGGCGGCGTCCGGGAGTTGGCCCACATCTGAGAAGTGGGAAAATCGAGAACGAACTGTAGGGGGGGATTGCGAAGAATAATGAGAATAATTAACAGAGGTCATGGCGTACTGATAGCAGCAAAAATCATCTGGAGGGAAAACTACAAATAAGCACCTTTAATAAAGCGGTCGATCGGCGGCTGGATTTGCTCGGCTGTTTTGCGTTCCTCCGGTTTGGGCTTATTCGCGAATTCTTTGATCTCTTTCTGCCAATCCAAACAGTACTCGAAGTACAAGAGCAACGCTTTCGAAGTATCTTTGCTAGTGAACTTTTCGCAGAGACCGGCGTCCTGGATCTTATTCTTCAATAGCGCGTAGAGCTCGCACGTCCTATTTTTGTACAAATCGGTCAGCGTGAACGGGATGATCAGCAGCAACGTGTGGAGGAATTCGGTCGATGCGAGGGCCCGTAGCTCCTTAGAATCGTACGACTGAATGTCGTGCGGGTGGGACTTCTTATGCTTCCCGATCTCCTTTCCTAGCTTGCGCACCAGCACCTGTAGATCGTGCAGCGTGGCGGTGTGCTGCGTAAAGAGGATGCTCATTTGTGTGGAAGTTGTGGAACTTGCTTTAGAGATGATGTCGTCTAGCAGCTCCAGGGCGTCCGCTTTGTCGGCGGCCGAGAAGCCGAAAGGCCAAGTTAGCTTCGCTGGGTCGGTCGGGATTTTAGCCCTGTCTTCAGTCATCTTATCCCAGCGCTCCTTCACCAACAGCTTGTTCGCTGCTAAGCTGGTAACTAGGGCCTCAAACTGCGTGAGGTCAGCACCATCTGATCTCTGCCCTGCCTCGATGAGAAGCTCGCGGGTTGTAATGCCGTACAAGAGCGTGTGTGACGCGGCTACCCTGCTGTCTTCCCAGGTATCTGGTGGCGAGAGGGAATGAGATGGATGAATAAATAGAGCGCACGCGACTTGAAAGTCAAAAGCATTCATGCATCAGAAAAATAGAAGAACCAAGCTAGAAATATACCGTCGTGTTTGCGCGATCGGTGCTGCTTGAAGTCCTGATGGATCAGGTACCGCAGCTCGCGAAAAGCCCATGGTGACTGCTCGCCGTGGTTGTTAGTCAAGTTATTCTCAATCTCGTGGTGCGGCATCTTATCCCTGATTTTATCCCGGGCGGCCAGGCTAAGAGCGCTCGCGTCTCGCGTATCGTCCGCGTACCGAGAGCGGCTACCAAACATGGAAGCGAAGCTTGGCATGCTCCCCCATATGGGGGCGCCCGGGAACCCGAAGAAGGGCATGAATCCGCGCGGGGCGGGGCGGGGGTCCCCCGACCTCGTTCGCCGGTCGTCGCCGCCGGTGGCTCTCTGCGCCGGCTCGAATGGATCCTCCCGCTCATACCATCTGCAATTCGTATCTTCAGCTCCTAATCCTTGGAACCGAGTGTCGTTGAAATGGTTCAGTGGATCGTCGTGCACTGGGGAGGCGCTAGGGGCGCTGTTCCTCCTGTGCTTGGTCGGCCGTGGTACGGACGCGTGCTGGTCGTCTTTGTAACCGAAAGCAACGTCACGAAGGTTCGACGAGTCAGAGCTGGGTGAGCTCGAAGGCGGTCCTCCGCGCTTGAAGGAGTGCCCGCACTCCGCGGAAAACAACTCGCCCTGCGGGTCCTGCGAGACACGGCTCAGGTCGGGTCGGGGTACCGCACCGATTAGCGTGTCCTTCCCGCGCGGTGCACGCCGCAGTGGCGAATGCAGCTGGGGTGGCGGTGCGCCGGTATCGAGCCGCGTGGGCGGCTGTTGCTGAGCGATGTCGCGCTCGAGCTCGGCGGTCTTCAGCAAGGCCTCCGTGAGCTGTAGCTGCTTGCTGTCCTGCTCTTTCTCCATCCGAGCCACCATTCCCTGGTACGACTCGATGTGCACCCTTTCCGCTGTCAACTCATGCTGTAGCCGGTCGCGGTGTGCGCGGACATTCGCGATGCTGGTTGCGGCCGCGGACCGAGCTTTCGCTTCTGCCTCGGTGCGTTTGTTCGCGGCTTCCGTTCGTACTATTTTCCTCACATCCGCGATAGTAGCTGTCTCGGTGAAAGGCCACTTCTCGGCTATGTCCGCCGCGTTGGGTGGTGTTGGGTTCTCTTGCAATACAAAATTGTCCGGGATCGTCTGGAAGATCGCTTTCAGGGTTTTCTGCAGGTAGTGGTGCAAATGGTCGGAATACAGGTCCATCTTGATGGGCCCGTACCACTGCAACAGCGTGAGGCGCAAGTTGAGCTTCGCGAGCTTGAACGTCCTCAGGTCGCCAGGCGCTGGTCCCGAAGTGGAGAACGCAGCCTTCAGCACTGGATGCCAGAAATCGTATCCCTGGAGGTGCGGCTCGCGCGTGGCGTTGAGCGCACACGTTACCTGTATGAAGGAGAGGGGAAAGTATGAATAACATCTTGTGTGGCGTGTGTGTCTAGGCATGATGGGCGTCATGGAATCGTGGAAAAAATGAGGGGAAAATAAATACTTTGTAGATGATCTTGCAGAACTCGAGTCCTGCCCCCGGCAGGTGAAAAGTAAACATGGCCGCGTCAAGCAACACGTCCTGCGGGATGTCCTTCCAGCCCGATTTGGTGGCGAACCGGCCCAGCGCAAACATCGCGTGCACTAGCAGCTTTGACGTTGTCATGAACGTATTTTTCGGCTCGTTCTGGAACAGCTGGCTCGTATCCTGGATGGCGCTTATGGCGTCGTTGAACGCTTTGAACACGTTCCAGTTGGCGGGGGTTTGCTCGGGCCGGCCATTCCGCAGCCCGAGGGGGAGTTGTTCCCGATCAATGTTCATGCTTGTGCTGAGCTTTTCCAGCTCTTCGTTCGTGAACTGCAACAACTCCTCAATATCTTCCTGTCCGAAGTTTTCGCCGCCCGCCCGCAACTCGAGCGCGGGTAAGATGGAGTAGCCGACGAAAGCTGCAATTTTGGCGCTCGGCGACTGCAGCGTCGTTGCCTTGGGTGCGGCGATGGTGTCCCAATCAAGGGTACCTTGGTCCATGTGCAAGACCTCCGTGATAGAGTCCAGCTTGTTTCGGGGGGCTGGTCCCGGCTGGTTGGCCGTGGCGGTGTCCTGGTTTCCGGATTTCGGGGCGGGAAGGATGCTACTGCTCGCCGATGCGCTACTACTGCTGGCGGCGCCTGCATCAGCACCTGCAAGATTTCCCTTGCTCGCTTGGGGGGCGGGTGCGGGGCCGGATCCTCCTTTTTGCCTGGATGAGGAAGGGGTAGCTTTGGGGGCAGGCCCTGCGCTACTTATGCCTGCTGCTGGCTTAGTCATGCTGGAGCCAATGCGACGTGGCTATTCTGAGGTCGAACTGGAAGAAGGAAGACCGAATGGGAGAGGGAAGAAGTTCGCGCGCTCGCGCTGCCACGCTACGTGTGCGAAATCACGCTCGGCGGGTCCCGGCGGATGCTGGTCGGGTTCGCGGTAGGGGTAGGGCTCGGTGGGGTGGTAGTTCAGCTGCGTGTAACTTTCCCCTCGGCTCTCGTACCGGTAGGAAGTGTGGTCTCTGTGGTGCTCGCGGGATCCGTGGAAACCGCGAAGGTATCCCTCTCCAGAGAATTCAAACACGAGTTCGTAGGCTAATCTGCTGTCTAAGATGTAAAGATCGAGAACGACCCAAATTCCAAACTGCGTGTAATAAACTCTCGCGTCTGGATTAACGCTAACTAAGAACGGCGTGACTCGAAACGGATTGCGAAGATACTCTGCTCGCGATGGGCGTAATACAGGGGTAGGCTGTGAAAAATATGGCAATGAAGTTGGTGCCTGCAGGGAGCCGTCACGTCTAACGTGGCTACTTGGCCATACGGCCACGTTCTGCCCGAACTGTGGAAGATCAGATCTGTAAAATGTCGTATCTGGAGGGTCGTAGTAGTCCATGACGCACGAGAGAAACAAAGCTGAATAATCGCAGTAGAGCCTGACTTACAAAATCAAAAATCTCTGTCGTCTGGGATGGGCACCTTTGGCGGGTTCTCAATTCTAACCGGTTTTACCCCGTTAAGTCGAATGTTATGGAGGCGAGAGTTTCGGTCCTTAAGAGCTGTGATGGCTTCGTTTTTACACTGCAGGCTAAACTCTAGGCTTTCTATCTGGTCACGCAATTCAGCTACTAATTCTTCTAACTCAAGAGATTTTGCTTGCCATTTGGCTAGTTCCCCACCGAGGTACGTGATCCTTTTTTCTAGATCTGAAGTGACGACCCTGATGCGAAAAGAGTTGTTACACGGTCCTTTGCAACTAATAATAGACGTTGCGCCTGCCTGAGCTTCGAACGTATACAGCTGCGACATCTACGAGAAAATAGTAGCAATCATGAATGACGCTGGTCGTGCTGACGCGGGCGGTGGTCGATACCTGCGCAAGAGCACTCGATAAATCTTGGCTGCGGTGATGGCTGAAATGGAGTGAGGAAGAACGCGCGCGCGGCATGTGCTTTTGCTGAAGTCTACTATATTCTGCTAAGAAATACATTATATCAAATTGTCGAAAGTGCAATGTTATCTGAAACACAAAAATTCTGTTGTGCACTCTACAGCCAGGAAGCTGTTTCTCTCGCGTTGCTCACATACACACTCTCAAGAAAACCGCTCCATGGTCTCAACATGCCCGCTTGCTGCAACTGAGATCTCTCGGTGGAAATGTGCAAAAACCCAAATGGGACGCAAACGCGAAGAACTAGAACTCGGATGCAATCAAAAGGCGCCGATCGCTGTCGTGCTCAAGGTTCTTTCAATATCGGGAGGATGGTCAGGATACACATATATCGACTGGCCTGAAAAGTATGATCAAGGAGCTGGTAGTGGCGTGTGTCAAAATCTGTCTCGAGTTTCATATATCGTGTAAAATAGCTTGACAACATCGGTGACGTCAATGTGAGCTGACTCTGCGGTCAGGCGAAGAGCCTAGCTATCACTAGGGAGAAACAGATGCACATCTGCACCTCAATCAGACTCGTAGTCCGCGGTGGTTTGCTCTTCCACCTCTTCGTTGTCGCTCCGAAAAGTTAAGAAGAAGAGGCTGATTTCCTTCTTAATCTTGTGCACTTCCCCGTACAACAAATCCACCGTGATCGGGCGCTTCTTGACCAGCTGCGAGTCACCGTCACCTTGCAACACGTCCCCGGAAAGCTGCGGGATCGACATCTGCGGTAAGCAGGTGCGCTTGAAATTCTCGCTGCGAATGAATTCGGTGAGGACTAGCACAATGAGCGGTGTGTGGATGGGCTTCGAGTACACCATTTTGCGCAGGATCAGCACCCGCCTGGTGGTGTGGTGAAGAGATCGTTATCTCAATGCGAAGATCATGGGGTTAGCGAAACTACAGGGTGGAGCAAAAGGCATGCGTGATCAGCATAAGCAGTCAACCGAATGAGAGAGAAAAGGTAAATAATACATCAGTCTCCGTTCGACGGTATCGGACGCGCGATCGCAGAAGTGCGATACGAGATCGGACCAAAGTCCTTCAATAACGTTCTGGACCTGCTTCCTGGTAAGCTCGATCCGGCAGCCCGGCTTGAATCCGTGCTTCGCTTCGATGTTGAACCTGTGATGTAGGTGCAATATAAAATTGAAGTGCGTCGATGTACTATCGGGGAATCATGATATTCATGTGGAGGTGACGACAGGTGCTCGAGCAGTACTCGGCTTACTAAAATAAAAATCGAAGTACTCGAAACGTCCCTGGCTTGTGTAATGGCGGACGGACGACGTCCGGTAAAACTGGCGTCCCTCTACTAGCTGGTTGACTCCGAAAAAGCTGAGGGCGGTCGGCTTGGAAACCGGTGCCTGCGTGCTGGCCGCCCTAGTCGTCCGCGGCTCTAGGATCTTAGAGCGTTCGATCAAATGCTGGATGAATAGCACCGCGCAGTATGCGACTGCCAGCATCGCAATATCCTCGAAGGCTAACGTCATGGTGTCCCGGCGATAGAGAGACAGAAATGCTTAGGAAAAAGGAAGACACGTCTGCTAATTGGATCGCGATACTACCAGAGTGAGCTACCGGCTAGAAGATCAACAACACTACGGTGCCATAGAGCTGAGAGTACAGGAGACAAGTCCGATCATGTGGTGAAAAACCAACGCGGCGCTGCGAGCGCTGGGACAGAAAGTGAAAATGAACGTGGGATCCGGGAAGGTCGCATGGAACAAGCCACCTCATCGTGCCGGTGGTGGTGCGCGTGGAGACGTCGTTAGTAGTAATGATCTTTGGCAACATCGACTGTAAGCGTAAAGGGGGCGTGCAAAGGCCCTGCGCCCGGCGGGTTCGAACACCCCGGCGAGAAAATCTAGTCGGTCTCGAAACGACTGATGCATGCGAAGAGAAACGCTTGAAGTGAACGAGAGGGCTCCGGAGATTTATCATAGATCACACACAAGAAAGCTACCACGGATGGCACACAGCCAGCTCGACCCGACTTGCAGCGCAAGAAGGGGAGGAGGCTGAGATCGTGACGTCCCCTCCGAGACAACCTGAAGACGTTGTGTTCTTAGCGGGAACCTGAGACAGGACCAGCAAGAATACAAGGACGACAGGCCCGATGCCGGAAAAAGATTTCGGAAAATCAAATTCCTGATGACGTATCCGCCGGAGCGGAGTAGTCAGGTGTGAAGCCCGAAAGCGTCCGGGGACGCGACATACGTAGATCGTGGAAAGCTTTACGTAGTTTTACGATGACGAATAGCTATTTTCCCCGGGGAGACGAATAGCTAGAGAAAGAAACACAATCACGAGAGAGCAGGATCATACGAATAGCAGCCAGTTCAATGTTTATTTATTACAGCGGATAACGCAAGGGTGATGCTCACTCGATAGATTAACATAAACAAATACAAACCATGGGGGAGAGGGAGTACGAGGGAGCATAAAAAGCATGTACGTCTAAAATCCATCTACTCCAGTGTATGCTATCGGGGGAGGGGAATTCTGTGTTGTCATTGCTGGCCACTACTTGATGACGCGGCAGCGGGGTTACTTGCTGCGGCTGCAGTTGGTGGAGGATCCGCTTGCGGCCCCAACGACGGTGACTGGCGTATCTCCTGGTTGGCGCGCAGCTGCGCCGCATAGTACTCCGGCTTGAAACGTCGCCTGAACTCGCTAAGTGCGGCTTCCCGTGCTTCTCCTTCCGCATCGTCGCCGCTCGTTGCCCCCGCTGAAGAGGGAGGCGACCCGTCCGGTTGAGCCCGCGCCGGGGACCCGGAACTTATTCTGCGCTCCGCGGCCGCGGGCACTGCGGCTTCGGGAAGTTGGAAGTCGACAAGGAGGTCCATGAGATCCGAACCACCGACTTCCCCCATGGGAGGTGGTGGGTCTGCCGCGTGTTGCAGATTGGGCGTCGGTCCGGGGGCGGCGGGAGGCGGCTGCAGCGGGTGGTCATACGGACGCGCACGCGGCGCCGCCGGCGGCCGGGGGCCCATTGTACCGGCAGGCGGTGGCTGCTCCGCCTGTGCGTGTCGCGGTGGCGGGCGCGGTGCCGGAATCGCTCGCGGAGGATAGCGGGAATGGCCGCGTTGCGAGGAGTGGTGGTCATGACTGGACGTATCGGCTGCTGCCGGGCTTGGCGACCGGCGCTGCGAAGGACGGTGCGGCTGCACCGAGCCGGACCTGCCGCTTCTACTGCCGGAGTTGAAAGCGTGCTGCTGGGCATGGGGATCTACTCCCGGTGTCGCAGTACCTTCGACTAACAATGGCGGACTCTGTGGGGGATTGTTTGATGGTGGATTCGAACTCGCGAGCAGCAGAGGGCTGGAGACGAAATTGCTAGTAGGTCCTCTTGTTGCAGACTGTGTTTGGGAGCCGGGGGGGCCTCCGCCGCCACTGCGGCTGTGACTGTGCTGGCTGTAGTTTGCATTCGCCGCTCCTCCGTGCCCACTACTACTAGACCCCCTTTGCGAATGATGCTGAGACAATCCTCCGCTTTGATGGCTTGCCCCTTGATGCCCTGGCGGCGCTGCGGGATTGTTCGTCCTGGGCGAATGGATGTGCGTGCCGTGCTCCGTTCGACTGGATGACGATCGGCCGTGCGACCTCGGCGGCCCACCCGAAGATCTGCCCTGCGGGGACGAGACCGAGTTTGCACCCGCACCCGCTGAAGTGTTGCGCACCCACGAGGGATTATTGGTGGCGAGGAAGCTGTTGCTGCCCGGCGACGCTGGCGCATTTGCAATCCCGCCACGGGACCCAGGCGCAGCAGGTAAGAGCTGCGGGGTCCCCGGTTCGAGCGCCGGCCGCAGCGACGGAGTCACCGGAGGCGGCTCACCGAGCAAAACCGCCCCGCGTGACGGCGGAGCGGACTCGCCGCCCGGTGCGGGTGGCTGCGGTGTAGTGAGCACTGATGTTGCTGGAGCGTCGGTCAGATGCGGCTCCGCCGCAGGTGTTGGCTCCGCATGTGCTTGCTGTGCCCCGGCAGCAACGAAACTTGTGGGTGGTGTCGCCGCGGGTAGTTGAGGTGGCGCATTCGTGTTGACAAGTACGGGTAGTTGACTCGGGTGCGACGACACGTGCTGTGTACTCGACCCCACGACTGGCGGCTGGGCTGTTGACGAGGATGAACCTGGCTGATTTACAGGTACGACGATCGAACTCGGAGGGGGCCCTCCACCCGCATTCACTACGACGGCAGCCGGCGGCACGGCGCCCGCGCCAAGTCCTGCCGCCTGCGGAGCGGGTGCAGCTGCTACTGCTGGAACTGGGCCTCCAGGAAGGTTTGGAGGTCCACCACCACCTCCTCCGCCGCCACCCCCGGGCGGTGGGGGCGGCGGGGGAGGAGGAGGTGGTGGTGGAGGACCACCGGATTCTGCACCTCCGCCACTACTCGGAGGCTCGACAGTTGTACCAGGACCCTCGTTAGTATCGGTACCGGGTCCGGGAACTGACCACCAGTGGTCATCATTCGTAAGGATCCAGTGGTGCGGATTTTCAATGTGCGCTGAGCCAGTGTTGAAATAGGCATAAAACCCGACACTGCAAGCAAGGCCCGCGCACGACACCACCACAACACCAACCAGAACTATCACCCAAAGCGCGCTTGGTGCCAGGCCGCATGAGAACGCCGTGATTACTCCGTCGCTCGGATCTGGTACACCTCCCGGGTGGAGCACAGAGCAGGCTGGTGTAATCAGGTAAATACTTTCAATGCGAAAAGGACGACCGACAAATTCAATTATAAAACTTGCTGCAACTACAAATCCAAACCAAACTGCTATAAACATCAGCAGTGGGGATGTAACGACCTCTTGCTACAGTAGAACAACAACAAGCATCTATCTATATTAAATTCCGTACCTTCAGCACCCATGAGACTCTCCGGGTCGCACTCTGGAGGCCCCCCAAGCTGGTGCTTCCTGCAGGATCGAAAACGGTCGTCGCCTTCGGGCGTGATACCCGCAGGCGAGCGCGGGGACCGCGGAGACCGGAGCGACGCGGTCCGTGCAACTTGCGGGCTGTCCCTCCCGAACCGCGGCGGAGGTAAGTGCTCCACAACTTGGGTCTCTGGTTCTGGCTGCCACGCCACTACGGTGTTTGCAGGCTTGTGTGGCAAACCTCCACGCCCCGAGGCCTGCCCACCGCCTCCGGGGTTGTTCGCGGACGAAGAGATGACGAAGCCGTGCTCCAGGTGGATCTGGCTCTGATACTGGGCCACAATAGACGGGTACTCGTCGACACTGCTGGGCTTTTGCAAGTTTTGCCACGTCGGCTGGTTCATCTCCTCACTTTTCCAAACGACCGGGTAACTGCCCCGCGTGCGCCCATTTGCGCCACTGCTTCCGTCGCCGTTCAAAACTGGAAACAAACCGGCACGCTGCACGTCCGACCCATCGCTGCCGTTCTGGTGCGCTACCGGAGTACTGGTTTGGTGCTCGTTTAGTGTAGTCCCCTTGACGCGCCCGACGGACCGATCGGTCCCGCACCCCTCCTCCTGCCTGGTCGCGGGTAGATGAAAGGAAGACGCCTGCGCGCACGTGGGACGCAGACTCGGGCCAAAACCCTCGCCGCTGTCCCCAGCTCCCCGGTCATGCATCATGCGGTCGTCGCTCGTCAGGTCCATCACTTTCTGGCTATACTCGTTTAGCTCCCCGATGGACTTAGAGTTTGAGGGAGCACCCTCCACGGGGGCGACAGCTCCGGCCACATCACGGTCAGGTGAAGGAACCGCGTCGGCGAGTCCGATCGCACCCCGGGCCCCTCTCACCGGCGTCTCGCGCCGTTCGTCAATGTGGCAACTGCCGCCCACGGGCTCCTTTGCACCGGGTGGTAGTGGGTGCGCCGTGCTGTTACTCGCTGGAGGCAAAGCCAGAAGGGTCTTTACCGGGCCGCGCAATGCGGAGGACCCCCACCTGTTACGTTCGGCAACACGCTCCGTCGAATGAGTGTTGTTCGCGCTTTCGGTCTCATCGGTGGAATGTAGCACTGCCCCCTGGCCGCCCGACTTGCCCTCCTGATTGGTGTATCCAGACGTGTGCTGGGCCTCGTCGGAGGCGGCGTCGAAGTTCGCAAACCGGGTGTCATCCTCAGAAGGGAGCCAGCCCCGGTCGCGCAGGTCCATGGACGAGATCGGCGGCAGCGTTGGGTACTTGTAGCGCTGCACCAGGTTCGTACTGCTCGTCGTGCCAATGGGTGTCCCGCCCGAAAACTCGGAGGAGCTGTGCGGACTGCTTCCCGCCGTTAGGCAACACGGACTATGCTGCTTCGCCAGGCTAGGATTGTAGGCCACGAACCCGATGGCAGTGGGATTATTTCCGTTTGCATTGTTGTACTGCGGCGATGTGTTGCTGGACGTCGCAGGCAACTTCCCAAGGGACATTGTGCCCGGTAGCACGGACGCTGTCGACGCTGTCGTGGCAGACATCCCACCCGCAGCAGCCGCGCGCGGACCCAGCGAGATGTGCTGCAGTCGATCGCAGGACGGCCGTGTGGACGCGAGCGCACGAGACGCGGAGGAGGACGTTGAGGATTGCGTTCCAGAGAGGTTGTTCGTGCCCCCTCCGCCGGGGAACGAGGCGCGCTTCAGGTGTGCTGCCGGCCGCAGCTGCGGCGACGGGACGGTCACTTCGCTTGCGTCCTCTTTTGTTGTGTTGCCGTTGGCCGCGTTGCCGAATCGACCGCGCCCCGTCTTCCCCCTCTGTAGCACCGCGCCCGGTGTCGACGCAAGCGGGCGGGAGCGCGGACCGTCTACGTCCGAAGGGCAGGAGTTGTAGCACGGAGAACTGCGGTTCAACATTGCAGCTCCCTTCGTCTTGTTCGAATTGGACGAGGAGGTAACGCAGACAGAACCGTTGGACGACGAGTTTCGACGATCCCCGAAACGCCGATCCGCGCGCACCGATCGGCACGCCAGCGCGCCGAGCAGAGCGGCCGCGTCGCTGTCGCCACCACCCCCGTTCGCAGACTGCTGCGAGTGCGGACGCATCATGCGGCGGTGCTCCGTCTGTGGCGTGTGCTGTCCGTGCGAAGTGCGGCTCGTCAAGACCGTGTGCTGCTGTGTAGTTTCCTGGGCCTGCAACGCACTGTCCTCCTGTTCCGCGCTCCAGGCGCCCTCTGACACGGCGGGAAGCAGGTGATAGAACTGCGGGGGCTGGGCGGGTGCAAGGAGTGCCGGCGAGGCGGTGGAGTTGGGCGTAGAAGACATCGCCAGAGTTGGCGTCGCGCTGTTCGCCGGGGTAGCAGAGTTCGGAGTTGTCGTCGTACTACTGGACGTGTAGTCGACGACACCGTGGTAGTTCAGCAGCTGCTCCAGCCCCGTTGTGGCTGTTGCTGCGCCGCCACAGCTGTTCGACGTCATTCCGTTATTTGCTGCGGCACCCCCTGATGTACCATCTCCTCCACAAAGGCCGCGAAGGTTTTGTGAGTTCGCACCGACGACCCGCGCTGCTGTTGCGTTTGCTGCTGCATTTCCTGCGGCACCTCCCCGGACGTGCTGCCGCATCCGCCGGCCATGCCGGGTCGACGGCAGTACCGGCGGATACCGGTTCCCACCTTTTATTCCGCCGACTCCTGCTCCCCTACTAGAGTTCTGGAGGTGCGAACTAGAACAACTCAAGGTCGGGTCGTGTGAGGAGGTCGCGACCAGCTTTATTACGGCAGCACACCCATTTTTGCTGTGCCCGCGCAACGACGACCTGCTCAACTCCTGCGCGTTTGCCGCGGAAGATCCGTTTCCGAACAAGTCCGTGCCAGTCAAGTCGTCTTTGGAATACCCTCGATGGTCGAGGTCGTCGTGCTTAGTATCGTGATGGAGCTCATTGTCGTGATTCGAACGCTCAAGAAACTGCGAATCCTGTGGGATGACATCCTGTGCGTGATAAACGTGCGGCCGTGGACGCGGCGCGAGCAGTGGGGAGGATGACATGCTGTACCGGCCGCCCCGCCGATTCAGCACGGCACCGGTGTCAACCGCTGCGGGCGTGGTGTTGGTCGGCGAGAACGAGGGGTACAGACGACGACAACCGGTCCCCAGAGGGGCGGCGAAGTTGCTGCCTTTGTAACGCGTGTGTTGCATCTTATGCGACGAGGAAGTAGAAGTGGTCTTGTTATTATACCTGTGCCGCTGCTGCTGCTGCACGAACGACGTAGGAGCAGAGCCTCCACCAGTGGCGCCCGGCGATGCGTTTCTACCATTCGTCGTCAGGCCATTGTTTATCTTTCCAAACTCGCCATCATTCACTGCAGGAGCAGCGACTGAACTCACTACTCCAATCGCTGCTCCGGGCCCAGTGCCATTCGCATGCGGTGCCACGCCGGACGTCATGATTGAGGCACCTTTGTAGAAGCCGTTGTGTTGCTGATGTCGCTGCTTACCACTACCCCGCCAGACCGGCAATTGGTCGGAAGAACGCGACTTATGTCCTGCCGCCGAGAGTTGTTGGGCCTCGTTTGGGTTTGCTTCGGTATCATAATTGAGCCCGTTTTGCGTTGCCGAAAAGTTGTGCAGCATCTGAACGCCGCGTCCCTCCCCAGTCTGCTGCAGGGCTGCAGGCGGAGGATTCGCTGTGTTTGCAAGAACATTTATCTCTGGATGATCAGTCGTTCTAGTTCCGCATCGATACCCGCCTGTACCGTCTCCCAGCATGGTCGCTTTCTTATCACCTCTCAGTGAGGACAACTGTGGCCGCCCGCCCCGCCACTGATCGACATAGGCCGAGCAGTTCGTCGTGCTGGGCTGAGAGAAGAAGTTGTCCGGCGCCGCGGCCTGTTGCCGCGTGTCCGGTGCTCCTGTAGATTTCTGCATCGAGGACCAGCTTGCAGAAGTCGAACCTGGCGGTGCGTCGATGCTGCCGGCACCATGTTTAATATGGTGCGACAAAGACGACGTGGTAAGTGCGCCAGGCAGCTGATATTGCGCCTGCGCGCAAGAAGAAACTTGATGCGGTGGATGGGGGCCAGCTCCAGCTCCCCGGTAGAAGAAGCCGCCACTATCGGGCTGCTGCTGCGTGTGAGTATTAGTTGTGCCGTTGTTGATTCTCGCCCCTTTTTGATGCGGGTGGTCGCTGTAAGCAAAAGCATCGCCGCGCGTCGCCGTGGTGACATTACAGCTACTGCTGTCAGCTCCGACATCTTCGTCCGGTGACGTTGTTGGCGAGCAACTGCTGTGGTGCTCCAGCGGGACTCTCGGAGCGGTTCCCGGCTCTTCTTCCAAACCCGACCGCACTCGGCGCGTCTCCAACACGATGGGGGCGCCCGCTGCACCTGGGTGCGCTAGAAACTCCGACGAGTCCTCGTGCCCTTCTACTGGCACTGCAGCCGCACCAGGGCCTGCTACACGAAACGCGTCGTCCATCTACATTGCCCTCCCGGGCGCTGAACGCATCTCCATCTTCGACACTGACTGCCTCTTCGCGTGCTCCTCTCGTCGCCCTCCTCGTTCCAGCATGATCCTCGTGATCCTCATCCGCCGGCCGAGGCGTCGGAGCGGCTCTCGAAGCGTAGATGTTGCTCCTGAGTGACTGCGCAGCCACAGGAGTTTCGGTGCCGGAAACAAGCCACAGAATTGCTGCTTTGTACATTCGTCGTCAAGAATATCAAGTAAAACCCGCTGGCCTTTGAAAGTACGGTACTCATGTTCGTAACTTCTTTGTCGCTGGAGATGGATCTGGAAGAAAAACTTCAATGTTGTGTAGGGGAAAGTAGAGCAGCGGTCCTCGTGGGCACGTATCCAATTTACAGGTGCAGTGGGGCCTCCCTACCCTGTTTTTATCTTTCGCTTTGCTTCTTGTATTGACAGGTAGTATATCAGCGGAGGTGAAGATTTTCTTCTGTGATTTCGAAGGGTTAGACGTCCGTCATCCCTGTTGCAGTGCAGGTTGTAGCAAACATCCACCAGCAAAACTTCTACAGTCGCCGGCTTTTGTTCTAAAATCATTCGATTGAGGCGCAAAAAAAAGTAGATTATCCAGGTTGCTATTGAGCATTGGCGCTTACACTATCTAAAAAAAAAAGAACACAGCGACGCTGTTGAAGATGGTGGATAAGGGAGACAAATCTGAAAAAGCATGTTGTAAAACTTGCAGTATATCGTTTTCTTCTGTCGGTGCTCCCAGCTGCACAGAAAAGGGCACTGCTCTATGTCCGACGCGTTTGATCCTTCCGTTCCAGCGCTGCAGCTGCGTAAGAGCAAGAATACGAAAAGGTAAAACTAAAAGGATCTTTTGTGTGCGTCATAATGAAAAGCGGTACTGAGTATGGGGTTATGTAGATCTGTCTTTTTCACGCGTTTGTCCAGTCGCAGAAGTTGATCTTTCAAAACACGCACGCCTTGAGAAAAAATATGAAATAGTGAGGCCGAGGACACTGTTTCATGCAATATACTTAATTACGGGGATCTTCGTCCGACGAAGTTCTTACGAACCCTACTTGTTTGCCATCGAAGACTCACCAAAAGCGGAAGTGGCTTCTGCTCGTGGTGCGCATATTTTCAACTTCACCTATCAGTTCATTCATTTTGCAGGACAAATCAACATAATGGAAATCTGACTATTCTGAATCCTTGGTTTCTTTGTGTTTTGCATGCATGCATAAAAGCAACTTGGCAAGAGATCCAAGTCTCTTTTTACGCACAATTTTGAAGAAGATAAACAAGGTACTACTAGACTCTGAACTACAGTTGTACTCAGCGACCTTCTCGGTGATAAGTTTCATCTTTCATGCGCTGAGATAGGCAGGAGAAGGTTGATCTCGAAGTCGAGATCATTCGTTATCGCAGACCGATACTCAAACCTAGGCTTTCATTCCATGCGAGACCAGTCTCATTCAGCCCCAGCATCGAACTAAAATTTCACCGGCGATAGTAGATTTCGGAATTCATGGTATTCGATTATCACCCTGCCTCCTCAGTCTGAACTGCAATTACATCAGAATTTTAGTTGCACCACTATCGACTAAACCTCCTAACTTGCGCTAGTACTGCAAAGGCAAGAAATCTTCAGCCTGCTAAGTCGCGCCTCTATAAAGGTCGGCGACGTCGATGATAGTAGGATCAACATCATGATGTCAATTGCATTTCATATCTCGAATACTAGTTCGATATCCAGCAACCGGTTTCAGTTACCTTTGTTGGGTGTAGTGACATAGCAAATTGCTCTATGGAATATGTCAAGTCTATCCATCAAGTGGCTTGTCTCGGTGGTGTGACAATGAGTAAAAACGTTTGAGAACAGAACTAAACTTACTGATTATCTTTGCAGCTAGCATGGAGATTCTAGCATCAAAACAAGACTTCTTGTTCTTCTGGTTCACTTTCCGCGCAGTATTAGTGGCAAACATATCGCGCTAATTCTCGCTATTGATCGATAGGCGCAAGCAACGCTTCACTTTCGAGTGACTATCGACTCGCTGTTTCTCGATCTTTTCCGAATTGATTTCTCCGTTTCTCCGCTGAGCAACAGAGTCCCTCCTGAACAAGGAGGGGGTACTTCTTCCTTTTTGCCATAACGTCACAATCCTTGCCAAAATTAACAGACGCGTAGCAGCTCCTGCTACGCAGAAACGCAAACAACAACTATATTTGATGAAAACGTGCGTAGAAATGGAAGAAGTACTTGGCTATATTCGCGACAGGACGAGGACGAGAAGGAAAGCGGACAAGAATAGCTTTAGTGGCCAAACGCAGCAACAAAACGTACCCGCGCCGCTAGGAAAAGCTACACAAAGTAGGCCCCTGTTGCGCGACAGCAGTGGCACCAGAGACGCAGTCGCATGAAATCGATGTTGAGGACTAGATGCAAAACTGCAGCGCAAACAACAACCTTGTGCTGAGCTTGAAAACGAACGGAGGGAACGGCAAAGCCCTTTATTTTACACAAGGCACTTACTAGCTCTCGGAACTACAAAACTAGTACCCTCGAAATGCTTCAAACAAATTCGCGCCACACCGAGCTACTTACCTAGATACAGCTCTCTTAATATCATCGTACGCCTAGAAGTAGCCGATGTCAGAAATATTAATGGCAACGCTTGTAACATCAAGAAAGCAAACGAGTAAAGCGGTACAAAGCCGGGGCAATATGTTTTTGGCATCAGTTTCTGTAGCCATTCTTTTTGTTTTTCCATCCAGCGGATAGTTATCTCAGTTGGTGAGTGATATCGTTTCAATTGCGTTGCGTCATAGCTTAGAATGTCGGGCTGCCGTATCAAGTTGCGTCGGAATGTTGTAAAGTTGTTAATGATAGCGTTGCTTGCGCACAGTACTAGCGATGCTGATTTTCCTACATGTAATGTGTTCTCTACTATTTTTCACCTGGGCAAATAACTTCCGGCAACATTGACATCGATTTGCCGTGCTTTTTTCTTGGTCAACAATCAAACATATCAGAATGCGTAAGCGTGGACTTCCTGCCGTAACATCATTCTATGTCTATCTGTGCTCCTGCAGCTGAATTCCAGTTTTATGGTTGTCAACTACATCATTCTCGTTTTCACGCGTAGTTCCACTTTGCAATGCGCTACTTGATTTTGTCTAGCACACAGCGGTGCTTGGTCAACACGATCTCGATTGCCCGGTTCCCAGTCCGAGAAAACTGCGAGTCGCGATGCACGTAATCCAGCGTCTGGCCCGTTTTACAGTACAGATAAGCAAGGCGCGCGTGTTCGGCCGCCAGAGTCGCGCTTCCGCTCGTGTCCGAAGGCCGTATTCTAAACCGCAACGCCTGGATGGCCTGAAAGAGTTTATTTGGATAGAGTTTCATTCGGTCCCGAGCCCATGGAGTCGGAAGATGTCAATCCCACGCCGGATAACCTGCGCAAGCGGAGCGCCTTCAACGCAACTTCGATCTGACCACAGAGCATTCTCTTGGCGTGATATTATGGAGGAACGTCCAAAAACGTGCTGGGTGACCTGTTATCACACACTCCAGCCCCTCTGAGTAAGTGCATACTAGTATATAATTCCCAGCAAGGGGAGAGAAATAAAAAGTCCAAAATCAAGTATATGAAGTACCTGATCGCTTTCCTGCATTGCAGCGCGGATCGCGCGCAACAAAATTGGCCGCGCGAGCCCCATTCCGCGAAATTCTTCGTCTTGAATTTGCAAGAAAGAGACAATTACTGTGTGAAAGTATTCGGGCTGGAGATTGCGCTTACCCTTCGGGACGTTTTCCCGGACCCGCTCGAACTGAATGTCCACATTGGCGGTAATCTTCGGCCATCGGTACCGGTTGATGTAGCTGCCCCGTTTCATGCTGTCTCGCACTCTCTCCATGGTGTAGTTGTCCAGATCTGGAGTTTTTTTTTTACAGTAGGCAACAGCAGAAGCATCATTGTATCAGCAACATAAAACTCACCTGCACACGGTAAAACAACCAACCTCGTAGCATTTATTGGAAATCGCAGAAGTTCTTCGAGAATTTTACTCAGGTACTATACCGTATTCTTTCGTCTTGGCCGCATCTAGTCGGTCGCGATCAAACTGGTCCAAATTTGCGTGAGGCTGTTCGACGAGGTAGGGCAGAATGTCCGGCTTCTCGAAGTCCAAGATCAGACCTTGCTTCATCATCTCGTCGATGTCGCGCTCCACTACCGTTTTGTGACTGTCCGGATCAACGATCTGCGCCACGGCCGGTTTCCCGCCGGGCCGCCGGCCCTTCCCTTTGCCTCCCGAGTGCGGCGTCGTTGTGACGGCCGGCGGTTGTGGTTTCCGTACGGACTGTACTGCAAAGGATCCACTGGCGCCTGCGAAAAACGGATCCCCTGGTATCTGGAACGTACTTTTTGCTACTGGCGCCGCAGCAGCTGGTCCTCCGACCGTCTTCGCGGTCGTTGCTGAGGATGATGAAGAGGCAGAAGAACTGCTGCCTCCCCCCGTTGAGGCAACTGCCTTTGCTTTGGCCTTGGCTTTCCCTCGAGCAACCTTCATGCTTGTCTGTGCCGTCTGCTGAGGGGGCTGCTGTTGAAAACCGCTCTGCGCCGTCTGCGCAGCCGGCGGACTCCGACCTCTCTGCTGCGTGGCCGCTTTGCTGCTCGTCGATGCAGCTGAACTCTTTTTCATCCCTGTGGTCAACACTTCCAATGCCGCCCCGTCGACCGACTGCACGGAGCTCTCCCTCGTTGACGGCCTCGTGGAGTCGATGTGCGTCGATACCGTGCTGGTGCTTCGCGGGAATAAAGCGCCCGCACCACCGAAAGTAGAGTTATCATTTGTTGTGACAGCAAAACTTGGATGCTGCTGTTGAGCGACGTTTTTGATAGTACCGCCTGGTGCAGATGAGGAAGTGGCGCTTTTGTTGTTGCAACTTCTTCCTTTCTTCATTACAAGCTGTTGCTCACTTCCCTCGTTGTTGGCGTTCTCGTCTGCCATCTCGACGTCTTCCTGCGAAGACTCCACGTTCATCTCCACGTCGGAGTCTTCCGCCGCGGCTGGTCCTGCGCCGCAGGTTTTGTTGACACTGCTTGCCGCCGACTGCTGGTGGTGGTGAAAGACCACCTGCTGCTGCCCTGTCATCGCGGCGGCTCCCCGGCCGGCGCCCCCGCACATGTCAATTTTGTCCGGGCGACAGGTTGTCTTCATCGCGGAACAGCGGGGTTTGTCGGGCTTGACCAGTTTGGGCTTGTCCGGCTTCACCGGCTTCGGTTTGTCCGGCTTTTTGTCCTTCTCTGGTTTGATCACCTGCTTGTGCAAGGGGTCGCTGTTCGCCGCACCGGCAATCGAAGCCTTCGGGTGCGTGGACGCGGTGTTGTGCTCTCCACCAGCTCCTGGCCGCGTTATCCGAACCTTCGGCTTCGCCATCAGCCTATTCGAGGGCGGGGGCGGCAGCACCTGTGATGTCTGCTGCTGCTGCTGCTGTTGCGGCTGGTGCTGAGCGGCAAATTGTCCTGACGTGTTGGTCGAATACGACAGTCGCCCTCCGCCTGGTTGCACGTGGTCGTGCTGTCGGTGTGCTGGTTGCAGATGGTTGTGGGCGTTCGATTGTTGTGGAAAGGCAAACACTGGCGGTGCAACTCCGGGTCCTCCCGGGGGTCCAGCTACTCCAAAACTCCTCGCGTAAATGCCTGCCGGGGGCTGTCGGTGCTGCAATACGGCGGACGGCGGTTGCTGCAAGCCTGTGTGGAGATGACCGTTGGCACTTGCTGTGCCGCCGCTCGGGCAACTACCTGGCCAAAAAGTATTCAAGTGCTGTTGATGATGTTGTTGCTGCGCACCGAACTGCTGCTGCTGCAGCAGTGCACCGCCAGTGTTGTCGCTAGAGCTACTTCCTGGGAGGAGGCTCATGATACTGCCTTTCGTCTGTTCTTCTTCTCGTACCTCTTTCAGCCTCCACGACTCGACGAAATCCAAACCCTGGACAACGTCGCGCAGTAGAGGAGAAGAAAAGAGAAGATCGGGTGTGCCTGTGACTGCGTCCAAACCCCCGGCTCCTGTCGCCCGAGGACGTGTAGTAGAAGTAGTGTCGGTGAACTGTAACTCGAGTCGCGATGTTGGTACTTCTATTTTTACGGAATGTGACTGCTGTACTACTTCTTTGCGTCTTCACTCCGGAAATTCTGCTTCAGCTCCACTAAAAATATTCCTAGCCTGCTGCGAGGAGTAAAAACTCTTGTCTCAACCTCTGCTGGCCTCGCGTATGGTGATGCTCTTTCCCATACTAGGTCGCTAGTGCTACCAAAGTGTTTGCTGTGATCCTGATCCTCCTTTTCTTCTCGAAAAAACCTCCTCCGGGATGTCAGTTTTCTTTCTTCTTTCTGCCTTTCATGACGAAAATGCGGGGGAAAATGTCAGTATTCTACGTTACATGCTTCTTTTCTAAGCTTTACTTTGTATTCTAGCACACCGCCGTACTCCGATTGTAAGTCGTCCTAGACTTTGTTCATCTCAAAGTCGAGTTGTCCATACGTGCGTCTTAGTTAGGAAACCGCTCTGCTTCTGTAACAGTCTTGCTGAATCTTGTGTACCGGAGCAGGATACCAACAGTTACTGTTACTTCTATCTTCCCATAAAAAATGTACGAGCCGCGCTCTCCCTCGTAAGGACGTACTTACCTATAGTAACTAGTGTCTGTCACAGGATGCGGAAGTGACGACGACTGGAATCCGATCAGTAGAGATTCCCAATGAAATCTAGTAGATATCCCTGTAGTAGTATTTTATGCTATATTTTCACACATGATCATAGCGCTCCCCCTAACGTGGCGTACAAACTCGTACACCAAAGCGAAAGAAGCATGCCGTCCGTAGGCTCTGAAAACTGCCGGGACGAAAGAGAAGTAGGGAAGAAAAATTATATTTGAAATGACTAAACAGTAACAATCAATGTTCTATGTTTACCCAATGGGGGAATCAATAAATATAACTTCGAGAGTCGTCTAGACGGCTTAAGAGCGGCGTCAAGGTCAAACTGTAGCCTGCACGAAAGAATGCTCTTGGATGTGAAAAAAATCAAACACTTCTTGTTTCATGGAAACTAGAACTGCAGATCCTAGCGGTCGCGCACCCACGCGAGCAGTTGTATCGTATTTGCTGTAGATATGGTTTGATCCGTTTCCGTCCGTCAAGTCAAACATACGGCCTCGTCTCTTTGTACTACCAGCCGATTTCTATGCACTTCCTTGTTTCTCCGCCTCAGGAGCTAGCACAGAAAAATAATATTTTTTGTTCTTAATTTCGATGGAGTTTAAATAGACACGTCGAGCAGCACATGCAAATATGGTAGTGACCATACCAAGTTTTTCTAAAAGGAGCCGTATTGCCGGCCTCCATTGGGCGAATGGAAAGTTTTCTAAAACTAAAAAGGTAATCCCTAAAAACTACGAACTACGTTTTCTACATCTAGTACTTCCGACCCGCCTCCTGTAGGTATGATGATTCATTGGATTTGTTGTTTGTGGTGCGAACAAATGGAGAAATGGTGTGTGTTCCTCTTAAGGCACGAAAAACTGGAAAAAAATCAAGATCGCGATGAAAAAGTGCTTTCATCGCTTCACAGATAATTAATTTTTTCTGCATGAATCAAATGACTAGTGCGTTTAGCTTTCATCTTCATCTGGATAGGAGGATCTGACCAAGCTTCGGAAGTCCATTTACTGACGCGGGATCATATATGAAAAACTTGACAGCTATGAAACAGCACACATGCAAGCGCTCCTGTTGATGGTGTGTTGTCACAACAGGCGAGTCACTGCCGGTATCTGACTGCTGTTGTTGTCAGAATCGTTCTATCTAAGATGGCAGTCTAGGCAGTTCATCCAAGTTTAGATTGGCATTTCCATCTTCCAGTCCTAGGAGCAGGCGATTGTGAACAAAAGTTAGGTGGTGATAGCGTCGACGTGGATCCTAAATACGGATGCATGATCAACCGGAGCTAAACCAATACTGTGCAGCGAACCAGCCGATAAAGAAAATGAAAATCTAGGTCGCCTGAATAGCATAGACCTCGGCGGCATGTTGCTTGCATTGACACTGGGTACGAGCTGAACAAACTATTTGTCCAACGTTCAATTTCTCAAAATCAAGCACTTATTTCGTGTTCGTTAATCTTCGTCATGATCGTGACAAAATGAAGTTTTGTCCGTCTGTTGTACATATACTGATCTGCAAGTAGATGTAGTTGAGCAATTATTCAAAAGATCCATCTCGCGAGAGACTTGCAAGTGTGGCGAGTTTCGTAGCCTACGGGACCTTTTATTTTGGTCCCCAGGCACTTATTCTTCTTGATGATCACGATTGCATTGTCGTCAAAAGAAATGACTGATCCATCTTTTCGCATCGAGGGTGCGCGTCGTCGCACAATCAACCCCTTGACCTTGCGCGGTCCCCAGTAGGCTTCGTTCTTGTCGCGCACGTGACAGGCGCACCGCTGCCCCATCGCCCCATTCCCCTTTTTCTGCCGCTGTTTTGTCGAAAGAAAGGCACAAACTGATACAGGCAAGTCGAAAGCTCCCTGTCATCGCAATGACAGCACGCTGAGCAAGCAAGAATTCGGGGTCAGAATCAATATCAAAATCATAATCAAATGCACCTGACTCAGAAAAAATAAAAACGGCTACACAGCTTTTACAAAAAAAATTTTACCCCGACTGCCGATATTCGCGCCTTGACAATTCCACAATTGTCTGCGCATTTGACCATCGAAGTCAAGCAAAGTCCACCGTAAAGCTGCCGCGAGAGAGCGAGCATGATGTTGATGTGCTAGTATTTGTGTTGATTTTAATTTTATCAGAGTTTTGTCTTGTGTGGTAGTGGTTAGCACATTTGCATACTGTGATGTTGACCAACGATAGAGTGACAGGGGAGCAGTGGTGGAGTAACCGACGATAAAGCAAGATGGGGCAGACGCAAACACAGGAGATCTCTGACAGATGAAATAGCACAGCCAAAACGAGATTTTTTCGATCTTCTGTCTAGAACGTGTAACTGAAAAATGAAACCGAGGAACAAACGTCTACATCACCGAACACCCGGTTTGCCACGTGGCCTATTCATCTGCGCTGGCTCCGCCACGACAACTGCAAACTCTTTTTTCCAACAAGTAGAAATTCACATAGGAGTTTCGGGGTTGCAATCTCACAAAAAGCGGCTGTGTTTTTTTTTTGGAAATTGAAAAGAGCATTTCCAAAATTTTCACCCGAAAAAAGTACTTAGCGAAAACAAAGCCCCTTGTTGCGTCCGAGGGAAAGCGGTTTACGCAAAAAGCCACGATAAGAATTAGAATTCGGGATCATCTGGTGGAAAATCAATCAATCAATCAATCTACATTGCACGGCCTTATGCTAAAACACGAGCGAAAACTCCGAAAAATCTTCTCTCATGTAAAAGCGCGAATCCGTGCCAATCAATCAATCAATCAATCTACATTGCACGGCCTTATGCTAAAACACGAAGGAAATCTTGCGAAGTCTCTCATGTTAAAAGCGCGAATCCGTGTGGGGGCCCGACATTTCACCTATCAACTACCACGTTGTAGCCGATATGTCCCGAAGGACCGGGCTCCGAAGAGCGCTGGGGTAATTTGTCAGGGGCTGATCCGTCGCTCGGAGTCAATGGGGGCGATCATCTCCTAGTTGGAATCAATGGGGGCGATCGCATCCTAGTGTAAAAATGAGGAGGGGATCATGACAAAAATCGCGGATAAACCTGTGACCGAGCTGGGGGGCATACAAAAAATGTGCCAAGGGTGCCGAGCTCCTCAAACTCAGCATGCACCACAGGCCGGCCGGGTGGCCTTTGTATGGAAACTGGCAACAATCTAGCCGCCGAATTTTTGGGCAGCTCGGATTTTCATCTTGTTTCGGATAAGTCTTGCTGTCGCCCCCGACCGCCCTCCGCCGCTGTCACATGTGGAACCACTCCTCGGGAAGGCTTGTATTCCGGGGCGTGTGGAAACACTCCTCGGCGCTTCTGCTTGTACTCCAGGCCAGGGGCGCCGCCGGCCTTGTCCCCGGGCGACGCCCCCCGTGGTGCTGTTGTTGTTGTTTTTGTGTCGTTGCAGTATCTGTCTTACCGTGTATCCCATGTGTTTACGCATGCTCTTTTGCCTGCCCGAGACCGAGCGCGCGGTCCCCTGCATGCAAGAAAGAGGCTTCCTGCCTCCTGGGCGAGGCATGGGACAACGACGAGCATGCAAGGACCGACTCTAATTCCGCATGACAAAGTCAAACTAGCACTAGCAAAAAGAAAATTTTTGTCCCTGATCTCCTGCAGGCAGCAGTCAGCGTGGCGCGGAGGAACTGCTTCTGCCGTCCCTCCCCCACGTCCCGGTCTCGCACTCTTCCCTGGCCTGATGTACGCTGAAGCAGAGAGGGGGACGAAACACGACGGTGACAAAATCAATCAATCAATCAATCTACATTGCGCGGCCTTATGCTAGAACACGAGCGAAAACTCCGAAAAATCTTCTCTCATGTAAAAGCGCGAATCCGTGTGGGGGCCCGACATTTCACCTATCAACTTCCACGTTGTAGCCGATATGTCCCGGAGGACCGGACTCCGAAGAGTACTGGGGTAATTTGTCAGGGGCTGATCCGTCGCTCGGAGTCAATGGGGGCGATCATCTCCTAGTTGGAATCAATGGGGGCGATCGCATCCTAGTGTAAAAATGAGGAGGGGATCATGACAAAAACAATCAATCAAAGCGCGAATCAATCAATCAATCGTTCTTTAATGCACTAGCCTTTGTCTATCACGAGCGGAAGATTTCTCTAACTCTCACGACGGAACGCGCGACCAGTGTGCGGGCCCGACTTTTCACGCTGAGAAACCGCACACGCACAGATTGTGTACGGCCCACCTGGCAAGAGCCCACCGGGAAGACCCGAAGATCAAGAGCCCAGCAGGAAGCCCGGCAGCTAACAAACGCTAATTGATCAGGTGCGTATCCGGCGCAGTGAATCAATGGGGCCGATCATCATCGGTTTTTGGAATCAATGGGGGCGATCACATCCTTGTTGAATCAATGGGGGCGATCTCATCCTAGTGCGAGCGAGGATTTTGCATGCAAATTTCCTTGGATAAACCTGTGACCGAGCTGTGGGGGCATGCAAAACCGCGCCCAGGGTGCTGGGCTCCTCAAACCTAGCGGGCTCCACAGGCCGGCCGGGTGGCCTTCATATGAAAATTGGCAGAAATGCGCCACAAACCGGGCAGCTCGGATTTCCATCTTGTTTTGGATAGTTCTTCCGACGTCCCCGACCGCCCCCCGCCGCTGTAACGTGTGGAACCACTCCTCGGGGACGTTGTTGGCGCTCGCGCTTGCGTTCCGGGTCGGGGGCGTCGCCAGCCGTTTCCCCCAGGCGACGCCCCCCGTGGTGCTGTTGTTGTGATTTTTGTGTTTGTTGTAGTATCCGTTCGTATCTAGGGCGCGATGCGAGCAGGTTCTGCGCCTTTGTCCACAGCTTATTCCTTTCCAAGTCGTGTCAGAAGAGGGTACTTCAAAACTCTAAGAGGAACTGTAAGACAAAGTATGAAAGGGGGCAAAAGGTTTTTTCTCTAAGTTTGCTTGTCGGTGTTTGCTAAAAGTAGCCCTGTCGTTGAATAAAAGATAAAAGATGAAACCACTGAAAACTACTAGCACACTTCGATCGTTTCACTTTCATTGTCAGGTAAGCATTTATGATTTGAATCAGTACTACTTGCTGCTGAAACTTTGAAAGTCATTTACAAGCTTAACTCTGCTTCTTTGTTTATGTAGGCATGCAGATCAAATTACCATGTAGATCTCATGACACGATGCAAATCCCACTCGAAATCCACGATCTGAAATCACATCATGAGCGAAGAGCGATGGTACAGAGCGATGACGAAATGATGATGATGATGAACTTGTTCCTTTCCCCGAATGCAACAGTAACGTGGATGCTAGAACTTGTAGGTTGTCTACCGGCCTACGTGGTAGTTTTAGTGTTCTAACAATCTTGAGCCCTGTGCTTAGAGAGCTAAACCCCCCGGGTTTAGTTATAATTTTTTTGTTTATCCCCTTGAGTTTTACACTTGGACGCGCCTAGTTTTAGACTTTGAAAAATTTCGAAAAACTAGGAACCACAAACATGGCCACCGGCAACGAGAAGGATCCCCCGCCGAAGATGGCCACGAAGTTGGAGGCGGCGGAAGATTGGGCGCGCTGGAGTTTTGACCTCTTCCGCATCTTGGAAGGGTACCCGCGCAACCCGCCCCCGACCTCCACCGCCGTCGGCGCCTCCTCTTCTTCCTCCGCCCCGTCCTCGGGAGCTGGTACAGCCTGGAAGGATTGGGCCGAACTTTATGCGGATTACCGGAAGGATATCGCTAGCGGCACGGATATCCCGACCGCCTTGGCGAAAATCGAAACCGCTCCCAGTTGGAACAGCTGGACCGCGAAACCGCTCGCCGCCATGATTTCGCAAAGTTGTGGACCGGACCCCCACCAAATTTTGCGCGCGATCACCGGCCCGCAGCCTACGCACCTGCTTCGCATGGTTTGGGCGCTCGAAAATAAGTACGCCAGTCAGAAGATGGCCACCCGCTTCGCTGCTGTCGTGGAACTTATCCGCATGCGGATGAACCCCGGCGAGTTTGCGGACGAATACGCTAACCGCGTGCGCGCTGTCTTCCGCGAGAAGCTTGGCGGAAAAATTTTGCTGCCTGAGTTCTTAGCCGGCTGCATTTTGTCCGGACTTCCCGACAACTTCGCCCCGACCGTTGCCACGCTCATGGCCAACGAGGTGACCGACGCCGATCGCATCACCACCACCCTCCGCGAGTTCCAGCGCGTTGCCGGCGAAACCAAGACCGAAGACAGCAAGGCCAACAGCGCCAAGGTTGTCGCCTTGGAGAAGAGCCAGGAAAAATTGCGGAAGGAGTTGGCAAGCGTTAAGGCGATCGCCAACAAAGGCAAAGGCAAAACGCAGAAGCCGGAGGACACCCAGAAGGCTAAGCGCTGCCAATTTTGCCGGCACAAGGGCCACGACGTGAGCGAGTGCCGCAAGAAGAAGGCCGCCGACGCGAAGAAGACCGCGAGCGGAACCCCGCCCGGCACCGGTAAGAACAAGAAGGCAGGAGCGAACTGCGCGCGCGTTTTCCCGCTGCAGGTCACCGCCGAGGACGAAACCACCAACAAGCGCCCGCGCGCCCGGTCGGGTTCTTTGTCTTCTGTTGCCTCCCTGCTCTCCTCCTCGGAATCCCAGGAGCAGACGACCGCGAGCAACACCAAGAAGGCAAACACCAACAGCGCCGCCGCTGTTGTCGTCCACACCGCCGAAAAGAAGACCGCGACCGCCCCCGTCCAGCTTCCGGAGCTGAATGGGATCACCAACGGCGTCACGGTGGGAAAGAAGAAAAACACGCCTTGGGGCTTGTCGGATACCCTGCCCATGTTTGTGCGCGAGCACGAGCATCGGATGGCCACCGATGAGAACTATGCGAGAAAGGCGGTCGAGTTGCCTTACACTCTTGCAGGAGAAAAGGCGGAACAAGTTCGAAAGTTCTACGAAACGCGTCAACCACAGCAAAACAAGAACAGTGTGAACCAGGGATACTGCGAGCGTGCTCCGCTCGGTGTGCGTTCTCCGCACCTAAAAACAGTCAATTTTTACTTGGCCAGTGTTCTGCTCGCTCTGCTTCTGTCGGTTTTGTGGTTCTTCGTGTTTGTGTGTTTTACGTTTTTGAACTGCCCCACCCTCGTGATTGGAAGTCCAATCTACCGATTTACATCGTGTCTTGTGAGAGCTGCGATGCAAATCTGGAATCTTTTCGGTCCCTGCCCCCCCAAGATTTTGAAGAAATTCGGAATCTCACTCCCCCGGAATTCTTTCAAGAAATTGAATTCCAGGAGGTTGCTACGACTTCCCTCGTATGCCGCCGGTTGTGCCGCGTATACGAGTCTTCCGAACGTCCTTAACTCCTCCAGGCACGCGCGCGCGCACTTCGTGCAGCAGCCGAAAGCCAAGGATGGACTTCGAGTTTTGAAAGTCATCACGGACAGTGGTGCTACGCACCACATGTTCCCGCATGAGTCAATGTTTGAGAGCTTTACCGGAGAAACCGTGAGTCTCGCAACAGCTGACGGCGAATGCTCTGAGCCTGCGAAAATCGGAATTCTTAAGCCCAATAACTTGGGTGCCCGGGTTGCGTTGTACCACCCTGCGTTGCAGGTTTGCCTGCTTTCTGTCGAAACGATGGCGCAGGATGGTGGATCGTACTACCACGCGAAAGAAGAACGATGGATCCAGGACGCTTCGGGCTATCGTCACACGGTCAAAATACGTCAAAAGCTTCCTTGCGTGGGTTTCTACCTCTTGGAAGGCGAGGCGTTGGCGAACGTGATTGGAAACCAGAACTCCTGCTCCGCCTTGCGGTTACACCAAAGGCTTGGGCATTTAGGAGTTCAAGGCATCAAGGTTCATTGCCCTGACTGCGCTGTTTCTAAGTCCTATGGTTCTCAACAGCATCGAAAGGTCCGCCCCGCGACCTATCTCCACAAGGAGTGGATGGACCAAGTTGAGACGGATTTCTTCTCCGGAGGATTACCCGCTTCCATGGATGGGAACACAATCTGCATTACGCTCCGGGACTCAGCCACAGACTGGCTCGAACCTTGGGGCATTACAGACAAAGCGCAATGTGGCAAGGTCCTTCGGGACTTTGCGACACAGGTCGGGGTCCCCAAGGTCGCTCGTTGTGACAATGAGCCCGTGCTCAAAGGCATGGAAGGACCATGGAAAGAAGCCTGTCGGGAAATCAATTGCGTCGCTGGCCACAGCGTTCCACGAGAGCCGCAAGGCAATGGGAACGTGGAGCGCTGGCACAGAACCCTTGGGGACGGTCTTCGGGCCAGCCTTCAAGGAGTAGATCCCCGGCTCTGGGATTGGTGTGCGCGCTACGTTGCGTATGTCAAGAACCGAGTGCAGCGGAAAACCAAGTTCCCCGCCCCTTTCTACAAGCGTTTTGGTCGTCAGGCCGATGTCAAACACCTTCGCCGCTTTGGGTGCGTTGCGTACGTTCGCAAGCACATTCCAAGCGACAAAGCCGAGAGCACGAAGTTGGTTGACCGCTATGAAAAGGGAATCTTCCTCGGATACTCCAGGGAGTCAAGCTCGTACGTGGTAGGTGTTTTCCACCATGATGCACGCGCAAAGAGCGGCCAGAGATGGACGACAGTCGAATCTCGGTCGGTCAAGTTCGACGAGGACACGTTAGTGCCCAACGTCAACGCCCTTCGGAAACCGGATAAAGAACCGTCGCAGAGGCAAGCCCCAAACGCCGACGATTCCGCTGGAGCAGTGAGAAGCGATTCCGATCGCCTTCGCGCCGCGCTTGAGGAAGTCGAAAAGCGTTGGAAGCAAACTTCTGAGGGGGTTGAAGAACCGGCTCTGAAACGGAGAAAAACGGAGTCGCCCCCCCCGGCGCCGGAAACGGCCCAGGGCGGAGACAAAGAAAACGAGTCTGCCGGAAGTCCCACCGACGGCGACGGCCGTGGTGCGGCGCCCGCAGATGGTCCCGCGCAGGAATGAGGAAACTCAGCTCCTGTCGCCCCACATGTTGCGCCCCAGGTAGCGCCGCCGGACGTTTCAAATTTGATCGTTGACGACCTCAACCCCTACACGTTAGTGGAAAAAGACGGCGTCACCATCAAGAAAAGAAACCGTCGCGGACGGCCCAATGGTCTTACTCGCGCACAATGTCCCCACTGGCTTAAGCCCGGTCGGAATCCCAAGCAGCCAACTGCTTCGGACCTTGTGCAGCCCCTTCGAGATCAGCCCCAGGGCAATGGCGCAAAAGCAATTCTTGAAAATGAAGTCGCTAGTGCGTTTGTTGCTTCTCGAGTTTTTGATCAAGAGAAGGATGGCGAGGCGATTTGTTGGACAGTACAAGTCACCAGGGTGGAGGCGTTTACAGGACCAGACGCCGCCAAATGGCTGGAAGCTGATACGCTAGAGCGTACACAGCTAGAAGCACTTAAGTGCTGGAGGCCGTTACAAGATGGCGAATTCGGTAAGGACGACGAGATCATCCCGGCCGTTGTGATTTACACTCGCAAACGGTGCGGAAGATTCAAGGCCCGCCTTGTTGCACTCGGAAACCGCCAGACGAAAGTCATGCGCGCCGAAGTGTTCTCCCCGACCGTTTCCCATGCCGCGACCCGCACCCTTTTGGTTGATGCCGCCGCTTCGGCTAAGTTCGTTGAACAATTCGACATCTCGAATGCGTTCATCCGTTCTGCCTTAGACGAATCGGATAGAGTCTTTGTTCGCTTACCCAAACACTGGCGCACGGATCCCCGTGGCGACAAAGTCAGACTTTTGAAATCCTTATACGGACTCAAAATCGCGCCACGCAAGTGGTATGATACGTATGCCGCGTATCTTCTGGAAGACGGCTGGAAACGCTGCCCCCAGGAACCCGGACTATTCAAGAAGAATGGGCTGACGCTGGCCATCTACGTTGATGACTCTCTCATCTCGGGCGAGAATTTCGACGAGGTGTCCGCTGCCTGCGCCCGTATCCTTGGTAAGTTCGAAGGCAAACTTATCCCCGCAGAGAAAGAAGGCTCTTTCGATGTTCGGGATATCCTTGGCGTTCGTATGCGTTACGATCGGCAACGGAAGACCTTGCGTCTTGATTTGGAGAAAGCCATCAAGAAGCTCGCGGAAAAGTTCAAAATCGATGCTGGGAAGCCACTTTCCACGCCGTGCGTTTACACCGACTTTGATGAAGGAAAGCCGCTGCCGGATTACCCGCTGCGTAGCCTCATCGGAGGGCTGCAGTATATTGCAACCATGGCCCGCCCAGATTGCATGTTCGCAGTGAACAGGGTCGCTCGAGCCCAAGTCAAGCCTACAGCTTCTGTCGTGACAGCGGCAAAGCGCGTAGTCAGGTACTTGCTGCAGACTTCTCATGTCGTTCTAGAGTACACACCGGAACGGGAGCGAGAATTTCGCAAGCAATATACCGAAGTGCTTGAAGAGCAGAACTCCAAACAGTCCCTCCCGGACTTTGTGGGATTCAGTGACGCAGATTTTGCTGGGTGTTCCGTCACCCTCCGCAGCAGCAGTGGAAGCGTTCTCTTTTTCAGGGGCATGCCTATCGCTTGGTCTAGCAAGCGCCAGACGCTTCGTGCATACTCAACATGCGAGAGCGAGTGCATTGCCCTCTTCGACACGTTGAAGCTATCGCAGGCCCAGGGGTATCTGGAGTGGCTCGATGAAAGTCAGTCTCTGCCCGGTATTCTCTTTGTGGACAACAAATCTGCAATCGAAGTTGCGCGCTCGGAGTTACCAACCAAGAAGACGAAACACTTCTTGCTCCGTTTTCATGAAGTCAAGGATCACGTCGAAAACATCGCGCACGTACCCACCGGCGTGAACAAGGCTGATCCCTTGACCAAACCAATGGGAAGTCCTTTGCTGTGTTTCCACGCGTGCGCCCACCCGTCTATTGACTTAGATGATAGCAAGATAGGTCTTCCGGCTGTCTACGCCGCTTCGATTTTCGAATCGTAGTCCATCTTCCGCGTGTCACACTCGAAGGCTACACATGCCTGCGGAATTGTGTAGGATTCTAGTGCCCGTCTGATTTTCCTTCATCCGCGCCCGAAACTTCCACAAGTTTCTGAGGGGGGGAGGTTTTTCATCAGTTTCGTGGTTTTTCTTTGTGCCGTAGCCATGAGAGATTTTTGCAGTCTCGTCGTGTTGAGCCAAAGACGCTAGATCTATGCTTGCATTTGGAGCGAACCATCATCATAGCATCGGGATTCAGTGGATTTGCGCATCACAGTGTCTATTTCTAGGATTTTGCAATACCTGTGTTCTATACTTCTGTGACTATCCACTACTCCAATATCGTTCCATCCTGTCACTAGGGGGAATGTAGGCAAGTGAATAGTCATGAGGGGGAATGTAGGCATGCAGATCAAATTACCATGTAGATCTCATGACACGATGCAAATCCCACTCGAAATCCACGATCTGAAATCACATCATGAGCGAAGAGCGATGGTACAGAGCGATGACGAAATGATGATGATGATGAGCTTGTTCCTTTCCCCGAATGCAACAGTTACGTGGATACTAGTGCTGTAGGGTGTACACCGCCCTACATGGTGGTATTAGTGTTCTAACAGTTTACTATACCTTCAAAAACTGTTTTCATTCTGAGATGTGCTTGCTTTCTTCTACTTCTTGTTCAGATTTGATAAGATTGCTGCCTCTTGCCACACCTCACTATCAACATCACCTCTTCCCCCCTGCTTCTTAACTCCAGCCTCTGACTTGGCACGCGGTTCCAGTTTAACTTTTCGTAAAAAATCCTCCTCTGCTCCCCTGGATCCGCTCATCACGTCATCTCCATCTGCGGGTTGGTTGCTGGGTTCCCGGTGCTGTATCATAGATGAAGAGGAGGAAGAGGAGGAAGAAGTGGAAGCACTGTTGTCGATTTTTCGCTGCTTTGTTTTAGGCTGCTTAGCGCAGGACTCCTCGTGATTCTCCATTCTGCGGACCCTACCGCACTTTTCCGCATACGTTAGTCGTGTGTTCCAGTCGGTGGACCAGGTGTCGCAAGTTCTGCAGAAGATCTTCATGCCTTCGCAGCGCATGTCTGGCGGCGGCACCACCATCATCTTTTTGAACCTCCCGGCTTGGTTTTGGAAACTCTGCGTCTGGCTTCTTTCGTTGTAGAATTCCTCAGCTGGGTGCCACTTCCACGACTGGTCTTGGGCGATTTTTACAAAGCGTCCTTCGTCATGCTTTAACATATGCTGCTGCATGGCTTCAATCGGCGCAGAGAAGTCTTTTTTGCAAATCGCACACCAGTAAACCCCTGTAGACCTTTCGTGAAGTGTGTCACCATGCTGCTGTAGGATTCTATTCTTCCGCGTTTCGCGCTCCTTCCGAAGTTCGGCGTCAATCGTTTCTCCTCTAGTTTCAATCTCCCTGCAGTGCCAGTCGTCATCCAGGGCACCTACTGCACCATGCTCCTCCCTCCAATGCCTCCAATAACCACCGTTGATGAACTTGCTACAAATTCCACATCTTGCTCCGCTTCTCGGCTCCGCGCTGTTTCTCAAACTATCACCCGGTCGAATTCCGTACTTCGTCTCGAGGTGAAGCCGCATTTTCTCCCTCTCCTCTACTTCATTGTCTTCAAGGTGCCCATTGCCAAACCAATCCCTCAAACACTCCCGGACAAAGACGCCCCTCGTTGCTCGGTAGTAAAGCTGCTTGTCCCTGCAGACCAGAAGAATGTCGTCGTGAAGAATACCACAATCCTCCGTCAAATGCGTCAGAACCTCCTCCAAAACTTCCCGTCTCTTCGTCTTGGTGGCTTCGTGCTGTTTGGCGCCCACCATGAACCACTCGCCCGCCCCATCACTCCTTTTCTTTGGAAAAAATCGCCCCAGCAGCGCCTTTCTTGCTGGATTCGATGCGGGGGAGCGCATCAAATGCCCAAAGTGCGACGCTTTTTGGAACAGAATCTCCGAGCGAAGGGGGGGAAGCTGTATCTGCTTGCGCAGGTTCGGCATTGTTACCCCCATCAACATCATGAGTGGCTTATTTGTGCCATTGAGGCAGCGCAGGATTTTGTTTTCACAAACTTCCAACTCACTGTACTCGTCGTTCATGAAGCTCCTCGCAGCAGCGCCATAGGTCAAGCGGCTACGCACCAAGGAGCTGACCAAAAAAAAAGATTGACATATGAAAATTGGGTCGTAGAAACTATCAAGTGATTTTTTTCTAATTTCCTCCTTGTCTCGAGAGACGGTAACTTTGAAACTGCGGGTAGTTCTTTTGATAAAACTGCAAAATTACTGTTTACTTTAGGAGCTGAAAAGAACGCCCCTTTGGGAAGGGAGCGCGTATGAGGTTGAAACTTGTTCGTAAACTTTTGATAAACTATCATCTAATGTACTAGTACTCGGAAAAACAAAAAGACCTACTACTCTAGGTAGAAAAAAAATGAATGTGTGCAAACAGAAATAGAATTGCGAGTGCGCTTCTTAAGGTGAGCAAACAGAAATAGAAAAACAAGTAAATGCATATGAAAAAAATAGGTCTAGTTAATTCTAGTATGTGAATTTACTGCTAGCGTGCCGCGTCCGTGTCATCAAGAACAACTTCTCAGTTATTCTTCCCTTGCTTTTTTCTTTGTCTGCTTGGCTGTTTTCGTCATCAGTTGTGTCTTACTGGTCGCGTTTTTCTTGGTGAACGTGGGCTGCGTGCTGATGCGCTTCGGTGGGGACGTGTCCTTGCTCTCCTTCTTCCGGGGCTTCGGGACCGGTTTCTGGCTGTAGTTGGACAGCGACTCCTGGTCCTCCGCGCTGCCTCCCAGCAGCTCCATAATCTTGTTCATCTTCCGGTCGGCCTTCCGCCGCTCGTGCGCCTTGGCGGCGAGCAGCAGCGCGTGCCGCTTCCCCTCGTCCACGTTGGCCACCTCTTTCGCGTCGTCCGCCTCGGAGGTGTCGGCGAAACAGGCCACGGTCGTGTTCACGAGAAACAACAGAATCGCGAGGTGCACGAAGCCCAGGGGGAACGCGACGACTTCCTCCCACGTTTTGGTCTCGTCCCCGTTCTTGACGCGCCAGATGGACAGCCCGATGTAGAACGCCCAGAGACTGATCAGGTAGGTGCCGCTGCTGATCTGGGCCGCCTTCGGGCCGCCGAGCTCGCCGCCGTACTGGCAGCGCCGCTGGTACAGGTGGTACAGCGATAGAATCGCGGTGATGGTGAAGGTCATCACGGAAAAGGTCAGCGCCCCGGCCGGGTACTGAAGCACGTCCAGGCCGTCCTGCTTGTCAAAGACGGTCGTTCTCGCAGACCCATCCGGGTTCCTGGAGTAGTCCACAACACCGGTTGCTTTGTTATCCGCGCCCAGCTCTGCGTATCCCGTGAGATCTTTGAGGTACTCGTGGTAGATCGCACCGATCAGCATCGGGAGCCCCAGCCCCAGGAAGACGTTGACGGAATTGGAGCCGGTCACGTTGCCGACCGCGTCATCCGCGTTCTCCTGTTCCTTGGCGGCGGACATAGAGGCGAACAGGTCCGGCACCGAGGTTCCGAGCGCGACGAAGGTGATGGCGGTGATCGAGTCCTCCACGCCGACCACGCAGCCGAACACCGAGGCCACGTCCGCGACGAAGGCCGTCATGACGCCGATGATGATCAAGATCGTGACGAAGCTGAGCCACCCCCCGAACAGCATCGAGGGGGGCGAGAACGCCATCAGGAGCTTCCAGGGCAGCATGACGTAGTGGAGCACGACGGCCCCGCCGTCCGCGTGCTCCGCGGCCTGGGGGTCGCCGCCCACGTAGAAGGCCTCCAGGAACTGGTTGGCCCACTCGTTCTTCCCGGTCAGAATCTGCCCCACGTCGCAGCAGTGGTCCAGCATCCCCAGAATGCCGTGGCCCGCGCGCCACAGGTTCGGGTCGCCGTCGGGCAGCACGTACACCGTCATCACGTTCGCGTCCTCGCCGCCGTCCGCGTCCGCGTCGAAGGTCGGCCACGGCAGCTCCCAGTCCCGCGAGGTGAGCTCGATCTTGTCCATCACCACGTAGAAGTAGTCGGGCGTGCTGTCGTGCGGGTGGCGGCCCTTGATGCCCAGCTTGCACTCGACGATCGTTTCCCCCTCCTCGAACTCCAGCGTCTCGCCGTCCACCGGCTCGTAGTCCGTTCCCGGGAGCCCCGAGCCCTTCTCCGTGTGGTAGCTCACCTTGCAGCTGCCCGCGTTCCCGTGCACGCGCAGCGCGTAGGTCATCACGTCCTGCTCGTGCTTGCTGCCCGGCACGATCATCTGTTCCTCGCAGAACAAAACCTCCCCGCTGCGGAACGCGTACTCCTCCTCCGGAACCACGTACACGCGGCACACCGGGTGGTGGTTCACCACGGCCAGGCAGGGGATGTCGTGCTGAATCACCTCGTCGTCCGCGATGTGGTGCGAGGTTCTCTCCCGCGTCGGCAGGTGCTTGTTGTCGACCGCGCGATGCGCATTGCTCTCGTAGTAGTACTGCTGCTTCAGCATCTGCTTCTGTCGCGGAGCCTTGTTTTGGTTCGTCGACGTAGACGTTCTTCCGTGGCGGGAAGTACTAGACCGGGCCGCGCCTGACCCACGAAGGTGACCACGAGCAGCTGCGCCGTGCTTGGTGGAAGAACCCCACGAGCTTGTGGACACGAGCTCCACGTCCCCAACTTCCACGACGGCGTGCATCTCGTGCGCGCCCTCGGCGTACTCCGGTTCGGCCTCCACCTCGTGCTCCGGGTGCTCTCCGGACTCGGCGCCGTCGTAGTCTTCCGGCGCTCCTCCTGCGTCCTGCTCGTAGTCCCCCTCGCCCTCAGGCTGCTCCTCGTCGTAGTTGTTGTGCTCCTCCTCCTCCCCGTCCTCCAGGGCGTAGTGCGCCTCGCCCTCCCCCTGCGCTGCACCATCGTAAACGCTGTTCCACCGGTCGTCGTTGTCGTCGTCCCACTCCTCCTCGGGCTGGCGCTCCAGCGGCTCGTTGTCGTCCACCCAAATCTGCGCCCGGTCGAAGAACAAATCGACGTACTGGCCCACGGACTGCGACCCGTCCAGCTTCACCTCCAGCATCTGCACCTTCCCGTTGTACCGGTCCGTGTTCTTGCGGAACTCCACCGGCTTCTTGTGCAGCTCCTTCATCCAGGCCCCGTACCCGTAGGCCTCGCTGGTCACCTGCACCGACGACACCAACTGGGCCTCGAAGTTCTGCTGCGGCACGCCCATGTGCGTGCTGCCCAGGTGGATCTGGCGCGTGACCGGGATCTTCACCTTCATCCTCCGCCCCGCAGGCACGATGACGAAATCGGTCGCGGCCCCCATCTCGAACAAAATCTTCTTCTGGAACTCCGTTTCCTGGTGCCGGTGCGGCACGAAGGTGGGCGGGTGCTTGAAGATGATGGTCTTGTTCGCGAACTTGCTCTTGTCGATCACGCTCACGCTCTCGCCCTTCTCCGCGGCCGCCTTGTGAAAGTCCTGCACGAGCGTCTTGCCGCCCTCCGACATGACCACGTCGATGTTCTTCGACAACGCCAGCCGCTCGCGCATCATCGACGCCTGGATCGTCCTCGGGTTCAACGATTTGGCGGTCAGCATCTTGGTCGCCTCCATCCGCAGCTCCGCGCGGGACCGCCGCTTGCCCTTCAGGGTGGACTTCGCCTCCTGGTGGCTCGCGTTGGCGGCGTTGTGGTCGTGCGGGGTGAGGTCCACGTGCGAATCCTCGTCGTGCCGCAGCCGCATCTGCACGATTACGTCGAAGATCTCCGACGGCTTCAGCTCCTCGAAGTGGTGGCCCTGCCGCGTGAAAAAGTGCAGCACGTAGTTCGCCGCGTCCTCCGGGCTCTCGCCCGTCAGCTCCTCCAGCACACCGGTGTCGTTGATCAGCTTCTTGATCAGCAACACCTCCTGGTCCGCCTTCTCCGCGGCCTTGGTGCGAATGGAGTCCTCGTCGGAGTCCGCGGAGTGGCCGTCGCCGAACAGCGCGAGCAGCAGCACCGTCGGCTTCACGTAGCCAATGTCGGCCGCGTACGCCAAAACCGCAAGCAGCGGGAAGAACATGAAGGTGATCACCGCCTCCGCCAGCGTCACCTCGTCCGGGCTGGTCATGGTGAGGATCACGATCAGCCAGAGGTAGGCGAACACCGAGAAGAACGCGGTCACACAGTAGGGGTCCACGGACTCCACCTTCCGGATCTCGCCCGCCGGGATGCTCATCACGCAGACGCCGATGATCACCATCAGGTTGAAGGCCGCCGACCCAACGATCGTGGACGGCCCGAGCTCCCCGGACTTGAAGTCGTTTCCGAACAGTTCCACGACGGAAAGCAGAATTTCCGGCGCAGAGGAACCCAGAGCCATCAGGGTCAGGTTCGCAATGGTGCTGTTCCACACCTTGTGCGTCACGTGCTTGGCCTGGCGCTCGCCGTTGGCGTCCACGATCTCGATTGTCACCATCTTGCGGCTCGACGTGATCGCCTCGATGGACTCCATGAACAGGTCCGCCGCAACGGCAATCCCGCAAAACAACCACACCAGCGCAGCTGTGTACGCGATGGCGCGCGGGTAAGTGCCTGAAGTTGAAGTGGTAGAGAGACGAGTTTGATGAAGTTTTTTATTTGACGAGTCCATTTGTCCAGGAATGTATGTAAGGTTCTGAATCATTTTGAAACGCATAGAAGAGTGACACGAAAACTATGGAAAGCAGAAAAATACCGAAATTTAAAGCCTCGCTGTCGCCGCCCCAGGGAATGCCGGTCATCCCTGCTTCACCGCCGACTTCGCAAATTGCCGGCTTCACAGTGACGATGACCGTCGTCGTAGCAGTTGCTGAAGTTAGGTGCCGATGTTGGGGCTCCACAGCGGTGTTTAAGATCAACTGCAACGCGTTGTCCATGGTCTCCGCCAAAACGCGTTTGACACTCTCCACAGGCACCATTCCCCCGCTTGCCTGCGCACCACTGGCTTCCATCATGGCGGCCGTGGAGTCGTAAAAATTTACACTGCTGTCGGGAACAGGCATTCTTACACCTGTTGTGACCCGGGCAAGTGATCAAATAAATTACGGAAGTAGTTTGTTCTTGTTTATTCACTTTCAATTTGTTCTTGTTTATTCACTTTCAATACGTCAAAGGGTAATGCGTCTAAATTGGGAAGGGACAACCAATGTATGAAGATACACTGTAAGAAATGAAAAAAGAGGTTCTGACAAGATGACGATCAGAAACTAGCTACTGCTGTTCGGTCTGATGTCAACGATTCTACTTGAACGAGACGGACGGATTTTCTTTGATATCATGGGACGAGAACGAGTCGGCGCTTGCACGAAACCGACATTACAGTCCTGAAGCTCAACGCATAATTTTCTATTGCTGAGATGAGGCAACAAGGTAGGAACGAAACGCACGCGTGAACCGAAAGATGTTCTTAGCAGTCATTGCAGCAACAAAACCGATGTGGACGATACAATGGATGCAACTTCACGACAGACAGTGCGCAATCAAGCAGTTTTTTTGTAACGACCGAACCTTACGGTAAAGGACGACCAAGCCAGTTGTGGAGGTGGGTTGTGAGCTGTACAGACAGAACGCACCGACAGACTTCTTTGTCTCTCGAAGCGGAAATTTGCAACGGAACGAAATCTTCTTTTCCACGCGACGTTGTAACGAACAGACAGCACAGGTACCATCCCATCACAAACTGCTTACCTATTAGAAGTCATCGTAGTCTAGTGTGGAAAACGCAAACACAGGGCTGTTCCTGGAAAAAAAAATGCAAGTGCAACATCCTTGAGCAGCGTGCTCGATGTAACGCAGTATCTTGTTTCATCCACCCGTTTCTACTCTACCACCTCCTCTATCGTGCTGCGCTCCCAGCAGCACTACCGCTCCCGGAGGCTGCAGCTTCTTCGGCAAACTCCACGGCGGACGGCAGGTCGGGCAGGGCCACATCAGCCCCCGACGTGTCGAAGCCGAAGGGGTTTGCCGCCGCCCCCGCGTCGGCCTTCGCCGCGGCTTCGGCGGCAGCAATGGTGCCGACGTTCCCGTTCAGCTGTTCCGCCACGTGCTGGTACTTGATGGCCTCCACCTTCAGCGCGTCCGCCTGCTTCATCAGTTCGTGGGCGGTATTCAGCGTCATCTTCGCGTCGTACGCCCGTCCGTAGAACGCGTACAGCTGCGCCTGCTTCGCCGCCCGAATCGCGGTCTTCTTCAACACCCCGACCTGCTTCGCCGCGTTCTTCGCCCGCACCCAGAAATCCACGACGGACCGCGCCTCCTCCTTCTTCGCGGCCGCCACCGGTTCGACTGCCGCCTCCTCGGCCTTCTTCACCCCCTCCACGACAGATTTCATCCGGGCGACGATTTGCTGCTTCACGCCTGCGGCGACCTTCCCGAGATCATCCCGGTCCGCGCGGATCGCCGCGGTGGTCGCTTTTACTTGTTCGGCCTTCAAACTTTTCGCCAGCGGTTTTTCAATCTTCCTAATTTCTGCTCCGTACACGGTCTCGGTTCGCTCGGCGATCTTGTAAATCTTCTCGAACTGCAGCTCGTTCGCCACCTGCAGCTGCTCGGCCTTGCTCTTCAGAGTCGCGAACTCCGCCTGCAGCTTGTGGATTTCCGCGAGCTTGTTGGACACCTCCGTGGACGTTTTCAAGATCAGATTCTCTGCCTTGGCCGCGTGCAGGTCCGCGGTCAGCTCTATTACAATGAAAAATGCCCCCTCCCCATATCAAAACGGAAATCTGTGATGCAGATTTGTGGTCACAAATCAGCTTTGTGATGCTAGAAGGCAAAAGATGCGGGCTGTAGTGCTGTCTAGCGTGGGAAAGCCTTGCAGCTCCAGGATGACAGGAGGCAACTGGAAGTGGGAAACAGCGTGACAGATTACCTGCAACTTAGGCCGCAGCTTCGTCTCTTGGCCTTCTAGCAATACAAGTCGATTTGTGTACTCAAATACAGCACCACAAATTCGCACATCTTCCGTTTCCGATATGGGGTGGGGGCTTTTTTCGCTTTGATAAGCTCCTGCACATCCTCGCTCACCTCCTCCACGCTCGGGGGTTCGGGGGAAACCTTAATCTCGTCAATCTCCGTCGGGTCCAGCTTGGCGGAAGTCGCAAGTGCAGTTCTCCGGGCAACCGCAAGTGCAGTAGCTCCGGGCAAAGTGAAGAGACAAACAGGAGTAAGCAAAAAAGAACAAAGACCGCTTGATGTTGCGGGGACAGCACACAGGCGAAGCAGGACTCGTCGTCGGAAGGGCAACGAGTCCTGCCCCATCTTCCACGGAAAGTGAGAGTAGCGGGTCTACTTCCTGTTGAGTTCAGAATAATCTCCGGAGTCAATGTTGGCGTCACGACTCTTCACGTCGCGCGATAAGTACTTGTTCCTTCGATAACAGCACTTAACAGGCAGCGTTCACCTGCTGTTGAGAGAGAACAACAGTTCCGGCTCAATTTCGTCCTGGATTTTCGCGTAGCGTGGTCCGTTCCCGTGCCGGAGGTACCTTTTCGCTATCCTGGTGTGGTTAACACTTGCTTGTTCTTCCATTTTTTGCAAAACACGAAGAGCAAAAGGCTCTCTCGATGTCCAAAATCAAAATAAAAAGCTCTCGAGGAGGGTGAAAGACAAGCTGCGCAAGTGCAACCACGTTCGCCCGGCGTAATAGATAAGTATAGAAATCTTGAGCGCATTCTTCACGACAAAACCATCCTGATATCAAAAAGGAGGAGAAGGCACAGAGGCCTTGCAATCAGTCGATAATGTAGAAAGCGCTCAAGTAGATTGCTTAGGAAACTTAACGCTGTGAAAAAGCCTTGGCTTCTGGTAGAACTAGAGATGAGGTGAATTGCATTTGTAGTAATAGAAGGAGTAAGTATTTAGAATTCTCGTGGTCGGTACGCACGGCAAGAAATTGTAGTTGAAACGTGGATATTCTTTCAAGCTTAAGTTAAAAAGTATTTAGAAGTAGAATTCTTCTTTGCCCGTCCTAACAAACGGACAAAGTATTTTTCAAAGAGAAGGAATCGTCGCTAGGGACGCGAAGTGGTTTTTTCTTGGAAACAATTCTTCATGTGGCGTCGCCCGCCTCTGCTACTATATTCAGTGAAAATCAATTGGAGGACTTTCAGAGTTCACAAACCTAACAAACATTATCTGTAAAAAAAGCTCAACTGCTACGATACAATAAAAGGCTGCTTTAGAGAACTTTCATACTCGACCTCGCTAAGCACAAGCAAATCCAAACTCCATCGCTGGAACTAATGCGTCCACACCTTGACATGCGAGATGTTGAAAAAGGTGCTCAAATTCGACAAGAACGCGACGTCCTCGCGCAAGTTCACGCAGTCCCGTGTGCACCGCCGCTCCCCGTCCTTCGCGGCCGAGAACCCGAGGTAGGGCAGCTCGCAGCACCGCTTCGCCGCCTTGGCGGTGCTGGCGCCGCACTCCTTGGCATTGCTGCTCGTTTTCGCCATGCATTCCTTGGCGTTCTTGTCGCTCTTTGCCGCGCACGTCCGGGCCGCGCCGCTCGTCGCGCTCGCAAGATTACTGCACCGGGTGCGCGTACCGTACATGCACTTCCGCGTGTTCTCCTTCGCCGACTCCTGCAAGTTGCACATGTGCCGCGCGCAGTGCCGCGTTAGGTTTTCCTTCCGGTCGCGCAACTGCGTGTCGATTTTGTGCATTTCCTCCTGGCACGCCTTCGCGCCCTCCGTGCAGTCGTGCGACTTGCGGGCGCAGTTGCGCCGGATATCATCGGCCCGGTTGCGCATGGCCTCCCCGCACTGCCGCGCCGTCGAGGGGCACTGGCGGCCGCCCACGTCCGTTGCCGTGGTGGTTTGCTCCGTCAAAAGCGAGCGCCGAGTGGGAGCGCCAGCACCTGCGGGAAAGGCATAGAATCGCTTTTCAGGGCGAATCTGTACAGAAGAGTCACCTATTACCACATACAACAAACAACTAGGGGAACAAATAAATTGATTTCTCGCGGCCTGCCACTGCCTATGCAAACCAGGTACTTCTATCAAAAGTAGCCATCCGTGCAGACCTGCGGACGCCTGAATGTCTCTGCCGACTCTGCGTTGCAACGCCTCGGCATTGTTTTCGTTCACACCATTCCGCGGCGTCAAAACCGTTGTCGTGTCCGTCAACAGATTACGGCAGATTGTTGCGCTGCCAGTTATCGGATTCGCAGCTCCCCCTGCATGCGCGCCCGCCAGGCGCCCGGTGGACCGATCTGGCCTCGACATGGCGCTGCCGGGACGTGAAGCCATGGTGAACCGCTCGACCAGCGGGGGGTCGGAGACTGGCTGTGTCGCCGGCGGCTCCAGCGAAATCACCCGCGGCGGCGGTGCGTAGGTCCGCTTCGGGTCACAGGAGCGAGACTCTCGCTGCTGGGGTCCGCGATGACCTAAGATACCATTTCTTTGGAGATGAAGGTAGTATGCCCGCAAAAGGAAAAAACAACAGTGCCTACACAAGCTTGTAAGTATAGCCGCAAAGGAGCACTTCATACCTGCCAACGTCTCAAAACTCGCCGTCCTTTTGCGTGACCGGTACAAAGATTCAGTGGAAGCGCGCATACTTGCGTCCACGCTTTCCAGTACCGAGGTCGACTTCTCCATCGCAGACGAGGTCGTGCGTGCGACGGGTGTGGCAGTGAAAAGGCGATAAAAGCCATTTTTCAACGTGCCAAACATGCCCGTGTTGCTTGCTCCGTCCGTGTCCTGACTTTCTCCCTTTCTCGCTCCCGAACCCCCCATGCCGAGCCGCGCGCGCGGATCGCCGTTCCGCATGGCGCCGTGGAGCTGGCTAACGCTAAGGTTCACGCTTCCGCCCGGGGATGCACGCGCGACGTGGTCCTTTTTGCCCCGCCCAAGATCGTTGCCGCTTTTACTCCGCGGGGATGTAGAAGTTGCCGGGACGGCCTGCTCGCCCTCCCGAATTCTCTGCCCGCGCTCCCGCATCACGTCCTCCCCCGTGGACCATTGCTGCGCCTCCTGGCGGGAGGACCCTTGCCGCAGGTCGTTGACGTGTGTGGGCATCGCACGCAGGCCGGGTAACTCCGGCGCGGCACCCGGCGACGCCGGCATCGTCGGAAGAATGGATCTGAATTTCATTTCATGAGATCATGTTGACCATGAGACAGAGTCAATTAACAAAAGCACATCTTCCCCTTATGATTAAAATTATCCAGGGGAACAAAGAAATATAAAGTATTTTTGAGAGAGGCAAGCGCGACGAGTGGAGCAAGGTTTCATATTCGTCGTTTTGGTTTTCCCCATTATTTTCCGGTTTGGATAATGTTTGACTTTTGGAACAAACCTGGCCGCGTCCGCGGGACTGGAACTGGGGGGTGACTCAGCCGGCGCCGCCGTTGACTCGGAGGGGGAGGCGGCGGCAGCAGACACGCTTTCGTGCGAGGAGGTCTTGAGCTCCTCCTGCTTCGCTTGGCCCATTCTTTCGTTTTGCTCCTGAATCACAATGGTCTCCTGGCTGCTGCTCGCGTGGTCAGCAACGCCTTTTTTGCCCATTATAGCAACTGCACTGCCACTACTGGAGGAGGGTGACTTGGCGCTCATCCTACCTTGGCCTCCAGCCGGCGACTTGGAATTGCCGTTTGCCGGTTGCTTGCTGTGCCGACCCGAGGCAGACTGTGACGTATTGAGGTTCGCAGCTGCTGAAGCTGATGTAGCGGAGCCGCCACAGAATTCCTCCGTTTCCTCGGCAGTAGCTTCCAGACGGAGCTTTTGCTTAGAAGACGTGCCCAAATTATCAGTGGCGTCGCGCGGTGTGACATTACGGGACCTGTGGGTCGAAGTGTGGCATTCCGAAAAACAATTGAGCACACGCACATGCTTCTTTTGGAAAACTTTAGCAACCGCCGAGGCAATTGATGATTTTTGATTTTTCATATCACGTGAAATCGGAAACCGTAGTGGCCACCCAGATATAGTAACTGAGACCTGGCGGAAGCATTGGGATTTTCCAGCATCCCACGAATCGAGGCAGCTAGCTGGTTGTGTTTTCCTTCACTCTTCGCCGTCCCCGGGGTGGACACTGCATTTTTTGTGATCGACCTCAGTTGATTAATGCTTGGGCACGAGAAATAACCAAGAGCGACAACGTAACTATTTCCAGCATGCGTTCTTGCGTCTCGCCTGTCCTAACGAAAAGGTCAAAATCGAAGTATGTGGGAATGATAAACACCCGTAATCTTTATTTCTTACCATCGTCGTCCATGCGCCACGACTCCAGTTGCGCCAGGCGTCCCTCGAGAGATTGGATCATGCTATCCAATTCGACGTCGCTTCCGCTGTCCTGCGCCACCTGATCGCTCCGTCGGTCAATGGGACTATCGGCGATAGAGGTGCCACCAGACCTGCAATATTCAATGGGTGATACGATAAGTATCTCCTCTTAAGCCCCTTAGCTCAAACCCATAATTCATCGGATAAAACATGACTATATGCACAAAGATTCCTTGCGTCAGCCAGGAACAAGGCGAGACACTGAAAAAACCGACACTCAGAAAGACATACATAAGTACATGAAGCGACTGCGGGGCTTCTGTCCCGTCCGCAGTCGCGTGGGCCGGTCTTTGTTTGCCTTCATCTTGTTCAAGTTTTGCCCCAGAAGCTGACCCACCAAGAATACGATACTGCTGGTGCTGGTAACGCGATGTCACTACTTTCCTGTTAAGCGCGGCCCTCCTTTGGAAAATTTCTGTACTACTCTCTCCATATTGGAAAGCTTGGCCTGTGTCTCTCTTTTATCCTCGCTCCCAGCAAGAAGGTAACGTCATTTTCCATTGCCACTGAGGGAGTAGGTCCTAGGCTCACGCAGAGAAACCCCAGGACCAACACAACAAATGCGCTGAACACCAAACTCAAAATGTGCTCCCGACCATGCCGAAGATCGATGCCGAGAAACGTTGTATCAATTGAAAGAACAAAATTTGAAGAACAAGATGACCAACATCACTATGTCGCTGGCTTTGTTTGAGGATGACGTGTCGCATGTAAGCAGATCTTCGCAAGTGCAAAGTAAAGAAAAAAATGACTTTCTGCGCAGACCCACTGAGCATGGCCAGCGCGCCGACATCAAGTACTAGTGGCTACAACATGCTAGAGAGTATGAAAATCCGACTACGTTGTAGCACTTAGGGCTTCGCGGAGGTTGGTCTCAACATCGCCCTCTCGTCCGCTACTTGTCGCGTAGCTCCGTTCGCCATCATATCGTAAGGAAAAATCCCCCCTCCCCATATCAAAAAGGAAGCCACAGAACAAGCTTCTCCCAGCATCAGAAGTTTCATTCTCGCTGTGGGGAGGGGGGATTTTTCCTTTTGATACATCGACCACTAGTCTCTTGATCCCCTCCACCTGGTTCTCCACGGACTCCACCAACGCGACCTCGCGCTGTGCCCCAAACAGTTCCGCCAATATTACAAAGTCGGCATGAGCAAGCGGATAGGCTCCATTCCACTTATCCAACTCGTCCCTGGCTCTCATCTTTAGGTCCTGTCCTTCCAAGGCCCGACTTTCGAACAAAGTAACCGGGACCAGAAAATTCTCTTGTTGCTTCTCTCCGACGTCTACCTCCACAACTTCTTCACTAGCAAACATGTTCTGCCACACGAACGCTCGCAGCCGCGTGAACAGCCACGGGCACGCCTGCAACATCTCGCCGGGGAAAAGCTTGTGAAAGCGCGACAGACCGGTCAGCGTTCTGGCCAGAAAATCGGCCGTGATTCTCTCGGTTCCCCGCAGGTGCGGTTCTGAATGCAGAGGTTGATCTTTTTCTTCAAGTTCAAAACTGTCCTGGTCGAAGAAGAGTTTGTGAAAAACCCGGTCCATAAAGTACTGCTCCAGGCAAAGCTGATGCCGTAATGTGTGCCAGTGCCTTTCCTCCGCCGTCATGTCCATGGTGGCAAGCGACAAGAAGGTTTCTCCTGGGCGAAAACGCTGCAGGGGCTTTGTATTTTCGTTTTCCTCGTCCGGTGCGCGACCAATTAGACCACTGCGCTTCCTTTCCAACAGCCACGTCTCGAACCCCTTGTGGTCTTCTTCATTCCGCAGAACCGGCATCAGAAAGTGTCTCCGCATCTCCAACGCCCAGGCCAGGTACTGGGGAAAGGTCTTCAGCATCGCCCAGTCCGGGCTTTCGTTCTCATTATCCCGGGCGCAGGAGGACGCGCGCGGCACCTTCTCGTCCGGTGCTGCGACGGCCAGACGATGATCGCCAAGATCTTCATGCTGGTCAGCTTTTTCCTCATCAAGCCTGTCCCAGCAGACTTTTGCCTCATCAACCCCGTCCGAGCAGCAGCTCCAACTCCAAGAGGACTGATCGGAGTCCTTCCGACACACCGCGTCGCGGTCGAACAGGGAGTCCAATACGGATTGATTAGCCCTGATCCAGTCCCGTACTGGCGGTCGGAGAAACGCCCACCGCCGCTGGGAAGAGTAGGGCAATCCCGTTAAGCCGACGTCTGGGGAAAAGAAATCCTCCGACGCAAGCTCGACTTTTTTTCCTTGGTTGTGCGCAAAACTGGGCTTTCGCGGACCAAGTAGTTGCTGCCCGTTGCGCTCGCGGAAGTACTTCGGAACGTACTGACTTGATGCCAAAGCCTCCGCGTCAAGCGCTGCTTGTTCAGGCACTGAATTCGCGGACTCTCTGGGTGTTGCGTGCTCCTCCAAGAAAAGAGTTTCGTACAAACCGCCACGAGTTGGACGCGGTTTTGGGCGCAAAGATTCTCCCTCTGCCTCAGTTGCTCCCACGGCATAGTCAGGCAGGTGGCTGAAAGACAAGGGGCGACTTCCTCGGTCGTCAGACGAATGCTGAGTGGCGGTGCCTGTGCCAGGAGACCTGGTATCAATGTGCGCGCGTCAGGGAAAGCAAAAGTTGGCTCTGGTAGATATCCACTTCATACATACTCATACTCAACAAATATCGCTCTGAAGTAGTCAAAAAGATTGCCCGGGCATATCCGCTTTCAATCACATTGGTCTCGATACACCAGGTCCTCGACGGTGTGAACCAGAGACACTGAGAATGCCCTCGAAAGAGGAAAAGTAGACAGATACCGTTCTGGCGACGCCGTCTCTGCTTCGTCCCTCCTGTGAAAATGGCATGCGTCGCTGCTGCCGATGCCCTTCTGTAGCCCATCGTCTTCCACCGTGCCGCTGAATTCACCCTCCTCACATCGGGGTCGCTGGCGCTGCCGAAACTGGCAAGGATGAAGCGCTGTTGTATCTTCCAACCTGTATGACGTTTTCCCGTTTTTTTTCAAGGACTCACAGCAGCACATCATTGAACTCACGTTCATCGTCTTTCTTTGCTTACTGCCCAGCGAAACACAAACAAACAAAGTATCGACCAGAACTGATACGGCGCTCTATATGCCTCGGGCACGTCAAGGTTGTCAGCGGCGCTCTCCGCAAGGGCCGCAGTGCTTGTTAAGCCGGCGCTTGACGCGAAAATTCCAGAAGTTTCGCTCCCGGACAAATTTCTGTCAACATCCTCGACAGACCTTTTGTTCTTCGCCGACGCCGGGGTACACGTCGTCGGCTTCTCGTCATGCCCCTCACAGTACTTATTGCTGGCACCCTCGCAAGAACTGGAAGCGCCCGGCTCATAACTAGTATGAAAGCGCCAGGATCGAAATCGTCAAAGTTGAAATAGTTTGCGATGCATAAAATGCAACGCAAAGGTTGCCTCTATTGCAGAAGAGGCAAGAGATGCAGACTTTAAGCCTGCTAGGGGCTAGAAATTGAGCTGCTAAAGTAGCATGACAAAAGGCGTTCTCCTTACCCAAACAGCACTACAAACTGGATTTCGTCAGCTCTACCCAAATTTGTCATGCGCCACTTGAAAACTAGGCACCAACTGGTATCCGTTTTATGCATCACAAATCATTTCAACTCTGACGATTTCGATCCTGACACTCCCATAACTAGAAACGTCCCAGTATCGCCCGAATGGAGGGTGCAGTTCCTGTGGAAGGAAATCGCACCCATTCGGCTTGCCAAAGAAAACTTTCCCACCCGGGGCGGATTTGCGACGAAAACGCGTCTTGGTAATTGCACTGATGCCGTATCTTTGCCGTGGCCGATTTCTTGGGTCGTGATCCCCTTCTCTCGGCAGCCCATCATCAACAAAACCAGGACCCCCGCAAAGAAAGGGCGCCTCAAAGAGTATGAAGGCGCCCTGACCTTCGTCGCCCCGACCAGCTCGGCAGCTCGCCTCTGAATCACGAGCGTCTTTCTGTTTGTTTTCGTCTTTTTGAAGGTCACTCTTGTTCTTGCAACACGTCGACTTTGTCTCTCCGTTTGCCGACAGTGTCCGCTCTTCCTGGGAACGGTGGTGCCCAGGAGCGTACTGCTCTCCAAACACCTTTTCCCCGCCGACGAGGTTGGAGCTGCCGGAATGATGATCTTCGTGGCCCCCTGCCGAATCGATGGAGTACCGGGAGGAGTTCTCCCCGTCCGCGCTGATGCTGTCGCGAGATGAATCGTGAAGTTCTACATCGCCATGTAGTTCCATTTCATCCTCATCCTGATCGACCGTCTGATCGACCGTGTCAGGCGTGACAAGTTGCGTCTTCTTCTGCTCCACCGGTGCTAGGCCGCGATCAACGACGTCGCCCGGCGGGAGATACTGCTTCATCGCCTGCAAGCTCTCCGAAATGGCCTCCAAATCATAGAACCACGTGCGCGGTTCTAAGTCCTTTGCGAGGTAGTCCGTGATCGCCGTTGCATCGCCCAGCGACGAGCCATTAGTAGGCCGCGACTCATTACCCTCGTGCGCGACGACTTCGGCCAGATGGTAGGGGTGCAATTCCGCAGTGCAACTTTCATCGTCAGTCGCTGGCAGTGATATTTCTTCACCACAGGCGTCTGATGATGCATCAGATCCTTTCGGACCACCAGCAGCATCCCCTGCCAATGCGGTCTTCGGTTGCAGCCTGTCGGCGTCCCGATTTAGTTCCAGGCCCATCCGCTGGTCCACCCAGCTGTAAGCGTCCTTGAAGCAGTTCTCGAAACAGCGAAGCCGAATCTCGAAGTCTCGCAGCAGCGGTTTGCGCCAGTGCTCGCATACCAGCGCGTGGAACGCCCGGAAATCCCGGAGCTGCAAGCGCAATGCAGAGAACTGGGCGACGAATTCTCCAAGCTCTTCCATCGCCGTCTCGATCCAGATTTTCCTGTAACACACCTTGGCTCGAAACTCCTCGTGGGCGTCCTTGAAGTGGTATCAAGAGGAAAAATCCCCCCTCCCCATATCGAAACGAAGTTTCTGATGCTGGATTTCCGTACACAAATCAGATTTGTCTTGCAGTAAAGGACTGCAGGCATATGTCAAGCCTCGGTCGAGAGGTTTTGACGTAGGCGCCTAGCATGACAAACGTGTATGCTCTAAGCCCAACAACATCACAAACCGCCTGCAAAATGCAGGGGGCTCTCTGGACTTGCCTTCTTGCAAGACAGACAAGATTTGAGGTCACAAATGTGCATCACAAATTTTCAGACGGATGCGTTTTCAATATGGGGAGGGGGGATTTTTCTTTACGATAAGTGGAGTTGCTGCTGGAAAACGCTGAGGCCGTGGGCCTGTCCCGTCCAGAATTCGTGCAAGGCTTCCATGGTGTCGAATTCCATTTCCAACTTGTGTTGCAACCGGGACAACTCGGTTTCCCCGTCGAAACGCCGCAGCCACGAGACCGCAAACTGCAAGAACTCGAGATATTCGAAGGCGGCCGCCGCCTTCTGATCCTTGTGCAAGAACTTCGTGAGCATCTGCTCCTTGGCGCTCGCTTCCGTCAGCGGAACCCTGTCTTTTTCAGAAATACCAAAGCAGCAAGAACAGTAGAGCAGCGCCAAGCGGAAGGGGCTCTCCCTTCCCTCCGGCTGTTTCTTCTGCAAAATTTCCAGGCGGAATGCGTGCCAGTCGGTTTCCAGTAAATGATCACAGAAGCACTGCAACGTCCCGTAATTCTTCTGCCACAGGAGCGCAGCGACCTCCTTAGCTTTAGCAGTAGAAGGGGCAGAAGTTGAGGAGATCTTCGCAGTTGCATCTTGTTCTCCGCTAAAATTTTCTTTTGCTCCTCGTGCCAGTCCGCGACCTTCAGAAGCATTGTTTTCGTCCCGCGCACCTGCGTTCGACTCGACGTCCCGACAGCCGCGATGACGATCGTCTTCTTCAACACCGGGAATTTTTGGTGCCCTAGTTCTGCCCATCTCCTCTACCTTTGCTTCTTGTTCGGGCGTCTCCCTAAGATCTTGCAACCACTCTTGCTGCCTCTCCTCCCAGCGAGCTCGCTGATGCTCGAGCAGCGCTGCCAGGTCCGCCAAACTCTTATCGCCGTCGCAGTGGCTAGCCTTGAACGCTGCGTACATACTGCTCAGGACGTTCACGCGCTTCTCCAGGCTCTCAGCCGCCCCTTTGCACCAAAACAAATAGTCCTCCAGCATGCGCTTTGTTATGCTCCACCCGTTGTCAATGGCGTCACCCGGTTTCGCGAAGAACAGCAGTTTCAACACCAAAATCGTGTTCACCGGGAGGCAGACCTGGTGCCTTGGAGAATTTTCACGTGCAGTGCGCACGTACTCCACGCCATTTTTATCGCGGAAAACATGGTCCCGGAAAAAATCTTGGCCATACCACTCCAAACCAGTCCACTTTTGCACGAGCTCATCCGGATGCTTACTGGTCTCGAGGCCGTCAGCCCAGTCGTCAAAGCTAAACCGCAGCTTCTCGGCGTCCGACCGCCACAACCTGCATGCCGCGAACAGAAAAGACGCACAGGAAGGGTCGCTTTCGTCGGCGAGGCCCGGTAACACGTACTCCTTTTCGCCGTACATTTCCTCGAAGACGCGCAACCGCAGCTCGTCTCCGCGTCGTCTCGGGAAAGATTTTTCGGACCCTATGTCCTCCTCCAAATCCGGCTCTACCAGACTCTTATTGCACCCTTCTCCATATTCCTCATTCTCACCGGTTGTAAGATCTACGTCTACGTAACGAGATGCAGTCGTGGTCGCAGTTGATACCGCCGCCGCGGCGGGGCGCTTTATTTCTTTTGCTGCCAAAGATGTCTCTGCGCTCGAGGAAGTCGAGGAACAAACACTTTTGCGTTCCGACATCATAATTGCAGCGTTCTTTTCCCTGTTTTTTTTCAGTCTCTCTTTGGCTTCTCCCACTGTCTCGCCAAATTTCACGATCGGACGCAGCATCACGGCCGACTTGCAGCGTCGCACGGGACGGACCTTGGGTGGTAGAGCGACCCTTCTGCTGTCGATGGATTTCTTCTCCTCGCTGCGGGGAGGACTCGCGCGTCTGCTTCCGGGCGCAGGGCTCACCTCGTCCCCCGCGGGTCGCTCGACTTGGGCGGGGGTGGCAAATTTGGGAAATTCCGCCTCCTCCCTCCGTGGACGGGGCGGCGCAGGGGTGTTCGCACACGACGAGTTACACGGAGTTACCACACCCTCGCGGCTCCTCGCCGAATCCTTGAAAACATCTGGGTATCTATTGCCCCACTTCTTCCTTTTCGGGGGACCGTTGTGCAGTAGCGCCGCCTGTCCAGCAGCTGCCGTCGAACCAGATGGGTTACCACAATTCCCTCCGCCAATGCGGTTGGTGCTGTTAGCATTTACTGCACCCGTCCGGGGCTCCTGCGGCGCAACGTGCCTACGAGCCTCGGCGTCCTGCTGCTTCTTGTCCTCCCTCTGCTGCTGTTTCGCGTTTTTCCGCTGCCTCTTCCGGTTTTTACGCCCCCCAGGATTGTTAGCCCCGCCGGCCCGGTGCGGCCCGGCCGCAGGCAACACTTTTGGAAACCGGGGCTTCGACGGGACGTGTACCTGTGTCAGCCGTTCTTCGTGAACGAGAAGCTTCCGCTGGAACTCCGCTCTTTGCTCCGTGCACCAGCGGTAGGTATCGGAGGCCGGACAGTAGAAGGAAGCGAAAGACTGCGGCTCGTAGCAGTTTACGTTATCATGAAGAAACGGAGCAGTCGTCTGGATCATGACTCCGTGTTCTGGGGTCCCGTAGCACCATTCGGGCTTGATCAGCCCGACACTCGCAGAGACGGCTTCTTGCGAGTCTTCGTTGCCCTTGTCGTTCTGCTTCTCCTTTTCATTTCCCAGAAGGGACGACGACGAGGACGAGCCACAACGTGATGAATCCGCAGCAGAATCGGATGGCGGAGGAACACTAGGTGCGGTGTAGTCGATTGCGGCGGAAGAAGCAAGTCTGTTCCTTCCGCCGCAAGAAGGGCTTTTCATCATCGTCCCTACTTCTTCCCTTAGCTGAACAGCTCCCTGTCGCTGGTTCTGCTCGATACTATCCTGTTCCGCCACCTCTTGGGGACGACTCAAACCACATGAGACATCGTGTTCAATTTCGTCCCCATCCAAATTCTGCTCGTCCTCCGAATCTAACATGTGCTCCGCCTCGATTGCAAGGCTCTCGCACGCTGGCAACCCGTGCCTCGGTCCATCTCGTCCTCTAGAAGTCATGGGAACGATTATACGACGACTTTTGGTACCTTTCGCCGGCGCTGCTTGGTGTGCTCCGCCTTGTTGGGCACTGTTGTGGTCTAGCGCCAGCTTTCCCCGCTTTCCCGCACCAGCACCGCCCATCTTGCAGATACTCCACACTCTCCTTGTGAAGGATTTACAACGAGATGAATTGTTTACTCGCCCTGCCTCGCCTTCGGGTTTTGTACACACCTTTTGCAGCTCGAAAAAGTTTTCTTACCGGAGAAAAGACTTCAATCCCACTTCGCCGCTTCGTACAGATGTGACAGCCGGAGGTGCAACGCCCGAATGCTCAAGCATCTTCATGATCCGTTTCTACAGAGCTTAGGCTTGAAAAAACTACTTAGAGCCATACTCAAACAATCTTCAGATTCTTGCTCTAGCTTTAGCTTCGGCGACGGCAGAGTTGCTATTTCTATGACCCTAGCTGGGCGGTTGCGATAACAGATGAACTTGTTTGCATCGTCACATGCAGATTTTGACTTTCACTTTTCCGACCAGCTAAAAAAAAATGCGTCGAACAGTTCCCTTGTCGTACTGAAACAGTCTAGAGCTCTGCACCGAACCGCTTTCAAGAACTCACTAGTTGACTACTAGACAGAATGACGTCTTTCGCTTAGTGCCTTACTTTACTCGACTCCGTGTATTCAGCTAAAATATGACTGAGAAGGTGACCGCGACGATGATGAAGTAAGTATCCTATCTTACTGGAGAATTGCGTCGCTGTTAGCTACTGGCACTTTGTGATTCCATATTGCAAGTCGCAAAAGGACAGCGGCCGAATTCCGTGGATCATCGTGATGTCTTTTCGTTTCAGTCGCAACGTCCAGGCTAATGCCAAAGTCTGGGCATCGCCACGTTACTATAATTAGAGTCTGGCTCGAGTGAGCACCGGTACTGGTAACTCAGACACAGGGTAGCCTTAGACACGACAGCTACGTTGTAGATCTTCCGACGTGCTGCCTTTAAGTCTATCTGTTGCATCGTCGTTCTCAGTACAGGGTACGCGACATGATCTTGTTGTCGGGCTAAAAAAAAATATCCTTTGGTCGAGAGAACATCTATGTAGATGACCACAATCCGTCATTTGCATTACCGTTCAGGAGGAAGAAACGCCTTTCCCCTACAGCGCCCTGTGTTGATATCGATAATCGCGTGAGAATGAGAAATACGCACCATTGACGATTTTCCATTGTTTCAAGTTCGGTGTGTCGCTGGACATTTTTTTACAGGTACAATGTGAGAAAGACTTATCCCCATATCTACGTAAAGTATCTTCGGCGGGTGCAAGATTTCCTTCCTCAGCGTTCTCTAAAGAAGAATTTCTTGCCTCAAGCGCTAGCGGTTCTTACTCGCCCGCCCCGTAACAAATCCCTCTGTTCTGCTGTTGTCGCAATTCTGTGCAAAGCCAGCAACATCGGCGCATAGAACTCTGTTCGTTAACGAATGTGCTGTGCGCTCGACCTTCTGGCATCAAACACAACAGAGAAGTTGAATCGACTGGAAGTGGAAGCTCTGCTACGCAAACACTGGTATATTATCATAAGTAGTCTGCTGCGTGTGCTCTGTAAAAAGAAAGGAGCTGCGCGCACGCCTCATTAGTGACGCGAATAAATGAAAAAGACCACTAAGCAAGCTGCTTGCAAGCACGACCAACACACAACGCACAGACTCAGGAAACCTGGTCAATTACTCTCCTCCTGACGCTGACTCGCAGTTTTATCACAATTGTTGCTTTCGCAGATGCTGGTACTCCCGCTGCATCAGTCGCTGAATGTTTGCCGCGTAGTATCGTGAGTAAAAACGTACCCACACCAGAGTCAGGATGGGGAATCTGCTAGACAAATCAGCCAGCTTTGGTTGTTTGGCATGACAAGTTTGTCCGCGTAGTGTAGTGCTGTTTGAGCTAGTTTAGAAGCATTACAGATCTAGTATCTCGTGCTGATTGGAGCATGACAAATTTCAAAACCGCATTAGAAAATGCTTCTCAGGGGGCTCCGCATGAGAAACATTTTAAGCATGCAGAGTTGCATGACAACTATGGTGTGGGTACGTTTTTATTCAGGATACGTAGACTTCTGCGTCTTCTTTCTCCTGTTCGTTGGGGAAGTAAATCGGTAAACACTTCTATGCAATGCAAAAGCATCGTACTAGTATAAATTGCATTACAAATTTTCCCAAGAACAAAAATGCAACTTGTCATGCTATTTCAGGTAGAAAGTTCGATTTGTCATGCATATCTGCAATTAGTACGAGTACGATACTTTTGCACAGGATAACTTCAACCGCACGAGGAAATACGGCTCGCACAGGTACCGGAGAAACCAGCGGGCGAAGCTGTACTTTTTCATGGGGATGTTGTTCTGTCTGACAAGGAAGGACTCCGGCTGCAGCAGCTGGGCCGTGGACGGTCTCGAGGACGCGGCTGTGCTGGAGGAAACAAACCGCAGTCGGGGCTCTTGGTCATCCGCGACCGAGGTCTTGTCGCTTTTCGCTTGCTTGTTCTTCTTGTCCACGATCACTTCTACGTTGCTGCTGTTGGCGTCGAGCACCTCCTGAAGAATCTCGTCCGCGTCGCAAAACTTTTCGACGATTTGCTTCTGCTCCGCCGTGTCTTGGTCCTTCTCGATGTAGAAGTCGGTGAACGCCGTGTTCCACCGTGACACGCAGGTCCAGTGCACGATGACCGGGCGGACCTCTCGCTTCGAGAGAAAGGCGCCTTTCTTGAACGTGCCTAACCTGTCCCCGTTGCAGCACCCGCCCTCCGGGAAGATGAGACAGGACTGCGCCTTGTGATACTTCGGGTCGTCGCGGGGATTGGCGTGGTAGTTCTCCGAGGAACTACTGTCGTTTTTGAACTCGTCGTACTTCGCCCATTCGTTCGCGTGCTGCTGGATGCGCTCCATCGACTGCTGGCGGGAAGCGGAATTGCGCAGGTCCACGGGGATGCCGTTCAGGTCTCGCGCCATTTTCCCGATGATGAACACGTCCAAAACCCAGCTGATGAACACCGGACGCGGGCGGTGCAGACAGGTCGGCAAGACCGCACCGTCGAGGTAGCCGACGTGGTTCGCGACGGTGAAGGGCGCGTCGCGGAGGTTGTTGTAGTTTTCGTTGCTGTTCTCGAACTCCACGCGCGCGACGATGCCGTTCAGAAAGAGAAAAACGCGCCACCCAGCGCTGCCCAGCACCGACTCCCGCACGGGCCGGATTTTGCCGAACAACTTGCGCCACAGGTACCACTCCCCGCACGCACAAAAGTAGAAGAGGAACAGGACCGGGAAGGACAGACAGACGCCCAGAAACCGCCATGGAAGAATGAAGATCACCTTCAAGGCCACGATCTGCCAGGGGTCCGGTTCCCGCCGGTCAATAGAAATGTGCGAGTCATCGATCACCTTTTCCCGCTTCGGGGCGGAGGAGGAGCTGCTCGTGGTGCCGGGTGCAGCGCCGACCGCTCCGCTCTCCTTACTGTTCAACTTTGAGGAATTCTGGTCGTCTTCGAGCTCCGAAGTCGTCGTCGAAACGGTCTTGGCGTGGCTGTCGTCGTTTTGACACCCCTCCAGGAGCGGCAGATGCAAAGTCGGCACCGGTCCCATGTCGTCGGCTGCCGCAACTTTGCCGGTGTACTGCTGTTCGCGAACCATGATGGACTTTGGCTCACTTAGGCGTACTTGCAAGATTGATTTTTAAAATTTCAATAATGCCACTGTGGGCCGAATCGACATGCGTCGTGCGCGATCAACCTTTCGCATCCAAAAAAATTCTCACGACATTTCTTGAAAAATTCTTCGCCTGGATAGGAGGCGCTTTTCCTGCTACAACACACGCCACCAGCTACAGTTGTTCATGTGCGCAAAAATTCTTGTCATGGATAACCTTCATGCGAAATCTTTACGAGTGCTGCGTGGCGACATTGGAAGCTTTCTCCGTACTTACGACACTGGCATCATCCGCGTTTCAGCAGGCTACAACTAAGGTACCAAGTGATGTTGAATTCTCTAAACTACGGCTCAGGTTGCTGAGTGAGCGTATGATGGAAAAGTTGCCGTGTAGTGCTGTCGTCCCTAAAAAAACGAGAGGATCTTCGGTCCCTGCGAGAATCAGTCGCTTGAATTGGCAACATTAATTTCGTCGAAAAAAACTTTTTCAGTCTACGCATCGTCGCAATTATCGACACTAACTCCTCTGTCCGAATCACCTGGCTTTCCTGTCCGGCCTAGTTAACCAGTATACACTTCGCGATGGCGAAAGAATGGGCATTGAACACACAGCGTCCTTTCATTGGCATTCGATTTTCACAACTCGAACCGACACGATCACTTTTCAGGGAAATATTTTTTCTGCGTGTCTGCAGATCTTGGAAAAGAAGATGAACATGTAGGGTAACAAACCCTGAAGATTCCCAAACCTATCTAGAGCGAAGTGGCCTCCACGATCGCGTCCTGGTATGCCTTCGCGGCCTCGTAGTGCGCTTGCTTCACGTCTTTGATGTATTTCGTGACTTTTTTGGCAAACTTTTTCGCGTTCTGCGCCGCTTTGATCGCCCGCACTTCGGCGTCCGTCCGCGGGTTCTTGCCCCACGGCATCATCTCGTAGTTTCGCGCGTTCTCACTGGGCGTCGCCTGGTACTCCGTGGAGGCCCGCAACACGTGCACGCGCCGGTGGAGCCCGAACGGCATCAACGCACGGTAGTTGTCGTGCTTCCCGTTCAGGTACCGGATCGTGTTCGCCAAATTCTGTATTTGATAGTTGGCAACCAGCACCGGCCCCTCGCGCTGCACGAACCACAGCCGGTCGGAGCTGCACGCCGTGTTGACGATCGTGTTGTTGGACGCGTTTCGTGGGTCGAGAATGACCACTTGCTCGTCCGTCGGCGAGGTCCCGGACCCGACGTATTGCAAATAGGTCGTGTTATCCAGCTTGAACCCACTTAGTAAATCGAAGTTCCCGTCGGTCTGCCTCACAACATTCGGAAATTGCTGGGGGAGCGGAAAATTTGCCAGTAGCTTTTGAAACTCGTTGTCGTAGTCCGTGGCGGAGCTATCCTTGGCCGTGAAAGCGGCGGCCTCGTCAACGTCAGCAGCGCTGTCGAAAAAGACGACGAGGCTGGCCGTCTTTATCTTCGGGGGTACAACCCTATCTGAAACAGAACCGTCTGCGGAGGCCGCTTCTCGGGACGGTCGCACCCCCGGAACTACCGGAGGAAGCACCGACTCGTGCAATACCTGCGCTTCTAAAGGGAACCTCCGTCCGTTCAGCGTGTGCTCGGATTTTGCGCGGAAGATAATCTTCACCGGCTTGTAAATTTCGCCGTTCCACTGCAGCTGACCAGTGTAGCTAGGCGGGAGCAAAACTTCCAACTCCGAGCCCGTCCAGTTGAGTGCCAGCTTCGGCTCCAGCACCGGATAGTGGATCGTGAAATTTTGAATTCGTTCGGTTGGGTAACTGTTCGTCGTCCATCGCGCGTCGAAATTCACGGGCGACTGGTGATCGACGCGCAAGTCGTGGCAAGAACCGTACTGCCAATCGAGGCCCTGGTTTTGGTAGAAAATGTTTTGCCGCTCCACGGCCGCAACATTATTGTTTTCGGACGCCAGGAGTGAGGCGGAGCGTGGCGCGACGTGGACTGCGTCTGCAAGCAATGCTCCACATGAACATCCTGCAAGCAGTGCCAACACGCCGACGTTCCTCTGGTACGTGCACCGCTTCGCCCATGACCCGCTGCTGCGCAAAAGCAGCGTCATTTCCCGGTGCGCGATCTTGCGCGAACGCTGCGATTACATCTTCTGAGCGCTGATTCTTGTCTAGTGTCCCGCAGCCTGTAACTTCTACGCAAGATGAAAGAAAATCAGAAACAGGAGAGAGCTCATGCGCTCGTGTCTGACGAGCGGCAGTAAGAAACTTTCCAGTACATCCCTCACGCTTCAACCATTCCTCAGTTCTCTCTTTTTGTTTTTGCAGTCGTAATGGTGTTGGCCGTCTGCGCCAACGCTCTCGTTTCAGGTACACAGCCGCAACAAGAAGAGCGGTACTGGCTCCATGCGCCATCATCATCGTGCCAGCATTGGGTACGACTGCATACATCAAAATACGAAAAACTAGCGAGCAGTACTAGCTCACAAAGAACTCTGTCGGTGCGAAGCTTCTTCACAGAGGGGTGGACGAGAGAACTTTTGTACAAAGTGCGTGTGCATTTTGTGGCCGTACTCCGACATAGATATTGGTGTTACAATGCAAGCGATTTCTGCAACTGCTACTGCAAAGGTTGGAAGTAGCTCTCGACAATTGTTTGATGCAGCGCGACTCTTCGCCTGGACGAATGCCAGTTAAAGAAGAGCCAAAGCGTGATAATTGACATCATACATAATTCTACCTTTGAAACCAAGCACCGCGCGCGTGCCTATGGCTTTTATGGTAGCGCCTTCGAAAACTAACTAGAAAAAAAATGAACTGATTTCTGCGATTAAATTATCGTTAGATGCTATAGCTTACCTTTTCCACCTTTCTGAGTACATGCTTGTGCATGCTTAAGTCCGATATTTGCAAATTTCACTGAACTAGTTTTCCCGTTTCACTAATTGTATATCGTTTGATTTTTGGCCATGCTCGTTCGCTTCTTGCTGCGCAAGAAAATAGCGAAATTCTTTTCATATGGATCTGCAGTTATGTGTTCCGTTCGTTGCGGACCACGACGAGTTCAAACCTACAAAAACCTCTGTTCCTTCCGAGGTCCTCCACCCGCAAGAACCGCGAAAACGTATATCAACACCGTGATCAGCAACGGTGTGGTAACTAGTGTCGACAGCAGTACGGTTGGCATGGTCAAATCGCGGCCCTGGTTCCCTGCTAAGGTGAAGCTCCCGGGGCCGCCGCGCGCGACGCCTTTTGCTCCGAAAACATTTGTAGGGTTCGATTTGAACAGTCGAACTGGCACTGGCCTTTTCTTGCGTTGCGGCAAGCCAACTGGACTTGTTCCTTGCAGCCCGTTGGTGTGCCTATTGCTGTACGGGACAGGGATCCACTTCCTATGCGCGTCCGACACGACCGCAGTGCTGCTCGTTTCAGCCACCTCTTGGTGGTAATGGTCTTGCAAAAAATACGGATGCTCTGGTCCTGTCGGCCGTGTATGCGCCGGATTGTCGCGCGAAAACAGGAAGCACGAGGGTCCAGCATGTGGGCGAGGAAATAAGCCGTAAGACGGGTGCATTTGCAGCCCGACGTAGTGACAGTAGAAATCGTCGACGTTCGCACGCGACGACGCAGCGGTACTTGCGCCATCTTCGTCGTCGCTCCTAGCACGCCCCTGACCACCGCCCCCGACTGCAAATCCGCGCGAGAGTAGACAAGTTTGCTGGCAGAGGTAAAGCATCCAGTCCTGCTGGCCCAAAAACTTCTCCCCCGCAAGGTCTCGCTCGTCCTCGTCCATCGCCGCCCACTCTTCGTCGTCCATGTCGACGAAATCCCTGAGCTCCACCGCGATCCGCACAACGGGAATGTCCCCCGTGCGCGACAGCGAGACTTCCACCGCGTTGAACATTTGTGCGTCCTCTCCAAACAACGCGGAGCTCCTGCTCTGACCCCGTTGCGAAGACTCGAAAAACGACGCCTGCGCTCGACCGAGCCAGGTCTTCCACGTGACCGTGACCTGAGACGTCGGAACAGATGCAGCGGCAACAGCGAAGAAGGTGTCGGGCGGGGTCAACGTAAGCGCTCTGCGACGATTTTCTTGAACCACGGTTCCGGAACCTCCCGCATGCGGACTCACGACAAAGTCGCGAGCTGCAAGGAACGAGCGAGGCTGGGGTTCCGGCTCGACTTGTGTGCGTGTGAGTTCATCAGGTGGTGAAAAAAAGTCCTTCAGAGCGCCGTACTTGAGCCGAGTGTAGGAGTCGTAGGACTTGGTGGACAGAAAATCCGGTTCCTCGCCGGCGCTGACTCGATAAAAATCCTTCTCTTCGGCTGAAAAAGAAGATGCAGCAACACCTTCCTCCGCCCCATCGAACTGCACTTGCTCTGTGAAAAAAACCTGATCCGACTTCACTTGTCGATCATGCAGGAAAAAATCCAGGCCCGGCAGCGATCTGGCTGTCAAGATCGAGCTCTCTTCGTCGCAATTGATCCGCACCAGACACCGAAAAGCCTGGGCGATCGACGGGTTTTTAGGCCGGTACAATTCAGGTATATCATAAATGTCCCCACGACCCTCTGGTCCCTCACTCGCGGATGAAGGCCCCAAAGTTAATACCCTCGGCTTGTTTCCACCCGCGTAGGTCATTTTCTCAAAGTCCGCGCTCGCGGTCAACAGGAATAGTATCGGCAGCAGCCCTAACACCAGCACCGCTACCAGGAGCCGCCAATTCAGTTTGCGCTGCGCCAAATTGAAGTTCTGCAGGGAAAAGTACACCGCAGACGCGACCACGTGCTCGATGTTGCACAGGCCGATGATTTGCCCGTTTCGGTGGGAACTGCGGATCCACATGTCGGTCGAGTCGATGTTCAAACTGAACAAATCCAGTGCGCAGTTCTCCCAAAAGTACAGAAAAATCATTGCGAGCGCCTGCAAAAACAGCGATAGAAGAATCGGTAAAGTGATGGGGCAAGAGGACAGTCTAGACGGCTTGTTGGCGGGCACCGTTTGAAACGGATAGCTGTGCAGCCTTTCTAAATCAGCATCTTTAGCACGTGAAGTTGTACACGCAGCTCTTCTTTCATCCTGTCCCTGTGTTTGCACAACCAGCATCTCCTTCGGCGCGCCACTTGGTAGTGCCACCAGGCCCATAAAGGGAAGCACAATCAAATCTTTCCAGAGCAGCGCGTACTCCGAGATGTAGCTGTTCCAGTACTGCAGGATCGGCTTTGTGATGGTGTGTGTCAACGCGTGCGCGATGTAGTACTGGAAAATGGAGACGCAGTTTTCCACGCACACCCTCCCCTCCGTAATCACTTCCACGACAGCGCCCACCGACTCGGCGGGAGAGGAAAACGGTGCGACCAGACAAGCGTTTGACTCGGACAGCGCGAGCCCAAAGTGCGCTTGCTTCAACGCGCCGCAATCATTCCCCCCGTCACCACACATACCGACGATTCTGTGCTGCGGAGCGGTTGTGCCTATCGCAGACGAGGAGCTCGTGTTCTTTCTTGGAGTAAAGCAGGAAAAGAGCCAGGTCAACGGCCATCCTGCTGACGCTGCTTTGTTTTCCGAGCCGTAATTGTAACCGCCCACTCCCTCCGGTGCAGTTTCCGGCGGCACCAAATTACGAAAGTTCATTATTGCAAGGAAAAATCCCCCCTCCCCATATCAAAACGAAATTTCTGATGCTGGATTTGGGTACACAAATCAGCTCTGTATTGCAGGAAGGCACTGCGGCCAGATCCCAAGGCTAGGTGGGGGCGTAGGGATCTAGTTGCTCAGCATGGCAAACGGCTCCCCTGTAAGCCGAACAGCATGGCAAATCGCTTCCCTAATGGGGCGGACGCTTCTGCCCTTGTCGTCTTGCAAGACACATGCGATTTGTGAGCTCAAATCAGCAACGCAAATTTTCCGAAGCATAGCTTTTCAATATGGGGAGGGGGGATTTTTCATTTTGATATTCATTTGCCAACCTTTGATCACGTCTATCTTGCCCACCGGCGTCATGCGCGACCAGATCACGTATCAAATGCAAAAATGTCTGGGTCAGGAAGAATGCAAGACTTGTCATGCATATTTCTTATGACCCCTGATGCCTGTAATGCATGACCTAGCATCACAGACTTTTAGAGGGCTTCCTGATGTGCCTTCCGCATGAGAAATGCCCTCTCCACGTAGCACAAACTGGACCGTTCTTGCTGGTCATGCAACACTAATTTTCTTAGAATCCAGAAACAGCATCACAAGTTTCATTCTTCCAGACCCAGACACTTTTACATTTGATAGCACGGCTCTCGTCGCAATGTCGTGGAAGTAGTCCTCCGCAGTGTGCGGAAAAGCAAGCAGGTACCGAAAAGTGGCTTCCGTGAACGCAAACTGGAAAGTGGTTTGTTCCCCTGTTTCATCATCATCACCGTCGCCTTCATCACCGACGACCATCGAATGATCTGTGTTGAACTCTTCGCTTACCTCCTCCAAGTTCGACATCCTGGTCGTCTTCACGACCCCCGCGCGCGAAGTCTTTGTTTCCCGACTTGCAGAAACAGTAGTTTTTGTGCTGACACAATACTGCCGCCACAGCTCGTGCAGGATGGGTTCCACGGCGCCGGCCGGGGCATCGTACTCCGAGGCGACTTTTTCGTTTTCGTATACCGTCAGCTGTTCCCGAGTGGGGGAAAAATCAAGCGTGACGATGACCACGTTGGAACAACTGCTATCTCTGTTTCTGGAAGTCCTCAACAGCGAAGATGTTGACGCGAAATTATCTTCACGACTATTCGTATGCTTGTTCCCTGCGGCGACGAAGCCGCTGGCCCTTGCCACGTAGGATATGAAATGCAAAAATGTCTGGGGTTGGAAGAGTTCATGTTTGTCATGCTTGTCTGGCATGACTCTTAAATCTGTCATGCACGTTACCCAAGAGCTCCGTTTTTCTGCGATGCAGAAGCGCAGTTTGTCATGCAGAATAGGCAACACCTACAAGCTCAGAAATTTGTCATGCTGAGCTAGCACTTGTGGCCCCCTCATGCTACGCCACTCAGCATCACAAGTTTCCAGACCCAGACATTTTGGCAGTTCATATAGGACGCGGCCCAGCAATTGTCGCCTGTGATAATCACCGGCTGGATTCCGCCGTCCTTCAATGCAAGAACGGCGTCCTTGGAGTCCGGTCGCAGGTCGTTGCGAAAAAGAACGAAGCCGAGAAACCGCCAATCCGAAAGCGGATCTTCAACTTCTTCCCTGGACAACGTGCCCGCGAGACCCGCGGCGGCCCGAAAGCACTCCAGCGGGCGGCACGCCATCGCAATCACGTAAAACCCTTGTTGGGCGAGCCGACGGCTTTCCGCGGCGAGGCGGCTCGCGCACGCGGGTGTGCCGGCACCGCCAATTTTACTCTTATGATGTACCGCCGGCGAAATCAATTTCTCCACCGCCTCGAAGCTGCCCTTCACGAAGGCAAAGTTCTTCTCACCAACCTTGCACACCACGCTCTGCAGCTGCGTCGCCTGATCGAAATCAAACTGTCGAATGACACTGAAAAGCTTTTTTCTCGATGGAGTATTCCCTGCGCCGGCCTCCGCTCCGGCCCTACTTCTTGCAGGTGTTGCAATAGGTCTTGCGATCGCATGCCCACCGTTGCTACCACGCCGTAATGGAGACCGTGAAGCGCTTTTATCGCACACGGTTGTAGTTCCCGCCGTAGAAAAGTAGTCATACTGGCCCTCTTCGATTTGCGAATACTGCACTTCATATAAATTGCACATGTGCTTGACCATCTCAGACTCCAGTGCGTTTCCCAAATACGTGACCTCCCCGTTCACGGCCTTCTCCACCACTGGCACTACGGTGTGGCAACACGCAAGGCCCACGTGCAGCAGAGTCGACTCGCCCAAAACTTTCATCGTACTTGCGGGTGTAGTCGTGCTTCTGGTCGGATGCGAAAACGAAAAGCTAGGCATGCTATGTCCAGGTACTGGCCCCGCCAAATCTTCGATGAAACTTGCTTCCCGCACATCGACTTTCTCGGTTTTCAAAGAAAAGTTCTTTCCCTTGACGCCGTCGTGGTCTACTGGTGTTTTACATGACGACGCAGACCCTTTCTCGTCGTCGTCAGGCCCGACGAACCGACACACGCCGTAGAAGTCCATGTGCCCGTGGGTCAAAGTCCCGGTCTTATCGAAGCACTGCACCTCTATTTTTCCCGCGGCGACCAGGTTCCGGCTTTGCAGCGAGCGGATCTTGTACTTGGACTTGAACAGGCGCCGGCACGCCTTTTTCTGCGCATTGCGGAACCCTTGGTCCATGTTAGGTGTCATAATGCCGGCCAGCAGATTAATCGTCTCCGCAAACAACCACACAAATGCCTCAACCACGTGATCGGTGGTGAAAGCGCAGGCTAAACTGATCAGGATAACCAGCAACGAGAACCACATGGAGCTCGTGGGAAGAGAAACAAAAAAGTCAATCTCCGTTTTGGCCTTGATGTTGCTGTGATGGTTGTTGGAGAAAGAAGTCAAGCCCGGGTCGCGGTCCTTCACATCCACTGGCGCGTCCTCGGCGCTGTTCTTGCCATCCTCTTCGAGCGAGGCCAGGTTGGCGATGTCGCAGGCGGGCCGGTGCTTTCGTGGCAACAGCGGTTGGCGACCCTCCTCGCCCTGCGGGTCAGCGGCGATATTTTCGAGCAGCTTCTGAAAGTTCTTCCCTGCCTGCAAATCCAGTAAGAGGAGATCTTCCTGGCAAAGACCCCTCTTTCGGTCGGCGTTCGAACGTTGGGGATTCTCCTCGAAGTCTTTGTTAGCGTTTTCGTTGTCACACTCATTGTTAGCGTCCAGGTCCAGCAGCACGAGATCCCCGTAAGAAAGCCCCTTCTCCCGGCCCCCGTCCACTTTCCCGGGCGTTCCTCGGAGAATGAAAAAAAAAAAATGACAAACCCTTCGTGTTAGTTACGGGGCCTTTCTTCGCAGTTTTGCCTGGCTGGCTGCCTCACCAACAGATCGGCTGCGTTTTGCCTGACTGGGCGCTTTAGTGAGTGCCTTGCCTTGGTGCTGCGCTGAAGTGGTGCGCTTAAAAAGTGGTGCGCTTAAGTCGTGCGCGTAAGTAGTGCGTTTAAGTCGTGCGCCTAAGTAGTGCGCTTAAAAAGTGGTGCGCCTAAGTCGTGCGCTTAAAAAGTGGCGCGCCTAAGTAGTGCGCCTAAGTGGCGCGCTTAAGTCGTGCGCCTAAGTAGTGCGCTTAAGTGGTGCGCCTTAGTGGTGCGCCTAAGTCGTGCGCTTAACTGGTGCTCCTAAGTAGTGCGCTTAAGTAGTGCGCCTAAGTGATGCGCCTAAATAGTGCGCTTAAGTGGTGCGCCTAAATGGCGCGCTTAAGTCGTGCGCTCAAGTGGTGTGCCTAAGTGGTGCGCTTAAGTGGTGCGCCTAAGTGGTGCGCTTAAGTCGTGCGCATAAGTAGTGCGCTTAAGTGGTGCGCCTAAGTAGTGCGCTTAAGTCGTGCGCCTAAGTAGTGCGCTTAAGTGGTGCGCCTAAGTAGTGCGCTTAAGTGGTGCGCCTAAGTAGTGCGCTTAAGTGCTGCGCCTCAGTGATGCGCTTAAGAGGTGCGCCTAAGTAGTGCGCTTAAGTGGTGCGCCTCAGTGGTGCGCTTAAGATGTAGAGCGGCTTCGCTAAGTAGTGCGCTTAAGTAGTGCGCTTAAGTCGTGCGCTCAAGATCTAGAGCGGCTTCGCGCTTAAGTGCTTCGCGCTTAAGTGCTTCGCGCTTAAGTGCTTCGCGCTTAAGTGCTTCGCGCTTAAGTGCTTCGCGCTTAAGTGCTTCGCGCTTAAGTGCTTCGCGCTTAAATGCTTCGCGCTTAAGTGCTTCGCGCTTAAGTGATTCGCGCTTAAGTGCTTCGCGCTTAAGTCCTTCGCGCTTGAGTGAAGCAATACCATCCTCCACCTAAGTGCTGCGCTTCGCTGAAGTAGTGCCTCGCCTAAGTAGTGCTTTGCGTAGCCGTACGTAATGCTTCACTGAAGTAGTGCATCGCCAAATTAGTGCCTCCCTAAGTGGTGCCTTGCTTCAGTAATACTTACCCTAAGTAGTGCATCGCCCTCGCCTAAGTAGTGCTTCGCTTAAATGCCTCGGCCCTTCAGTGCCTCGGCGCTGCTGGAAAGCCAAGAAATTCTTCGGCGCTTATTCAGTGCAGCCCCCTATTACACAACCCCGAAACGTGGCTTTTCGAATTTGTCACGTTCGCTAGGTTGCGAACCAAAGGACGACCTTGATAAGTCTTGCTTCGCTCGAGAAGTGAGATGCAATTCGCGACGAAATCGCTCCTTTGCCGGCGAGCGCACGGAGCTGCCGATGCTCGCCCGCCCGAGGTCGCTGCCCTGCGAGTCGATGCGGCGAAGTAGGCCACCCGCACGAATTGCGCTGGTTTCCTGTGTAGGCTGCTCACACCCCAACTCCTCGGAAACCTCGTCCTCGTCCGGGGATATTGAAGTATTCTCCCCATCGATCCCCACCTCTTCTTCGTCGTTCAAGATGTCTCGCACGGCGGCGCCCTTGGTACTGAGCGCTCCTGTTGCGAAGACCAATGCGGTGGTAGGCTGCGATTGGCAAACCTCCAGAACCGTCGTGTCAGCGTACAAAAAGCTTCTTTTGCCATTTGACTCCGCGGAAACGAGTCTGTTCGATTCCTGCAGCGGAAATTTCTGCACCGGCGCGGGTTCGCCGGTCAGGCAAGACTCGTTCATCACTGCTTTACCCGTAAACAGGATGCAGTCACAGGGCATCAACGTGTCCGCAAACACTTGGATAACGTCGCCGGGAAGGAGATCGGTAACGGGAATCTTCTCGATAGTTTTCGTTTTCGGGTTGACAATGGTGGCAGATGAACTGTTGGCCTTGGCAATTGCGCTGCAGTTTCTTTCCTCATCCTGCTTTTCCTCTCCGTCGCTGCTCTTGCACATTTTCGCCGTCTCCAGCGCTCATTTCCGGTTTTGGTGCGCATTGGCGAAGGCACACACAGTGGTCAGCAGCAGCTGCCAGACCATGATAAGGTAGTGACAGAAGAAGGTCCACAGCAGCGAATGATACTGGATACCGTAGCGGAACGTCACAATCTCCTGCTTCACAAAGGAGAAGAAACTGCCCACCGGGATTACCAACTCGTTCTCCCCGGTTACAACAAGCTCCCGCTTCCTCTGCTCGGCGGTGCGAACGAAGCTTGTTGCTCTTCTTGCCGCGAAACGCCTTTCTCCCTGCACCGGCTGTCGCTGATTCATATTGACGTGGTCACGCTGATTTCGAGGGTTGTGCTTTTCCCCCTGCCCTCGTTGTTCTTGAAATCCTTCATAATTCTTGTCCGCTCCATTTCTGCCTATCGCAACGATTTCCGCTGCGGTCAGAAAAGCAAGAACATTAGGGTTCGCAACAAACTTCCTCAGTTGAGCATCGTACACGTACCGCATCAGTTTCAGATTCACGTGGCGAATCTGTTCCTTCTCCGACACCGGCACAAATTCCTGAATGGAGACGTGAAGTAACGTTGTCGCCGGCACTCCCGGCCCCCTCGTCCACAATTTGAGTTTCTGAAAAATCGGGAAAAAAATCAGTCCAAGCGAATTTGACTCGCCGGCGGTTTCGTTTGCTTCAACGAAGATGCTGCCCGTAGGAGTGTCCGCGTCGGTCGCCTCGGCCCGTATGGCCTTGACTATCATCAACACGTCGCAGCCTTCCAGCAAACAGGGATTCAGGCAAAATTCCGCCCACTGCCTCGCGTAGTAGCAGTACCAGATGGAGAGCACCAGTGACCAAGCGGAGAACAGAATCAAGTTCATGCCCAAATTCGCAAAGCGCTGTCCGCCGCCCATGATCCCGTCGTCGGCAAGGTAGGAGTCCAGCTGCAGGAGTGTTTCCGAAAAATACCGGAATGCTGCGTACCTCGGGCGGTACAGGGAAAAGATCAGAAACCAGACGATGCACTGCAACTCGCACCACAGTCCGAAAAAAAACAGCCACAGCAAGTCGCCCATCAAACACCGCCTGTAGCCGCATTGGAACGCCTTGCCTCGGTTTGGGAGCGAGCAGCTTGCCGTGTCGACGTCGCTTTTGGAGCGTCCACACGCTTGTTGATTCAGGATGGCAAATTCGTAGCCAATCCGGGGTTTTGTGCGAAAACGGTTTCGCCATAGAATCGCAAAAATGACCACAAAAAGATGTGAGCAGTACACAAGCACGTGCGCGGGTGCCAGGTACGAAAAAATGTAAAAGCCCATTTTTTCGCAAAACTAAGCTCGCACGGTGCGAGAAATACGTACGATGATGATTGATGATTTAGATTTATGCACAAGAAAAAACGAAAATCGGCGGAGTAGTCGCAAACATGCACAATTCGCGTAGGTGCAGAGAAGACTGGCGCTGGGCGTCTAGTACTGCACAACAATCGAAAACTCCAACTCGGAAAGTGGTCATTCTCCTTGAGTTGAATACGTCGTGATTAGATCTAGCACAGAAGCAAATGACGCGGATCGCCTTACGTTTCTCGGAACGAACCATCAAAAGCACATCAAGACCAGACCAAGGAAAAGATCTCTGCAGGTGAACTTGAAGTGTGGGACCACAGTACGTGGTGAGCAACGGCAAAGATCACCCTGTTTCAGGGGGGAAGCGAAAAGATCAATCTGGATGCGCAACTTCGGATCTTCACCACAGTCCTCTCTTCTGCATACTCACAAGATCTTTGTTTCCAAACCATAACGAGCCAGCCATTGAAGGAATTATGCCGTCAAACTCCCCAGATAGAACTAAGTTGACGCGAAATCACCGGATCTGCTGACTGCCGAGGCACCTCGGCAGTTGTTGTTTGCATGGATTTTATTGCTGTGTCGCTACAGGAGAAGACATAACTCCCCGATAAATTCATTAAAGCGCACGACTTACTCGTATCTTTTTCACTTCTATTTTCCGCCCGTGAATAATTGTCGGCAGCTTCATCCTTTGTCAATGACTGCAGTCCCGTCCGTGAATCAGTGTGGGATCATCTATCAAAACCACGTGTTGCGCAGATGTACAAAAGCCTCCAATTTTTTTTCGCAAATACTTGCTAAAAAATTGAGTATTGTAGGATCTACTTACAAAACAGCAGGCTCATCAGATCAAATGCGACGATCTGATGATTTCTACCCGGCTGCCGCGGCCTGTCTTCCGCCAATGTTGACCACCTCGTACAAGCGGCTCGTGACGGGTGTGACCACTTTGTCGTTGTCTTTGTGAATCAGCCACGCCTCCACGTTGAAGCGGCCGGGGTAGTTGAGCTCTATCATCACGTCCTCGCCCGCTTTCCTCCGCATGTAGCCCAGGCGGTGCGGTTGGATGCGGAAATTCGCCGTCCACTCCTCCTTGTCCGGGTCCTCTACACCCGTGTCCGGGTGGGGGCCCAGGTCCGAGCTGTGTCCCTGGAACTTGCACCCTTCCTTCTGCTGCACCCGCAACCACTCCACCTTCCAGTGCACGTTGCAGCACTTCTCGATGTAGGAGGGAAACGTGATCAGCACGCCGCCCCCGGTTGCCTGGTTCCACTCGTACCGGCCCTGCGGCGGGGAAATGATGTATCAAATGTAAAAATGTCTGGGTCTGGAAGAATGCAACTTGTGATGCTGCATTTGGATTCCAGAAAAATCTGCATTGCATGAGTACCAAAAGGAATGCAATTTTTGCTACGCTGAGAAGGCATTTGTCATGCGGAATAGGCATCAAGAAGCCGTCAAAAAATCCGTATTGCTAGGGTATGCATCACAGACATCATGGCTCATGCAAAACGTGCATGACAAGTGTCAGAATCTTCCAGACCCAGACATTTTTACATTTCATATGATGGGGCCGTGCTCCATTTGGTGCGCGAGTTTGAACATTTCGTCGTCCGTCAGCTGCGCACTCGGCTATGGATGCGTCAGGATTGAAATCGTCAAAGTTGAAATAGTTTCTCTTTCTCATGCGTAAATTGCAAGGCAAGAAGTGCCTCTCTTGCAGGGGCGGCAAGTGAGGCCGACTGTCAGCCTGCTTGGGGTCTACGGCAGAGCTGCTAATGTAGCATGACAAAAGAAACCTTTTCTCCCTAAACAGCATGACAAACTGGATTTAGACGGCCCCGAAATTTGTCATGCACCGCTTGAAAATTGGGCTTCCAACTGGGATCGATTTTATGCATTACAAGTTATTTCAACTTTGTCGATTTCAATCCTGACACTCCCATATCGGCCACAGGGTTCGTATTCGTTGGAACGTCGCGACTTGGGGCGGAGCGACGACACTGCTACTGCTCGACGTCGCCATGGTAGATGCTTTTCTTGTGTGAGCCTGGTGGTAGAGAACGCTTTCTCAAATTGCTGGTCCGAGTCTTGTCGATGATCTTCCGAAATCGTGCTAGTGAATAACGGCGAATCTACTTCAGTTTCCGCGTGGAGAAATACGGCCCGCCATTTTAAGTTCATGTCCTATTTGATTTCTACTGTGTGTCCTGCGTTTAGAGGTTTGCGAACCGGTAATATCTTCTCGAAACAGAAATACCAGAAGAATAAATTGCGAAATAAACCCACAATGCCTGTTATCGAATAGATTGCGCAAAGCTAGAAACGCTCTGCTGGTAGTACCTCTCAACTACTTAATATCCTGGCCTGAACTAGGGTAGCCCCAGCGATCACCTCGCACTGTTTTGGGCACGAAAAAAACGCGCACGCCTATCACCAGCATCCAGTTGTTAATATGATGAATTCCATGTACTGCCTGCGCCTACAGTGCGATGATGATTTTTTGAAACCAAGTGACAGTTAAAAACAAAAGTAAACCATGAATGTGTTGTGTACACTGTCGCGATGGGGGTCCTGCAAAAGAAATCAATTCTAACTTCTCGACTTCTCCGGCACAAAAGCGCGCATCATGATTTTGAAGAAAAAACATACGACTTGGAATTATGCTCCTCAAGCATACCGAGAGCGGTTTGCTTACCCATTCTGTGAACCTGCTGCCTATCTTGTCATCTTACGAACACTTTTTATGGAAGTCGAATCGTCATTCAAGAACTGCGCGAATAACTTCCCTGGCCTGGACGCTTTTAGAATTCGAATTCGATCTGCTGCGGGCCCAGTTGGATGCGTCTACAGTTCCCTGCTAAGTCGTTTAATATGGTCGCATTACTACATTGTCGTTTTTTGATCCGCGTTATCGGTAGGCCATTGCAAGAGGCCGCGTAAGTTTATTTCATAGCATCGCTTTTGAAGAGAAGTGCACTTTGCGCTGCTGTCACTTTTTGGTCGCTGCGGCGACACTACGAGCCAAAGAACGCTCGCGCCTACCTTTCCCAGCTGGGCACGAAGGCCACGGCATTGACGTTCCAAGCTGTTGTGGCTACAGCAGGCAGATTCATTTCTTTCGCCGTTTGTTGCCCCTCGCCCGGGATGTTGTCGCTGAGAAATTGGGGCCTACTTACCACTTCACCAACGCCTAGATTCCCCCGCTGCCGCACAGTTTCCTCTTCTATTTTCTGTTCCTGTTGATGAGGTGGACTTCTTTGCTGCACGAGCGGCTTTCCCCCGGCGGTTTCTGCCATCAGCACCGTCGCGTCGGCGGCGATGTAAAAACAGCCCGGGACGTAGTTTGCGTAACCCTCCGGCCGTTGGTTGTCCGTCGAGTACTGGCCGGTCTTGGGCGGCGACTTCTTGTTTGTCACAAATTTCTTCTGGGCATACAGCATGATCTTGTTTTTCGCATAATACTCGTCGTAGTAGCTGTAGCCCGGCTTCTCGTGAAAAAACGGAAATGCCTCCCAGTTGATCTGGTGCGCGGCCAGCTCCACGTACGGCCCGTGGTCGCCGTACACGATCCTTTCGTACCCGAACGCGACGATCTGCGGTTCGCAGGACGTTTGGCTGTCAACGTTGGTACCGCTGTCGCACGTCAAGTTAGTGCCGCTGCAGTAGTCCTCCGACACCGCCGACCCGCCGCAGGAAGAACCTCCGGTGGAGTGCTGCCGCGCGAACAAATTTGTTGGGTCGTTGCCGTTTTTGGTGGGCGTGCTGGCGGAGGTGCTCGGGGTGCCCGGACTTTGCTGCGGGAAGTCGTGCGGGCAGGTGGAACTAGCCGCACCCGCGCGGGTCAAGTTGCTCGGGGAAGACGACGAGGATGTTTTTGTAATGCCGTTGTGGCCTTCACCGTTGCTCCTTTTCATCTCCGCGTCCATCTGATCCCGCACGTCGCTCGGCAAAAACCGGTCCTCGCACCGGACCTCGGACGTGCCGACGAGCTTGCTCCATTTCAGCACGATGTCCGGGCGCCCGAACTCCGGCAGCCCGAGGGTCTGCTCCACGCGGTCCTTGTCCTTTTGTCGGTTGGCCAACCCGTTCACGGTAGAAAGTCGCGTGGTCACCCAGAACTTGCCATTCCACACCTTCTGCAGACTGCTGTCCTGCCACGTCACCTTTCCGGCGTACTTGCTGGCGGTCGAAGCCACCGGGGCCGCGCATTCAACCAGCGGCATAGGGGGGGGGGCGGAGCTTTGGATGTACAGTGTCTAAATTGGATGATTCGCTTTGGAGGGAAATCAGATCGATTGTTGTACTTGAAGTAGGCTCAGGATGTTGTTGGTGTCAAGCGTTGTATGCGTAGTTTCAAGTTACTCCTTAAATTGGTTCTTGGCCATTCTCTCCTGTAAACACAGCACTCGAGGTTTAGACTTACGATTTGTTTACTCACTTCCACTCTCGTCTCCGCAGAAACCTCTGAGTCAATAGCTGGACTACTCTTGGTTAAAATTCTTCTAAGGTATGATCATCGCCAAGTGTTATGTTTGCTCTTTCTACTTCTAATTTTCATTCTTCGCATGTTCCTTTTTTCGCCGCAATAGCCTGTTGGTGGGGCTGATAGAAGATTTTTCAGGGAACTTTTTTCAGTTCCCGCTTTGTGTGCTGGAGCATTGTTTTGTATCCTGCGCGTCACTGAGAAAGATCTTGAACCACGAGCAAGTTGATCTTTGTCCTGCTGGATCGTATTAAATTTGAGCATTGACACCAATGACCTTCTCTTCAATTTGAATGGACAAGAATGTGCTGATAAGCACGATCTCATCAATCTGAAATGTTCCAACTACACTATCGCAAAATTTTGTGCTGTTGCTTTTTGGATCTTTTTTTCTATCTTTTTGTCCAGGACGCCGGCTCGGTCTTTCCTGATTGCAAACGATTCAATGACCAGAGCGCAATTTGTGATTAGATCCTCTGCTTTTCTGTTCATCATCCGTATGGATCTTTCGAAACGAATCGAGACATGTGTGAGTTTTACAATTTCGTGATCCGTCGAAGTGCTTCGAGCATGGCAATGCCTCAGTGAGAGTCAGACTTTTTAGAGTCGGTTGATTTGTTTCAAAACTTTTCAAAAAGTGCTACACTTTCAGTTTGTTTGTATGCGAGCAGCGCATTCGCTCTGATGGTATGTCTTGCAACATCCGACAATCTAAAAAAATCTAAAATCCACGCGACGCGACCACAGCAAAAACACGAGACCAGTCGCTTCGACTTGCACTTACCTCGTCTCGCGTGGAATCAACGCAGCAAGACAAACTTGATCCTCCCCCGGCCCCGATCCGCAGCGCGTGCGCTGCTATTTACACCACGTTTCAGCGCAAATCGACCACCCCCTCGTCCAGCTCCGGAACCGCCTCATCGGTGGCCGCAAACTCGGCTCCATCTTCGAGCAAGACCGGTTTGTCCGTGTCCAGCGCGTGCAGCTTGGTCCCATGCGCCTCCTCCCCGGTAATTTCGTTCGTGCTCCTGCCCTGGAGTTCCAGCGACGAAAATGATGCGCCGTCTTCGTTTGCCTGATGGTCTGGGTTGTGGATCGACTTTTTAGAAGAAGATACGAAGTCTATGTCCTTTGTTTTGGCGTCGTATGTGCCGACGCGCTTCACAAGGTATATGTCTTCCCTGGAAAAATTCGGAACGTAGTGGCGGGGCGGGTGGGCTCGAGCTAATACAAAATGAAAATAGTCGCCTTCGGATTCTGGTTCCCACACCTCCTCGGTAAGCACCTCCTCGGTAAGCACTTCCTCGGTAAGCGCATGATTCTGTCGATAGTTCTTGGTATCCGGATCCATACTCACGTCCACATGCGCATAGATGACATGCGGTTCCGGCAGGCGATGCTCCCGTTCGACCACATGTGCAAGCACTCCACTTTCTCCAAGATCGTCAGTCAAGACCAGATCGTGGGACTTAATCTAACAATTTTTTTTCACAAATTAACCACTACAGCATCACCAGAAGCGCAATAGGTAACTGAAAGCATGTTCACTTAAGTTCCGGGAGGTCCTTCGCAATGACGATGGAAATTTCTGCGAATTACTTGTACCTCTATCCCTTGCGCTTTTGCCCAATCGCGTACGTCCTTGCTGGTCACGCGAGATGTACTTCGGAATACGGAGTCCCCTGTAGTCTTTTTCGGAATACGGAGCCCCCTGTCTCTCCACGATGACTTCAGGACCTTGCTGTACAAAGAATCGTTGCCATGCATCACTTTTCCAGCGCCATGGTCGAGGTAGTGCCGCGAGTCCATTGTTAAACGATATTGCGTTCTGAAGCGAAAAGTGTGTCCAGCAACCTTCAACTTGAAGTATTCGTGGCTCTGCGTCTTAACGAAGTGCAACAGGTTGAATTCACGAAGGTCGTTTTCTGCTTTGCACGTTCAAGTTTTCACGTAGACCACGTGCCTCTCCTTTGTTTTCGACAACCCCCTCCTGACAGAAACTTCGTGAGCAAGCACTCCTTCACTACCGCCTGCTGTCACTACAAGTTCAGTTTCATCTTTGATGGCGTGGGACAAATGCAGGGCCGCGGCAACTTGTCCCATCCGCCCCCTATGCTTCTTTCTTGACCTGTCGATAAGATTGAAGACCTCCTCTTTGCTCCATTCCTTATTCCGGACGTCGTCATCTCCTACAACGCAGGCGACACCATTCTCTAGGGGAATCGCGTTTTTCCCGGTCTTCCCCATGTACAGTGATTCTTCTCCACTCATCAGGTCCACGTGTTTAGTGTGGTGTATCCCGTGTGATCCCGATGTAGGAGATTCTGCTGGTCCTTCGCGCCACGTAGAAGTTCCTTCCCGCACGTCAAGAAGCGAAGCATCCGCTCCCGCTTCCGCATGGTCGCGCGGAGCGCCATCATCATCTTCGGGCACGTCACGCAGCTCCCTTTGGCTTCCACCCGTGGTCAACTCCATCTCCCGCGTTGCTTGCTCGTGTTTCTCAGCAGCGCGTGCTGTTGCAACGGCATCATCGTTCTTCACGGCCAGCACCCCGCAGCCGGGCAGCTTGCCAAACGCCATCAAGCAGGCCGCGGCCGCCAGTACCAGCGAATATGGGCTATGCACCCGGAGTTCGGCGGAGACCTCCATGGATAAGTGTATCTTGATTCTTGTGCTGATGCTTTTTTGGTGGTTTCAGAAACACAACAGCTTTTGCACCTTCCGTTACTCGAAAAACTAGATCTTCCACTCTCGTCCTCTCGATGGACGTGACTCGCACTGCAATACTCAGCTACAGCTCCTCTCTCCGACGCAAGGACGAACATTTATGTTTCATGACACAGTACGTCGTGAACGCGGGAAATACCAGGCTGCAGGAATCACACATCAGATGCTACTGCTTCACCAGGATTTACATATCACGCATCTGATGCGCTCAGCAGCTTTCTTTACGAGAATCACTTGTATTCTCAGAATGTCAGTGCGCGCGCGGTCGAAGGAACGAGTACACTGCTTCCTGCTCGATCGAGGACCTTCATTCCTCTTGTTGCGTTTCCCTTTTATTACACGTTTTAGAGAGTATTGCTATTGTTTCGTTCCATTTCGGAGAGTATAATCTTTCGTGCATCGCCTTATTTTCCCTCCTGGTTGCTATCTCGCGCGTTGAGCCATGATAGCACAATGCCCCACACGGAGCCGCAGGATGCGAGGTAGGGCACTCGGTAGCTCGCGGGGACAAACGTGAAATTGAACGTGTTCGCCACTGGCCAAAAAACGCACCCGGCGGCGAACGCTTCCGGCACTCTTTTGTACACCTTTTGCCACAGCTCGTCCTGGTTGCGGATTCCCTCTGCAAGGCCCATATACGTGAAAAGAAGGGCGAGGTAACCCGGGAAGGCCTAGAAATTTTTGTTGTATAGCGCGTAGTACAAAATTATGCGTTCCTCTCTAGTCGTGAAATCAACCGAAACGCATCGTATCTTGATCCTCTTCATTTTCAATTTGCGTATCAAAAAATCTTCCACCTCCCGATGAAATACGTATTTCTATACAGTGAATTGTGCCGTTGCGGTTTTCAGCAACACCGTTCGCAGGTTGAGCGGCGAGTTCGCGAAAAACCCGTCTATTTTGCCAAACGTGAACTTGAAATAGGGCCCGTGTATCAACAGCCCTGCACCGGCCCAGCGAAGCGTGCGGTCCGGATTGTAGTGCTCGGCCGCGTTTACATGGCTGGACGAAGAGGAAGATGAAGAAGATCCTCCTTGGGCGGTGTTTTTCGTATTTTCCTGGTTGTTCTGCCAGGGCAACCTCGGTATGGCACCAATGCGCTTCCCGTCAATGCCCACCTGGGTCAGAACGTCCGCAATGGTGAGGATCGTCCCGCTCTGCAGTCCGGCGATAGCGTACGCAGACATCTTATATTTTAGTGAAAGAAGGCAGCCGAAAAATATTTGTGATCGTTGTCGTGGTGCGTGGTCACCACTTGCGGCTGCAGCCAGGGCGGCGGGCAGCTCAGGAGCGAATAATCCAATAGCTTACTAGGAGCAGCATATCACTATGACCGACGAAAAATAAACGATTGCTGATGCAGACTTGAGAAGTAGATCACTAGGAATCTTTCTCTGATCTTGCTCCGTGAGTCGTGGTCACGGTGTAGTGCAAACGAAAGTGGAACTGTCCCGCAGCTTCAAGATCTGCACTGCAACGACATTTCAGAGACGGCGGACACAAGATGAGGCTGCTAACTCCCATTCCCGTACCGCCGGTCGGTTTTTGCTTCTGCCATTTGCTTTTCCATCTAGATGCGTTACACTTAAAAAGAGACACTCGCAAAAATTTTGTTCATTCATTACTCTTGCGGACTACGTTTCGCGACAAATTCCTCGAGCTGGTTGGACTGAAAATTTTACACGAAGAAACTCAGCAGCATGCTCTCAATCTCAGAAAGTTGAAAATGATTTTTACAAAAAGAGAGAATCGCAGGAGGCAAGAAAAAAGTTTTTTTGCTTTCTTCTTCTTTTTCTTTGAAATGGATGTTTATCTTTTTCGTCGTCTAATCTACGTGCATTTTCATCACCAGACTTCGCTGCAAACCTTGATACTATTGCCCATGCAGCCACCGCAGCTTCCCCAAAGCTTGCCGCCTTGACTTCTGCATCCTCCTCGGCCTTCGCCTCCCCCGGCGCAGCGTCAGCCGCCGCGGCGGCGTCCACCTGCTTGTCGCTGCTGGTTTTTGCCATTTTCATGTCGAAGGGAAGAAAGGGAGGGTTCACCGCAACCGGCATCTTCAGTACCATTGCCATACTCCGCCCCAAAAACTCCAAATCGTGTGCTGTCGGTTTGGAATGAAAAATGCAACCGCGTCGAAGGGATTAAAAACACGGAAGACTAAAGTTCTTTTCTTCAACGTGTAGTGCTCGAAGACAATCAACTTCACGCAAATTCCCACTGCAATGCAAAAATAACTCCTCGAATGTCTGATCCTAATATGGCAACAGATTTATACCGTAGGCCCCCGCTCGCTTCGCCAGCTGCCTTATCTCGCTCTCCTTGGTCGTCGCCGCGAGATCGTCGGCAGCCTGTCGCGTAAGGTAAAACTGTTTCGTGGCCGTTGCGAGCGCGTTTTGAATGGCATTGTGCGCAACCGCGGAGCCACGTCCCGCGCAGGGGCAGCCGTAGGGGACCTTTTTGTTCAGAATCGCCGACCCGTCGATCAGCCCACCGGTTTCGCCGACGGGGGGAACGGGTTGCAGAACCCGAATCTGCGGAGGGACGGCAAGTTGCAGCGGCATAATTTCGTCGGTTTCGTGTTCTAAGGGGGCGAAAAGCAAACACTTTTAAACAAGAACTGCGAGATGGATATTTCCGAGGAAGTCCTGCTCATTTAGAATACTCCTTTCAGCGAGTCGCTTCTCTCGCTTGAAGATGAAATGTGCGATTCGCAACTACTCTCCCTCTCGCACGAGTCGACACAACACCGAACGCGAACGCAGAATAAATCTAGGGCTGTCGAACTCAAAACACGTTCGACATCTTCGCAAAAAAAACCTTCACGCGCTGGTGCGTCAGGTGCCGTTGAATGGCTTTTCTGCTAGTCGAGCAGAACCTTTGTTACAAAAGTCTACATACAAAGAATCTAATCACCAAAGAATGCAATCCACAATGACATACAAGGCACTTTTCGTCTCGGACCAATATGCTGACCAAACAATAAACATAACTCGAGCTGCTGTGAAAAAATCACAGCAAATTCCTCGAATGACGATGTCTTAACAAAAGGTAGATAATCCAACACAGCGAAGAGAAGCTGCGATGGAGGCGCAGCAGCCTCTACATCCTTTGGCAGAGGGCTGCTGCCGTCGCTGCTGCAAAGACAGCAGCGCGTCGTAATAAATTGACATCAATGCGCAATAAGTAATTTTTAAGTAAAATTGTAACAAAGTGCTGTCTCAAAAGAAAAAAAAATAAAGCCGGGCCAGATCGACTCCTCACGCCACGCCTTCTGGTTTTTCCCATTGCTTGGCACCCGTCCGCTTATTGACGTAGTAAAATCGCCCGGGCTGCGATCGAGACTCGACTTTTTCCCAGTCCCCGGGATTTCCGCCGGCGGATTTTCGCTGTCCCGATGCAGCCTGGCTACCGGGTCGTGCCTGCGAGCCCGACTGTCCGCCGTTGCTGTTTTGGTTTTTTTCGACAACCGATTACACAGATGCATACATCGTGTCTCGCGCTGCCTGGCCAGTCGGCACAGGTTCTCGCTATGAAGACTAAAACGTAGTTGCCGCACACGACAAAGAAAAATCAACTCGGCATATATATTTTTAGGAGTCTTTCTTTTACCCGTCATAACTGCTGCTAGGTCGCCGGTCGTCTTTTCTTCTCTTCACCACCTCTGCGTACAGCTTGTCCCGGTAGTCTGCCACACTAAGTTTCGTGTTATCGTCCAGCGGGATTGAGATTGGCTTTGGGCAGGACGGCTCGTCTGCCGGGTTGTGAAACTGGGCGACATAGCTGTGGGAGTAGTGCATCATTGATGAAAAAGGTAAGTGCAAACAAGTGATGTCGATGCAAAAAGAACAATCAAGCAACCATGAAGAAACAGTAGAAGACTCTTTCATCATGCTACGAGAGTATACGCGTGGTGCAGGCTCTTCTCCGCAGAGATCCGTCTTTGCGGATTGAATTTCAAACACTCGCGGAGAAAGCTGAGAGCTTCATTCGACGCGGAGGGAAACATTTCCTTAAACCGGTTGTTATCCAGTGTTCGGTGCCGGTTGCTCGGCAAACTTTCCAGCATGGTTTCTGCGAAGGGGCTTTGCAACGCTGCGACATCCTCTGCAGACGGTCGCCCGGTTACCTGTGTACGTTTTTTTCTTTTGCGTCGACAACGGCAGGCAGGTAAATCATTTTTTGCGCGCACTTCACTTGCGTGCACATCAGTATTGGCATTTTGGATGCCGACCGCAGAATGATCTTCAGAATCAAAACATGCACTGAGCGTAGTTTTGCGGTGAAGCTGCTGCAAATCACTTTTACAATTTTCAACGCATGGGTAGTTTGCACAATTACCTCTAAGATCCGATCGAGCTGATTCATGGTTGAGCTGCCGGGAAATATTGGCTTTCCATTCAAAAGCTCGCCTAATATGCACCCAACCGCCCATATGTCGACGCCGTAGGTGTAGGACGTGCTGCCTAGCAAAATTTCTGGCGCGCGGTACCATCGGGTCGCGACGTAGTCGGTCAAAACCGGTGCCGGGTCTCCCTTCTCCTGCGACATTTGCGTGGCGGTTCGCGCGAGGCCAAAGTCGCAGACCTGCAGAAGTTGGAAGTGGTTTTTCCACGGAAAGTATCGTTTGTTGCTGAAAATGCAGCCGCAGAAACCAACGGTCTTTTTCAAAATGATCTTCCACGTCTGAAAAAATTTCAATTTCCTTACATTGCTGAAAATACCGCTTCTTACCTTCACAAGGCAATCCGAATTCAAGAGAATGTTTGAAGGCTTGATATCCCGGTGCAGCATTTTACCCGTGTGCATGTACTTCAAACACCTCAACATCTGGTAGCTGTAGTTCGTTTGGAATTTTTTTCTGTAAAAATTTTGTAGGATCAAAACATTGAAGCAGACAGCGCAAAAAAGCTGCATAACCCCGCAGAAGCGCTGGCAGGCACGGGTAGTACTAGAAAACTTTCTTACATGATGTATTGCTTGTGTATGTCCTCGAGTATGTTCGCCCTTATCACCGCGTGGAGGTCGGATTCCATGTAGTCGGTTACGATGTAGATATCGCGGTCATTGTCCGCCTTCAGCACATTTATCAGGTGCACGATGTTTTCGTGTCCGCTCAAATCTGGTTTTGCAAAGTGGAGCTTTAGTTACTTTTGTTCACGCGTGCTCACTTCGAACCAAGAAACTATTAAGCGTGCTGAAAGCCAAGTAATTATAGAAAAAGGGACAAGTGTAGAAACAAAGTTGCACGGCCGAAGCACTGCAGCTTCTGAGGAAACTCAACTCACCTTGTAGGAACATGATTTCGCGGAACGTTCGTTGCGCGTCGGTGGCATTCTGGAAGGCGTCGTAGCACTTTTTCAGCGCTACCACGTCGCGCGATTTTTTGTCGATGGCCTTCCATACGATCCCGTAGGCGCCCTTGCCCAGCTTCTGTACCACGTCGTACTTCCGCAGAATATGACGGTCGATCTCTTCCGACATGACAGTCCTTTACCTTCGAATCCGAAAACTAGTAGGAAGCGGTGAAGCTGCCGGGATTGCTTCGCAGTCAGATGTAGATGTTGATCTTCTAGCGGACGAGTACTCACTGCTTATCAGAAGTCGTCGAGAACCGATCCGCAGCGCAGTTTGTGTCTGCTTTCTGTCTTGAAAGTCCTGTTCCTACCTCCTGGGACGGGTGCCGCCTGAGCTTTCACACCCCCGTCTGGGTTTGCGCTTGCTCGTCCCGCCGATCGATCGTTCGCATGCGCCGGAGTTCGGCTGCTCGCGTAGGCGAACGCAAATCGGTAACGCAACCACTCATTCGACCATGTGGCTTCTTTGTACGGATGGCTTGACTCTTTCGCAATACAAAGGTAGGTGGGATCGGCTCTGTAATAGTACCAGGGCGCTAGTATTCTTTCTTGGCTTACTGGTCGTTCTACATTTAAAACTTGGCAATATTCGCGGAGTTTCTTTTACCTCACGCACTCAGAAACTCAACTACGGCACCGAAGCACGGCAGAAAATTTACTTAATCATCTTCGTTCTCACAAGAATTACTAGGAAGAGCCGCACAGCATCACAGAATTTATTTGCCGGTGAACAAGTACAACCCACGGAGAAAAGACGTACCACGCACCGGGTCGCAGATGCGGCACAGCAGGCAACTATCGGTCGAAATGTGTCAGCTTCTACAATACCGCTTACTGCATCTTCTTGCCTCCAAGAACACCAGCACCCTGCCTATTTCAGTGCACAAGGCAGACGCACGCAGCAGCGTCGAAAAATACTACGGCTCTAAATAATTTTTCTGGTCGATCATCGGAGGCATTTGCGCCAGCTTCAAGTAAGTACTTAAACGCCAGTCGGCCTTACTAGACTACTGGGCTTTGCAAAATCTAAATTGTGCAACTCGACGACTCACCACCGGGAGTGCCTAGACACTCTCGATGCAGACAATACCGCAAAGACGTGCCATACTTATTTTTCCTGTGGCTGACAAAATGATGCCTGGAATAGTGAAGTCCGTCGGGCACGGGACAGCAATGCAGAGACCCTAGTACGCGAAAGCGGTGGTGAATCCTCAGCATGTCCCGGCGGGATCGCCACCATCACCTTCCATGCTTTTGCTCCACCGCTCCCATAATTCCAGCGTGAACGAACAGTCACCTTCGGGTGCAATGCCGCCCGCTCTCTCGTAGATTTCAGGGGAATCGGCTCCCAGGCTCGGACAAGACACGTGATAGATTGACCCACAGGCGGCGTCGCTGATCGCGAGGAGCAAAACCAGGCGTATGGAACGCGCGGACTTCGCAAATCGCAACGCCGAAACAATCGGCGTGCCCGCACGAGGCTCCGAATACTGCGCCAAAAAGTCCAGTCCCTGCTCCACAGCAGTTTACAGGATAAGATACCAAACAATCCCAGTCGGCGCCTTCACTGGCGCTCTGAAAAGCCCATCAACCGTGTACTTGCAGAAGGGAAGGTAGAAGTGTCGCCGCCACAATGATCCCAAGCTCAATCCGATGGATGATGGCCGGCCGCATGGATGCCTCCTCTGACCCGCCGTGTAGGTTTCCAACCCGCGAAAAAATCGTCCCAACGGAGAAGGACGGTAAGACGTACAGCCTAGCAGGCCACAACTAAACCGCTCTTCTGCGGGCGGAGACATACCTGTGGTGGTTTCCCCAAAGCATGCGGGCGTCAAAGGGCCCTCTTTTCGCGTGCAGTTTGGGAAAGGGTGCGGGTCTACGTGCGGAAAGGGGGGGGGACTTAGGGGGGAATGCGGCCCCCGGAGCTCCGGCCTCTGCGGACCGCGGCGCGCTTTTCGCGCCTCTTCCGCCGGCCGGGCGCCACAAAGTGCGCCCTCCTTTCGGGCGCAGGCGGTGCCCGCGGTCGGTCGAGGCGGATTCGCACGCGAATAAAGAACCGCAGGCCTTTCCGCGGAAATCGAAGGCGCTGGCACTAGAGAACAACTGGAAAGCCGCGCAGGAGGCCGCTGCAAAGAAGGACAATAGGATGCAGCTAAGTAGGCTCACAGGCTGAACACCCCTGGGTCAAGTAATGGATCTAGGGGGAGGGGGGGGGGATCCGGGGGGTCTGGGGTGGTGGTAGAGGCTAACAGTAAAATTTTATGATAATACTGCGAAAGAAAAGGAGCATAGTTACGAACTGTGGTAAGATGGGAGCTATTTGCACCCAAATCACAAGCTCTCAGATGCTCCAACCCAATGAAAATGAAAAAAAAACAGTATGGTTCAAAATCCGAAAAAAATCCAAAGTGTGCACATATCCCTAAAAATTTCCAGACTTACTAGATCAACATTATATAATTGAAGTCTCCATGATTATTATTGAATGCTCCCAATAATTTAATTTAATGCTCGCAATAATGCATAAAATCGTTGCAAAATTTCACAAATCAAAAATTTTGAAAAACTTATAATCTCCAAAATTTCTAGAAATTCTTATACAAATTCCAAAAGGTGTAGTATGGTTATGATCTATATAGTCATACTATGCTAATACGTACGCTCCGACAGATATTTTTATATATTTTTCTTACATTCAAAAAATCTTAAAAATTTCAAAAATTTTGACCCTCAAAGAATTTTCAGGAAACTGAAAACTTCACGCATACTGAATGCCCTTGCATCTTTATTATTCTCAATTCCTTGCGTAAACTTTGCAAAAACCTTGCAAATTATACTATGAGAAAGATCTTCGAGAATTTTCCTAAAGCGTGACCGTTAGGAATTCTGGTAATTTTCCGTGATTTTACATATGATTGTCTATTGCATATAGAGAAAATGCTGAGTATTATAAAAACCGCGACACAGGGTGAAACGGGTAACAGAAACGGATAACCTGGACAGTTTTTTTTTTTTTGAAAAAAGTGCGCGCCAGAAAACCGGTCTTCTGCCGCAGAAGACCTCGCAAAATTGCAGCTCAAGCGCAACGGTTGCGCTTGGGCTGCAATTTTGCGCTCTTGGTGGCCTGCTTCCTTCGCAGCACAAATCTTTGCCGCGCAGCGCAGATTTGTGGCGCGCGCGCCACAAATCCGGGCGGCATGGAGTAAGTGCGGCCAGAAGTGCGCTGGCGAGGCGTCCTCAGCTGGATTTCCAGCTGAGGACGCCCTCTCAGTGAGATTCTAGCTGGGGGCGCGATGGTGTCGCAAGGTAAAAACGCGCTGGCTAGTATTGAAATAGCTTAGACCTATACTACTGGCTTGAGTTCTTTCAATACTTGCGCGGGTTCGGATTGTGTTGCAGGCGGTGCCATAACTTGGCACCGCCCGAAAATCAATCCGAATCCGCATGGTGTACTGCATTCAGACTGAGCCCGGTGCCACTCGGCGATAAAAAAAAAAGAAGTATATATACACACTTCTTATTTTATTTTAAAACCCAGTGACACCCAGAAGCGAAAGACGTCGCTATGTTGGCGGTGCCACCCGGATGGCACCGGGTGGCACCGGGTCCACGTTGCGCAATTGAAGCGCCCGAAACAGCACGGCACGGAGGTGATTTCTTCACCTCCGTGGCGCGCTCTGTTTTTTTGCGCTACGGCTTCCATTTTTTGCATCTTTGCGTGCCTGCGTCAGCAGACGCGATTTTTTCATCCCGGAGGCGCGCATAGCGCCCGGCTAGCGGGCTCTCGCTCTTCAACTTGTCAACGGCCACGGGATCCGCCAGATTTTCCTTCAGGCTGAAGGGCGAAAAGGAAAGAAAGCCGGAAAGGGCCGGAAGGGTATTGGAATAACGGAACCCAATACCCGGAAAGCCCTTCCGCTTGGCTGCTTTTAAGGGAAAAGAGTCAGAATGAGGGAGGGAGGCAGGCCGCCATCCTTCGCAGCGGGCGGGCGACGCTGTTTGCGCCCTTTGGGGTTTGTGTGCTTTCCGCTTTTTAGCGCCCCGCTGTTTTGTAGTATTGGTTTGCGGCATTTCAATACTTTTCGTGGCTGGACTTTTTTGGCCGCTTCTCTGCTGCAGAATCTTGAAGCGGCCCCGAGGTTTGCCAGACCCTTCGCCAGGCTCAAGAACGGAGCGCAAGGAGGAAAAAAGGGCAAAGCGCGAAAAAGTATTGAACTAGGCGAAGGGAATACTCGCGGCGCCTCCGCCCCCCTTGGCGAATGAATGGGAAAAGGGGCGCAGAACCACGGTGGGCGTGCGGCGTTGATGTGCCGCCCTTGCCGGCGCGCGACCTCAAGACGCTTCAGCGGGTTTACTCCCTGCCGGCGCCTGGCCTTCTAGGCGCCCGACGTGCGCGAGACACGGCCCGCGCCGATAAGCCTTGAGCCTGCGCTCCTTGTGGCCCTTAGTACTGCTCTGCGCTTTTTTAATACTTTGGCTTGCGTTCCTCTCGTTCTGCGTGCGCGCCTGCTTCGCCGCCTTGGTGCCAATCCCACGGGGCCCCTGTCCCAATGTGGCAGCGGGCGGGCGGGGGAACGCAGCGGGCCCCAGCCTCGGAGCACCCATTGCGGATCGCCTGCACCAATTGGGAAACCCTGAAGCCACTCGGAAAGGCGGTTTCACCGCAGCGGGGCCCCTGTCCCAATGAAGGCTCCCCCACGGCAGGGCACTCCTGGCGCGCCCGCTCGGGGAGGGGGGAAACATTGGAACAGGGGCCCCAAGGGAGTGACACCGGGCCACAAGATCCCCAAGTGCGGCGACGTAGCCAGACCTCGCCTCCTGGCGGGGCGGGGGGCGCAGCGCCTCCTTGCTTGGTGGCACCCATTGGGACAGGGGCCCCATCGCGTTGGCACCGCCAGCACTGCTTGGAAAGCCCAGAGGCCCGGCGTGCCCTTCCACATGTCAAGCGTGTTCCAGTATTGACTTAGTGCAAGTCAATACTAGCACGCTTTTCGCCGGCGTTTCCGTCTGCGCGTCCAGCGGGAAAGGCATTGGGCAGGCATCCTCAGCGCCCCTCCAGCTAGAATTGCACTAAGGGGACGCCTTCGGCTGGAACTCCAGCGGAGGGCGCCCCTGCAGTGCATTTCTAGCCGCAAACACAGCAGGGAGGCCAACTGGTCACGCAGTCGGAAACTGTTGCCCTGTCGGATGAGTATTGATTTACTTTAAATCATTACTAATCTGCAGCGCTGCGTTACAAATTTGCAAAGCAGCATGGCAAATTTGCAATGCAAGGCCAGACCTGCGCCCCCGCGTCGCAAACTTGCAATGCTGCAGTACAAATTTGCAACGCAGCATCGCAAATTTGCAATGCAAGCCCAGACGGCGGGTGGCGATCCCGTGCGAACTTGCAGTACAAATCGGCTCTCGGGCTGATTTGTGTTGCATGAGCAGGGAGGGCAACTGGCCAAGCAGCCGGAAACGGTTGCACTGCCGAAGGAGTATTGATTTACTTTAAATCAATACTAATCTGCGGCACTGCTTTACAAATTAGCAAAGCAGCGTGGCAAATTTGCAATGCAAGGCCAGACCTGCGACCCCGTATTGCAAACTTGCAATGCTTCAGTTCAAATTTGCAATGCAGCATTGCAAATTTGCAATTCAAGTCCAGACGGGGGGCGGCGATCCCGTGCGAACTTGCAGTACAAATCGGCTCTCGGGCTGATTTGTGTTGCATGAGCAGGGAGGGCAACTGGCCACGCAGCCGGAAACGGTTGCACTGCCGGAGGAGTATTGATCTGCTTCAAATCAGTACTAATTTGCAATGCTGCATCACAAATTTGCAAAGCAGCATGGCAAATTTGCAATGCAAGCCCCGACCTGCGGCCCCGCATTGCAAAACTGCAGTGCTGCATTACAAATTTGCAATGCAGCACTGCAAATTTGCGACGCAAGTCCAGACGGCGGGCGGCGGTCCCGTGCGAACTTGCAGTGCAAATCGGCTCTCGGGCTGATTTGTGGCGCATGTTCGCGCGGGATCTAGGTTTGCACTTGGGGGGCGCGTGGTATTACCTGGCTCCTTTAGGTTCCGGATCGAAGGCGTTTCCGAGTTTTACTCGGAAATGCCTTGTTCGATCCGGCACCTAAAAGGACTGGCAGTTGTTTCCCCAAAAGAACCAGTGGCTCTGGCAACTGCCAGAGCCACTGGTTCTTTTGGGGAAACAACTCGCAATCCGGCACTCAGAGGGGCCACTGTCTCCGGCAGTACTTGCGGAAAAGTATTGGCCCCATTTGAACCAATACTAAAAAAAGGTGAAAACGCGACGCAGATCTGCCCTCCTGGGCGAATTTGCATCTCCGACAAGACGCGTCGCTGCGAGTCCATTTGCAGTGCGATTCTGCACTGCAAATCGACTCGCCCCGCGGAAGCCCGGCCGAAACGGATAACTTTTTTCAGAAATGCGAAGCGTCGGACTTCATGGTGTCCGACGTTTCGAATTTCTGAAAAAAGTTATTCGTTTCAGAAGGGCATTCCGATTTTGGCGTTTTCGCGTTCATTTCCAGGCGATTCGTTTCAGTCTTCCGCTTCACCCCTGATAATTCACAAGCAATCCTTGTGGTTAAAGTCACACTGTACGCACTTTCTAGGAGAACTTTGCTAGGTTGTTCTTCCTTTTTTGAGAAAAGAACCCTTTCTACGTGGTGCACTAAGTGTGTTTTCTTTGGAAAACATACTTGATCAGAAGAGAATTTGTTTATTAGCAAGAGAAGCTACTGGGTAGCTTTCAGACGTCGGACCCCATTAGAATATCTGGCAAAATCTGTGGCAAAATCTGTAAACGGGGTCCCAAGATCAAGACTGTGCCGGGGAATGGGACCGCGGTCCATCACCGCTCATTAAGTAGCCTAATAGGGTAGCCCCAGGTGCGGAAGAACCACCGGAAGCCACCGCGAAAAGGCACAAAAACGCCGCGAACACCGCGCAAGGGGGGCGGGGTGCGGAGAACCCTTCCCCCCCCCTCCCCCGGACAGGCTCCCCCCGCCGGCCGGCGGACAGGGCGGCGCTCGAAGTCGCCACGAGGCGAACGCGTGGGCGCGCAGCGTGCCTCCCGCGCGCGGAGACGAGAGTCGCCACAAGGAGACGGCATATCCCGCGCGACGACGCACGCGGCCGGTCCCGCAGAAAGTGCTTCAGAACATCTCCCCGATCCTAAAAAGGCCTACCCGACCCCATGCGCGCGAGTAGACCGGGGGCGCCAAGGAAGGCGCGATGCACCCCGCTTCGGGGTTTCGCGAACCGCGGGTGCCCGCATCTAAGTGCCTCCATGCCGGCGGGTGCCGCCGCGCCTGGCGCGCTCAGTTTTGCTAGGGTGTAGAAAAGGACTCGGGGATATGGGACTCCGAGAGCCTGCAGTCAGCCCGGACTATCGAGTGGGTACCGCGCCCCCCTTCCCGCCGGAAAGACCGGCGCCGCCCGACCAGCATAAACCGCACTCGTTCCTTGTTGTTTTCGTGCTTTGCTACTGGAGAGGGTGGTGGGCGCTCGACGTGCCCCCTCCCCAGCCGCACAAGGAGCCGCAATGATATCATTCCTAGTTCGAGGCCACTCGGCGGATCAGCGTTCGGAGCTGAATGAGCGGAGAGACATTTTCGACGCAGTTATTCCGAGAGAGAATGGATGGCGCAGCCGAGGCATGCTACCCGAACGATCACGCCCGCAAAGTACAGCGAGCGCGTGCCGCCGGTCGAGCGTAGGTTAAGATTCCAAGATATCGGTGCGTAGGGTGCGATATCTTTGCCTCGACGAGGCCAATTGTACACGTGGCGCGTTGGCGCCAATCTTTTCAAATCGGCCAGAATCTAATTACACTTTGCGCAGCAGCTCGTGGCTTGGTCACAAAAAACGGATGCGCGGAGAGAGCGGACGGTAGACCCGGGCGCGAACATGGCACACCTCTCTCGGCTCCCACCCGCTCGGGAGGCCGAAGCAGCCTTGAAGATTTGCCCCGAGACGCGGGGGGTTTCGAAGGCGCTTCTGCTGACGTCAACAACACCACCGTTTTGCAACTTGGCCCGGAAGAAGCTCGGCGAAGGAGGCTTTGCTGAGGTGTTGTTGGGCTTTCGGCGGCTTGCAACGCGGCGGCGCGGATCGGACGCGACCTCCCGGACGCTCGGGGTCCAAGACCTCGCGAGCTTCCACCGTCCTCTGCATGAGTTACCCTCTTCTACCCCCCGAAAAATTCATCGGGAACGCAGTCGACCGGAACACCGATGCCACAGCCCCTGCCCGACCGCCAGAACCTCGCGTCGCGCCAGCTGCCCCGCGAGCTTACTCGGACAAAGCAAAAACTTCTACAAGTACTTTGAAGAGGTTGCGATCAAGGTCACGCAGCGAGCGATCACCGGCGAAGAAAAGCCGCTCTCGCCCACAAGGAATGCACCCATAGAAGCTGAGCGCGGTTCGACACGGATCGCAGGCGACGCACGAGCCGCACCAGCGCAAGAACAAAGCGCGGCCCCCGCGGGTGCCGTAATCGAAAATGTTGTCGCCTCGGCCGCCGGAGTGCCATCGGCACGAGCAAGTTGCGAGGACGGGTGCTTCGGAGTGGTTCTGCAAATCCTTTCCGCACTGCAAACCGAAAATCGCCACAACAAGACAGCCGGGGCAGCCGCAGAAAGGCCCGGAGCGCGAAATTTGCAACCTAGTCGTAGCCCCGGCATTTCCCAAGCCGTAGACGCGCGCGCCCAGCAAAGCGAGCGGCTAGAACAGAGGAACCTGGAGATCCTTATGCAAGCGACAGCAAAGAAATAGAGATCGGGGCGTTGGAGCAAGGAACTCGAACTACTTGCACTGCTTCGCGTACATATCTGCATGGGAAGGTCTGAATGGACTTTGCAGCCACAGTGTAATCCTCACAGCCAGTCTCCCTAGCTGCTTGCAAATAAGCTGCCATATCGCGACTATGTTCTGCAAAAAAAGCGAAAGATGCGCATTAAGGCTAGAATCAGTTTCTTTGTCCAACGACTCAGACGGGTTTTGTCCTCCCCCGGGATACGGTTGCGCAAGATCCAGCAACGGCCGCATCCCAACGTCGTGACGTTTTACGGAAGCTTCGATCACCGCTCACAGCGCTACCTCGCGCTGGGTTTGCTGAAGTTTGACCTGAGTGTCTTCTTCGACGGGATCCTGCAGCGGTGCAAGGTGCGAGACTTGGATAGACTTTTCTTCCAGAGCCAACTGCACGGCAGCGAAAATTCTGGCAAGCCCGGCGTTGCTGGAAGTAGTGGTGACTTCAGGATGGTTGCGAAAGCAGACGAAACGCGGCAGAAGAGAGGACTGAAAAGAAAGCAATCAGAGTCCAGTCTTGTGACCAACAACGGCCCAGGGGAAAGCATCGTGCGCGAACTGTTCAACCAGCTTGTCCGGGGAGTGCATCACCTCCACGACGCGTTGAAGGTTGTATCCTGGGAGATGAGGACGCTCGTGACTATGAATGCTTCATCAGATGAAAATAACGCTTGTCTACTTTCGATCATGCAAAGACAGACGCAAGAACTTATGTCGCTGAAAACGTTTGTCGTGATTATGTTGTTGCTGTTGGAGAACTCATGCAGAATTTCTGTCCAAAATGATAAGTACTTTTGACAGGAAATATGCGACGGAGATACATAGGTGGTCACGAGTGTACTAGTCTCGTTCTTGATAGTGCGCGCATCTGGATCTGAAGCTCGAGAACCTGATGCTTGCGGAGGTGCCACAGGTTTACTGGGAAAAGAATCGTATGATTGAGGAGCTCATCCGGTTTTCGAAGGAACAACAAACCGAATTTTCTGAGCCACCCCGATCGACGAGTGCCAGCCATACGACGGCGAGTAAAAGCAATATCGCTACTACTTGTACCGCGGAAACGAGTTACAAGCTGAACAACAACTCCGAATTCGTACCGAGCGCGGCGACGTGCGCGCAGCAACACGAGCACGACTGGAAGATATTCTCGCACGCCCGGTCGGCGAAACCACCCTTCTTGCTGAAGATCATCGACTTTGGCATCAGCTTATGCTTGGCAGAGGTAGAAGTTGTATCGCAAGTCCAAAGGATTTTTCCCATACAAAAACACGGACTTCAAAATGCATGACAATCAACATGGTGAAAAATAATTGGAATTTACTGTGCTCTACAAAGGCTGAGCGCTAAAACTCGTAATCGATGCAGAACCAAAACTGCGATGTACTTTTGCGTAGCATACAGCTTGCCCTTCGGCGATGAGGCAGTGGTGCGGTCGGACCGCATTCCGCTCGGGACCCGCGAGTATCGACCGCCGGAGCTGCACTGGAAGAAGGTGCGGGAGCAGACAAAGATCGACGTCCGGAAAGTGGACTGGTTCGCGTGCGGAGTGGTGTTGTTCAAGATGAAGTTTCTGGGGAGCAACGGCGGCTTTTCGACCAAGCACCGTTTTCGGGAAATCGTGGTCGATCACCGAGAAAACAGCCGAATCTTGGTCCACTCCCAGACCGCGAATGGGGAGACCATCGGCCTGGAGGAGTTTCTGGACACGCACAACTGTGTATGGCATGTGCACTTAACATGCTTTTGCGCCCCTCGCATTCAAGTTGCAGAAAAGAGCTGCTGTACTTACGCATGGAAGCGTGTAGCGGATGGCGATGCAAGCATGCACAGAAGCAGTGCTGTAGAAATCTCAACCTACGGGAGCAGGTATTAAGATGGTTTATGTGTTGTGAAGATCCCCCCGATCCCGGCAGGATTAATTTGCAGCACCGCAACTGCATCAACGGAGCGCCGTCTTTATGCGACAAATTTGGGAAGGGGAGCATGATTTAATTGCATACTGCGGCAGCGATTTCGCCCGGCTGATTTCCGGATTGCTCGACCGCGATTGGCAAAAGCGTTTCGGGTTCCGGGACCTCGCCTGCGACCCGTGGCTGCACGCGTTGTAGCGGGTGCGCCACTTGTTCTTCGCGGACTTGTTCTAGTTGCACCTGCCCGGTAGTAACTACACAGGCGTGCTGGTGCGCTGCTCCGTACTTCGCGGGCTCTGGTTTTGCGTATTGACGAATTTTTGAAGGAAGAACGAATTGCTGTGGCCTCTCTATGTGCTGTAGCTGTCATATCAATGAAGTAGTACCACCAACATCTTCAACATCGTGTAAAATATTTTTTGTGCACCAGGCGCACGACACGTCAGGTCAACACACTGTTTTGGTAAGTAAAGCAGTAATGAAGTGTGAATTTCGAAATGATTTTTTTGGAAAAGGACCGAGCATGTTTCAGACTTTTCGCGGTGAAGTGATTGTAGGACAAGTGGCGGTAATCAGGGTCAAGAACCATTCACGGTTACTAGGTGTTTTTGTTCTTGTTGGTCCTTGGTTGGCGAGTCTCATATATGGATGTCTCTGCGAGGTCGGATCATCGTCATGCGTCTGCCTACTGAAGAAGCATTGGATCGTCCTGCGTTGCTCAAGTAGGTAGCTTTGGAACGACCAAAATTTTGTCGACATTTCATACTTGCAGCGATTGGCGGCGCTCGGGCTTTTGCTTTTCGTAGCTTTTCTTTTCTCATTAACAAGACCACACAACATCATAAACAAAGCAATTTATTAGTTTTGACTTTTGTAAAAAAAAATGACTCCCTTCTATTGCGATGCTGGACATCAACTCGACCGAATACTCGTCCTCATGTGCTGAGCAAAGTCCCGTTGTTTTTTCGCTGAACGGGAGCAATTTGGTTCAAAAACCGACCAACCGGTGCAGTGCCACCGTGTTTCCCAGCCCGCTGAAGCGGAACAAGAAATACTTTCTCTACCTCGCCATGAGCGGTTTGTGTGCGCTCTTTTCCGTCGTGTGCGCGGTGGTTTTTTTCTGCCTCGGGGGAACCACGGGTGCGACGGTACTGCCCGTGCGCAACTTCTCTGGCACTCCCTCACCAGCGGGCGCGGGAGCTTCACCCGACAACGACTTCGAACTGCTTCCCGACAGCGCGGAGCAGATGGTGCCCCTCGCGAATCCGAAGGGCTGGTGGTGGCTGAAGGACTTGCAGTTGCAGAAGGATCATGACCATGACACGGTTTCTGATGACGGGGACCGTAGCACACAACCCCCGGCGTCCCCAAGTGGACAGTGGTCCCCGAGAAGGGACGCGGGGTCGCCTATCGCAACTGGTGGGGTCGTTGAAGGCGCAGCGTCGGCAGGAGGAAAGCGCGAAGGTGCAGAAGCGGTGCGGCGAGGACTCCCAGCTCGCGGGTGGATCGACGACCTGGTCGCCGCGGCAACGGCACAGGAGGAGAAAGAGAAAGCACAAGATGACGACGTCGGACAGCGTCTAGTTTCGAACGACGTAGAAATGGGGCAGGAGGAAATCGCGAAAGCGAACGCCTCATGGCCGCAGGCGGCGACACCTCCCAGGCAGCAAACTATGGGCATGGGGAAAGGTAGTGCAGCGAACGATGGTGCGCAAATGGTGAAAAGCAGGCCGAAAGATATAGTACATGTGCACCGAAATAAAGCGGAAGACGAAGACATGTTGCCCTCGCCAGACGTCATGTTGTCGCGTCGTCCCGCGGAGCATGACTCTGAAGTGGTATCCGAGGGTCAACATCATGCGGGCGAAAAGAAATCCGAAGCAGCAGCTGCATTCTCATCGCTTCCGTCACAGCAGGAAGATGCAGAGCCCGCCGAGAGTTTCCTGCTGGAACAGAGCAGCACTTCGCTTTTGGACTTGGCGCAAGGGCACTCCGCTGCGGCCGAGGGGCCAGAGGGAGTGCCAGTTGCAATAGAAAAAGACGCGTCGGATATTAGTCCGAGTTCAAGCGCAATCCGCTCCGACACCAGTCGTGCATCATTTCCACCAGTTCTAGCAGACCAATACGAGTGGCACGATTGCAGCGCGGAAGAAGATTTAGCCGCGTGCTTCGCGGAGAAAGTCCGAGTGCAAGGCGCAGAAGGAGGAGAGCAGGAGGCGCAGGAATGGAGCCTTCCAGAGGATAGCGACGGAATAAACAGCACGACGAATGATCCGGCAACATTAAGAGGGAGCGATCGTTCAGCTGGAGCAGGTGGCTCCGACTTAACAACTCCTCCGACTCTCCCGTTCCAGCTGCTGACTGAGACCGACTGCGACGGGTCGTCCCCTCCGAGGCAGACGTCTTTTAGCTCGATGGAAACGAAGTCCGCAGCGATTCGTGTGGACGAGGGGCAAGGAAACAATTGTGATACTACAACGGATAGTACATCAGAAGTTCCGGAAGAGTTTTTCCCGGGTCTTCGCACCACGAGCGCGGTCGGTGCGACCCAGACCAATGGGACGGAGGAAAAGTATCACACCACGAATACAAAGGAAAGCAGCTCCCTGGTCGCAAACCGAACCACAAACGCTTCCTCGACCGCTACGTCCGAGCCGTCGGCGACGAAAACGACCCAGCGGAGCACCGACGTCAGCCCTACCCGCGTTCCGCCTGAGCAAAGAGAGCAAACGCTGGAAGTGAGGATGAGTCATCCGGGACTGCCACCTGCAAACCAGCCCCAGAACCAGCTCGCACGCACGCCGGAACTTGTTAACGCAGCTCTGGAAAACAAGCCCCAGACGCTGCTGGACGAGGTCCGGCTGTTTCGGCTGAAACAGCTCTACTCGCCGCTGGACGACCCACTCACGACGACCGCGGAAAAAGCCAGTTTGCACCGCCGCTGGCTGGCGAAAGCGATCTTGGCGCGGAAAGTGTTCGGCCCGCAACTGGCACTGCAGCTGATGCCGCGGAGCCGGCGGAACAGTTTGCTGACGCGAGTACGCAACGGGTCTTTCGCTACCTTCCCCTCGGAAGAAATCGGTAAGGTGTACACCAGATTGATGGAAAGCGTGGTTTGGCAGCGATCGATCAACGATAAGCCTGACAAGTCCCTGTCGGAGGAGGAAGTGCGGATCAAAAAGGATATCCACCTACTGGAACTCGACATCTTGCGCACCCACCTGTTGCAGATCAAGAGAAGTGAAAATTCTTCCGCATCTACTTGCCGTGGTCCCACTTCTACTGCTGGAAGTGCCTCTGCTACAGACACTAAACCAGCAGAAGGCACTGCAACGTCGTGTACAGGAACCACGTCGTCCAGTAGCTCGGTCAGTACAACCACTTCTGACGAATCTTCGAAAAAAAGCACCTCGTCCCACCTGTTCCACCTGACGGAACGGGAGCAGACTATCATCCGCGACGTGCTCAGCGCCTACATGTTTCTCCCCGCGGCCACGTCGGTGCCGTACACGCAGGGCATGACGTTTCTCCTGCACGAGCTGGTTTTGTCCATCAGTTTCGTCGAGGAGGAGGCGTATTTTTGGCTGCTCCTTTACTTCCTGCACTCGAAGAAATTGACCCGGGCGGGAGACAGCGGGCAGTATTTGGTGGACCAAAAATGGCTATTGGCGGACGAGATTGTGGAGGACCATAGCGAAAGAAGCCCGAAAATTCGAGGAACTGCACCTTTAGCGGAGCACGACTTCCTGCTCGTGGACGACTCGTCTTCGAGTCAAGGGTCTTCGGCCAATGGTGCGGTTGCCGTTCACTCGTCCTCCAGTGGGACCAACACCGTCGGGCTGCACATGCGATTTTTGTTCACGGTGCCGTTTGACTACTCCCGAAAGATGTTCTTCGCCAGCCTCGTGCACGCCTTTCCGAGCCGTGAGTTGGTCAAGGGGGAGAACGCCGATCTGCTTGGCGTCGCGAACGGTGCCAGTGACAAGATCTTCCAGCGTAGTGCTGTAGTCGACCAAGAAGATTTCCTTCCGGCCGCAGATCCGCCGCGTCTTCCCGTGCACGACAAAATCGCGAGCTTTGTCCAAAGCACGAGCCTGCCGGCCTCGATGGAGGAGGTGAAACGGCTGCAGCGCGGAGAGCGAGCCAGTCGCTCGACCGAGAACTTTGCAGGAAGTAAAGGAGTGCCGCTGCCCAGATCTTCGAATGCCAGCATCCGTAAGATATCTCCGGCGGATACTAACAGTCTCGATCCCCGCCTCAGCCGCAGCCAAATGCAGGCGCTCGTGGACCAGCGGGTGAGAATTTTTCCGCGTCACCGAATCTTCGTCGACCTTGTCCACACCGCGGCGAGCTACTGGAATGTCGGGGTCCTGGGCGACGAGTTGGACCTCGAGAAAACGATGGTGTCGGAGCAGCTCACCGTGGTCTTGTCCAAAATTTTTTTCGCACAGTTCACGCAGCTTCTTCCGGCGCCGGTAGTGCGGCTGATCTTCGACGAGTCTCTGCGGGAAAACGCGTACGAGCCCAGTTTCGTCGCGGCCACCATGGCAGTATTCGATTTGATCTACGCGAAGTGGGTGTTTCCGGACAAGGGAGGCAGAATTGACCACGGACAGAATGGTTTCTCTTATGCACAAAATGGGTATCCTCGTGGCAGCGCGGCAGAGGACCAAATCAGCTTCTTCCCGGAGGAAAACCAGCTTCGCAGCGATGATCCTGATCTGCTTGCTCTCTCTATGCAGGAGCAACTGAATCTCGATTCCGTGACCAACCAGGAGCTCCGGGAGGAGCTGCAGGGCATTTTCCGCGACCCCTACGCCTACCTGAGTGACATCCCGTTTGCGACCTGGCGGTTTGCGTTCTTCCGCGCCCGCGCGACCGTGGGCAACGAGATTGTGGATAGTGCCGGCTTTATGGACCGGTTCAAGAATCCGCCCATGCGGTTTGTGGACTCGGTCGCGACGGGGCTGGACATTGACCGAATGTTGAGGAGCCAAGGCACCCGGGGTGGAGGCGACAGTCCGACGTCCGCCGCACAACAGGCGGCCAGCGGGATCGTGTCCGCTGGAAAGAACATATTCCGGTCTATGGATCGGTTTGCCTCCTCGATCGGAGGTTTGTTGCATCAACCTTAAAGTCCTGCCTGATTCAGGAGCGTTCGTGTACTTTAGTTCGATTTTGATTCACCAACATTTTTCTACGCACTTCTTGTTTGCGAATGTCCCTGACCATTACTCGTAGAATGTTGAAACGTACTTAAGAGTTGAATTCAGATGACGGTGTACCAAAATTTTGGTACTATGGGAATACAGAAATTAAGTTTTGGAACTGTAAAGTGGAATTGCGACCGATGCGATAAGAAGTGATAGACGGAAAAGAACAATAGCCGCTGCCTGGCCATCCCTGTTTCAGTTCCAGGAGAGACGAAAACTTTGGCCGTCTCATGGTGAAAAAAGCAAAACGCAGGAGGTCGAGCGGGGAAGCATGGTGCGAAGAAAAGGGCGACAAGCCAATGACGCGATGCGCTCGAGTGCAACTTTGTGTACAGGGACAAGTTTGTCGGCGGGCCAGAGAGATTTAAGAGTGCACGAGGGAAGGCAACTCACGTTCTCATCTGGGCTCGTGCGAAAAAAAATGTGCCTGGGAGTGCGCCATAGGGGTCGGCCTCGTTTCGTAGATTGCATACAAGATGTAGCATGCAAAATAAATCAGCAAACACGGCTCCGTAAAAATATCATGGTCTCCCGACGAGGACGGCTGTTTTTCCTTCTCCTCCACCCCCTGCGTTTTTTTTCGCAGGGGGTGCGGGTGCAGGTGAAGACAAAAAACGCGGCTTCGGATCTGAAGGAGGAGGAGACGCTGTACCAAGTCATGAACAAGCACGAGCAGGCGGTCACGCCCGAGGACCAGGTGTACCGGATCGGGGGCCTGCTCACCACCATGCAGGACAAGGTGAACGGCGCCAAGTCCGCCTTGCAAACGCTGAACGAAACGGTGGAGAACACGTACATCACCGCGCAGGCCCAGGGACTCGAAGCGCTGGACAGCGGGATTTTGCAACAAGCCGTGGAGCGCGACCGCGTGGAGGCGGGCAGATTGGATGACTACTTGCAGCAATCCCGAACCTTTTTGTCGACGATCCGCGGAATCCTGGATTCGCACCCGAACGCGGAGTCCTGCGCCGACCTGGAGTGCGGGGACCACGCGACCTGCCGAGTGACGCCCTCCGACACGGAGCCGAAGGACAAGCCCGCGTTCTACGAGGTCCCGCACTGCTCGTGCGACCCGGGCTACGAGGGCGACGGCTTTCTTTGCACCCTGCGCAAAATGTCGGTGAACGCCATGTTTCTGGACGACACCGCGTACCAAGGCGCCGGGAGCAGCAGTGGTGCCTCTGCTTCCGGGAGCGGCGCCGGGAGCAGCAGTGGTGCCGCCAGTGGGAAAACGAAGGTTGGCGCGAAGATTGACGGCGTTGCGATGGCGGCGTCCCCCAGTGGGGGCCTGATTTTCGTCGTCTACCGCGACGCAGAGACCAAGCTCGCGCACTTGCGTCTGGGAAGACAAACGCTCGGGCGGGTGTTCTGGCCCGCAAACACGACCGGAATCTTGTTGCACGAAAAACCGGTGCTGGCCGAGGCGCTGGACATCCAGTACGACGATACCACACACACGGTGTACGTGGCCTTCGTCGAGTCGAGCACGAAAGCGGGTTACGTCGCGAAAACTTCCGCCACGAACGCGCTGGAAAACTTGGCGAAACTCGTCGAGCCCGTGCAGAAGTCGCCCAAGCCCTACGGGCGCAACCAGGACGCGAAGGCGCGCCTTCTGCTCACGCGGATCGACCCCACGCAGACCGACCCGAACGTGCTCGTCTTCTTCGGGGACCCGGAGAACAAGGTCGGGCGGGTCGCGTTGGCGAGCAACCCGGCGGAAAATAACTTGCAGTTTGACGGCAATTTTGAGTTCTACGTGGGCAAAGTGACGAACGTGAACGTGGTCCCGATCGCCACCGCCGCGGGGAAGTTCGTCGTGGCTTTTCACGGCGATGTCGCCACCAACGCAGAGGACACGGCCGTGCTGCGGGTGGGAAAAGTCGACGCCGACGGGAACATGTTCTTCTACAAGCCGTTGAAGGTCGGAATCATCGGTGCCGACCTGTCCTACCATTCGCTCGCGCTGGTCGCGGAAAACACGGTGGCGCTCAGCTACTACGACGCAGGTAGCGGATGTCGGTGTGTTGTGGTTCTTTCCGACCTAAAGAAAGTCATGATCGCCGCGTTGTACGTGTAATGAGTGTTTGCATGATAATGATATGAAATCCACCTCAAGGCAGAGCTACAATCGAATTACATCACAGATGACAACTTTAACCGCGAGGCTGTGATCACGGTGAACGCAACGGGAAACAGCCTGCAGCTCGCGGACCCTACGTATCCGAAACTGATTCAGAACCCCAAGGGGTCGGACTTCCGGGGCCCGGCACTGGTGGGCACTGAGTTGTCTGTTCCGTTCGTGGCACCGGGAACCACACCAAAAACCCTGATGTACTTCGCACCGTTGGAAGGGCAGCCCGGGCTGTCAGGTAGGAATGTTTTGTGTTGCTGCAGCAGTAGGACGGCATAGCATTCAGAAGTCAGGCAAGGGACCATTTTTGTTTGCTGGAACAAGGAACGCAGTCGCAAAAATAAATTAATGACTTCGTTACAGGCAGCGTTACCCGGCTTTGTGGTCTGCAGGCCGACAGCATGGCAACAGACACGTGCGATAAGATTCCATTTGCGGGGGCACGGCCGATTAAGATCGCCGTTGGTGTGCCAGTCGCAGAGGGAAACGTTTTTTTCGTGTACATAAACCAAGCAGGCGTAGCATTTCAGGAGCTGAAGACCGTTGTGGATATGACCCCAGGCCCAGCCGAGGCCGCTCTAGCATGAACAGAAGAACTTTTTTCCACCACGCGCAGATATATTCGCGCCCTTGTGCTTGAGGCAAGTTCAGTCGAGACTTCTGTTGTTTCCTTCTGCATTATCTGAGTGTTCGTTTCCTGCTGTACGATGAAGCGCCGCGCGCGGTAGAGGAGGGAAGGTGCAGTAATGAACGATATGACGGTGGTGTATTCGATGACGATGAAGTTGAACACGCTGATGGCTGATGCTGCCAAAAGTTGTCCGTTTCGCATGTAGCTGCATTGACAACATCATCAACAATGACGGTACGAGGACCCAGGAGGCCAAAAAGGTCCGTAGTCACAAAATAACGACCGACATAGAAGACAAGTTTTCACCACTTGTGGCTCCTCAGACTGATCACAAATTCCCTTTACCATGGCGGTCTCGTTCTCCGCCGCGGAGGGTATCGAGGGTCGGCAGCGCAAGCTTGTCCAAATTGTGGAGAAGCTGCAGCAAGTGCCCTCGTCTACGGTCCCGGAGTCGAACCTGCTCACCCAGTTGGTGAAGCTGTTCCACCCCAGTCGCGGCCTACCAGTGACCGAATTCCGCAGCTGCTGCTTCCTCTTGTACCAGATCGCGCGGCAGATCGTGCGCAGTCTGCTGCGAGAGGAGTACGAAAAAGTCGAATCGTCGAGCGTCGAGGACACAAGGACACCGATTCAGCGCGGGATTCTTCAAAACCAACAGGGCACGTATCCCCACACGTTCGACCAATTGATCGTCTGCGCGGACTGCATCGTGAACTGCCTCACGCAGCTCGCTCTGGACTCCGAAATTGCAACGACCTGGCCGGTGGAAACCCTGCTCGAGTTTCACGTGTTTGCCGTGGAGTTGCTGCAAAAGCAGACCTTCCAAGAACAGGATAACAACAAGGCACGGCTGCGAAGGATACGGCAGCGCACGGTGGAAGGTTTCTCCCGCTACGCCGCGAACCAAAGCACAAATTTACTGGCGCAGCGCATCCTCGGACACCTGTTTTTGTTCAGTGGCGACAGAAAAATTGCGCAAGCCTCACAGTCGCCAAGCAGTAGGGGTGTTCTGGCATCATCAAAACATGATTTTGATTTTTCGCCAGCACAAGCACCTATGTTCACTTCTGCACACGAGCTGGAGGAAGAGGATCCAATGCGGCTGCCGCGCTTGGTGACCGACCTCATATTCCACTTACCCGTCACCGTGGACGATGTGCTCGAAGCGGCGAGAGCGCTCCTCGTCGAGGAATTGTGCGCGATTGAGACAAAAAATATATTCGCACCAGCCACAGCAAGCGAGCCATTGCTCAAGAATTACCTTGCGCTTGAGCAAGCGGATCTCTTCGGAGAAGATCTTCGCGTCGACCCGTCCACGGGACTCTTCGTGGCAAATTTGAATCTGAACAGCCAGGAGCTTCTGCAGCAAAGCAAGCAAACCGCAGTGGAACACAAATTGGGGCAGTGGCTGCGGGTAGAACGGACACCGAATAATTCTGCATCGGATGGTAGAGCTGCGGGAAATGATCGTGCGAAGGATCATCAGAAAGAAGTGTGGTATGTGATCGACCCAGTGCAGGTTTTGACGAACGCGAAAGTGCCAGGTAATGAGAGAAAAATCCCGCCTGGATCGGGCACGAGCAACGCAGCAAGCAGATCTGCGTCTACGTTGAGTTCTTCTAGTAGTAACCACGACCCGCTCGGATCCGCGCTACATCACCACCTCTCCCGCATGCTTGTGGAGGACTCCGCCAACTTGCAGAAATTTTTGGTGCAGATTCTGAGGGTCATTCTTCTTCTCTCTGATCTTGACATGGAGGTGCGTACGGAGTTTCAAACCGAGTTTTCCCCAGTGAAGCGAACTCGCAGCAACTACAACTCGGGGTCCGCTTCAGAAAGACAAGACACCTCGACCGGAACGACAGCCACAGACCACACTGCAACTCAATCGCAGAGCTCACAAAATAGACAGCAAAATTCCAACTCCCCGTCGAGAAAAGCGCAGCTGGCGCGGTTCGCGACGCTGGCGAGCCAGCAGACGAAGGGCCCGACGCAGCAGAAGCCACTGATGGTGCCAAGTACCGGGACTCTAGCGGAGGTGGAGGAGATGCAGAAGGTGGAGGAGGATTTCGACGAGATCGCCAATCACGAAGCCGTTTTATACCAGCAGCGGTACAAGGTGTTGGCAATCTGCGAAAAGTTTGACGCCGACATCGACCGCGTGATGCGCGACGCGGACATCCAGGCCATGTACTATGAGGAGATCATGTTGCACTTTCTCCTGGAAGTCGCCGACAAACTGCAGGAATTAAGTCCTGAAAGAATTCATTCCGCCGGAGGTGGAGCGGTGCGCACAACAACAGGAGCAGTGAGTTCGTCCTCCTCCTCTTCGTCGCTTTTTGGTGTTGAACACGAACTTCCGCAGCCAGCTTCTTCACCGGCCGTGCTGGGAAACGCAATGGAAGTGTTTCGGCACAAGAATCTCGGAGAACTGCAAGGTGGTAAAACGATGAACAATAACCACGTGTTTCTAACCGCTGCGGATTTTGGGAACCGTCGCGCGTCCCCGGCTTTTCAGAAACGGAGGAGCAACAAGTCGAGCTACGCGAAGAGAACGCAACTGGGGACCAAATTCGTGCAGCCGAAGGAGCATGCGTTGCCGTACGCCCCGTTACTCGACGACTACGACAGCGGTCTGATTCAGTACGGTGGTAGGTTGGAGCAGCCCTTTCCCAACTTGAACGATAGGATTCCCAGCGGAAGCACTTTTCGGAACAAAAACTTCCCCGAGCTGACCGTGAACACCGTTGGTGGGTACAGAAATGGCACCGTATCCGCGCTCGTTACGCCTTCCTCCCGGAAAAATGGCAATGCGCAGATGCTTGCTGGAAGGAAGCAGCAACAATCTTCTTCGCAAAAGCTGACACAGCTCAAGCTGCAGGCGTACTTCGCCAACCACCGCGGTCTGACAAGCGACCGCGCGGTGCAGGATTTTTTCCACCCGCAGAAGCACCAGAGGAGGATCGCAATCGTGTTCGAAGTCTTCGCAGACCATTTAGTCGACCTGAAAAACCGGATCGACGCGCGACAGCACGTGTTCGACGAGAAGAGGCAAACGATTGTGTCTTTCTCGGAGAACAGCAACGCGAAGTCGCAAGTATTCGAGAGCATGGAGCAGCTGCTGTCCGGGGAGCCCCTGTTCCGCGCACTGAGCTGGGCACTGGATCCGGAGTTTGACGCGGAGAAGATGCAAAAAGCGCTGCTGAAGCAATCGGAGCTGCTCCTGTCCGAGAAGACCGCGTCGACCGTCGAAGCGCACGACTGCCAGGAGAAGCTGGTGCACCTGATCCTGCACGAGCTGGTCCCGTTCATGCGCGAGGAAAAGCTGGACTACGATGTCGTGGACAAAAACAGTAATCAGGCCGCCACCCGAGGCGACAGCAGTACGAGCTTTGACGAAAACGCGCTCATGCAGGACGACGACGAGGATGTCGTCGTCGCCACAGCTGCGGCCGACGATGCAGAAGCGAAGCCAGGAACAAGTCCATATAGTTTTCACGTGCCGTCTTCTTCGAAGACGGTCTACCCGTCTTCGTCATCGGGTGAGGAAACACAGACGACAAAAGACACGACGACGGAGCAGCAAAGTGCTGTGCACAGCAAGTCATTCTCCTCTTCACGCGAGCCGCGAGGACCGCTTTCCTACGCGATTCCGCTTCCGGTGTGCGCGCGCGAACTTCACGTGGAAGAGACGTCGTCTGGGGGCGGGATAGCGAGCTGGTTTCGGGGGCGAGTTGGACAGAAACCAGCGCTGAAGCCGCGCCGGGAAGCAGTTTCTGAAGCGGCTTCCGCAGACACGCCATCGGCCGCTGCAAACGCGAAAACAGCGCGCGCGGCGTACATTGTCAGAAGCAGCGAGTGGAGGCGACTGCTGGGCAAAGGACAGCGGTCAGGCGCTGCGTTTTTGACTCATGTGCTCGCATTGATCATGGTTCAGAAGACAAGTTTTCTTTTCCTTCCGAAGCAGCATCGTCGAATTTTGCGCTTTTTGCACTCGCGCTTTTTGACAACTTTTGACGCTGAGGCGGTGTTGACATTGAAAGACGAGTCAATAATTACTGCTCACACATGAAAACGACGAGCCCTTCTGCATTTTTGCGGGACAGCACAGAAGTTTCGCGCTGTCTCGGACACAGCAATGCGGTCTGTGGCGATTCCGATTTTGATCGGGTGAGTGTTTTTTTAGATTGTTCGCGGGTTGCCGTTCTCTTTGAAAAACAAAACATGAGAGCTACGCGCCACGTGTTCAAAAACGACGAAGAATAGCGCGCCGCCCTAGCGGGCCGAGTGCTGCCGATCCGCGTGCGCCTCATGGTCAGGCGAGTTCGCGGACGACACGAACCGCCTCGACGATTGCGCAGCCGCGGGCGCCGGAGGCAAGCGCGAGGAGCCTGGCGCAATCTACGTAGATCCTGCGAAGCCGGCGCGGATCGAGGAAAACGCCGACAAAGGAGATGCCGCGGACCTACTGCGGTCAGTGCGGCGAGAGGCTCCCCGGCGTGTTCCTCGACGAAGACAAAGAGCGCAAAGCTCGCGCGGCAGGCGCGTGGCGCAACTTCGCGGACGGCAGGCGGAGGGCATTCGGCCTGAGGCTTGCGGCAGCGGATAAGAAGGCCGCGGCGGTAGACCGCGCTTTCCGCGCTGAAGGCGGGGCCCCATACTGAGAACGTTCGGCGGCGGCGGCGTGCACATCGTAGCCCTAATCCCGCCGAACATGTACGCTGGGCCGCCGGCTGGAGATGGCGGGACGCGGCAAGGCCCGCGGCCCTCGGCGTCGGCGACTACGCGCCCGGCTGGCTGTTGGGCGCCGGCGCGCCTCGGGGGCCGGGCAGCGAACCAGCGCGGAGCGGGAGCCTGCGCGCCCCTTCAATAGGGGCGCGTGGGTGGCTCTGCGGATCGACGCTCCAAGGGGCGGGGTAATCTGTCTGGACGTGGCGGGGTGGCGGAAGGACAAGGACGGCGCGGGTTGGTTCAAGGACAGGAGCAGGGATTTTTTGCGCAGTTGGGAGCGGCCTCCCCCTGGGCCAGCGGTAGCCTTCTCGCGGGTGATTTAAGGGCGAAGGCGCTGCCGAGCAAACCGCGGCAGCCGGGAAAGTACGAGGGACCGGGCCGCGGGGGCCGCTCTGGTGCCACGCGCCGCAAGGCGTCCCGTTCGCAGGCCGGCGCCCGGCCCCCGGCCCCGATCCTGGGCTTCCGGCCGCGCTGCGCCGCGTATCGCCCGCCGGGCAAGAAGCGCCTGGGCCCGGCCCGCATCGCCGGGGGAAGGCCCGGGCCTTTGCGCCGCGGCCTTCCGGCAATTGGCAGCCGCCTCGCGCGCTCGACACATTAGTCCGGCTGCCAGCATTTTCACTGGTCTAGGCGCTGTGTGTTTTGGCCCCAGCTTCCGGCGAATGTTCGCGGCGGGCCGGTCCTGCAACGGCACGAAGCAGCCTCCGAGAGAGTGCCTCTACATGTCTCGCTGTGTTCGAGTAGGCCTGCCTCTACATGCCTCTATAGGCCTGTCGCTCTGCGACATTTGTGCAGATGCAAAGCGGGGCAAGCAGTTCGGATGGTGGAAAGCCTATCATTTGATGAGCTCAGTTTCTCTAAACCTGCTCCAGTATGTAACTAGCTGAAAAGAGGCGCGCTGTTTCGCGCAGAGTAGCACTAGTAGCAAAACTTTTACAATAAAACTTCAACCATGCCGCCAAGTCGCAAGAGCTCTACGGCGAGCCTCTCGCCGGCAAAGCCCACGAACCCCTTCATGAACATGGACAATGTGATCACGAAGATTAAAAACTGCCGCACCAAGACGGGCGACTTCAATCTGCCCGGTCGGATCCAGGTTCTGAAGGACATCGCTTCCCTCTACTACGGCGAGCCGGACTACGGGAACCAGAAGAAGAAAAAGCCCCTCGCCACGAAAAAACAGAAACAGGTGGACGAGTCGACAACGGACAACAGTCTTTACACCCAGCTCAACGACTTCGCCACCTGGGATGCCAGCAGCCGCGTCCAGTACACGAATTGGATGCTGGAGGTGCAGAGCAAAGTGCAGTTTCGGCTGCGGCCGGGGGGCTGGGACGTGGGGGTGGAAATGATGAAAAGCACCCGGCGGGAGACCGCGACGCCGGTCTTGTGCTTCCTGCTCAAATTCTTGTTGGACTTCGATCTCCTCTTCGACGAGATGCCGCACCACGAGAGACTTACCGCGGACAAGTGGGACCTCGTGCGGAACTACCTTTTCGGCGACACCCGACGGCTGGCGAAGAAAATCCAGGCGTACAAATTTCCAACGGCGGACAACTGGCGGCTGATAAAACGCGCGCTGTTTCCGCAGGAGGAACTGGTAGAACAGGTCGAGGAGGAGAAGGAAGAGGAGGCGGGGGAGGACGGCGAAACGAATGTGCGGAAGTTCAAGCTGAAGAGCGTCGTGCGCCTCGCGACGATGCTGGGCGGGCTGAAGAAGACCGAGTCGGCGGAAGGCGGGGCGGAGGAAAAGCCAGAAGGCGCGGCGGACAACTCGGAGGAGCGCCCGGGATCAGGGTCCTCTGCGGAAAAGAAGGATTCCAGCCAGCAAGAAGAAAACTCAAGTCAGCTGCAGTCGGGACAGGATGTACAGATCGTGGTGCTGCAAATCCAATGTTGCCTCGACGCTTGAAAATTTTTTGTGTTTCCGATGATTTCGCACATGAAAATAAGCTATTCGAACGGAACGCAATTTTTCCATGATCCACATCCACCAGGCGTCGGAAGCGAGTTCCCGGCCGGGTTCGCAACTCCGGAGCACAAGTTCGACGGATTTCGGAGACCTGGTGCCCCAATACCCGAGTCTGGAGGATTTCGACCCGGATATGAACAAGAAGCAATTGACCGAGGTGGAGAACGCGCTGGACCTGATCGCCCCCAGCTGGAACTTGCCCAACGTCGAGGACAGAGTTCCGCTGTGCGTCTTCAACAAAAAACCGGTCGTCGTGGAAAAAGATGAAAATGAGGAGGAGGACCAGGGGTCGGACCGCAAGAAAACCCCCTCCACCGCGTCCTCCGGGGCGCGCGGGAAGAGGGCCTCGCCCAAAAAATCCTTTTCCCGCGCGAACACCAAGTTCCAGCTCGAGCAAGGCTCCTCCGCGGACGAAAACGGAGACAAAAAAGACGAAACCGGTGAGAACAACCGCCCGATCTCGACCGCGAGCACCGCGCAAAAGTCCTCATCCAGCTCCAAACCGGGATCTTCTGCAGTAGCCTTCGAGGTGGAAGTTATTCCCGAGGGGAAGAAGCAGAACCCGGATGTGCTGAACCTCCTGCAGGAGTTTGAGGAGCGGGAAAAGAAGAAGCGCGACGAGGAGATCCAGAAACAGAAAGACCTAAAGCACATGAGCCGGTCCCAAACCTTTGGCGCGGCTGCGATGGCCAGTGACTCGCAGACGGAAGCGGACCGGGAGAGCGTGCGGGAGTCGGTCGCTTCGGACGCGGCGGGGGCCCCACCTCTGGAAAAGAAACACACTCTGGATGATCTGACGCCCGAGCAGGCCCAGGCGCACATGGAACTCATCGACAGCATCGAGGAAGCGGGGCTGGATCCATACAGTGTGACGCCGCACGGAGCCCACACAAACGTGCTGGAAGCGGTGGAACGTTTCAAGGAAAGGGATTACGAGTTCAGGTATCAGATGGATGAAATATGGCCTCACTTACGTTCACGAAGTAGATGCTGGACGATTGGGACGTATTTTCTGTGTCACACTGTATGTTTCTGGTCCTTTCAAAATGATTTCTATCGTATCAAAATCGTAAAAATAGCATGTCTGCGGTCGGTGGGGAGCTCGGGTTTGCCATCCGGGTCCTCCTGATGGAACGCACCGATTTGCTCATTCTCCATCGCATGCACTTGATTTCCATGCTGCAAACCTTCCTGACGGACAAGCAGGAGCTGGATGAGCTCCTTGGAAACATCCCCAAGTCCGCAAAGCGGGAGGGCGACTGCAATCTGAATTGTTTCGAGCTCGACGCGCAGATTGACGTGTTGGAAGACTTGATCCAAAAGAGGGACGTGCCGAACTACGAAAACCTGTGGGCGGACGAACTCTTGAGCTACAAAACGCCGGAAGCCATGCGCGAGTCCTACGAGCTGCGATTGTTGAAGGAGTTTTGCTTCTGCGCGGTCTTGTGCCGGAAAAGCCTCGAACCGGGGTACGGCAAGGGCGACTACAAGCGGATCGTCACGTTTGCGCAGAATTGGCTGCGCCGGGAGCGGGTGCGGAAGAAGGAGGAAAGTCTTTCACCCGGCACACGGAGGACGAGCAAGCCTAAGTTCAAGTAGGGTAAGAAAGCCACGTGAGATGATCGCTATCGTGTTGCGCATCCTCCTGTAAGATTTTGCGTTTCGCCCTTACCGGAAGATGTAATTCGTGAATAACAGTTTCAGGAACAAACACACATCATGAAGGAAAAATAGTAGCGTAATTTATGCTGTACGTGTGCGGAGGTGTTTTTACTTGGGACTCGTCGTGCATTTCGTTTTTCTATCGTCGTCTACTAAGAGTGGCGTGAATACTTAATATTGGCGTGGCCTGACGAGTTGCAAGAGTAAGAGACCACAGCTAACAGTCCACTCGATCCCGCTTGGCAAATATTTCGAGAGAGTACAGTGCGCTGTCGGGTTCTATCTTCCCTCGGTGACGTCTTCGGTTTTGAGTTTGATGTTTGTCGTTGTACGGAGACACAAAACGTTCAACAGAGACTCTTACAGGACTAGATGTGTTGATACTTCTTGTGTTGGCCGAAGCGAGGGATTCATTATAGCACGCTACCTCGTCAAGATGGACACAGCAACGCTGAACACGATCCGAAAGTCCATCGAGAAGGAGAACAAGCTGAACCGCAAATGGGCAGATGAGGCACTGTTAAGGGAAACCCTGGCGCGTGCGAGGTCGACCGAACCCGCACCAAGAGAGGAGGTACATTGAATTCGTTTAAGATACCGTGATTATATCGCCGGATGCAACTTTGAACTTCTTGTGCTATGTGAGCAAGACCTTTCTGTTCTGCCTCGGAGGTTTTAGTTTTTTCAGTTGATACAGTGGATAATTATGCCCAAATTATGCCAGGTTACTACCTTCAACGTCCAGTCCCAGAACGAAGGCGCGCTGAAGCGATGCAGCTCCGCCGAGCACTACCTGTGCCAGAAGATGGGACTCGTGGATAATCCCTTTGACAAGCAGCGCAACCGGTCGCGCGGCAGCGGCATGTCGAACACGGGGAGCACGGCCTTCACCAACCGAAAAATGAACGAGTTCCCGCTCCCGGGAAACATGACCATTGAGGATCTGCTTTACTTTGGAGTCAGTTGCGAGGGAGAGGGAAGGCACGCCTATTTGAAGAAGCGAAAGGCGATTGACTGGCAAGAGAAGAGCAGGTTCCCGCTCTTGGCGAGTCAGGAGGTAGCACTAACGGATTCAGAATTTGTTTCTTGTTGTTGCGCGGCACGAGAGTAGAGTGGGCTGATCATGTGGTTTCGCAAAAATCTAAGTCGCATAACGCACCGTTTTTTTTTTCGCAACCATACATTTCAACGTGAAAAAATCAGGTCGGGTGGACGGTGAGGGAGTTGAAAAAGGAACCATCTGCCTTTGCCCGCCGGCCGATTGTCATGAACTCTTTCTTTCGCATGAATGGTGTACCCTTGAAAATGGACGCCGAGAAGGCCAAGAAGAAGAGTGCGTAGAGATTGGATTGCCTGAATGTAGTGGCAGTGTCGTGCAACAGTCTTTCATTCAGTTTTTAGTGTTTTGAACGCATTTGTTTGTAGTTGGCTTCTCAATCGACATGAACATCTTTTGTAGGATTTGCACTTGCACCGTTTTAGGTCTTCTATTAGAGGTTACAACAACGCAATGGATTTGGATTTGCATCTTCTTTTGTCTTTGTCATTTTCAACTAAAATGTACTTCTCGTTTGTAACAATTTATTCACTCAATGTAGAGCTCACTGTTGGAACATCAGCTTGATTCATTGCATGCAAATGTTTCTGATGTCTTGACGTCACGGCAGCACGCCGAAATCGTTTAGAAACGGAAACACGAAAGCGAATGGATCATGAAGCAGCAGTAGGTGCCTACACTTTTCCAAGACTTGGTGTTATTTTCCCAGCCGTTCTAGCTCTAGGCGAAAAGGGAAAAAGAAAAACAGTTACAGTTTCACTACTGTCGTGGTTGTAAGAAGCTTTGTTACAAATCCTTCGTTGTGCTGTATTTTTCCATCGTCATCGTTGTCGTTGTGCGTGCTTTGTCGTGCAGTTTCCGTTGGGCCACCGTTTGTATCGTTCTACTTCGAGCAGGAGCTGCTGCTCTCGTTTCTTGCGCAGTCGGTGAAATCTTTTTACGTCACTTTTCAGCGTCTTCAAAATCAGGTTGTTAGACACAGTGTGAATTTATTTTTTTTCTTCTGATGCAAGCTGTCACGCCCGCGGTGAGGTCCCTTTCACTGTCGGTTGTCGCTTCTTTTCCTCGATTAATAACTTCTGCTCACAAGTCCTTCCCATATTTTCATTTGCTGTGCATTGAAGCAAACTAACTGATAAAGTCAAACACGAATCATGAGTGATATTACCGGCGAGCAATCCGCTCCTAAGCGGGCCTCCGCGAAGACGAAGGGCAGCGGCAGCCCGAGCAATACCAGCGCCAGCGATGGCCAAACATCGAAGGCCAAGCGGGCCACGCGGAAAGCGAAGAGCAGGGCGAAGCGGAAGTCGTCGAAAGAGCAGAACGAGGGTGTAGTGGCCAATTCTCCTGATGAATTTTCGGAGTTCTACCAGCGAGACGAGGGCCCAGAAAAGACCACAAATTCACCGCGAAGTGGTGGCAATAATTCTCCACCGGAGGAACCGAGAGGGGAAAACGATTCGCCACGAACCGATTCTCCAACGCCGAGAGCGCGAACGGACCCACGCAACGTACGGTTCGTACAAGGCCTCTCGGAGAGCGGGCATTTGTGGCTCTGCCTTCTTTCGCCGGTGATTATTACCGGCATCGTGTTAGCCGTGTACTTTTTTCTCATCAAGCCTCGGCAAGACTCGCAAATGCGCGGTGGCAGCCTCGGTTTTCTTCTTGGTGCACCAAACCAACAAGTTGTAGGGCAAACGTCGCAGGCGAGCGGCCGCGTTACGGCAAACGACGTTCAGACCCGGGCGCAATCTCAAGCAGGCACTACAGATGGCGTCGCCCAGCAACCGCCGGCCGGCCAACCAGTCGCGGGGGCCGCCGCTGCGCCAGTGGGTCCTGCAAGTTTTTTGGCGTCCACGGGAGAGGATGAAAATTCAATAGGGTCGGCGCAAGCTGCTGACACGTCTTCTGTTCACGACGACGCAGGTCGTGTTCGGACTGAAGACGACAGGGCTGAAGTGGCTCGCTTGGAGGGCACTATATTCGCTTCCGACGATGAGGCAGACTCAGACACTGAAAGTAGAGCAGCCGACAGAAGGAGCACAGATGCAAGCGCTAAGCGAACGAAGCCGCAGCGCACCATCATTTTGGTTTAGGATGCTTACCTTTTTCCTCATTCTCTCGAGTTCCTGTGCAGGAGCTCAGTGTGAACTCTTTCAGGATTTTGTAGTTGTCTTCCGGAACGCGAACGTGAGCGCACCGGGTTCTTTTTTTTCTACCGTGAAGCTTTGTTCCACGTGTCGATCGTCGCTCTTGCATCGATGTTTCTCTGCCGGTTCTCACTTTTCTTCGTGTGAAGGCTTACGCTTCTTGTCGTGCATGAAAAGTCGTCAGTTACCGCTCTGTTCGTCTCATCAACATCGTGCAGAAGGCCTTTGTTCCTAGGTATCGTTCAACGATTTTTGTCGCTCAAGGCGCTCCTCTCCTAGCGTCGTGCCCCATCGCTTTTAGTCATTCACGAATGTTTGACAGTGACTTTCTAAATTACTGATAGTTCTCTATCAACTTGCATCCAACCAGGCAACTCTCCTTGCGGACGAAAAAGCTCCCGAATTTGATCAAGCTAAATTCTTCCTGCCTTGCTCCCTTGAGCCTGATGGAACTGTTATGGACATAATTATTCGAGAAGCCATTCTTGGGTGTAAGTATGTTGCTCTTGAAGAGCGATGAAGTTTCTCTTTCCTGATTCGGTTTTTTAGCAATCAGCAACATGTCCAGCGAAGTAGTAGACGTTGCGATCCGCCCAAGCGAGGATCCGGGGTCACTCCGGCCGTCCGCGACCAGCGCCGAACGGCGGCGATCTATGAACACAGAAAAGCGGTTCCCGCAGCAGCGGGCAGAAGGTAAAAATTTGACGTCCCAAATGGGCGCCAGCGGTAGCGCCCCCAGCAATTCTGTGAAGACCGCGGGGAGCGGCGACGTTTCGACGAAAACCAGGGTCATAGCTGCGGCAAGAACGCCGACTCGGCAGGACGATTCCTCTGCCGCTGGTGCGCAAGCTACCTGTAGCTGGAAGCTGGTAGTCGGCATAGTTTTGCTAGTGATTTGTTGTGCCGGCTTTTTCTACTGGTGCGAAATCGCCGGTGTGGACGTACAACCGATTTCTCATGCTCCTTCAGCGGCTATTAGAGATCATCGCGAGCGGGTTGACAGAGCTTATCGCGAACAAAATGAGCGGCTTCCTCGCCCACCTATGTCACACGCCGACGCTTCATCTGCTCTTTCAGCGAATCCGACCGACGAGAATACTACGACCGTTACTGCGTCAACAAGTGCGGAAGTCAGTACTACTGCACCGCCGGCGCCTACGCCGGCGGGAAGTGCCTTTCTTGAGTCGGTGCTTGGTGTTACACCACATGCACGAGAAAGCGAAAGGGACAAGGCATTCCTTCAGAGCCGAACCATTCTCGTGTGACATTTCTTCAATTGACTTGCGTGTGTTTGTGGAGCTTAGCTTACCAAGTAACTTGAAAGAATCAACACAGTTTGCTTCGGATGCTTACATGTATACGCGTTCTTCGAGCACCTCCTGTAGGTCGCTTTTGTTCGTCGTCTCACGCCTCGCCGGTGTAGCGTTGAGAGTGCAGGCGCAATCGGTACCAAGGACTGGATCATCGGAACCTGACGCGCCGCCTCCGCTCTCTGCACAGAAAACAGATCTTCCCAGGAAAAAGTGAAACGCATTCACTTTCAATGATCAATAACTGGCACCTTGTGAAGATCCATCCTTCGTCTCTCTGAGATGTGATCGTGAAAATCCCGCTATTTTTCTCACCATCGAACAAGTAAAGCAAAAGTTAAAGTATGCACAGCAGCTCTGCAAAAGCTCGGGCCCGGAGCAATTTACTATTGCATCACTGGTGCCAAAGAGGTCGCGCCGGCGCGACCTTTGTCCATCCGACGTGTCACTTGACGCCACCATCCAGAACTTTGAAAACAGCGGCGAGCACCTCCACTCACTCTGCAGATAGAAACGGAACAAAAAACAATGCCAGGAAAGAACATCATGCGGATGACCCGTTCGAGCGGATCCAGCCCAACATGCCAGAGGAGGACTGGATCGCGAGGGTGCGGGAAAAGCAGCAGTCGACTACGACCTCAGCGGAGGGCTTCTCGGCTCGACAGCACAGAGACGTTGAGCGTGATCAAAGTGCGCAGGACCACCGGGATGCCGATGCGAGTGCATCGTCGTCCACCTCGTCGAGAGGGAGTACTAGTAGCTCGACTGATCCTCGAGGACGAGAAAATACTACACATCAAAACGCGGCAAACACGACGTCCTCCGCTGTCCGTCCCTCCGCGTTCCCCGACCCGTTCCCGGAGTTTGTTGCGCGGGACAAGTTTGCCTTCGACTTTTACCCGCACTGGTGGCTGGGGCACATGAGCAAAGCGAAGGTGGATTTGAAGAAGCGCGTGGAGCGGGGGATCAACTTGATCCTGGAGGTCCGCGACGCCCGCGCGCCCTTTTCCTCGTGCCAGGGGGAATTGTTGGAGGAGTTAGGCTTTAAGGACAGCACCATCTCGCAGTCCAACATCGGGTCCGCGCTGTACAATGGGAACAGCCTGTCGCAGGTGCAGCAGCCCAAACGCCTGAAAAAGCTGACGATTTTCAACAAGGTCGACCTGATTTCCGCGAAGGACGCGCGGCGGATTCTGGGCGTGATGCGGGAGCTGGGGAAGCCCGCCCTGCTGATCTCCGCGTCGGAAAAAATCAACACCGGCAAGATCCGGGAGTTCATCGTGGAGAACTGCGACGTGAAGCACAACACGGTGGGGTTGTGGATGATGGTCGTGGGGCTGCCGAACGTCGGGAAATCGACCATCATCAACGGGTTGAAGCAGTACGCGTTCACGCTCGGTCACAAGGTGGACCCGGATATCATGAAGGACGTGAAGATGATATTACAATGAAAAATGCCCCCACCCCCGAACTTGAAAGTATTTGTATTGCAAACCTTTCCAAATGAAACATTCGGCCTCTTGCATGTATCAGCATCACAGATTTCCGATCGTGAATAGCAAAAATTTGTATTGCAAAAGATCCCAGCAAGAGCGGTGCTTGTCATGTAAGCGATGCGAACCACGACTAGAATATGCATCAGAAAGCTTCATACTCCTTTCATGCATGACAAAAAGTTTTCATTTGGAAACTTCGCATCACAAATTTTTGCAACCTTGGGGTGGGAGGCCCTTTTCACTGTAATAGATGAATGAGGCGAAGACCAACATGCTGCCCGGAACCATATCAAATGTAAAAATGTCTGGGTCTGGAAACATGTAAATTTCTAATGCGTATTTGAGAACAGAAAAAAACCTGTCATGCATGGACCCCCGCAAAAGTTGCTCACTTCTTGCCACCAAAAGAGGGAACTTGTCATGCGGATTCGGCATCGCCTAACCTGCTCAAAACCTGTGTTGCTAGGACTTGCATGCTAGACCTCCTGTGTCATGCACAAACAGCATCACAAGTTTCCAGACCCAGACATTTTTACAATCGATAAACCACGCGCCACTGCAAGGGGCAGTCCACGTTTTTGATTTCGCGCAAGCCCATGATCCACTGCGTGGACACGCCCGGAATGATGCTTCTGAAGAACGTGGAAAATTTGGAAAAGCAAACCAATCTGTGCTTGCTTGGTGTCATGCCGGACCACTTAGTTGGCGAGTGGTACCTCGCGGACTACTGCCTCTTTAAGTTGAACAAGATGCGCCAGTTCCAGTACGTGAAAGCCCTGGATCTGCCGAGTAAGCAGCCCACGAACAGTATTGACGAGTGCGTCAAACATCTCGCAGAGCACATGCAGCCGGATATGCTGGAGCGGGGAGCGTCGGTCGATTTGCTGGCGGGCGTGCGCTGGTTCCTGCGTTTTTTTCGCCAGGGACACTTCGGGCCCGTGATACTCGACAACATGCCATCCTCCTCGTTTGCCGGCGAAGTTGCCCTGACAAAGCGCCGGGCGTTCATAACGGAGCCACCCAATCCGTGGAAGGAAAAGTACGACTGTGGGGTGTTTGGGAGTTATGTGTAGTAAGTAAGTAATTGTGGTGGAGAGCCTGCTTTGATCCCTGGACGAAAGACTGAAAAGTTGCTGAGTGTAGAAATGAGTGTTTTTTCTGCTTTTCATGCACACAGATTCATTTGTTTCTCTTTTTCTCTACTGGACTATCACGAATGTTGCCCTGACGGGAGTGGGCCATCGTGGTCGTGAGCTACTACAGGACAGACAAGCGCGATGCTGCTTGGAATCAATGCGTACTTTTTCTGTTCCGCGAGGGGACCAGACGGCCTGTGTCCATTGATTTCTTTGTGCCCAAAGAAAGTACCAATTTGAGCGCTGTGAAATGTCACTGGGAGCGTGGTATGGTCAATTCTAACTTTTTAAACAAGGGTCAATCGTAAACGCAAAGCGGCCAGCAACGTGAGAATGAGACTGCACAATAGTCCGCGGCGCAACACCTGTAGAATCGTCCTCTGATGAAGATGTCAGTAGTGACGACATCGAATTGGTTGGGTAATTGTACAACAACATTTTCGAGGCCTTTCTCGTCTTGATTGCTGCGGTTGTTGAATCTACTTCGTGTTTTGCTTTGGCCGGTGGTGTCAAGACTGTATAGCACAAGCTGTATGAGGAGCCTCTACTAAATGGCACGGGAACATCAGGATCAGTCTTCCCATTGCGCTGGTTTGTCGTCCACCTCAACATCAGACGACAAAATTCAAGGACTCTTACGCGACGACGAGAGGCAGAGCGAGCAGAAGCCGCCGGGTGCGCTTTTGACGAGCAATCGAGAGTCGAAAGCGTCGTCTTCGTCCTCGACGCCTTCTGCCTCGGTAGTTCCCGCGCAGCGGAAATACTACAAGATGGGCGTGTGTTGCGGGCCCTGGGGCGCTGCGAGCGGTTCTAAGTCGCCGAAGAAACAGCAGGCACCACTAGAGGCGGAAAGCAAAATGCAGGAGGATACGAATGCGAGCGGACCGGTCTCCAGCAGCGAAAACCCACCCAGTCGTGCAAAACGTTTTTAAGATTCTTTCAGCCGGCTGATTTATTCTAAACAAGATTTGTTCACAAGCACAGACAAAGTCACAATCCAACGTAATAAAGTTACCCGATTTTTGTACGTAGTTGGTTGTGTCGGTCCTTTATCGGTGCACATACTATACAAAACTTCTACTTGAAGAACCCGGTTCCCAAATACAGCCGCCCGCGGATTGACCGGTTCGCTAACGGAAGTGAGCGCCGTGAGCCAGAACGAGAAAATTTTGCTATCCATAGACACGGAGGACGATATGAGAACGGTGCGGTCCGACTTTTCCGAAGCCCGGCCCGTGCTGAGCATGACACTCTCAAGGCAAATGAGTTGGAGCTCGCAAAGTCCCGGGAGGGCTTTTCCGCCAGGAGGTACTTCCACAGATCAGCTTTTTCTTTCGAGAATCTGTCTTCCGTATACTACACGAGAACACGACACGTCTACATGGCTGCGATTTTTTTTTCTTGCAGCAGCACACACCAGAAGGCTTCCATTTTTTACGGGTGAAAAATCGCATTGCGCACCTCATCTCTACTCAACATCTCGCAGCGGAAATCCCGTGGTTCTCCGTGTTTGACTCGTTGCCGAAAGAGCTGAACATGGAGACCTCGGCCACGAGGTTCAAGGTACGCAACGTCGGGTATAAGCAGTCCGGGGAGAAGATTTTTTCGAAGCCCGCCCTGTACGACTTGATCGGCGGGGACGTGGTGCAGGCGAAAAACGGCAGGATACACGAGATCGTGAGCAACTGGGACTGCAAGTTTCCGCGCAATATCACACAGAAAAAAGCTGGCAGGACACATTTGTAATGCAAAAATAAATACACAAAAAAATCTCTATTGCATATCCGAAACAGCATGCTATGGGGCCACCCATGACAAATTTTTGTGTGTATTTATTTTTGCATTACAAATATGCCCTGCCAGCTTTTTTCTCTGGGATACGCAAGGCGGGCTACAAGGAGGAGTGGGGCATCCCGGAAATCTTAGTGGAGCACGGGGAGGTACCGTTCAAGTCTGGCGGGCTGTTCAGCTCTCATCCGGTAGACGACTTGGGGTTCAACCTCGTGGGCTACTTCATCCTATCCGATGAGGCCATCCGACTCCTCTCCACTGGCACCTGGACGCCACAGCTGCGGCTGTGGAAACGAATCGTGGATCAGGGCCGGAGCGAGAAAAAGGGGCTGGCGCTGAAAAAAATCGTGCAAGTCAGGAACGTGGCCGAAATGAACGTGCCAAACCTGTTCAAGAGCTATAACGGTATGTTGAAACTCAAACGCAGGCTTTTTAAGGGTGTTGCGGATGCATAGAGTTTCGTCGTACTATACTCTCTTAGTAGATTTTCACGAATGTTTTCTCTCTACTCATGCGTCCTGAAATGCTCAATCATATCAAGCGCAATTGAGCTGCAGTGTATGACCTGAACTACGCAATATCAGGTAAGCCCGTGCTCCTTTCCTACAGCGCGCGGTTCAACAGGGTGCATGCGCCCCGGATACTATGGATTGCAAAAGTGTCTGGGTCTGGAAGAGTCGGGACTTGTCATGCACATTTTGCATGACCCGTGAGGTCTGTGATGCTGGTGCTAGCATCACAGATTTTTTGAGAGCTTCTTGATGCTAATTACGCATGAGAAATTGCCTCTCCGCGTGCCAAGAACTGACTCCTTTTGCTGCTCATGCAACACAGATACTTTTAGAATCGCAGACAGCATTACAAGTTGCATTCTTCCAGACCCAGACATTTTTACATTTGATAGATACTCGAGATAGACTACGACGTGCGAACCTGGGGCTACGCGTTGCGATATCAAATGGAAAAATTTCCCCTCCCCATATTGAAAAGGTATGTTGCCGAAAATTTGCGTTGCTGATTTGAGGTCACAAATCGTCTCTGTGTTGCATGAACGCAACTCCCCAAGCTCCGCCGCATTCTACAGGAGGTTTGTCATGCTGTTTTAGCTACAGCGTCGACGTCTGTCATGCTAAGCGCGTAGGCCAAAACCTGTAGACTCAGGCTTAGTATGGGCCTGCAGTCCTCGCCAGCAAGACAAATCTCATTTGTGTACGCAAATCCAGCATCAGAAACTTCGTTTTGATATGGGGAGGGGGGATTTTTCCTTGCGATATGCGCACCGCAATACCAACGGTGTTGGGCAAGCTTCCTGCCGCGCAAACCGAATACGCTCTGCTGGTCGAGGGCAAGGATGATGACGAGCTACCGGAGCAGATATTGTGTTGCGGGGGATACAATAACCTCGAAATTACGAAGGTACCGTTTGCGGAACCGCTGGAAGTAGACGACTCGTGATATTATTCGGAATTTCATGATTTTTTACAAGGCAGGACAGCCTACTTACTTGATTGCGCCAATATTTTTGTGTCCATGTCTGTCATAGTGTACCCACAGATTTTTTTTCGCGCCGCTCACGGGTACAAACGCATGTTGTGGATCTTCTCTAAGTAGTTGAAGGTTTTGAGTAATGCTGTTGCTCCTGGGGTGACTCTGGTCACTACGTGGCACTAGAGATCGTAGGAGACTAGTGCTATGTATTCTCACAGTCAATGCGTCCGCGTTTTGAAGCACAAAGTGCGGGGACGTACCTCCCCACGATGTTTGAAAATGAATTTCGGTTTTGTGGCTGAGTTGCGCAGTACACTCGTAGCTGATTGAATTCTCGCATGAGCAATGATATACAGTTGCTAGGATGTATATCGCGATTGCCACGATTGCCTGTCTGAAACACTATCACGCGCCAATCATGTGAAAGACTTAGATTTTAATCTTTCGCTTCAAGTTAGTTGCACCATCTTGCCACACACGAAGCGGTCTTTGCACACAAGTACTAAACTTTTCGGAACAAGGATCGTCGCGAGCCTGGTCCATGATGAGGTGCACAATTTGAGTGTTTCATGATTTATCGGAGCACTGGTCGGTCAAGCTAGCCAGACACTGTATGTTGATGAACAAGGGTACTTCTTACATGATACTACCATGAAAAATTAGTGTCAAGATTCGAATAGCGACAGTCGAGAAATCGGTTGGATCCTGAGTAGTCGACCTTACTGGAGTCTGCATTCCTCGGTTTCACGAAAAATGAGAAATGGCAGAGATCCATCCATATCCGATCATTTCCTTCGCGCAGCTCGCGCTCGGTCCCATAAAAAAGTGTGTCAAAGTAGATCCAAATAAAGCTCGAAATCATTCCCAGTTCACAATCGAGGAACCTAGAAGAAGTCAAAAACCCGTTGATTTTGAGATTTACAAGTTTTTAGTTTAGACCGTACACAAATAATTATCAATCAGGGTTGAAGAGTCGAAAAATTACTCTGGTTCATCATCTGATTGTTTACTTCGAAGATCATCCAATACATTAACACGCCTCTTCGGAAGACCATTTCAGTATTTGTATCTGTCCTTTTTGAATCCATCGCGAAGAAACAAAACGAACGAAAAACCTTTACATTTACAACTTTACGTGTTTTGGTTTTCCTTCTTGAACTACTTTTACTCTTCTACTTTTTTTCTCGGTAAGAACCCAAACCCCACACCAGAATGCCGGAAAGGCGGAAGGGCCCGACGACCACCTCCGGTGGAAAGCGGGTGCGTAATACTGCCCGTAAGATGGCTAATATCGACCTGGAAATCCAGGAATCTGTCTCTCCAGACGAAGAAGTAAAGCTGGAATCGCCGCCCCCACACATAGAACCCGAAGTTGTTGTTGAGCAGCTCGAAGACCGCCCGTCCGGGGAACAATATAATTTGCACGAGCCTGCGAGAGAGGACAACGCTGTATCTCCATCTGAAGCGATGACTGCCCAGGAGAAAGAACAATCCGTACCGTCCGGGAAAATGGCGGTGGATCTCCTGGCAGAAAAGCATTCCTCGCTCCGAAAGAGTAGCACAGCGAACAAGTCGGTAACTTTTCGAGAAAGTGTGGACAACCACGATGGCGACGCTAGCGACAAACAAAGATTCAACACCGCCGCGGGTTCCGGCTCGGAATCTGACGAGGTAATTGCGAACCACGGCGAAACTATATCTTCAAGTGACATCAAGCGACGAGACTCGATCTCCCGAACGACCACCCCCACGACAGCCGGAGAGGTTTCTGTTAATCTCAGCGATGAGGAGTACGAAGAAGAAAGCCCAAGCAGTACTATGTCCACCGACGATGATGAACTACACGAAAACGGATCGGGAGCCCCGGTTGTGGTAGACAGGAACGCCAACATACCCGAACGTCGGAGGTCCTCGACCTGTTCGCGCCTCTCTGAAAAATTGATGAAAGCGAAGGTTGACGCGACCTGCAACCGTCTCAGCCAGCGCGTGGAGCATGCGGAGGCGAACGAGAAGCTGCCTTTCCCGGAGCCGGAACGGTTACGGACCCCCGAGGAAGCCATCGCCGAGGCGAAGAAATTGTTCTTCGAAGACGATCAGCTGATGGTGGCGGGCTATTTACTCGACCGCACCTTCAACGCCGAATATCTAGAGAGGGACAACAAGGACCCACAGATCAAGGAGATCGTCCAGCGGTTCCAGCTCGTGTCCCAGGTGCGGTCGACGCTCGCGCAGATCGAGCGGGGCCGTATTCGCCAGGCGAAAAAGGCGGAGGAGGCGGCAAACCCGGTGGTGCAGCAGCCATCAAAACCCGCAGTGGTCGTGAAGCGCAAGTCGCCGCCGCCGCCCTTGCGGAAACCGGACGCGCTGCAGGACGCGCCGCAAAGCAACACGCGCAAGTCCGTGCAGATTGGGCTGGAGGACGCGCCCGGGAGGAAATCCGTGCGGCGGCCGGGTGACTTGGAGCGGGTCCTCGCACAAGAGGACGAGGACCTTGATCATGGCAGTCTCGGCAGCTACGAAGCGGAAGAAGAGAATGGTGCGCCAGATGAAAATGCATCCGATATCTTCGACTCGCTTTCCGACGAGGAAGTGATCGATTTCGGGAAAACCCACAACCGCAACGACTTCTCGCCGGTGTTGCCGCAGGGCAGCATGGGGCACCACGAGGTGACCGCGAACGACCTCCAGTCCGATTCCGTCGCGTATTCGGACGGACTGACGCTGGACAACATGAGCGACAAGACCAGCGTGGACCTGATTTCCCCCGCAGTTGCAAGGCGGCAGCCGAAGCCGGACTTCAAGCCCGTCTCCAAGTGGCGCATCATCCGCGAAACCGACGGTATCCGCGCGGCCATGCGGACCGACATGGTGTTTCAGGACCCGAAACAGGAGGACACGCGGGTGTACACCTTTGCCATCGAGGGGCAGTGCGACTTGGATCTTTTCTCTCTGTTGTCGCTTCTAAACGAGGCGGATCTGTGGAAGGAGTGGTGCCCGAGCTTCATGGGGTTGGGGTTGGTCAAATCCGAAGTTTTGGAGCGAAAATCGAAATCCAACTTCGTGGTTCGCATGCTGCTGAAGCTGCCCTTTCCGTTCGCCTGGCGGAAGGTCTGCTTTCGCGTGCGGGGCTACGACGTGATGGCGGCTCCGGAGAACAAGGAAGACGCCAAAAAGGAGGTAAAGCAGGTCATCCTGCACATGGAGAACGTCGGGCCGAAGGAGGAACGGGAGATTTTGACCCGGTCCAGCGACTACTCCGCAGAGAACGAAAAGGAGTACGACGGCAGCCAGCGGGCGTACTTGGACAACAGCTTCATGTTTCTGACCCCGATGGACACGCGGTCGCCCACGAAAAAGGCCTGCTACCTGCAGTGCGTGATCAACCTGGCGCCGCACGTTTCGAGCGGTTGTCCCGAGTGGCTGGTGAACGCCGCTTTTCGGAACCTCGCCTTCATGATCTTCGAACAGATCCGCAACAGCAAGCAGATCGTCGCCGCATCGGTCTACAAGGACCGGAACATGAACCCGGAGGACCCGCTGTACGCGCATTTGAAAGAGCGGATCTTGCATGAGATCCCCCAACAGGGGTGCCCGGTCAACGTGTACCTTCCGGAAGGGCTAGAGAGTGGCGCAGAGCCCATGGAAAACTTGGTGCGTGTGCGGAAATTACTAGAGCGCGTGCTGGTATAGATTTTTGAGTAGGAAATAGTTTGTAGTTTCTGATACGAGTGAGTATAATAGGATTTTTTTCGATCTACTAGCGTCCTTTCATCGGATCAATTCTCTCACGCGACCACAGTACCAACCTAGTATCCAATATCAATGAACTCGTTCAACTTTTACAACATCAGGTCGACCAGATGGCGGCCCGGCAGCGTGCAGAGCAGCAGGCCCGGTTGAAGGAGCAGGGGCTGGATTCCGGGCTGAGCGCGGTCCCCGAGGACCAGGTTTGCACCGGCGCGGTAGGCGGTGAGCAGTTCCAGGACCTTCCCAACGACGGCGGGAAATCGACGGAGAAATTCCGGGAAACCGTGGTCTACGTCCAGGACCCCATGAACGAAAAGCTCGTGATTGCGCAGAAGGTCCGCGTGCCGGTGGAGCTCCCGCACGGCATGGCAGCGCAGGAGGCGGGCTTGCTCGTGAAGAACAAAAGGGCGGTTGCGGGGCAACGGCAGGAAAAGCAAGACGAATTTACCTACCCAGAAGCAAACAAAAAGAAAAATAGCAGCGCAAATCATCATCCGGCGCAAATGGAGAGTGTGGACTCGTTGTCCGACGCGGAGCATGATCTGGCGGAAAAAAGTTTATCGCACGAAGATCATCTGCAAACGATGAGTGCTGCGTCATTCAGCGAGGAGAGGAACAAGAAGAACCCTCCTAGTACCAAGAAGGCGAGCGGCAAGAACGGAAAAGCGTCGTCGCGTCGCAGCGAAGTGGAAAAGCGGGAGCGGCATGACATGCTGCACAACGCGGTTTTCGGTTTGAGCGCGAAAAACGAGAAGGACTCGGAGAACGACATGGCCGCGTGGCAGCCGCGCAACTCGCTCGGCGTCACCGAGATGGACTTCGACGTGCAAACCGTACGCGACCTGGATGAAAGTAGTAAAAACCGGGGAAATTATGGCTGCGTCGCTGCGTCGCCGTCCTCCGGGAACGTCGGGATGAACCAACTGCCCCCGACGGCCCTGGTCGACAGCTTCGGCGTCGTGCACCTCCGCACCGAGCCGGACGCCGCGCCGTTGGACAAGCAGTGGGCGGAATCGTACCTGAAGAACGAGTATCAAATGTAAAAATGTCTGGGTCTGGAAGAATGCAACTTGTCATGCTAAATCTGAAGCATGCAAAAATCTGTGTTGCATGATTACCAAAAGTCGCCCAGTTTTGACCAAGTCGGAAGGGAGTTTCTCATGCAGGATAGACATGAGAGAGATCGCACAGAATCTGTCATGCTAGATCCTGCATTCGAGGCCTCATGGGTCATGGAAAAGCTGCATGACAAGTCGCGCACTCTTGCAGACCCAGACACTTTTGCATTTGATAACGAGCGCCGCGTCACCGTCGCGAACGTGCACGAGGGGATGAAGGTGCGCCCGGGCCTCCACTGGCGGTACGAGGACGAGCACTGGAGCTGTCCGTTCGGCACCGTTTTGAAGTACGACTTGGCGAAGAAGTTCGTCCGCGTCGAGTGGCACTACAGCGGTTGGTTTTCCAGCGAGAAGAGGGTTTTCTCCCACTACCGCATGCAGCCAGGAGGGTATGACCTCGCGATTTACCGCGAGGAAGAAGCGCCGCAGTAAGGCATTGATGTAGGGTTACATACAATTACAAATGGGCGACTGCTTGCTTTGAAGTCTCTTCAGATGTTGACATCGATGATATGTGGTTTAAGTACTTCCTTCGACGATATCTGTGTACTGACCACCTGACGAATTCCAGTTTACAGTTTTTACACACGACGACCCAAGTCATGAGTTTTTTGTTTTCCAGTATTGAAGCAGAAGCTTCGAGGACATCGACTTGACGAAGAGGGGAAACCGATCGCAATGCTCGGTTTTTCCGATGATCACCCGACGTTTTACCCAGAGTAGCTAGCTTTATTCGTTCGTTCTTCGCTCTTGTATTCTGAAGGTGGATACATATCGATATGAGATATTCCCAAGTTTCGACAGAACTTGGATCATCTCATATCAAGAAAGTCCCCCCACTAATCCGGTCGTCCCGACCCCGCTTTTTTCTCTTGAGGAAACGATCCCGTTTCCTTTTGAGTGAAAGAAGCCCACAAACCTTTTGACATCGCTTGTAGCAGGAAACGAATGTACTACACGGCTACGAGCACAGCAACATGTCAAACAACAATTACAATACGAAAATCGACGATGGGCATGCATTCCGCGTCGCAGTGGTTTCGCTTTGATGTTGTCACTGAAAAATGCTTGTTCTCTCTGCAAGCCCGTTTCTTTTTCTTCGTGTCTTCCACTTCTTCTGCTTCAGTACAACAAAATATGGCCCGAGCGGAGGAGAATTGTAGAGATGTGGTCGGCCAGCGCCAGGGCCACTTGTTTGTGCATGAAGTAATGTGGGCTACTTCGAGAGTTTATGGCGAAGTCACTCCCGGAGAGCTGCTCAATCTGAGTTGGTTTTTGATTCTTGCTTTGTTGGCGTCCAGGTATAATTTTGTGATCCACTATCAACGTCAAGAAGAGAAAACGAAGAGCCCTCGCTGCCTCATTGCAGGGCGCAGACAAGATCTCAACATGGAGGAGCGGAGTATTTACGTGCGCAGGGCCCGCGTCGTAGATGTGGAGGCAGTGCTGAGTGTGCTGAATGCGGCCTACGCGGTAGAGATGGGAAACTCTGACCGAGGCTTTCGATTGCAACCACGCTATCAAAATAGCGAACAGGTACTAGGGCATTATTGCCGAAGTTTGGCAATTAGTGAGGGATTGCAGTTTCTCGTTGAAGAAATCAATGGACCTATTTCAGGCAAAGCAATAATTTTGCATGAGGGCAGGGCGCATCCAAAAAAACCGCAGGTTCAGTCCGACATTTTGCTGGCGAGACAGGAGGAGAATATCGGCGTTTTCTTCGTTGCGGCGGAAAAGCGTAAGCGACCAAGGCGGCAGAGCGATCAATCAGATCCGAATGGAAAAAGCGGTATTGAAGTGAGGAAAATGCGTATTTATGTTGCTTTTTTAACACCTGACTGACCTTCAAGCAAATGGCAAAAAAAAATCGATTCAAAATTTGACTTATTTCCGTTGCAAGAAAAACACCAGGTTCGTCGTCTGCCACGGCCTCTACTGGCGCAAATGGGTCTTCGGTGGTAAAATCCATTTCCAACGCGATCGGCAGTGTCGTGAAGTCAGTTACTGTTGGATCGAGTTCGAATAAAACCGACGAAGCCGCCGGTGACACCATGGTGCATGGGCGATTACTGCTCAACAGCGAATCCACCACCTCCATTGGCAGTGGCAGTGGAGGTAATAGGATATGACTGTTTATTGGAAGTAGATGTGGATTTAGATTTATGAATAAGATAGGCGCTTTTGTACAAATGTAGCACGCCTTTCTTTCCTTATTTTCAGGCACGTGTTCCCCGGGGCAGACCACGCCCGGTGGGAGCAGGGAAACCATTGTCGGGGCCGTGCGCGTGATGCTGCGCAAGTTCGGCGGCGACAAGTGCATTGACCTGAGTCCCTACGGCGTGCACCCGAGTTACCAGCGTCAGGGCATCGGCAGCCTGCTCCTCCAGGCGTCTTACGACTGGGCACTCAAGCGGTCGGTGCGGCGCGTGGTGCTCGAGGTCTGCTCGCTGCGCAGCGACCTGTTTTTGGCCCGGCCCGGCAGCAAGGACGAGAATTTCGGGGTGACGGATCCGCGGAGCACCGCAAATCGCAGCAGTTTGACGTCCCCGTCGTCCTCCGCGGCACCCACCAACGGAAAGAAACCGTTGCAACTGCCCGCCATCCACTCCCCCGGATCCACGACGACGCAGAACAATTTGTCCATCGGCGGCGGTGGGCTGGGTCTGAGCAGCCCGAAGAACAAATTGGGGAACAACAATTTTAGTTCTGGCGGTGGTAGCAGCAGCAGCACCGCTGGCGCTGCTACGACAAATACAGCGAGCAACACACTGTTACAATCTCCATCCTCGCCGGCGAATGGCCAGAAGAAGAACAAAACCTCGCTCCCCTGGACGCAAGCGGGTGCGACAGCTGCGGTGGGAAGCAACGCACCGTCGCCACCCCCGTTGACCGGCGCGGCAGCTGCGAGTGGAAACAAGAAAGGCACGGAAAGTTCTACTAATGACATGGCAGGAGCGACGCCGTCCTCGATGAAGACCTCTGCTGCATCGTCTTCCCCGGGGGCCAACAAAAATGGAGCTAGCTCGACGGTCTTGTCGCCGAGTAACCACGACAAGAATGCCCCCGCGAACGGCATCTCCAGTGATGTGGAGACCTTCAAGCGCGATCCGAACGGCCGTATTACCTCCAAGGAGATTGAGGCGCACGCAAAGAGCTACCCGGATTTGAAAAGGCCCATACCCGGGCAGGGGTTCTTCGGAAAAATGGGCTACGTCCAGGTGAGCTGTTTTTGATTGTAAATTTTTTTGTTGCTTGGTTGCGTCTGTGTCTGCAAGGCCTATTAATTGCTAGTATTGCAGGAGAGGGGCGTTTCACGACGGACAGAAATTCAATGTAAACATAGGTCGGTGCGATTTCGTCCGACGACGTGCTGGATCCAGAGCCCGGTTCTACCGCACGACCGTGCCATTTTCTCCTGCTGTCCCGGAACGTGCCACTGGCACAGAAGTGAACATCGCCCAGTAAAAAATGTCATGATGAAATAGATGCTGATCTTAAACCTCGCCAAGGGAAATAAAGTATGCGACTGTCGAAGGAATTTTGACTCTTTATAAAAGTATCGTATAAAAAATTGCAGCTGCTGTTCCAGTACCAGTTTATTTCTTGCAACATTTCTTCTCACAGTCAGGCCGGCGGTCGAGTTCAGGACCACTGTTGTATCGATTTTAGTTTTACTAGGAGTTCTCGTGACCGGCTTTGTCTGAGAGAAAGTCCTCCACCGTACCGATGGGCGGCGTAGTTACACTGTACCTCATTTTTTTTTAGGTGCTTGTCAACATCTAGGAAGGTTTACCTTCCGTTTCCTTTTCCATCCTCTGATACGCGCTAGTATCTGTTGTCACACCAGTGCAGCCTAGTGTAAAGAAGCAAAGCTGATACTTGTTTTGCAATTCTATTTCTAAGCGTTTGATTTTTCGGAGGTGCTTGAGTAAAAAAGCAAATCTGCGAGCAAAACGTTTTCGCAATATAAAGCGCGGAGAAGTCCCAGTTGAGCGTATGCAAAATACGCTGAGCTGACTGATGAATTTGTATAATCAGATTGATGTCCTCCTCGCCTGATATGCATGTTTCAATGAGCTTGCTGAACTAGTGACGACCTCTTGTTCCATGAGACTGTTGGGAAAATTAAAATTGCGGGAAGCGGTAGAAGTTACGTACTAGCATTAAACCGTCCGTTTCCACGTGCGCTGCTGTAACTGTTTGAGTGCATTTTCACCCTACACGTGTAAAAGAACCGAGAAAATCGTCCAATCTGTGTTCCTCGTGCGCGGTCTATTTTGAGTCGTGAAAATAATGATACTGTTGCTCCAGAAGTTCGAAGACCTTTTTTGGCAAAACAAAACTTCTTCTTTTGGTGGCAAAACATTTTTGCAAAATCGAAAACATGACAGGACTCCCTCTCCTTTTTTCCCATTCTTTGGTTTGTCAAATTGAACCCGCGAATCGATTTTTCGTCCGCGAGCCGAAACTTCTCACCTATCAAAATGTAGCAAAAGCAGGAGTTTGTTTTTTTTTTGTGGGGTTTGTGTTTATAAGCTTTTTTCGTCAAATTCAAGGTAAGTGCAAGTAGCTTTGGGCTCCTGCCGCAGTTCTTTTTACAGTACTAGAGAGCATTTTAATTTTTTGGGGTCTTTCTTGTGTACACCTACATCTACATTAACACTTGTGAAATCAGAGGGGGTTGTTTTCCCTGTCTTCTGCCGTTGCTACATTGATTACCAGCTCCTTTGTTCCACCTAGATGGTGTGCTCCCGGAAGATATGGATTGCAAAAATGTCTGGGTCTGGAAGATTCCGGGGTTTGTGATGCATATTGTGTATGATCCATGACACATGTAATGCATGATTTAGCATCACAGATTTTTAGAGGGCTTCCTGATGCCTATTCCGCATGAGAAATTCCCTCTCCGCGTATACACAAACTGGACTCCTGTTGCTGGTCACGCAATACAGATTTTTTTGGAATCCAAAGACAGCATGACAAGTTGCAATGTTCCAGATCCAGACATTTTTGCAATCCATAGAAGAGCAGCCACGAGGGCGTGGACGCGCCGAACCCGGACGCTGCGGTGCAAGAGCGTGTGCAGCATATCAAATGTAAAAATGTCTGGGTCTGGAAGAATGCAGGTTTGTCATGCAGGTTTTCCATAACCCATGAGGTCTGGTATATAGGACATAGCATGACAGATTCTGTGAGAGCTCTATCATGCCTATGCTGCATGAGAAAGTGCCTCTCGATTAGGTCAAAAGTGGACAGCTTTTGGGAATCATGCAACACAGATTTTTACATGATTCTGATTTAGCATGACAAGTTGCTTTGTTCCAGACCCAGACATTTTTGCAATCCATACAGCAGTCTCGGCTGCAAAACAGGAGGCTGCCCGCCAGGCGGCATGCCGTGATATTCACACCGGAGCAGGCAGCGATCGAGTTTGCCAACGTTGCGCAAGAGCTCGAAATCCGGAACAGCAGGGATACAGGGATTGTGGTATCTATAACTTTCTTTTGATATTAACATTATTAGATAGACGATTTCGACTCCGAGCGTTCTTTTTGAAAGGAGCGCATAGTATCTTCTTGGTAGAAGATCCCCACGAAGAATACTCTATTTTTTTTTTTTTTTCATAAGAAGAAACAGAAAGTCACGTTTTTTTGTGAGCTTTGGAAACAGAAGAAGAAAACAACGCAACTGAAATCCAGCCCGCTGACGTGGACGAGGACGACTCGTGTTCTAGCAGCGGGTGCGAAACACCGCAACGCACAGAGTCTCCGAACTCGATGCCTTGCAGTGTGCGCTTGGGATCAACAGCGCCAGCCGATCTGGACTTTGGCATCAACGAAGCGGCACGGCAATTGCAGGAGCTGCGACTAGACCAGCCGGCTCTGGTCCTTCCGCCGGCGGACGGCCCAGGCTCACCTTCGACAGTTTCCTCGACGCCGGGCGGTCCCTCGGAATTTACCGCGGCAGTAACGCAGGAACAGCCGGCGGACCGAGTAGTGGAACTCGAGGGGCAGCACCGTGAGATCATACCCTCATATCTGTGAAGATCTTTTTATTTTTTTCGAGCTCTTCGTTCTGATGTTTCATTTGGTTGATGTATGCAAGCGAAACGAAGGAAAGAACGATCTGTACACAAAAGAGCTTAGGCCTGCTGGGGGATGTAGCGACTGTTGGTTTTTTAACAACATCAGTAACCTGTACGATATCATATGCTCTTCTGTGGCTGCAGCGCTAATAAGAAAACATGAGCGTGTATCAAAAAAAATACAACTAATTTTCTAGCAATGTACTAGTAATTTCGCGGCCTTATTATTTCCGCGGCGGTGACAGAACACTGGAAACAAAGCGGACAGCGATGTAAACGCGTTATGCTAGACTGTTTTTTTAGAAGCATCATGACCAAGCAAACGACAACTGTATGTACGAGTTTGGAAAAAGAATCATATCAATCATGGTGTATGATTTTCTTACGACATTTATTGTACATGCCGCGGATGAGCACGAGAACAAGATGAGCATGACTGGAATTCTGAAATTGGGGGGTGTGCGCTACGACACAAAAGAAAATGTAAACCTAGATATCTATTCTCATGAAAAAAACGCGCTTAGCTCAGTGTTGAGCAGGGGTTTCGACGGGTGTGAAATATTAATTTGTCTGGTGAAAACAACATTTTGGACTTGCAGGCCTTCGCGAGTTGGCGACGGGATTTCTTTGGCACATTGATTTTTTTGTTGGACGTTCTTTTTGTTTTCTGAATATTGAAAAAACGGTAAACGAACCTCGGCGGCTGCTAACTGATTCATCGTCTGGCGGCCGTCCAATTATCTTGCATCTGCGCCAAATTCACAGTGTGACGCTTTTGCGTGCCAGTGTTCCACAAGCTTGCACGAAAGGTTTGTGAAGTCTTGACGATCAAACTTGCAGCTAACGTATGATCCACCAGAAGAACAAAAACAGAGTCATATCGGATCGACTATCATGTTGGAAGTTGCGCTTCCAGGGAATATTAGCCAGGACAGGCACCACTTTTTGAAGATAAGTAAGATCAAGAAAAGAGTAAAGTTTCCTAGACGTTTCTGAAATTATTTGATGACAAAAACAACCTGAATTTGTCGACCTCGCCGGAGTAGAAAGTAACTCGATACTTATACGTTTCGCACATTTGATGTAGTGTAAGAGCCAAAATTTTACTTGAGCTTTGCTTTCTGAAATTGAAAGTATCGATCGCGACCGCAGCAAAGTTGAGCTACTTTTTGACCATTTTCAGTTTTTCATCGATTCCTGTTGAATATCAAGTAGATAAACCTCCAGGCAGTTTGAGTAGCGACATCAAGTTGATATTTGAGAGTTCTTACCCTGTTTCTGGTTTCAAAAACGACTGTATTGCTTATGGCCGACAATGCGTGGGACCATACTTCCGGGCAAGTTGTGATCGAAGAGTCAGGCATCATAGGCGAGCCGATCATGACGGGCGCTCCCGTACCCAAAGCAGCCCCGAATGGTTACAGCAAGTTCGTTGGGAGTCTGGCGCCTCCTGCCGGCGAAGGAGTTCCCAGCCATAGCGGTATCTATCAATGATGTGAAAAATTCTCTTACATTTTCAGAAGTGCGTCTTGCAAGTTTGTGCGCCGTGGTATGGAAAGAAAAAAATTGTGAAGGAATGGCACTGAAAGTTCTAGAAGCTTTATTTTTTCGATCATTTTTGATTTTGTACGCCTACGCGACGAAGATGAACTAACCTCTGCAGGCGACCCAACATACGTGAGCCCGGACCTGGTCGTCCAGGAGCAAAGCTACCAGAATGGCGGCTCCAGCTCGACGGCGCAAGAAGGGGTGCACCGATCGAGCGACCCTGAGGGTGGCGGAAACCCCGAGGCCGTGGTACATGACAGTGGCGGGTCCGAGGACGAAATAAAGGTTTTTGCGGTAAAGGGCGAAGTAGTGGAGGGTCTTACTGGCGAGATAAAAGTGTACGATCCCCAGTCCGGCTGGGGCTTCATCCTTGCCAACCCATGCACGCTGGACACGGACGTGTTTTTGCACCGAAATCAGTTCCAGGATGTGGAAAGCGGCCCCAAAGAACTCATCAGCACAAGAGACCCGGAGAAAACGAAGGTGGAAAATTTGCGTGGGTTGTAAGTGATCAGCTACCTTCGCAAGTACGAGCGCTTCTAGAATTGTATGCTTCTTCTGTTGTAGTTTTTGGGCGGATCAGTTTTCACATACTGTTCTCAAACTCTAAACAGGTACGATTCACAATGGACTGGACAGACGAATCGAAGCCCAAGGCGCAACAAGTGGTCATTATTAGCGGGCCAAGATCGCAGCCAGGTAACTTCGATTTTATGACTGAAGGCGGAATTTGATCAAGCAACCGCTCATAATCTCGTTTTTTGTGTTGATTGTAATGTATCTGATCGAAAAATGGCGACGCCCTGATGCTCATCGAATCGTGACGCATTTTGGTTTCCAAAAATTATACATAGTTGGCAAGGGCGTGAGCAGAAAGTGCGGCAACTGCTATTCAACGGTCGTGTGGAACGTAAATCCGTGCGTTGTGTGCGGCAAGGACCAATATTACGGCAAGGGAAAGGGCAAGGGCTACGGTTTTAACGGGAAGGGTAAGACCCACCGAGCGGAACCCTACCGCTATACCGAGAAGGGCGGCACGGAGAAGGGCGGGGACGCAGCGGAGCGAGCGCCCTCCGTTGGTAAGGGCGGCGGTGGCAGTGCGTTGAACAGTCCCGCCAGCGCGCCACAACCCTCCATGCGCGAGTACGAAGGGTGGTGATAAAGAAAACTGTTGGCTGTAAAAATAACTACGACGAAAGAAAAACTTTTCAAAATGTAAACCGGCGTGTGTAAGAGAAAGGACCACTGCCCCCCGTGGGACATTTTCACATGTTTACTTTGAGAATACACTCGTCATAGTCCTCTATCTCGCATGAAAGCGCACGAGGCTTGGTGACACACTACGTAGTTACTTTCCCGCTTTATCACTTCACGAGGACCGTCCATGTTCACATTTGATATTGTAGGAACAACATCAACGAGCATCGTTTATCGTTTTGCTACTGACTGTCTGTACGTTTAGCATTCAGCTTCGTAGCACGAGTGACCAGGCGGCTGCAAATCGTTTTAAGAAATTTTTGCTGGAGGTAGTTCCGTTCGCGGCAGCAGCTGTTGCGCATATATCTAAAATGTCAAAGCGTGCCATATAAACCGATCTTTTCAGTCGCTAGTGAGATCTGTTTTTATCTTCTCCGAGAGCCGTTCCGCCAGTCGCAGTCTGTCTCTCTTTCAGTTACTGTTTCCTATAACGATCTAGTTTGTGGTTTTTAGGAGTTGTGGGACGTTCTTACTCACCATGCAAAGAATTGGGACTGACCGCATTCTCATTTTGGTGCTGATGGGCACACCGGGTTCGGGGAATTGCACTTTTGCTGCGAACTTGAAGCTAAACTGCCGACCAGAAACGCGTGTGGACATTATTTCGCGAGACGACCTCACCAGGCGCTGGGCCTGTGTGAAGCAATTTCGGGAGCTTAATGAAGACTTTTTGTCGGGCAATACAGACAGACCTTTCAGTAATCTTGACGTCACAGGCGGCGTCGTCGTGGACGAAAGCGAAAGGAAAGAAGAGTACTGTTCAGAATACGAAAACCTTCTCCTGATCATCGCCCGGTGCAACATCGATTAGTGGCAGCGTAAGCAGTGGGTTTCAGAGGCTCTTTGGTACGGCTTGACCGCTGAAAATTTGGAGTGCGCGTGGTTCGACCACCTGGATCTTCCCGCAACGCGTGTGCGCCGCTCGTTGGAGCGGGAGGGACACCCGACTAACTCGGCGGTAAGCAGGCAACAGGCGAAAGAGATAGTCTGCGGCTTCGAGGAATCTCTGCAAGTGCCAGACTGACTTGTCGAGGAAGCAAATCGGGAAGCTGCACCGGTTGAAAAGGGCAAGCGAGCTAGTTGCGTTTTGAGAGGAGCTTTTGCGGCGGTCGTGACTACGAATCAATACGCGGCGTTTATTTCTCTACATCGGACAAGAAGCATGTCGACGAACAAGTGGTTTCTTGCGCCATGTCGAGCACAGATATCGATCCGACATTTCCATTGGATGGTTCCCATGCGATTCTGAGACGGCATTAGCCGTTGATTTTGACAATGCGGTACAGGAAAGACAGGCATGATAAGTGCCAGTTATTTTTCATGAACTCCGTACTCGGGGAATCGGGAACGCACACAGTACGAAGTAAGTATACTGTTCTCGGATGAGTTACTCGTAAACATGTTATTACGACAGTTCTTGTACTCTCTGTCTTTACTACATTCGCACACGACCAGGACCCGCATCAAGTACTACACGTGAGTGTGTTGAGGGCAGAGCCTTTCTTTCATTCAGCCCACGAGCGAATTCTCCGGAGCGACAAGTCAGATTTTGGTTCCACGTTCGTTCATAGCAAACAACTCATGCAAAGCAAGCCGGCGCTGACGAACGCGGCGCAGCCGGCCGCGGGCTCAGCCGCCGCCAACAAGGGCGATTTCCTCGCACTTCCCTTTCCGCCCCAGAAACTTCCCGGGGTCGGCCACCGGGCGTTGCGGGAAGCCTTTGGCAGTCTTGATGTGGACGGCAACGGCTTCATCGGGGCTGCGGAATTACGGCACTTTCTCACGGTTTTAGGGGAAAAGCCACTAGATGAGGAGATTGACGAGATGATCCGCATGGTGGATGAGGACGGGATCGGGCAGATCGGCATAGAGGAGTGGATGCGCGTGTTTGGCGAGGCCGCGGTGGTGAACGAAATGAAGAACGTCAAGTTTGCCTCCGACAAGACAAAAAAGGAGCTCGAGCAGCTGGCGTCACAGGGTAAGTTTGATATAGTACAGTGTGTATGTGTGGTGTGTGCCTATCGGCAGAACAAAGTATTTGCTTTCGGTTACGATCTTTCGGCCAACCATGCGAGTCACGCTTTTTGGAAAGTGCCCTCCTCCTGAAACAGGTATTGAGAACGTGGCGGGCGCCCAGCAGGCCGCAGAGCTGCGGAAGAAGGAGGCCCGGGCGGCGCGGAAGAACGTTTTGAATGCGGACAAGGACATGAAGCCGGGTGACGCAACCGAAAAGAACTACAACATCTTGCGGCAGTTTGCTGTGGCGCCGAACGAGCTGAAGCGGTACTACGAGCGCTTCTTGGAGATTGATCGCGACGAGCTGGGGAGTATCACTTACTCCGAGTTCTGCTTAGTGCTTGAGGAAGACGATAACGACATGATTCGTGCGCTGTTTGACATCTTCGACATGGACGGGAGCGGAACCGTAGAAATGGTCGAGTTCATCGTCGGGCTGTCTGCCTACTGCTCCAGTACCACGAAGGAGGAAAGGCTGAAGTTCGCGTTCATGATCTGCGACACGGAGAACACGGGGCACCTGGGCAAGGAAGAAATCGGCCAGATCCTGAAGGCGAACTTTCTGGCGCAGCAGTCCTCCACACAGGACATCAACCGGCGGGTGGATAAGGTGTTCACGCTGGCCAAAAAGGCCAAGTCGGAACGCATCACCTTCGCCGAGTTCATCGACGTCGCGAAACGGGTGCAGGGCCTGGTCTATCCGGCCTACGCAATCATGGACGACGTCACGAAACTGCAGCAAGAAAGACAAAGATGAATTCTCTTGTTGCGCGGTGTAGCTAAAAGCGTGGATTACGGTTCGTGGAAGTCCGATTTGCAACTCCTCGGCGCACAAAGCAAAAGCAAAGACGAAGAATGTGATGAATGAGACAAGTGCGCCGACTGCGCATTAAGCCTCACATTGCTGGTCCCCTGTTCCGCCTGCATCGCGCGCCGCTAACACTTCTGTGCGCAATCAAGTCTGCGAGTTTGGTGTGAGCGCTGATTCAAACTAGGAGCGCTTGCGATTTTTACTTGTCGAGATACCAAAAGGAATGAGGTTTGGTATGCTCGAGATGGAGGAGTTTGATGAGGGAATTTGTTATTGCTGCGGGGAGCGGCTATATGCGAGCTCGTGTCCTTGGGTCTCGACATTCTGTATGTGATAGATTTCGAGATTTTTCAGGTCTTAGTCGGTCTGCTTTTCATCCTCGTTCTAGTTTTACTTCCAGTTTTGTGAGATCCGCAACTTCTTCGCGAAACTAATCAAGATGGTGGTGAAAGTCTCGCAGCTGGTCTCTCGCGCCCAGTTTCAGCCGCGCGTAGGGGCTTTGGAAAAGAAGGAGACCCCTGTGAGCACGATTGAGTCCAGCAGCTCCTCCTCCACGGCAATCAGCAGCAGCGCCGCAAGTGAGACAGCGGCGTGCGAAGCGGTGCAAATTTTGGAGGAGTACGTGCACAAGGACATTCCGACGCACGCCCACTCCGCCTTGCGCGCGGGAGCGGCTGACGCGGGGGAGATCGTGTTAAAGAAGGTCCTACCGCTGTGTCGTCTAGCCGGTCGAGAAATGGCGAAAACGGCGAATCATTTAGAAATTGCGCTAATCAGTCGACACTACAAGGAGAAGCTTCCCCCCGCGCCGACGGCTTTTACGCACGAGGTGGTCTGCAAGCGGGCGGACCACTTTCTCGAGCCGAAAGTGCTGTTGGCCGTGGATGGGCAGAACGCGCTACACGCAGCCTTGGTCACTGGGCTTTCCCCAGCGGGAATCAGCCTAGCCGCAGGCAGCGCATCAGCAGCGGCGACGACGATTCAGGACGCGCTCTTGGAATTTCCCGCGTTGTGTAAGCACTCAGTGTCGGACAGAGAAGGGGTTATCCGCCTCTGGACCACGGAGGAGCGCTTTTTTGCCCGCGAAGACGAGGAGGAGAGTCCACGCAAACGGTCTGCAGGGTCGACAAATAAGACCTCTACGCATCAGTCGATCAAGCAAGCGCTTTTCTACGACAGTATTCTTGCCGTGGAGCAGATCTACTCCAGCCTGCACGAGGTGCACCTTGTTTCGTCACTTCTGGTTAGCTTCCTGGGAACGATGTCGGGGGAAGATTTCGCGAGGCATTTTCGAATTTCGAAGACGCCTCCAGCAGCAGAAGATCATGCTCCTGTAGGTGGAGAAAGTGCTGACAACTCGCGAGAAGACAAAAACAAGAAGAAGATCCAAACAAAAGTTCTGTCGGCGCTCCGATTTCTCGAGGAGTACATGCTGGAAAACACAGAGTCACTGTTCCGGGAGATCCTGCATTTTTTCAGCAAGGAAGCCTCTTCAGTCAATGAACAGGACTTCAATATTCATGTCTACGCAACCGATGTGGATGATTACGATCCGTTGCTGAGAAACGCGCGGCCGCAGCACGTACCCCAGACCCTCGACGACATGTTTCAGGACAACTTTTTCGAAAAGCCCTGCACCGATGTGAGTCTGTACACAAAGATTCCAGAAGACTTTTCAGGTGTGCATTTGGTTCTCGTGAGGGGAAAGGAAACGAGAGTATTCAGCTTTTATCACGATTGATATAATTTGAGGGCGTGGTTATTCGCAGATCAGTGATTTGATCGATCCGTATCTATTCAGCACAATGATCATCAACAGAAAGATTTGTGGTCGGGCGCTGTCGCGACTGCGGGTGTTCTCGTTGACTGAGCGGGAGGAAAAGCGTAGGAGGATGAGTCGAGATGCTACTGTATCTGAGACGATGGAGTATCAGAGAGTGAGGGCACCAGCACGAGTGTGAGCGAGCGAACTCTGCGATGCTGCGCTGCAATGATGCACAGCGACGGGAAATACGTTACGTGGGTGGGCGCTCTATTCTGGTCTATCAATACACACAGCGCCGCCCTGCGTGCCCTTTTAAATTGGGGCGCGGCTTCGCCCCGTGGCCGGCTTATGCCACGCGCCGCACCAGATGCAGGCTGCCGATGAATGTGAGCGCGACGATGCGCCCCGTTACCTGCGCGCGCCAGGAGAAGCGCGCTTCTACTTAATGTTCGCGCACTCCGGGCCAGGCGCGAGCCAGCCGAGTCTTAGCGAAAACGTGCGCCAGCAGTCCGCTGACTTGGCCGAGCGCCTTGCGAGCAGGCCGAAACACGAATCGCCGGCAGCTGAAACAAGATTTCTACCGGGAAGTCAGCAGGGAACGCGGCAGGGCGCCGGGCGCGATTGTGCTGCAGCTAGGCCGCAAGAGGCCCGGCGCACCCCGGGCGGCAGCGTGCCGCGCGAATTAATTGCGCGCCGTGTGTGTGGTTCGGAGGCCCCGCCTGGCGCGCCTCTTCACGGCTGCCCGGACCTTTGCCCGGGCGGCCTGTTGTTTCCTCGCAGCCTTTATTCCGGGCACCGGCACCGGCGCCGTATTGTACCCATTGAATACCTTGGGCGCGTCCGCGGTGAAGGGCCAAACCCTTCCGTGCCCTACGGCTTTATGGCTTCGCGCGGCACTAGAACTGGAGTCATCAGTGCCGTGGCGTTTTCGTTGCTTCAGCTCAGCTTGTGCATAGTGCATGCAGTTGCTCCGTGGAGTCATTTTTAAAGCCTCTCTGACGGGTGTAGTCGGCGTTGGTGTTCTGAAGTTTGGACTTCGATAATCACCGACGTAACTGTTGAGTCGTTGGCATTGTTTCATCGAAGAGTGCGAGCGCAATGGATGCAGCTTCGTGTAAGAGGGCGCTGAGGGTGAAGGTTACCACGACGATTCGGATTACAGATGTCGTCGCGGTTGCTCGCGTGCGCATCAGATTTGGAGTTGGTTCTCTTGTCGCCTTTCTTTTTCGGCACAACGCCAACGGAGACGACAATCTGCTGAGGCTTAGCTTCGAAAGGGATTTCTGCAAGGATCGACTTACTAGAAGGTGCGTCTACTTTTCAGAGAATACAGAAGTTTTTTCTTGTTTTAATTTCTTTGACTTTCGCGGGCCTGACAGAAGCCATGTGGTACTGCCGTTTCGGGGAACATAGCGTATCGCTAGAGGATCAACGTAGGATCCAGATGCGTACCAAGCAGGAGATGCAGCTACGGCGTGCGGTAGTTGATGTAGTTGCTTTCTATTCTTGCACGACCTGCAATAATTTTTTTTGAAGTGGAGGGAAGAAAAAAGTGCCACTGCATATTATTGATGTTATTGATGTGTATTAAAGAACAATCTTTCATTCAACTCCAGGTTCTGGTCGCCCGCAAGGAAGTTGTGCTGCAGCAGCGGTGCCAAAGAAAGGAGAAGCGATACGATCGCTTTTTGAAGCTGAAGGAATCTTGCCTCAACATCAAGATCACAGACAGACCCGGTGGCGCATTCGCCCCCGCACGCCGTACCCGTAGCAAGTCGGCGAAGCGCGCAAAGACTCCGCGGAAAGACGCGTCACTACCCCGACCGGAGCTTTTGTCTACCAAGCAACCGACTTCATCTGACAGTGAGCAAAAAAAGAAAGGTTCCGCAGAAAAGCCGAAAAAGCCACCGCCCTTCTATCCGTCAAGCGCGTTTGCCAGCTTCACGGAGACAAAAGCTCCGGGAAAGCAGGAGGTATTATTATTCTTGGTGCGTACACGTAGCGTCCAGGATATGATTTTTTCCGTCGACGGTTTTGCACGCTCAGCCTGAGAAGTTTTACTCTTCTCAATCCCGCTTCCGTTATTTTCCAATTGAATCCCTGACACCGAAACAGGATCGCCTGATGCTGAGTGCGAGCAGTGCGCGCAACGTGCTCTCCTCGTCGCGCGCGTCCTCTCCAAATCAATCACGCGCCCGGACCGGCTCGACATCTGACGTGCAAAAACTTCTCGGAGCGATCGCGAGCACCTCCAAGCGCAGCGCCCGCTCGCCGAAAAACGAAGTCGGCGGCATCGCGGGCCAGGGGCGTAGCTTCGTCGAGCGTGTAGCGCTGGAACTCCGCTCGGTGAAGAGCCCCAGCAAACGCGGCCAACTCGACGACGAGGCCACCGAGAAATTGCTGAAGGAGCTAGCGAGCAAGGTCCGGGACGCTTCAGTGGAGATTGAGCGCGGCGGCAAGCCAGGATTTGCCTCCAGCGCCTCTTCGTCGAAGCAAAACAGCGCACGGAACCGGGCGAGATATTACAATGAAAAATGCCCCCACCCCCGAACTTGGGAGAATTTGTATTGCAAACCTTTCCAAATGAAACATTCACCCTCTTGCATCTATCAGCATCACAGGTTTCCAATCGTGAACAGCAAGAATGTATTGTATTGCAAAAGACCCCAGCAAGAGCGGCGCTTGTCATGCAAGCGATGCGATACACGCCTAGACCCTGCATCAGAAAGATGCATACTCCTTTCATGCATGACAAAAAGTCTTCATTTGGACACTTCGCATCACAAATTTTTACAATTTAAGGGGTGGGGGGCATTTTTCACTGTAATACGAGAAAATTGTCCTTCACGGCAGAGAACGCAGCCTCGTCGACCTACATATCAAATGTAAAAATGTCTGGGTCTGGAAGGGTTGGAACTTGTGATGCAAACTCTGGAACACACAAAAATTTGTGTTGCATGAGCGCCAAAAGCTGTCCATTTCTTGGCACGCAAGTAGGAAGTTTCTCATGCGGGACATGCTTCATGAGGCGTGCTCAAAACCTGTGATGCTTTTGCCTGCATCAGACGCCATTTGGGTGATCCGAAATATGCATGACAAATCTCGCAATCTTCCAGACCCAGACATTTTTACATTTGATACTACACGACGCGAAACAATTCGCCGGCCAAACAGGAGTCCGCCCGGGACCAGTTGGCGAGGCAGGAAGCCTTGGCGAAGGAAAAACAGATCGAGGAGGACAAGGCTGTGATGGTGCAAATACTAGGCGTGCCAACGCTTTCTGGAGCGTAGGATCTGATTAGTTCTTCCACTTTCCGTAGATTTCGACAGGATCGCGCGTTTTATGTGTGCGTGGTGGTTGAAATAGTCCGTAGATGTTGTGTACGATCGTCGACGTTTCTGAAGAAATAGTGCTCGCTACACAGGCACCCAGTCACCGTCTGTGCGGTGAAGGAAGGATGAAGTCAGACTCGCACTGATTCTAGGAAGGACCTCCAGGTCGTTCGTGCAGTAGAGAACAAAGCGTTCTAGATTAGTGTTCAAGGACAATCGGTGTTGTTTGATGCTTTTTTTCTGTGCAAAGTCGCGTCTTTCCGAAAGAGGATCTTCTCCACGACTGACGCTCTTCGCCGAACAGCACCAGGGTCAGTCTTGGCTACGTGTGTCAAGATGTCACGCTAACGTTCGTCGTCAATTGCTGCTTCTGTTGGAAGCACGATGGTTTGTGGAGGTTTTCCCCGAAAAATGCGTTTGCTTCGTTGGGTGCAGCTCTTCTTCGCCAGCAGCTTTTGGCAGTTGCAGCTGGTTTGGAGGAGCGAAGACAACGTGCACGCCCAACTTGTGCCGCACATCATTCACTTCGAGGATCGACCCGATCTGAACACCACGAACGCGCTTTCCCGCTTGAGGTGGTTCGTGCGGCACCGCCGGCCGCAAGCGCTGCAGTGCGACCCGCTGAATGCCGAACTGCGCAACGACATCTTGACCAAGTACGGCACGACGTACCAGAATGCCTTGGGTGGGGGACCGAACGAAAACGGGCCGATTTCGCCGTACGGTGTGTACCTCGCCGAAATGCAGCGCTACTTTGACAGCAGTCATTTTTCTCAAAAGCTCTCCGTGCTGCAGAACTTTTTCCTCGTGAACAGTGCGCACTTTGAGAAGTTTTGCCGCCCGATCGCTTTTTTGAGCCAGGTGTTCAAAGTGATTGGGTTGTCCCAGTACTATCACATCCAAACGAAAGCCGCCCTGGAACTGATGGACGCGGAAACGTGGTACCGGGTGCAGCAAACCTTCAATACCATCGCGGAACTCTTCATGGAAACAGAGCCAGAGCAGGCTTTCTTCCACGAGATGTCGGCCGTGGCAGCCGAGGATGACCCGTCGAGAACCGATCTGCTTCGCCTTCCGCGCCAGCTTGCGTACACACTGCACCCAAGCAGCATGGCGGGGATGCGTCGGATGTTTCTGGTGCTCTCGGAGTCGCCCTACCTCGAAGTGAAGAACATCCTTCCGCCGCTGATGCTTCAGGCCTATGGTAGGTACATAACGGGTCATTGTTTCTGCTTCTACTTTTGCACTTAGAAAGGGGGCTATGAACAAAATCATAGAAAAAGAACTTTGTATGCTGCTCTTAAGAATTGCTATTGCACTGGGGAGAAGACCATGGCACTTTGTGGGCTACTTCCTTCCGCCGCAACAAGTCCATCTTCTCCAAAACATGAAACTCCACAAGGTTCATTGAGATCCGGCAGAATTTGATGCGAATTTTCACGGTGCACCACCCGCAGTGGGTGTACCACGTGTTGCCGCTGGACAACATGCAGCTGACGATCCAGAATAAGGCGATTGCTGGCGACGAGTGCATGGATCGCACGAGCACGATGTTCGATTACGAGAAGGAACAAAGCGTCAACTTCTACCGGCTCTTCCGCGACGGAGTGGCGGAACTTCTCGGAAAAGTCGCCGACGTGGATGAGATGGACGCTACCGTCGCCCGCGCCATGCGCCTGAAGTCGCAAAGCGAGTACGAGCGCATCGAGCGCGAGGCCACTGGAGAGCTGCCAAAGGAAAATAACAAGGCGGACGCGATGAATACAGATGCGGCGAGCGTGGAGAGCCGGGTGCTCGGCGGGGGAGAAGATGGAACAAATGGGCAAAAGGACGTCGCTGATTCAGATCGCGACGGAGAATCCGCAAGTTCTGCTGGTGCCGCGAAGAAGCCGGACATCAATCGCATGACGCATTACCTGCTGATGACTGACCCGAACTTCACTTTTAACGCGTGCACGCCCGCCGTGATGCTGGCGCTTCTCGTTTACATCAATAAGCTATTTGAAGAGGCGATCCAGGCCATGCTGCGCAACGAGCCGCTCGCGGCGTGGAGCCACTTCTTGAAGTATTCCCACCACTTGATCAATCGGGTCTACCTCCCCGCGCGCAACAAGTACGCCATCCCCAACTGGCACACCTGGATCGCGGGCGGGCGGAATATCGACTGGATCGGGCTGATCCGTGTTGCCGAGAACCGCATGATGTCGAAGAAGGAAATCCTGTACGGACAGAAGATCAACCGCGTAGAGGAGCGCGCGGACGTCTGCAGTGCGGAAGACGCGTGCAATATGCAAGAAAAAAACTGCGTAAGTGTAAATCTGTGATGCAGAAAATGCAAAACAGTTACACTTGTCATGCTCGACATGCATGATCAGCGCGCTTCCCATGTGTTTTCCCTTTGTATCTGCGCATAACAAGTTTGTCCTGTCATGGCAGACAAACTTGTGATGCTGTTTTCCCGAAAGACTTACACTAACACAGTTTTTTTCTTGGATATGCAAAACGGACATCGTGCCCGAGGAGTACGACCAACAGATGGAAAAAGTTTTCCACATCATCGTGGACGAGCTCGAGCGGCTCGGGTTGGAGTTCTGGCCAGCCGGCGGCACCATGATCGGCGCGTTACGCTGGGGGAAGATCGCCGGCCGCCTGACGGACGCGGCGGGAGGGGTGAACAGTCGTGATACTGCGGAAGCAGCAAATAACGAACGGTGGGACGTGATCGACGACGACCTGGAGTTCATGATCGGCCTGCACAGCGAGGACGCCTGGCTGGACGTGTCCGCGGAACTGAGCCAGGTGCTGACTGCGCAGAAGGGGGCGGGGATGTGCCACCAGACCTTTTCGCTCCACACGAATAACAACTTTTGGAGCAACTACGTGCGGCAGGATCTGCTCGCCTGCGGCTGGTACAAGCCCTACGCGATCGGCGTGGAGCTCCGGTCCTACGTCATCGAGCGGCGGCTCAACTTTGCGTACCTGTTCAAGATGGGCGGCAGCGGTTACGCGCCGTGGTGCGACGCGGACCAGTATGCGGCGAAAAAGGAGTACCAGAACTGGATGCACAAGGACGCGAAGCAGCGGCGACTTTCCGCGTCGCGGTCGGAACTCGCCGCGGCTCACCACGAGGTGTTGCACGGTACCGCGTTGGAGGAGGGCAAGGAAGTGCCGGAGCGGACGGACGGAGAGAAGGAGGAGGTGAAAACCAAGTACGCAAAGATGCAGGAGGACGTCGAGGTGGAAGCGAGGCAGAAGGTAGTTCAAGCGGAAATTGAGGCGCGACACGGGCGAGGGGTGAAGATCTTTGGGTTCAACCCCTGGGCGCTGCGCCGCGGAACGGGCGGGATCACGAGAGTCGTCGAGAAGCTGAAGTCGAGCCGGTTTGTGTTCCAAAAAAGCCGCCGGAAGAGAATTCGACTTTCATCTCTTGCAGAATATCAAGCTACTAGCAGCGAAATTGCAACTTCGAGTGCTGGTGCTGGGAGTTCGAAAGGTTCGACGGCACGCGTGTCTCCCCCCGTCAACCCGCTGTGCTATCTGGGGAAAATGCCGGTGTTTCAGGCGTGGGAGGGGTTTCTGCCGTTGGAGGAGTACCTGTATCCGTTGAAAAAGTGCACTCTGTTCGACCGCACCATTTCCTGCCCAAACCACGCCATCGACATACTGAAAAAGTTCAACGCAAACGAGTACCAGAATCCCGGTTTCTGTCTCGCACTGCCGTATCTGGCGGGCCGCAACCTGCACCGCGACAAACGCATGAAAAACCTGGAATTCGATGCTTTCAATGAACAGGACTACGAGCGGGTCTACCAGAAGAGTTTGGAGCTGCAGAGCGAGGGCTTCACGTCTTTTGCGGAGCTTTTTCGAGATTTGAGGATAGAGGGTGGCAGTCAAGACGTGGAGCAGGTTGGCGAGAAAAGAAAAGAGCTGCTGTGCGATGGAAATTCCTTTAAAGACTTGCAGCAGCGAGCGGTAGATCATTTAAGGATGTGTCCGCCAGTGCGCGCACAGCACGGTATGGAAGACTACGAGGACGACTTCCATTTCTGAAAATCAAACAAAAACAAGAAGAAGTACCCGCCAGCTTTTGGAACAAGCTGCACTTGTGCTGGCCTGTTGTCGTGATGTGATAAGTACGCGTGTGTGGCTTTTGTCTGTGTTCTACGCCTTTGTCTGGGCTCTGCATCCCGTTTCTGACTACCTTGCTTGTCTGAAGCGAAAAGAAACAATCTATCCATCCGTGTTGAGGTGCAAAGCAAAAAGACAACAAAGAAGTCCTAAAGCCGGATCAGTTTATTTTCCAAAGATCTGCGATAAGATTCGATATCGATTCATTTGCGAACAGAATTTTGTGGTGGGACTGCTCTGCTCATGATGTACTTGAACCATTTTAAAGCTTTGTGAACCCTAGATCTTCATCCCAGCAATCTTGTGGCGTGACATGTTTACGGATGAATCCAATTTTTTGTAGTCTTCGCCTACCTACAAGTGGGCCAGTTTCTGTTCAAGTCGAGTGTGAGCGATCCAAAGTACACTGGCAATAGAAGACCTCGCCGTAATATTGCTTGTCGCCACAGTCGCTGTGCTCGCATGGTCGTGTAACTATGGAAAAATGATAGTGATAACTGGCTGCGTCACTACCTGTACCATAACGCTTTGACGAGCAGACGCGCCCGCCGGGTGTAGCAGCAGGAAATGAGCGGTGACCCGACCGCCCAGTCGGATTTCCGATCTGCATCGGATACGTTCCGAAGTGTCGCATCGCAAGCGGAGCGATTGCAAGTATCTCAACTCTCCAGGACGCCGCCATCCACCACAGTGACGCGGGAATTGCATCCGCGACCACCCGCGTCTCATCGAAATGATGCCCAACCGCCGCCGCCGAGCGCGACGTTTGCAGGCCGGCCCCAGGCTTCGGCTCGTGGTGCGACGAACGTTTTTGAACCCCGTGCCAATTACCTCCCAGGAGTCGGCGGGCAGTTACTTCCACTGCCAACCGGGCTGGTTGGCGGCAAGCTGTACCTCCCGCCGGGTTCGAAGATACCAGCGCTGGACTCGCCAGAGAAGGCGGAAAGCAGGAGAAGAAGGAGCAGGTCAGAGACGTCTGAGGAGCGCGATCGCGACGGTGCGGAGGCGGAAGTGGAACGACAAGGACTCCTTGACGCGAGATTCTCGGCACAGGCGAAGACGCGCGAACGGGGGCAAGAAGAAGCGCAGTCAACAGCTTTCTTGAGGATTAGAAGGACAGCCTCGACCGGATCGACCTACAAAGTGCCCCTGGGAGGCGACAGAAACGGTGTGGATGCTGCTGCGGTTGTACGAGTAGGAGAGCAAACGGGGCAGGACGAACAGCGGAGCGTAAGTTCCAGTTCGATAATATCGCCGTTAGCAGTAGACGGACCAGCAAGTGGACGACAGCGAAGTAGATCCCCCGGCTGGTGCAAGGACGGTAGTATCAGAAGTCCGCTAGTAGCCAGCCTGGAAGCGCAAGATGGTTTTTTTCGAGAAGATGTCAGCAGCTCACCTGGGAGTGGTGCCGCGCGCGTCGACAGTGACAGTAGCGTCAGTGACGTTTGGGAAAAGTGTCGTTGCACCAAGAGTCTGAGACGCGAGCAGCTCCGTCGTCCCGGGGAGGCCAGAAGTTTGCGTTCCGGGTCGCGTTCCGACAAGATTGAAGCATCGTCTCAAAGCTCGTTTTCCACCTCGACAGGCCGCGAACAAGAGCAGAAGCCGCTCGAGGCAATTGGTAGCAGAAACGATGGCGTCGAAGGAGAAGAAGACTTGGAGGAAGACGTCCTTTTTTCTACTTCGTCTGAATCTTCAGAAGCGGAGCCATTGAGTAACGCGGTGTCGGTCAATTTTATGCGGCGCGCGCACGGACTGCAGACGGCGTATCTGGACAAAATGAACGCTTTGAGCGAGGACGAGCCGGACGCATACCCCAATTACGACCTCTACCTAAAGTTTTTTCTGCGAGCAAAACTGGAAGAGATAGACCAGTGGAGCTGGTTTGTACGACACGAAGTGCGGCAAGCGCTGTACTGGCACTTGTGCGACCCGCGCAACCGGACCAACACGCATTGGTATGTGGAGATGGTATTCTTCATGATAGTGACATGCTTGTTTTTCGATGTTTCAGTGTGTCTATTCCTTCCGGTGGAAGCATATGTTTGTAAAAAATCCGTACATAGATGATTAGGACTGCATTATCTGCTCCAGCTACAATTCAAACTCGCTTGTTGAACAACTCAGATTACCATCTACGGTGGCAGCGCCAACGGTTTCACGGCCCCGGGGGGCGATTTGGACGTGACGCTCTGGGTTCCGGATATAGCGCGGAAGCGATTTGCCCCCGACGCGCAAAGCAAACGCTTCGACAAGGAGTCGCAGAACCGGGACCGTGAACGGAAAGCGCTCTGTTTGGACATGTTCGCAAACGACCTCCAGCGCGACCAGGGCGACAACTACTTCGACTTCGAACTGGTGAAGTACGCGAAGATTCCCGTGCTAAAGTGCAAGACGTGCTTTCCATACCAAAGAGGTGCGGAGGCACTGGAGCTCGACTTTACGGTGAACAACGAGATGGCCGTGCGCAACACGTCCCTGCTGAAGCGGTACAGCGGAAACCCCTACTGCCGCGCGCTCGCGATTCTGGTGAAGTCGTGGACGAAAGCAAACAACCTCGTAGGTGTCCAGAGCGGATTCCTCTCTTCCTACGCCTACAATCTGATGGTGATCTTCTTTTTCCAGTGCCAGGGGATCTTGCCGGTGCTGCACGAGGATCGGGAAAAGCATCCGCTGCACACCTCCTCGCCGGCGAGTAGCTGCGGGCTGACGCCGCTTCTCGAGAGCAACAAACTTTTGGGCTCTGGTGGCACCGATATTAGCATTTCGGGAGACCAAAACAACAGCGGTTTTCCCAAATGGATGCAGGACGACTTGCTGACGTCGGAAGAGGAGCTGGAGCTGCAGCATTTGGAACAGCCTTCGGAGAAAAAGAAAGAAAGCAACAACGCAGTAGAAGAAGGCGATGGCAGCCACGCGAATAAAACAAGCGACGTGGACCAGAAAAGCGACCCGTACCTAGTAGAAGAGCGCGGCGTTTGGGACACTTGGTTTGACACACTGCAGCCCTGCAATGAGCCGCAGGACGGGAAGGCTCACGAGGAGGCAGAACCGTTGTCACTGACCAGGCTCTGGCTTGGGTTTCTGCAGTTCTACGGCGGAGGCATTAAGCAACAGAAAATGAAAAGGGACCTGGCGCAGCAGGATAAGCTGAACGAGACCAATTTCGAGCGCGCGCCGTTCACAGAGCTCGATCCAGCAGCCGGGACGTATTGCCCAGCGGTCCGCCGGGTCTACGGCCTCGGCTGCGAGAACGGCGGGAAAAGTTGCGCAAACACGACCACCAGCGTGCTGGGGAACATTACCAGCCGGTCTTTCCTAGTGAGCCACAAGGAGGATGAACAGGATCCCGCGAAACGCAGTCGGACCAAGTTCCCGCACGAGAAGTTTGTCGTCGCGATCCACTGCAGTGAACTACGGACGAAGGAGGACGCAATCGACCGCGACTCGACCAACCGGTGGGGCGTGCCGAGTTATTACGGAGAGGACGGACGACAGCTGGTAATCCAGGACCCGTTTATTCGCTCGCGCTTCCTGTGCATGGAGGTGGAACAGCAACTGGTTTTTGACGAAAAATGCCGAGCCGAGTTCGAGCGCGTTCTGTTCCATCTGCGCAAGGACGAGAGAAGCTACACCAGCGGCCTGCGTACGGAGAGTGAACAGATGCAACGAGTGCGGGAGTTTGTGACAGAGCGACAGGCGAGGTTTGAGCAGGCGCTGCGCGAGTTCAGAAACGGGGTGCGAGCTCTGAAGGCGGAAACGCATCGTGATACGCTGTGAATAAGAATAGAGGACAAACACAAATCGAGAATCTTGATGTGCGCACAGTGCGATCATAAAAGAGGAGTTGCCTGATATCGAAACTACGCAACATGATCGGGATCGTGCGGCATCAATTGTTCGTTGCAGGTGGGTTACCATCGTCTCGAACTCCTTCGTCGCTCGTATGTTTGGACGGTTGTGATGAGCTGCTCGCTGAGTTTTGGAATGTGGAGAGGAGGAAACATTGTACTCGAGTGATTTGTTCGTGGGGCAATGTCATCGCGAATGTGACTGAAATTATGCGACAAGGAATTTATTAACTTCTGAGGAGGCGATCCATCGAAGTGGTGGCTTAGTGTGATTTTAGTACATGAGCTTTTTGTTGATCGTTTTTGAAAAGAAAGTAGTGACACTCGTTCCATCCGGAAGCAAGTGAAGACAGAAAAGCGGATACTTGATAGATGTTATTGCGGGAGCTGCTGTCCTCTACCAGTTTCGCGGCCGCAGAATTCGACGTCCCGGGCTTTTGGAAAGCTAAGCGCGACACGCTTCTTCAGGGTCTTCCAGGTGACCTGCAAAGCGCTGCGTCTCGTGCCGACAAGTTTGTGAAGCAGGAGCCCAATCCGGACGAGAAGGAGGCCGCGAAGGAAGCTGGACACCAGTTCTACCAGGAAGCGAACACGTTTTTGCGAAAGTGGAATCTGTTGAAGTCCCACCTGGAACAGTTCCCAGACCGGCACGATCGCCTGCGGAAGTTTGTCGCTGACATCAAGGAAGGCACTAGCGCTTTGTAGGAGAGCAGCTGCTACTGAGTACCTGGCCCGCCGCAAAAGAACAACGGGAGAATTGCCTAAAGTTCATTTGGTCTTGCTGCTCTACTAGGTCGTCCATGCTTGGTGGGCGCGCAGCAGAGTTATTTCTTGGTCTTGATCCTGGCGTCGAGTACAGTCACGGAGCCGTGACTTTTTTTGTGAAAATACCATCTTCGAAGCCACGTCATTTACCGAGAACGGCGTTTTTCCCAAAGACGACAACGAGCTTTGCAATCGAGACCACGGAAGAATTGCAGACTCAGCTCGACGCGGCGCACAAGTGGGCGGCGCAGACCAGGAAATTGGTGCCGGAGCCCGATCCGGGGGCCAATGACAAGATTAACGGATTGAAATTGTTGATCAACAAAAACTTGCTGAAAAAATTTGACGCGCTGCAGCAGGCTTTGACGAAACAGAGTGACGCGGTGGAGCACATCGCGAACAATCTGCGAGAAATTAATCAATTAGGGCGAACTCCACCTGATTCTGCTGTGATGCACCGGCCGGTAGATGCGCTTGACTAGGGTTGATACATAGGTTTCGAAGAAAACATGCGTGTTTTGAAAGTTTATGTTTATTTCACTGCGCTTTGAAGATGCAGGCGTCCGGCCTTTTGGTCTCGTAACGCGAAAAAACTCAGCGCAGAAACGAAGATGAGTGATTAGCGCACGACATCATCATATCGCAAAGATACTGTGCTGGTTCGTTGTGCATCCTTGTGTTTTTGCAACTGTAGTGTTGTAAGTATATCATGTGTTCGTAGTTGCTCCGCGCATGGTCATGGCGCATGGCGACATTGTAAATAAAGATGCGGAGCCACGCACAACGAAAAGGATCTTGGTTCTCTATTTTCATTTGGATTCATTGCTGCACACAACCCAAAACCCACTAGACGCTGTGCTCCTGCTCCGGAGGGCGCGTGAGCCACGAGAGACACAGGACAATATATAAAGGATCATGTCGAGGGAGAGAAAAAAGCTCAAAGTTTAATAAACTTACTGCTGCCTCCTGCATAAACTTTCCTTCCCGACGTCACCGATACAGGTGGGTCGCGGAGAGTCAAAGCCATGGCTTCTCCTCAGACAAATTCGCACCGGTTCTTTTTGCTGGCACTCGGCTCGACCGTTCTCCCCGGCGTGTCCGCCGACCTCCCCGTGCATTGCCTACGGCATCAAGTTGAGGGCGACTGGACCTTCTATTTGTCCGAGCCGTCTCCGGAGCGGTCCTCCTGCGGCCATGGGCGGCCAGACAACGAAAAGCGGGAGCCAAACCCGCGAGATCTGGTTGTGGACAGTAACGCAGGAGGGGGAAACAGGCAGATGAAGGTGTCGCTGTCCATGCCCAACCGAGCCCAGACGGACACTGATGTCGCCGGGACGTTTACCATGATTTACGACGAGGGCTTCGAAGTCGCCGTGGACAACAAAGTACTTATGAACAGCCGAGTCTCCTACTCCATCTTCTAAGAATCTTTTCTGCCTTTTTTCCACCAACGACCTCGGTCGAGTGTCTCTTGCAAAATCTTTTCAACTACAGAAATACATCGTCGTCAAATCATTCATCCTGTCAGGTCTTCTTCGCCTTCTCGCGCTTTGACTTGGACGCACTGGGGCGCAACCAGACCAAATGCGACGAAACGCTGACCGGCTGGTACCACGACCGAGACGGCGGCAACTACGGCTGCTACTACGGTCGAAAGAATCAGTCTCCACAACTCCCGAACGACCTTTCGTCCTCAGAAGAGAGCAGCACCGCGAGCACTTCCTCATCTCCGGAAGTGTCCATGGCCTCGGACAATATGAACGATCTGTTTTTGCACAGTCTCGGCCGGGAGGAACAAAGCACAAGCAATTTGTTTGGACATGAGGACAGCAGGACGCTGGACCATACGTTTCACGAGTCGGTGGTGAACCGACTGAATGATTTCTCCGTTTTGCAGGAAACTGCTTCGACGAAAAGAACAGCCACGTCGCACAAGCGACTGCAAAAATCGAAATCTACCGGTGGAAAGACTTGGACGGCAGAGGTGTACGCCAACATGGTCGGGAAAACCCGAAAGGAGCTGAACAAGATGGCGGGGATCAAGCGGCGGCTGCCGCTCGCGCAGGTGAAAAAGAATCAGCGCCGGTTGCGGTCGACGAGTAATGAAAGTACCACACTCGCCTCGTCGACAAGTTTTTTGCAAAGGGACGCCAGTACAACAACTTCTCATACGACGCGTAGCAAAATTTCTGACTTTTCGGAGCTTCCCCCAGAGTTCGACTGGGAAGAGAAAGGAGTGCTCGACGACGTCGTGAACCAGGGCGACTGCGGGTCCTGCTTCACGGTCGCGACGATCCGCATGCTGTCCGCGCGGAACCGGGTGCGGCAACGGAACAACAACCTGGAACCCTTTTCGATCGCGTTTCCCCTGCACTGCAGTGAGTACAACCAGGGTTGCAACGGGGGCTACGCGTTTCTGCAGTCCAAGTGGTCGGAGGACGTGGGGCTGATCCCGGCGAAGTGCATGCAGTACAGCACCGCGTCGAGCTGCGCGGATCCGATTTCGCTCGACTGCGTCAAGGGCGGGGAGGGGGACGCAAACTCCGCGGGGTCGTACCGGGCCGTGAACCACCGGTACATTGGCGGCTACTACGGGGGCAGCGACGAGCTGGACATCATGCAAGAACTCGTCGACAACGGGCCGGTCGTCGTGTCCTTCGAGCCCAAAGACGACTTCATGTATTACAACCAGGGAGTGTATCAGTCGACTTCGGGTGCTATGGTAGAGGAAACATCGGGTACGGCCAGGGGGCTCACATGATGACCATGATGACGAAGATGATGTGAAATTTTTAGGCTAAGCACGGCGATGGGAAGCATGAAGAAGTCATGAAGTATTCCATTCATGTGCATGTGTGACAAGAACTATTGGCTGTGACTTTTCCTCTGCACAAGCGAGCCCATCCACCAGGAGTGGGAGCGGGTGGACCACGCGGTGCTGCTCGTTGGCTATGGCGTCGATTCCACCTCCGGCCAGAAGTACTGGAAGGTGCAAAACTCGTGGGGCCCGGAGTGGGGAGAGGGCGGCTTCTTTCGGATTGCCCGGGGCACCAATGACTCGGGCATCGAGTCGATCTCCGTCGCCGCGGACGTGGAGCCGATGACACCCTCGAGCAGCTCGGTGCTGGAAAACTTCTTGAAAAACAGAAACGAGTTGTAAGGAACGAAGCTGCAGTCTTTTTTTTCTTTTCATCCAGGGGTGCTGTTGTACTTAAATGCACAAGATTACTACAGCCCCGAGGACGGCGGGCGAACAAATTTTAAACTGGCACAATTCTGCCGAACCTTTTTTCCTTCGTTGATATCGATCCAAAGCAAAAATCTGTAAAAATGTACGACCTGTGAAGCAATCGCGCTCACTCTTTAGATACGCAGCGTGACTGAAGCTGCTTGTCGCTCGTGGTTCTTTTTGTTTGGCTGAAAGGCTAGGAGCCACTTTGATCGAAATAGGTCTAGCTGAAGGTAGGACACGTACCTACTGTGTGTAGTACAAGATTCAAAAAAGTTCTGACGCGTTCAAACGAACAAAGACAGATCTCGTGATGGTCCCTAGAGAACAAAAAAACAAGACAGACAAACCTCCGAAATTTCGTACACGCTCTCGAGGACGATCCAGTGCGGGCTCCTCAAAGGATCCGAAACAAAATCAGTATTCGCTTTCGATCAGGATATGAATCACCTGCTGTCATCGAATTTGTGGATCCATCGAAAAATCCTGCTGCAACCCTGTTCCTTAAGAATCGTGTATTTCTCGATGGTTACAACACAGTGAAATAAGTAGTCTAGACAAGCTTTATACTTGCGCGCAAACATCTCTCAACTACTTTCACTTCAGACATCGACACCTTGACATCGATGATTTTTTGAACGTTACTTCAAAGTCGAAAATGGGAGTGAAAAAGAAAGTAATGAAGAAAGGACCTGCTGCCGCCAGCAAGCAGGCGAATAAGGTGGAAGATGCAACGACTCCCGCAGTCAAGGGAAACAAAGCAGGCACCACAACATCGAAGCAGCAGCCAGCAGTACCTGTGGAAGAAAAATCAGAAGATGAGAAGTCGGAGCCCGAAAACGATGACTCTGCGGATGAGGACAGCGCAAACGAGGACAAGGAGGACGACCAGAATGTTGATGCCGACGCAGCTACCACTGTTGTCAGTAAGAGCGACGAGGAACAAGAAGCCTCCTCTGACGAGGAGGAGTCGTCTGAGGGAGAAAGTGGTGAGAGCGCCACAGCATCTGAGGAGGAGGCAGAACAAAAATCCTGGGACGATCTGAATCTCGACCGGCGACTGGTGCAGCCTCTGAGCGCCATGTTCGAGCGGCCCTCGGCCGTGCAGTGCGCCAGCATCCCGGCGGCGGTGCAGGGGCGGGACGTATTGTGTAACGCACGGACGGGAAGTGGCAAGACGATGGCGTTTCTTGTCCCGATGTTGCAACGCATTCTCGATGAAACGGTGGGAGGCCCCTCCACAAGTTCCTCGAGTAGTTCGAAGCAAACGAATTCGTCCGACGCCAAAACCCTCCGTGGCGTCGTCCTGGTCCCCAGTAAGGAGCTGTGCCAGCAGATTGCGGAAGAAGCCGAGAAACTACTCGAATTTTGCTACGACAAGGTCTCCGTCGCGGCGTACATCAGTGGGGAGCCGTTCCAACGCGCCGAGTTACCGACCGTACTTGTCACCTCGCCCACCGGACTGTTGCAGCTGCTGCAGTTGCGCACGGGCGACATTCAGAGCGTGCTGCGGTCTCTGAAGTCCTTGGTGATTGACGAGGCGGACTTGATGTGCGTTTACGGGTACGAAGAAGCGATCAAGATATCCTGTGTAAAAACGTCTCCACCCCAGAGTTGTCATGCAAATCTGCATGCTCAAAATGTTTGTCATGTGGAGCTCCATGCGAAGCATTTACTGGTCGTGTTTTGGAATTTGTAATGCGCCAATGAGCATGACATACTAGATCTGTGGTGCTGCTGAACTACCTCAAACAGCACTACACTGCGATTCCAAATTTGTCATGCAAAGCAGCCAAAACTCGTGGACTTGTCTAGCCGATTCCCCATCTTGACTATGGGGTGGGGACGTTTTTGCATATGATACAAGAAACTGAAAACCTACTTGCCAACAGCCCACTTCCAAACCTTTCTCTGCTCCGCAACGCTATCCGAAGAGGTATTACTACTGCGACTTTATCTTCATCGTTTTTTGCTTGATTCTGTGTGGTTAGGGTTTTTCGGAATTTAGATCCTGTTTGAAGAAATTATCTTAACAAATTCAGGTCGAGTCCCTGACCAGTTTGCTTCTGCACAACCCGGTCCGAATCGACAACCCGCTAGACGAGGACGACCCGGTGTTCAACCGGAAGTTGACGCAGTTCTACCTCCCGCTGGACCTGAAGCAAGACAAGCTTCTGACCCTGTACTCCTTCTTGCGGCTGAAGATCGTCAGCGGCAAGATTTTGATCTTCGTGAAAAACCTGCAGAACGCGTACCAACTCAAGCTCTTCCTCGACAAGTTTGCCATCGCCAGCTCGGTGTTGAACCACGAGCTGAGCTTCGAGAGCCGGCAGAACGTGATCCAGAGCTTCAACCAGGGGCTGACCAACGTCTGCATTGCGACGGACGACGGCTTTGACGTGTTGGATTTCGGCAAGAAAAAGAAAAAGTCCTCACAAAAGAATGCGCGTTCCAAGAACGTTGACGATAACGAAAGCAAGGCAGAAGACCACAGCGACGAGGAAACTTCCGAGGAATCGCTCGACATGGAGTACCGGTATGCAAGTTCTTCGGAATCGGAAGCGGGGGCGACACTGAATCCGAAGAAGAAGGAGCGACAGAACTCAACGCTGAGCATTCAGCTGGGCGACCCGGAAATCGGTAGAAACCACGTCCCGTCGGCAAAAATTGCTAAGTTGAAGGAGGAAAACGCGCGAAAGGAGCAGCAAAGGGAAAAGCACCAGGCGGCGCTGAAGCGAAAACGGGAAAAGGAGGAGGAGGACAGCGACGATGGGGACGATTTTGACAGCGAGGAAGAAGAGGGCGACGACGAGCTCGAGGAAGAAGATCTCGACATGGAAGAGGACGGAAGCGACAACGACGCTGCAACTTCGGGAGCAGATCCAGATGACGGCGAATCAGAAGAAAATGATTCTGAGGAGGACATTTCAGAGGAAGAGCAGGCGAAAAAGAAAAAGACCCCATCAGAGACGACAAGCTCCAAAGCCGCCGCGAAAAAGACAAGCAAAGACGACAAAAAGAAAAAGGCTGACGATGAAGAAGACTCTGATTTTGGGTCCGATTTTTCCGACGTCGACGAAGAGGAGGCCGGCGAAGCAGACGACGCTGAGCTTTTGGGAGAAGACAGTACTGATTGCTGCTCGATTTTTATACGATGCTCGTTCTATTTGTGACCTCAATGAGCCTTCCTGATCCTGAGATTGAGATTTGTGCGAGAATTGTGTGTATACAAGCGATCGTTATATGCTATATCAAAATCTTCGCACTTTACAGTGGACGACGACGATGAAGACGAAGAGGAGGACTCGGAGGACGAGGATTTTCTCTCCGACGAAGAGCAGCGGGTCACCCGTAAGGATAAACTGGTCGCCGCGAAGTCCGGGCTGCAGGCCCAGTTTTCCGCAACAAGGGGTCTGGATTTCAAAGACGTAGGCACCGTGATCAACGCCGACGCACCGAGAACCCTGCGCTCCTACGTGCACCGTGTCGGCCGCACGGCGCGAGGCAAAAACGACGGCACAGCGTTGACTTTAATCGACGTGCACAGCGAGAGCCAACTGCGCATGATGCAGGCCATTTCGGAAAACGCGGAGAAGCTCTTTGGTACATAGATGGGAGGACTTGTTTGAATATGATCAATACTGAAGTATTTCATGATGCGATAGTAGCGATGTGAAAATTTTACCCTGTCCGTGATGATTGTTGTGCCATGGTAAAAACAACGTTTTCATCATCTTCCAGGGCGCGGTGCAAGCGGGGAAAACGGCAACCAAGTTCAGAGGCTTCCGTTCGACGTATGCTCGATTGAGCAGCTCCGCTACCGAGTCCGCGATGTGGAGAAGCAGGTCACCAAGAAGGCGGTTACCGCCATGCGGTTGCGCGAACTGCAGGCAGAGGCAGTCAACAGCCAGCGGTTAAAGAAGTACTTTGAGGAGAACCCCCAGGACCTCCGGGCATTGCGCATGTCCCAGCGAGACCTCAAGCATAAACACAAGAATTCGCACCTGAGGTACAGTTCATATTTCGTCCTTTCAAGTAGTACGCGTGTTTAAGTAGAAGTACTTCATCTGTTGTTCGTCCTTGCAAACTATTTGACTGCATCATTAGGCTACGTTTTCAGAAAGAGAAAATTGTTGAATTGTGATAAATACAAACAGATATCTTCCGGAGTACCTGGTTCCGAAATCTCTCGCCGGCGCACAGGAGGACCCCGTCGCGAAGGCAGTAAGGGAAGCGAAGAGCACGGAGGGCGGCCCTGGTCGAGGCGGCGACAGCATTTCAGGTGCGAACGACAAGAAGCGACGGAGACTGATGTACAACGACGAGCTAATCGCGCAGCAGCAGGCCAAGAACACCACCACCGCTTACCGCAAGCGCAAGGGCGGCAAGCCCGTGGTCACGACAGAGCAGATGGCCAAGATTTCTATGCGAAAAGACAGCACTGCGGACCCAGAAACATTGGCGCCCTTGTCCGGCAGAAAGATATGGAAGATCAACCACGGCAAGCGACTGAAAAAGCAAGACCGCAGCGCCTTCGGTATGGGTGGAAGGAAATACGGCCGTGCTGCGAAGCGACGCGCAAAGATCTTTCATGGGATCAAATGATAGTGAAATCACTTCACGTAATCGCTGATGACACGATCATTTGTTCAGTGCAAACGAACACGGTGTTAACCGAATAGCTGTGATGAAATTGAAAAATCGCTTGATTATCACTCTGAAAGAGGTTGTCTTCCTGCGGTGTGGCCCGGGCTACGTACTTACTAGAATAGTGTTCGCGATCTTGATCTTGGTCCACTCAGTTGTTGTCTTGCATGTCGTGGTGGTTGTGCTTTTCATCTTGTTTACCTGATTTATGGTTTCCTTTGGTTAGTTCAGGCTCCCCGTACATCAATCGCAGTAGAATGTTCGCACCTTATCTACTCCGCCGGCCAGCTGCTCGAAGGGTCTCGAAAAAGCTGGAGTCGTTCCGCTGGAGACGACGAGATGCGGTCGGGATATCGTACCAGGAGTCCTGGCAAAAGCGTGCTTTTGCGACCGGAACGACTTCGATTGCCGAAAATTGGAAAACCAAAGTGAAATCCTTGCAGTTTCCGGTCAAATTTCGTCCGCTTTCGGATCCAGAAAAAGACGCACAGGATGCTGTGAGTGCCTTACAAAATTGGCGTGAGCAGCAGATTTTGGCAAGGGAAAATGGCTTTTCTTCAGCATCAAATGTCGGAGGAGGACCAGATGCTGGCGAGATCCAACCGTTTGCTTACCCAAAAAGTGAGGCGTTTCCGACGGCCACGCTGGGGCTCCTTACCGCTTCGGTGCTGTCGACCCTTGCCGTAAGCTGGTACTGGAAGAAGATTGCGGATGCAGGTGCGGGTAGTCGACAAAACTCCATTGCTACAAGAGAGGACGTAAATAAAGGTGCAACATGGTTGAGAGCCTACCGGGAGGACCAAAATAGACAGGCAGTGCCGGAGGCTGTGACGCTCGTTTCAGCCACGCAGGCACAGGGAGACCGAGGAGGGCCGGATACAACCAGCCGAACCAATGAGGAAGATACCGCTGTTTTTGTGGACACCCTCTATTTTTTGATGAAGGACCCACTAGCGGCTAGCTTCATTCGCTGGTCGGACTTGCCCAAGATCCAAGCCTTCCTCGCTACGGTCTTTTTTGTCTCGGCTACGTTTTTGGAAAAGTGCCGGGGCCCGCGGTTTGTTTTGTCTCTTGCGCTTGGTTCCACGTTGGCAACGAACGCCAGCCTCAACTGTAGTTTTGGCTCCTGCCCAGCACTCGGAACAAACGCAGGGCTGACAGCGGTCGCGGGGTACTTGTGGGCAAGCAAGTTTTCAAGGTGTGCCGCCTGGAGGAGCATCTACTTGCCGCTAGGTTGGGTAGTCTTCGCGCCTTTGCTTGTTTTCGAGGGCCTGCAGTGTCGCGATTGGGTTATGAAACTGCGTTACGCCTGTGCAGTTACCGAGGAAGGAGAAGATGGCAGTGACAGACTTCCTCAGGCTGGCAACGGGGAGGCAGCGAGCGCAAGCTCAGGCTGCGATAAAAATATGCTTTCGCATCTTCTGCACCTGCCAGCACATTGCGAAAACGAATACAAGGAGACTTTGGTGACGCAACTGCAAGGCTCGTTGAGAAGTGATGCGGGGCCCGAAGCAGAAGATGATGGTAATGAAAAAATAGCCAACAAGCTAAGGCGCGTTGATGACAACGGTTTCTTGATTGATTCTGCAGGCTTTCTGATCGGATGTGCAGTAGCCTGGTTGCAGATCGGCTTGTAATGAGCCACGTTCTTAGTTGTACTTGACTCCGTAGTTTGGAATGAAAAGGTGATCTGAAGATGAAGAAGAATGCGCAAAAGAATATAGAAACCTCGTGCTGGCGTCGATGGTGCGACGATTCTGAACAGCGCGGATCCGATTTTCTTTTTGCACGAGAATCGCGGCTGGGGGTGTACTTGATTCGTCTGTTTCATTGAAGTGTACCATCAAAACTACGGCATCATCTTTGCGAAACTGAGGCTTTCAAAAGTTCTATTTTGAAGAGCAATTTTTCCGAGAAAAAACCAGCGTGAAAAATATTTTTACTCCTTAGTTGACCTAAAAAAAAACAAAAACCATGGCCGTTCTGGATCGTTACGAGCTGTCTCTTTGTGCTTTCTAGCACGACCGCCTGCTGTTTTCACGACCAGCTGTTGAAGTAGGTACGACCGAATTTACGAACCTGATTGCGCACCAAAGGTTGCGCAGACCCAGCCTGTCATGGTCGCGGAGCAGGTGGACTTCGGGAAAAAGATTGCGCTGGTGCAAGATGAAATCGGTTTGGTTAAGGAGCAACTCAAAACCGGCGGTAAGCACTTTGGCATGGAAGGGCAAGTGCTGAGCGACTACCTGCTGCAATTGACCAAACAGGAATGCTCACTGCTAGAAATCGTCGCGCGGGCCATGGAGGAAGGCGTCGCATCATCGACACCGACGAGTGCTAATGGAGGGACAACAAGCAGACCAGCGCCGCCACCGCCTGCAATAAATCACCAGCAGGTAAGTAGGCGCGGCGCAATTTTTTTGTTGTTGTAGGGTCGTTATCTTCATCAATGTTCAACATTAACGCACCTCAAGTAAAGAACTTGTTTTGACGGGAATTCGTGACAGAGCAGCTCCAAAAATCCTCAGCCGCCTTCTGCTGCTCCTCTTCCACCTGCGACCTACGCACACCCCACCACGAACACGCAGCTGACCGGGGCCAACCGAGGGAAGCCTTTGGAGAACGCCCCCACCTTGGACCGCGAAAGCTCCCTTGAGGCGGTTTTGGCGCATCTCGACTATGTCAAGGACGCGTATTCGTCTGACGTAGACCTGTATTGTCGCACCGTGTGCAAAGGGTTGAAACTCCTCACGTCGCTGGTCTACAAAACCTCCAACGCCAAGACCGCACTGGATAAGGGCGTTTTGGCGCTGCTGGAGTGTATCATGCGACAGCACGATATTGGGGACGGAAGCATCGCGGGGTTCGTGGCCGGGAGTGTAATTTGTTGCATTTGCTTCTGGTTTTGCATGCTCCGAATGTTGGGCCCTCGCTCTAAATATTGTTTGATAGGATAGGTAGCGTCAGTGCGCTGATGACAGCCTGGTACGAATCGACGAATTCATTAAGATCGAAAATTTGCACTTTCAGGTTTGCAACCTCGCTTACGACGTAGAATCCTGCGAAACGGTAGTGGGATCGCCACTTGGGATCACGCTTCTCATTTCTCTCCTGAACGCCATGAGCTTATTTCCGACTCACGCTTACCTCCATCAAAAGGGCTCCGAAACTTTCGCACGCATCCTAATGGAAGGCGTCGCAGAAGGCACCGTTGCGGAAATGGTGCGCTGGAATTTTGAATATGATTAACCGCAATTATGCTGATTTTATGTGCTTGAAGAGAAGCAGCTTTGAATTTGCTGCTTCTATCATTTCTAGAAACCACAGGTCGTGAAAAACGGCGCGACTGCATCTGCTACTGAAAGTGCCGATCCGCGGTACCTACCAGCATCCTGCACGCGCAGTTTTGCTTTTATTCGTGTCCTCTGCCTCGCCCGTGGGCGCGTCGCAAGCTCCTTGACCAGTTCGGAAAACGCCACGAAGAGCACCACGCCAGCCATGCAAGAAGAGCAATTCGCGCACTATCCTTTATTGGAAACGCTGATTCGTAACGAAGCCCTGACGGTGGACGCTTTGGCTGCAGATGTCGTTGCGAACTTGAGGCATGCAAGTAAAGAACTTCCCCTCACTTCATGTTCATTCTATTAATTTTCTCTTGGGTCAGACTGGCTTTGCATAATTGCCGCGTGTAAGTAGAAATTTCTGAAAGTCGCACTCAACTGTAGCTCTTGCGACAGATAGAGCGCCACTTCCTATGGAAACAAAACAGCAAGCGAGGGTCGGTGGTTCGAGGCCGTGTTCGTTGGGCTGTGTGGGCTTTCGTCCACCGTGTGCGCGTCTGCGGACTTTGGCATAGATTTTTCTTTGCTGTTGCGGAAGCACGGCATGACGGAGCTAATGCTGGACACGATGAAAAAGAAGCCACTTTCGCAGGTGGGTGCGCGGGCTGCGATCGAGGCCGTGGCTCGGATCATCTCCACCAGCATGGAGGGCTTGCAGCTTTTTGTCAAGCTCGGCGGCGTGCACTGCTTCCAGTCCTTGATGGACATGCACCAAGCAGATAAAATTTTGCTGGTACGATGTTGCGCAGTTGATTCATTTCATTTCCTGGGCGGCGTAATGGATTTCTTTTGAACTATCAAACTTTATTAGCTTTTATGATTGTGATTCAAATTGAAATTCAAATCCAACCAGGCTCGCGCCATTCGCGCGCTCGCATCGGGTATGGACTGGCCAGAGGAAGTACAGGCCGAAGCGAAGTTTGACCACCTCTCCTTGATACTAAAGACCCACGCCGCCATGGGATACCACCTCAGCGATCCGTGGCTGCTCTGTGCGGGGTTTGAGGGTTTCTACAAGTTTCTCCCCCACATTAGCCGCGACGAAACGATGGCGATCTACAAGGTGGAAGCGATGGTCAAGGACGTGATGAGCCGGTATGCGGACGACGTGAAACTAAAGGCTTGGGGATCAAGAATTTTGGATATGATAAATATGTGAGGATTTATTTTCCTATCCTTCCTGCCTAGACCGACGATGTTGAGAATAGTGCGCAGATTGAAATTTTCCTGTGTCGCACGGCTAGACCAAGCGCAACGTAGTTGTACAAGCACAGATGAGCGTATAACTCAGAACGTAATCGGAAAGAAAACATGCGAATCCGGTGGCAATGCGCGCGATACTTTGCGTATCTGTGTTTTTCGAGATGAAGGGTGAACCTAAGAAGTAAAGTTTCAACACGCAAAAGGATCCTCGATCTGTATTTTTGTCGCAGAAGTTTTGTAAAGGTTTCTTGTGCTTAAGCTCATTTTGTGCTCCTGACCGTGATCCCGATTCTGTACGTCTTTGGCTGTTTGTGTCGCTATGTAGGGTAAGTAGGTCACTAGTACAAACGCGCTGTACTTGTTTTTTTGCCCTTGAAAAAATTAGAATCCGATGAGATTACAGGAAATGTTTGTGCCACTCTTATTTTCTGCACGATAAGTAGTTTTGGTATCTATCTAGTATCATCGCGATTTTTGATTGGTCTGTCATGGGACACAAAAGTCAAATAAAGATACTTCTTCAATCGCGATTTTATGCAACACATGCACGGTTTCCGAGCTAGGTGTTTCGGTAGCTTTTTGTACTCCCTGCTGTGCGTGCGCCATGGATCCTCCAAAAGTTTTCGAGATTCAGCGCAGACTGACGGTGTCGCTGGCGCGTCGATATCCCATTCCGAATCCGCGTTTTTTCCGTCGACTGCTCTGCAGCTAGGTGAAGAGCAAGCGAGAGCCACTGATGAAGACAATGAGGACCACACTGCAGGAGGGTCGTCGACCGTATGCCCGGTATGTCTTGAAGACTTCCGGCATAGCCCTGCATCGTCGAGTGCCGGAACAACGGGAGTACCCGCGCCGCCCGACGATGACCCTGAGAACGAGGCAGACAAACTTTACTGGCTTCCGTGCTTTCACCCGATTTGCCGTCGGTGCCGGGCCGATTTTGTAGGTAAAAATGCGAAAAATCGCGAAAAGATAAAGTGTCCCATTTGTCGGGTCCCGCTGCAGGGTCACTACGAGGGACAGGTCGGCACTTGTCGCCCGGGCTCCTCGTCTCCCACCTGGGGGTCCCCTGCATCGCCCGCCACAACCGCGACACCGTCGACTGCAACCTCGAGCTCCGCTTCAACAGGTCTCTTCTCGCGACAAGGTTTTTTCGGTGGTTCACCACAGCCCTCGGATGGTAAGAGTCCAGCATATCTACAAGAGCAAGACGATGAGAAATCATTTAGGAAAGCCACAGATGAGTTTCCGCGAGCGAACGGTGAGGGCAATAGCGTCGAGTACCGCTGGGTTTTGCAAAAACCGGAGGTCGTGAACCCGCGGCGGGCTACACACAATATCTTTGCCACGACGGCCGAAGCCTCGCCAATTCCAGCTTCACTGATTCCCCAGAACATCTTACTCCGCATGCGGTGGTCGACCCGGGTAGATCGGTCAACCGTGGGTGCGGGCCTGGACGCAGCCGCGAATCCGGCCGCTGAGCCTGCTGCAGGGGAGGTTGCTGCTGGTGCGACGAACAGCACGGAGGGAGTACCAGTGCTAGCCGAACCAGAAGGGGAGCAACAGAATGCGGAGGAGCGGCCTCAAGCCGGAGCTGTGCCGCAACGACCGCGGCGTAATGCCGTTTTCCTGGCGCCAATCCCTTTCCAACGACAGGTCGTGGGGATGAACCTTACCGACGAGGCGACCGCACCTGCTATTTTTTGGTCACGGACTGCAGACACGAACGCCACAGCGTCTGAAGAGATTGCTGCTGAGGAACAAATTGTCGACGGGGCAACAAATAATAATCCAGACCCTGTGAGGTTGCAGTTTGCCTCGGACGAAGGCAGCTCCTCCGACGAGGATGACAGTACCATTGTGGATGATGAGACTGACGCAGAACTTCGCGGTCTGATTAGCGGTGATATTGTGCACACCGTCCTCGGGAACGGGGGTGTGAACTTTATCGATGATTTGCAAACTATTCCTTTTATTCCAGACACGACGGACGGTGGCGCAACAAACCAAGAGCGCGGTATATCCGATGGAGCAGTGCCAGTGCCCCCGGTGGGGGGGAATAACAGCGCGGAACCGCGCCGCGACGTACCTGCAGGTGAGCAGCCACGCGAGCAGGACGACGCCGTCCCCGCGGAGCAAGAAGGAGAGAGGATGCCATTTTTCCAGGACCTCGAGCCGCAACCTGATCCGCCGGCGGTTAACATCGGTGGTCCGGCGCCTCCCCGGCTGCGACCACAGCCGAGCCCGTCAGGCTTCCCGCGGTTTTGGATGCACCAGGGAGCGCGGCCGTGGTGGAACGAGATGGTGTTTGTGCCGTTGCAGGACCGAAACCGAAGGCAGCAGCTGCTGCTACAGGATGGCGGTAGCTATCAGGGACAGTGGCAAAACGGCAAGAAGCACGGGCGCGGTCACCAGAAGTACCAGGGCGAGCAGGGCGGTCAGACCCACGAAATTCGGTACGAGGGCGAGTATGCCGCGGGGCAGAAGCACGGCGCGGGTCTTCTGAGCATGGTGAAGAGGCTGACCAAGCCCAGGAGAGAAGACAATAGATCAGCTAGTAGTACATCAGCCGCTGCAAGCGGTGCTGGCCATAGTTCGAGGGTTACTAGCACCACGACTGCACATGAGCGATGGGGCGATGGTTTTCGTCGCCAGTCCTCTCACCCAGAAGTTGAGCGAGGTGCTTCTGCAGTAGAACCAGACGACGAGGAGTTGCTGCAGCGGGAACTCTATGTTGGGCAGTGGGAGCGAAACAAGTTGCACGGCCACGGGAGTTACTGGTACTGCAAGAGACCTAGAAGGGATAATGTTCTCTCCCGTAGTCAGTTCAGCACGGGGAGCAGCAGCTCGCCCGGGGAACCACCGCGGGTCGCGCCGACCAACGCGGACGCGGTGCTCAATGTAGCACGTGCGGAGGCGGGAGGTATTGTTGAGCAGGTCCCGGCCGCCGACGGGGAAACCGAAGGAGACACTCTTGTCGACGATGGTGGTCCAGGGGGACCTCCGGAGGACAGGGCAGAGTCAGGTCCTGTACCCCTAGGCCCGCCGCCCGGGCGGCCGCCCCCGGCGTCGCGAAGAGGAATTGCCTCCTTCCGCTTGGGGCTGTTGGGCAACGCGATTTTGCAGCAGTCCAACCGCAGAAGCGCTGAGGAAGCAGCGGAGCGAGAGCGACAGGCCGCGGACCAGGCAGAGTTGCCGTCGGAGTGGGTGTTTCGCTCGGTTGCGGACGATGCGTCGCCCGTCTGGAGCCGCACGCCCAGTCCGCCGGACAATTCCATGGCGTCGGGAGGCGACTTCGGAGCCCTCACGCTAGAGCAAGAAGCGGCACGGGATCGCGAATACGCAGCGAATCCTGGCGGAATCAATCCGTATCCGAATCATGGCGAAGACCCCCGGCAAGCACGCGATCGCGAGCAAGCTGCCACTTCCACACGGCAGACGAGCAGTAGCTCCGGACATGATGGAGGGAAGCCAAACACGCGTGAATTTGATGCCGGTTCGTACACGGGAGAGTTTTTCGACGGCCTCCGTCACGGCTACGGTTGGGGCACGAGAAACGGCGTTGGCTACGAGGGCTACTGGCGCGACGGGAAGAAGCACGGCTTCGGATGCATGGCACCAACGAGAGAGGCGTGCATAGCGCATAATGCCCGGAATGGTCCATCCTCTTCTTCTTCATCATCCTCTCCGAAAAACAGTTTTGCGCACTGGTTTTACGTCGGCGAATGGTGTGAGAACGCACCTCACGGCGATATGTGGGAGTTCCGCAACGGCGCTGAGTACATCGGTCAGTATGTGCACGGGAAACGCACCGGGCGCGGCGTGTTAAACGACTTCCAGAACGACTACTGCTTTGACGGGCTGTGGTTTCAGGGAAAACAGCACGGCTTCGGCAGGGAGCGGCATCGGGGCTTCGTCCGCGAGGGTTTCTGGCACAGCGGCCAGCCCTTCGAAGACGAGAACCATCCGGGCCTGGTCTATCCGTGCTATCGTGGGTTCTACGCCGGGAGCTGGCACACCCCTCCGTCCGGAGGTGCGGTCCCGGCCTCTACAGCCACTTCCGGCGTACATCAACCGCAGCGTGGTGGTAATACAAGTTCTGAGACAGCAGAAGACTACCGGGGCCCGCGGATGATCAATCGGGGAGACCGCGTGACCCAGGCGTCGCAGCGTCCGCAGCTGCCGCTCACACCGTTTCACGGACCGCCGCCGACCTGGCCGCGGGACCGCATCATCGTGGCGCACTCGCTCTCAAGTGTTACACCGCAAGGCAACAGCCTGCACAGCTACGACCCGCCTGCACACCGCGTTCCTCAGGGAGGTCGCGGCGAAAGGATCTCAGGCTGGGGCCGCTTGCAGGAAAGTGCGTTGGCTAGCGGTGAGGGAGTGGTGCATTTCCCTCCGATGCCTGCTACCTACGACCGCTACGGTTCACCATATCCGTACGAGCCCGGTCAACTACATCGCGATTTCGATGAAACTTACGAGCACGTGATGAATCCATGGGAGCAAGAGCTCGCGCAAGATGGGCTTTCTCACGAAGCGGCGCAAGTAGACGCAGCAATACAGCAGCACCAGCAGCAAGTGCAGCAGCAGTGGAGACAGCACTTGGAACAGAGCGCGCAACAGGACAGTCAGCAGACGCGAAACGATTATGACTTTGGTTCTACCTCCTCATCGGGTGCCGCTCAAGCATATAATTTTGACGAACAGGAGCAACAGCAACAGCCGGCTGAGCAATCTGCTGGCTCTTCACAGGGAGGCTTTTACGCCAGTCAGCAGGCAACTGCACCACCACCGTGGCGAAACCGAAATAGGGTGTCGCGGTGGCATTGGTAAGCGAAAGCGAAGCGGCTTTCTAGCATCAAGAAGCGCGTTGCTAGCATTAAAGTACGAAAGTGAGAGACGTTGAATCTGGAATTGTTTATAGAGCACTGCGGGACTGCGCATGTGAAGTTTGCAATGGGGATTATGAAGTATGCTGTGTGCTGCACTATTTCCCTGTCTGGTCCTTGTGGTTGAGAATACAAATGAAAGTTTAAGTAGTTGGTTTTTTTACTCTTGCGATTTACAGTGATCGCTCAAGGTTTATCGAGATGTTTGAGCAGTAAGAAAGTAGCAGTTAGCACTTGCGGTTTGTATCACTAGTTTGTCAAAATCTCTCACATGATCCTCGGTGCGAACTCACCAGAGCTGCGAAAAAACATCTTCTTTCTATTGCATGTTGAGACCAGATATTGATAATTTCTTCAAATGTTTTTTGAATTTCTGTGTGTTGGATTGGAATAACTTTGAAGCATGTGGCTTCATACTGCACACCCCGTGAGTGACCTGACGCGGCCATCAGCTACGCTTTAGCACATTGTCTGCAATAAAAATGTTCTTACATGCCACTGCGCTATTGCCTGTGTGATCGCATCGTGATCTGATCGAAAATATTTCGTTTCGTTTATGATTTTCGTCTGTGCATCTGCTTGCGTTCGTCGGCGTCTTGTCCACCAATAAAAGAACCGTCGTCATTTCGCAACACCTCCACAAATTTTAGTCGCGCAGACTTCGTTTTCGATCGCTGACCTTTCGTCGGAGCGTCGTGATAGCTTGTCGCCATTCGTTTTTCCGACAGAAATGGGTGTAATCGTGGTTGGAGCAACGCTGACGGCGCTGTTTTTTCTGGAATTGAAATTGTTGCAGCTAGCACACGTTCGTGAGGGTGGTACAACCGATCGGGCAGGTTCAGCTAGTGTCACTTCTGATGATGGAGCCAATGACCGGGTTTGGGGCCTGCTAGACACATCACCTGAAGAGGACCAGCTCAGGGCACAAATTTTGTACAACCAGGGCGTGCTGCTGCAGCAAGGGTCTCTCATCTCCCCAGCCTTGAGGAACTTGCGGACAGGGCGGAGAACAGTTCCTGGGCAAGCATTTCTCGCACAACACCGTGCAGCACCGGTACAACAGGAACCGCAGCTACGAAACCGATTCCTTGACGTTCTGGGACCGCCGGGTTTCTTGCGGTGAAAGAAGTTGACCACAGTTTCTTTTTGCTTGCCTCGCAACAGACACGAACATGACAAGCTTTCTGGAGCAAACTTTGCGGGGCCTGCATAATCTCCACGAGGAGTTGCAGTTCGGCACCGCAGCTCAGCAGCAGCCAACATGTGAAGTAGATACCCTTTCCGCACACCTAGCGACAATGTCTTCTCGAAGATCGCATCACCATCACTCCGCTACCTCGTCTTCATCCTTTCGCAAAACCCTCACCTCCTTCGCAGGGGCGGTGATTCAGGGCGACAACTCGACCGCTCCGACACCAGTGACCCCGGGCATCACCGGGAAACCGCCTCCAGCGCCGCCCATGGACTTTCTCGGCGTGAACAACGGCGCCCCGGTGCTGCCCCAAACGTTTTCCACCATGCCTTTACCGGGGCAGGCATCGTATGTGAAGCTGGAGAAGCACAACGCGGAGGTAAATAATGTTATGAAGTCATGTTTGTGATGCTGATGCTACGGCGCATTTGCAACTAAATTATTAAGAACCGCACTTCTAGCAAAACACGCCGGAATTACTAAGCCTAAACTGCAACACAGGTCCGCCGCTTAGCTGAGGAATCCTGGGAGTTCCGGCGGAATCTTTTTGTCACTGGCATGTTCGGCTACGCGTTTGGCGTCCACATCGCGATCGGAAAATTCATCATCTTCGCTCGGGATACCGGCCGCAGCAGTGTGGAGTTCGTGCAGAAATTGAGGAAAATCCAACAGGACCTTGCGAAAAAGAAGAAAAAGAAGGACGACAGCAGCTCCTCCGACGACGGCAAGAAGGGCAAAGGGAAGAAGAAAGGGAAGAAAGGTAGAAAACGGGGCAGGCGGGGGGATCCGGGGGATTTCGACAGTGACTACGACTCGGACGACATCGAAGCGATGGACGTGTCGGATGCGGGGATAGATGAAAAAATGGCCAGGGTGAACGTGGAGAACCAACTGGCTCAGTTCCAGAAGAAGGACGAGGAGGCTAGTAGTTCGTCGAGCGACGATGACGGACCAGGTGGGAAGAAAGGAAAGAAAAAAGGAAAGAAGAAAAAAGGAAAAGGGAAGGGAAAGAAGTAAAGCTGTATTTGCAGTAGATCGTCGCGATGTTCAGCTGTAAAACCGAAAACAAAAGTAGCGACAGCCCATGATTTGGTGTAGCAGCGTTCCTTCGTCGCGCAATTATAATGATTTATTTCAACTCATGGCTGCTGCTGTGAAACGCAAATAGTTGCATACTGCTTTGGTCTGTTGAAATGCGTGCGAACAATGATCATCGCGTACGAATTTTTTCTACGTAAAGGCGTTTTTTGAAATCCTATTCATTGACCTGTTGATGAATTTGAGTCCGTCGTGCAATCATATGCAGTTGTTCAAAGTTTAGACGTCGCGCTTTGACTGACTGTGAAAGCGCGAAGTCAGCCGGTTAGCGGCAAATTTTCAGTCGTCCATGCACAGTCTTACGATAACGCAAGATCTTTGTTGATATGAGGCGGAGAGAGTTTCGTGCGAGCTGACCTTTCGACGAGCAAGAGTCAAATCAAGATAGCGGTAAAGAAAAATCATGTTTGCGATTGGCATCGGGAGCGCAAAGGCAAACCTTATTCCAGCAGTGAACGTGCAATCCTTGCAGGAGTTACGTTTGAAGAGCGGGGGGATCATAATTTGTGCGGCACAACATCGTCGACTTGCACTCGCCCGTGTTCAACGACCACAACGGCGCTTCATTACCGCGGCCGTAACTGCACAGCTGCCGGTAAATAGTGTTGCCAGCTATATCGATGAAGCTGCATGCAGCGCCCCGGGAGATTTGGTCGCACAAAATTTAGTGCAAAGCTCAGTCTCAAGAAAGCGGGAACGGGGCTCGATCGTTGTATCGGAAAGTGGAGCACAATTCTTGCAGGACGCAATACGTGCAGTGGATACCGCTTGGCGTTTTTTCACACTTCCCCACCACTGGCCAGCGTCTGTTTTAGTGCAATACTGCGAAAAGGGCGTAGTTTCCGACACATGGTTTCCACTGGTGGTGAAATCGACCTTCAAAATACAGAAGCCGGCATCATCAGTGACGACAGCGAAAGTTAAGACGGCAGAAAGTAAAGAAAGGACTTTCCTGTTCCACAAGATCGGATATGGGCCGTTTCTTAATGTGCTAGTCGCTCCGGAATCCGGTCTGTTCTTCATGGCGCAATCTGCTGTCTCCTGTCGCTTCTTCCGGGAGTCGGAGCAGGTTTCGCTTGATGAGATTCTTGTGGGTCTGCGAGCAGAATGGACACGTGCGACCGGTACCGGAAGCGGAACAGCATCCAAGGCTCACTGGTTTCGTCATTTTTCCAAGGGAATGATTTCTTCCACCTGCCAAGCGATGTTCTGCGGCGCACTGGCTAGCATGCAGAAGACAGTTTACGGTCCGGCGGGTATGAATCTCAGTTTTCCGGATCCTGCGTCAAATAGTCCTTTCAACAGCTACGTCGATTGCGCTAGGGTACTGCACAGAGTTCCTGCGTATCGCAGTGGTTTCTTGGGACGCGCTCTGAATGTCGTAAGAGCGACTTCTACGAATAGCAGACTACGAGCAACACGGCCATACACAAGGGAGGAGATGGAAAGGCTTGACTTTCTGTGCGCGCTAAACTATTCTGCAGATGCTGACGAACTGCTCGGGTTTTACGTCTTTCCAAGGGACTACCTTCTCAAGATGTTTGCTCCAATAGCGAAGGACGGAAGAAGATGTCGGAGTGCATATTGGATATACTTTCCTGAGGATGCGCACGGTGCGAAACGTGAAGGGGTGAAGGAGCGCATTATTAGGGACATGGAATTCTATATCGACCTACGTGAAACTTCACCGTCCGAGTACTTGGAAAAGTTTCGAAATATTTTGATGGGCAAGACGTACAACGGAGGCTAGAGATGGTAAAAATTGGGGTTGTGCGACGCACTGGAGTGCTAGCCTGCCGTTATGGTGCGAGCCGTGCAGCGCAAACCTGGTATTCGTAGTTTTGTTCCTCAGACTCAGACTACACCAGAATGAATCCCTAGCGAAGGAGGGAGAATGTCGAGTGCTGCTGAGAGGCGCTAAAACGGATTGATGATCTGTTGGAGCAGTCGGTCCGTGATCGCGCTGCATAGTCCCTTGTCAGTGTTCTGATTCTGATGTTCCGCATACGAGAAGTTCGAAGAACATGATTCCGCACCGTGTCTGGGACATATCGCAACGGTGCCGCGCGTCGGGACTGTTGCGTGTTCGACACCGACTAGATCTTCGTCGAACGGTCGCCACGCAATTGCGTTACCAAGCCCAATCGTCTCTCCCGGAAGGAGATGCATCTACTGCCGAAGCTGATCGTTTACAACAGGGAATGCTCGTCCGGCATGCTGCATCCAAGGAGAAATTGCATTGTGCACCACGGTACTCGCCCCTTGCTATAGCCGAACTTGGGAAGGAGCTTTTCTGCGCGGCCATCGCGGATGTCGATCCTTGTTGGCATTTCTACCCGCTCCCGTGGCAATGGCCTGCTACATTTCTAGTGCAGCATCGCGCGAGACACGCAGACGGGCTTGTGGACAACTGGTTACCTATCGTCCTTCGGACAACTACAGCCGGGAGTTTGACTTCAAATGGTCGACGGTTGAAATGTGGCCAGACGTCACCACCGGACACCCGGAAAATTGTCGAGAAAGAGCGTTTTTTCTTTCGGTTGCCACAGGGAAATGGCAGAAGCCATCCCTTTCTGCAGGTGTTCGTCGCGCTCGAATCAAGTAAATTTTTCATGATTCCGGCCGGCCGACATTCTTCGGATTCGGAGAAACAGCAAAATACTGGAGCGCAGCACTTCTTGTCATTTTCGGATGCGGATCAGGTGGGACTAGACGACATTTTGGGCGAGATGCTTGCGAAGTACCAGGAGGCGGAGAGGAACCTACGAAGTCGTTGTGACTGGTTTGCTTTTTTCCATGACGAGTGTCTTGTGCGTGGCACGCGAGCTGCTTATTGTCGTGCTTTAATCCAAATGCAACTCCACGTCTACGGTCCTTTGGGACTTGATGTCTCGTTTCCGAATTCTTCGTTACGAAGTGCGGGTTCTCACAATGCAACTGTTGGAAATTTCAAAGTGCTGCATCGCATCGCGAACGCGCAAACTGTGCGGGACCGTGGAGCTCGACCATTGTCTGTAACCGCTACATCGGAGTCGCAAGCGAAAAGGCCCTACTCCTCCACAGAAATGAACAGCCTCGATTTCTTGTGCGCGTTGAACTACTGCGTAACGTCTCATCAGCTCGATGGCTTTTATTTTTTTCCAAAATGGTATGCAGCAGCATTATTTTCTGGGGGTGAAGGTAAAGCTGATAAATGCAAGTGCACTATGTGGTTGTATTTTCCAGAAGACGGCCACCGCGCAAAGCTCGAACACGTCAAAAAGCGTTTAAGTGAAGACCTGAAGTTTTATGTGAACCTTCGGGAGCCTGGCTCGGATCCTCTAGTGAAGCTGCGACAAATCATAAGCGACTACCAGTCTACTTCAGCTACAGTTACTTCACAGTGAGTCGTCTTTTTTGATGATTGAGAGACGAGGAGTCTAGTAGTTCATCGAGCGACGATGACGGACCGGGCGGGAAAAAATGGAAGAAAAAAGGAAAAACGAAAAAGGGTTAAGGGAAAGGGAAGAAATAGAATATTTCTTCGTTTTTTTGTAGACCAATAGTGGTTCGACATTGACTGCGAAAGTGAATCTATCTCGGCTGAATGGTTTGTTTGCGAAAGAGAAACTAACCCATGGAAGAAGCGAGCTCTCGCTACGATGATTCGTGGGTAGTACATCGAGGTCCTAGTACGGCACTTTTCCTACTTCAGTTGACAATGAAATGTTCTTATCCGTATCCACTGTAGCATATGGAAGAGTTGCATTTGACGAACAGTAGCAGTCAACGCGAAGCGAGGCAATTAAGTGCGTCGCAACTTTCTCGACGCAGCAAAGACCTGATCACAACTTTTGCTTTACAATATAGGTACATGGGGGCACCCGCGTGTGCTTTATTTTTCGTTTTCCCGTGATAAGATGAGAGACGGGAAATTCCGAGGTCGAGGGTATGCTGATGGATGCGTGTCACTTTAGGCGAAGTCAATTCGTTGATCTAGCTGAACTGCACAGACCCGATCTTTTTCGTAGCTGCATTTTGGCCAAGGACACACATACTTTTTTTCTATCAAGGACCAAACACAAAATGGCCCTGCAAGGAATGCGTGTAACCACCGCTGCGTCGGTGCCAGGAAGTCGCGCTTTACCGACACGTGCTTCTAGGTCGCGATGGCTTACTACTATCCCATCCGAACCCAATTTACCATATGTCAGGACCCGCGACGGACAATCGCAGCGACAACATGAGATGAAATCGATACGAGAGCGTCTACCGCTGTGCCGCTTTTTAGATCGTCGTTGTTTACACGCTTCTACGGCGCTTCAGGATGACAAAGAAGAAGAACCGCGCAGCATTCTGGTCACTTCACCTGCTGAGACTCGACTAAGTGGAACTCTCGAAGAAGGCAGTTCTGCCCGACGCGAGTCGCCGGTTGAGATAGCCGAAGCAGGAGCGCGGATATTTCTCTCTGCTGTGAAAGGGCTCGATTCGGCTTGGCATTTCTATCCACTGCCGTATCAGTGGCCGGCAACTTTTTTGGTTCAATATCAGGAAGCTGAACTGCATTCTGAGTGCGATTCGTGGTTCCCACTATCGTTGAAAACAACTTTTCAAACCTACGATCGAAACAAAAAAAAGCTTGCGAAGGTCGACCCAAGGTCCATGGAAATGCCATCGGACAAGCGAGTTTTCGTCTACAATCGGGTGAATGAGCTGCCACATCTGCAGATCTTCGTCGGGCCGCTTCCAGGTATGTTTTTTGTCGATTCCCCTGCACGTGGAGTACGGCGCAGAAAGGCTACGACTGATAATACCAAAACCTACTGGTTTAACGAGTCGGAGCAAGTGGGTGCACGCGAACTCGTACGGCGTCTACAAAACGAGTGGCAAGGCGGCAGCGTCCGAGGAAAAGGAGAATGGTATCGCAGCTTTCTCGAAAGGATGGGCACCCTTTCTGGAAAAACAGCTACCTTTTGCCGTGCAATGATCCAGATGCAAGACAAAGTGTACGGACCACTCGGCGCAGAAGTCACGTATCGGCGCGCTCAAACCGCACACAACACTGTTGTAAATGGCCGAAAAGTTCTTCACAGGGTTGCTTCACCTGTTTCACATTATGCTGGACGAGCCCTGACTCTTACGACCGGAACGACCACGACTGACTCGGGCGTTCGCCCTTATTCGCTCGCTGAGTTGCAAGCACTCGACTTTGTATGTGGAGTCAACTATTGCAGGGAGGCGAATGAAGTGCGAGGATTTTTCTTCTTTCCGCGCTCTTATTTGGTGACGCGTTTTGCACCATCTCCGAGTAAGAATGACCACTGTAAACCTACCTACTGGGTATATTTTCCGGAGGATTCCCATCGTGCGCGGTCTGACGAAGTGAAGAAGCGGATACCCAGCGATCTCGAGTTTTACATCGACTTGGAAGAAAGAGATGGCAATCAGTTGCAGAAACTTCGTCGAATTTTGGAAGGCACCTAGTACACGATAGAAAAAGGACGAAGGAAGCAGTATTTTATCAAGCGACGACGACGGACCGGGCGGGAGGAAAGGTAAGAAAAAAGGAAAGAAGAAAAAGGGAAAAGGGAAGGGAAAGAAGTGAAAAATTTGCGTGCACCCTTTGCGCTGTGGTGGATATAGAGAAGATATGATTTTTCTGCGAAACGAACCACACCATACGCACCTGAGGTTTAGGTTTTTTGCAAACGATCTTGCAACTGCTGAAATGAAAAGCGACCCATGGACAACTGACGTCAGTTCATCGATCCCCACAGATTCAAAAGGTAGTGGACACGTCGAAGATCAAGGCCGCGTTTCTTAGTGTGTCAGGCACGCAATATGAATTCGCGAATGAGGCGAGGACCCACTTGAGAGGGAGTGATTCGGTAGGCTGGGGCGTCAACTTTCTGTGCGCAGAGCGTCAAGGAGCGAATGGAACCAGGAAAGAGAGGAGATCATGAAAGATAAAGATGTGTCTAGATGATATATGTAAATTTGTCGCTGTGAAATAGAAATGTCACCCATGTTTCTCTTGGTCTTCTATTTGCTGCCTCGTACGGACGGAAACTGACAAGTGGCTATGGGGCCATTATGCTCTGGCTTCAGCCGCAGACTGCGGGTACAACCGGGACGATTTTTTCGGGATACATTGTTCGCGCCAAGCAGGCCGAGCTGCTATCCCACTTCAGCGGCGGAACGACAAAGTATAATCACGGGCCGCGAGCGGAGGTACCAGTCGACCGATGCACAAATTGCTGTAAGTAGGCGTGGCACGCAGTCTGACGAAGCTGGATGTGGGCGCGTAGATCCGAAGCACGATGTTCAACGGCGAGGAGGACAGACTCTTGCAATAGCTTTCTCGGGAAGGCAGCTGTTGCGGCAAGCTATCGAGGACACTGATTCACGTTGGAAGTTCTACCCACTTCCGTGTGGTTGGCCAGCCTCTTATTTGGTTCAATTTTGCGACGGGAGTAGCGACGACTGTTGGTTGCCACTTCTCGTGCGGACAGCAGCACGTGCAAAGCGGCTTGGCGCTGACGAGGGGACACGGTTTTTCAAATTCCGCATCAATTGCGTGCCGTTCTTCCAGATCTGTGTTGGTCTTGAGTCGAACGCATTTTTCGTGGTCCCGTCCAGAACATCAGGCGCCTTGCAGCATCCGCGGTTCACGGAATTCGCCGATGCCCAACGCACGCCGCTTCTTGATTTGTTGGATCGCATGCAGAATGAATGGCAGACCGGCGCATTGAGAAGCAAATCCGCCTGGTTCCACATTTTTCAGCAAACAATGCTTGCGTCTCCACGCCAGGCCGCATTTTGCAATGCTCTTTTACAGTTGCAGAGCATGGTTTACGCAAAACTTGGTCTGGAGTTGGCCTTTCCGGAGTCATCTTTAAATCGGGTGCATAACACAACAGTCGGCGATTACAGAATTCTGCATCGCATTGCGTCGTGTAATCCGCATCACGTTGGAAGTGTTTTGAAGTTCACAACGTCGTGCGGTAAGGACAGCGACCGCCCCTATTTACTCGCGGAGGTCGCATCCCTCGACTTCGTCTGCGCACTCAATTTTGACATGCGTTCCCAGGCTCTTCGGGGATTCTTCCTTTTCCCCAGGGCCCACTTACTTCCATTGCTGACAAAAAAGGACCACAATGTGCCGCACTGCAGGCGATCCTACTGGGCATACTTTCCCGAGGAGGCGCACCGTGCAAGAGCTCGCGACGTTAAGGATCGCGTCGCCCGCGATATGGAATTTTACATTGACCTGAAAGACAGTGAGAACGACGGAGATCTTGTTGCGAAAGTTCAAAGGATCCTGGACAGCTCCTGGCGCCCGCAACAAGAATGATGAAGCACTGTTGTATTGGCTTTCGCACAGAAGTGACAGCAGATGCAAAAGAAAATAATCGTTCGCTCAGCGACAGGAGTTCGTGGAGCAATGAGGATTGACCAACAGTAAAGAAAACGAAAAGGGGCAGAGGGAAAGGAAAGAAGTGACGAAATGATCGAGGACAGAACGAGAATATTGCAGCGAGGCCCGTTTGTCTAGGCCGGATCTGACACGAAATCTGAAGTTACGTCTCGCCTGTCCGTTAAAACCTGTGGGAGGTATTGTCTCGCAGTATCGCAGCACCAGCAGCGGGAGCATTTTATAAGTATGCTTTTTAACCACGACCAAAAGATCTAGATCAATGAGCTAAACACTTTTCCAATGATTTTAATCTGGTTGGGATCAGGTAAGTAATTCTAATTCATCCTGTAGACGCACTACGATAAAGTCGGTTTTCTGTAGGTCAAGGAGCAGGAGCAGCAGCAGCACCCAGTTTCGAAAGCGGATGTCCGCGGTTCCTTTTGATTGAGGGAATCTTTCCTGCTCGTCTCGAGCACATAAAGATTCCAGCGAACATCAACAAACTAAGATGATAGCGTCACGCCTTGGCAGCATAGCGCCTGTGCAATCGCGGGGGGATCTTTCGTTGCTGCGCACGCGTCCATGTTGGGCGGGCGTCCCGCAACGAAGTAATGCTCCACGTAGACTTCACGCATTGTCTCATTTGAGAGGAGAGCACAGCATGAAAGCGTTGGCAGCAACTGAAAGGTCGGCAACAATTTTGGATGTCGCGGACAGCGGAGCACCAGGTCTCCTAAACCAGCAAATCAAAATTTCGTCCTCAGGAGACACCGACTCTGACGTTAGTCTTCGAGCAAGCGAACGAGCCTGTGAATCCATAATGGTAGCGGAGACCGGGCTACATTTTTTGACAAAGGCCGTACGCAACGTCGACCCGCGATGGACTTTTTTTCCGTTGCCGCACCATTGGCCGGCGTCTGCTTTGGTGCAATATGTCGAAGAAGGGCAATTGCGACCAAGTGCGTGGTTCCCTGTCGTTGTGAAAACGACGTCGAAAGTAAAATCTGGCCCAGATACACTAAAGGCTTATACTTCCTCAGAACGAAAGTTCTTGTACCACGACATCAGGAAGCGTCCGTTCCCTTACGTTCTCGTTGCTCCGCACTCAAACATATTCTTCACGGTGCCCAGTTCAGCTCACACGCAAGGAGAAGAGCGTTTTCGTCTTATTGGCGAATCTGAACGTGTCACGATTCCGGAGATCATAACTGCACTTCACCACGAGCGAGTCCAAATGCAACTGCGTACAAAATCAGATTGGTTCCGATTTTTCTGCAGCGGGATGCTGGCCTCCGCACGTCAGGCCGTTTTCTGTGGCGCTATTGCAAACATGCAGGAGAAAGTTTACGGGCCACTCGGAATCAGTCTGACGTTCCCAGATGACGCGTCGCTGCGGTTTTTCAACAGTTATGTTGATTCTGCGCGCGCTCTCCACCGAGTACCATCAGCGCGTTTGCCGCAATACGGTCGCGCCCTGCGCGTCACGACAACGCATCCTTCAAAATCGCCAGCCACCCGCCCCTACTCCGTCGCCGAGATGCAGACAGTCGATTTCATCTTTGCCCTGAACTACTTCCACGAAAATGACGAGCTTCGGGGCTTCTACATGTTTCCCACGGAGCATTTGCTGCGGATCCTTGGCCCGAGGCTTCCAGATGGGACGCAGTGCCGGCGTGCCTACTGGCTGTATTTTCCGGAAGATGCGCATGCAGCAAAGATGGAGGGAGTCAGAGACCGCATTGTGCACGATATGGAGTTCTATGTCGACCTTCAAGTTGACGGAGCTCTTCAGAAAGTGCGCAAATTTTTAGACCAGTATTCGCGATCAGGTAAAAGAGTTCCAACATAGGTGAGTCATACGGGTTGCCCAAAATCGGCCAACTGTTGCCGAAGGCGAAGCCCTGGAGTACTTCGGCGGTCTACACGATTAGCTGACACACGTGCGGGAGAGAGTAAAGACGAAGCGCAGCTGAAATTGTTTGAGTTGCACTTGATGTTGCAGAGCGACGCTACCTTTTGCCTCTTGCGCGGAGAGGAGTATTTTGACTTTTTGTGTAAGTAAGTATGTCACAACATCTAGACGTAGTGACTGCTGAGGCGCTGCATTGGGTTAGGTAGCGTGTTGGACGAAAACGCAAGGTGATGTTGTGAGCCACGAGAACCACAGTTTTAGTATCACAATACGCAACAAGCACATTGATATACTAATTATCCAGTTCCAGAGTCGCTGGCGTCTTTCAGTAGCAACGTCAACGCCACTTTCGACCATGTACGGGAAAAAGCTGACTTTCGGAATGAAAGTCGAACCGGCTGCGGTTTTTGGAAAATTGTCGTCGCACGATGCCTCCCGGCCTACCCTATCACGCGCTGTGGCGGGGCTACGAACGACGAAAAATGAACCGGCAGAGCCCCTGCGTTGGCATTTAACGAAGCTTACGAAGCGAGGAACCCTTTCGCCAGTAACAGTCGCTGCGTGTGGTCGAGAATTCTTTCGGAATGCAGTGGCAGACGCCGATCCAAGATGGCATTTCTACTTCCTTCCCCTTGCCTGGCCGGCCACAGCTCTAGTGCAGTTTTCCGAGAGTGGCGTAGACCTTTCTGGCACTTGGATGCCTTTGGCGATAAAAGCAACGATTGGATCGGTTAGAACGAGTGCGAGCGGCGACCGACGTTTCTTCATGTATCATCGAATCAAGGCCGGTGGTTTTCCGCAAGTTTTTGTTGCGCCCGATTCCGGTGCCTATTTTATGGGAGCTGGAGGAAGTAGTGGCGCTTTGAAGCAGCTCGACAAGCGGTCGCACATTTTCAACGAGTCCGAGAACATGCCAATAGTTGACGTCCTCGATCGAATGCGTGAACACTGGCTTCAGCCGCACGCGCAGCGGAGCCTAGGCAGCTGGTTCGGAGGTTTTCGTGCATTGGCGTCGTGTGCGCAAAAGGTTCAGTGCGGCGCAATAGAGCAGATGCAGATGAACGTTTATGAGCCGCTCGGCTTACATTTGACATTCCCGGACACCAACCTGTGGCTTACGTACAATAGCTACCTCGACAATCTGAAAATCGTGCACCGTGTCCCCTCGGTCGACTCTGCTGCACGCTTTGGTGGAAGCCGTTCGCTGAAGCTCTCAATGTGGGCCGGCAGAGGAATGGAGCGATCTTTCACCCGACAGGAACTAAACGAACTTGATCTGATCTGCGCAATGAATTATTGCAGCGTGTCGAACCAGTTGTTTGGCTTCTTTTTGTTTCCACGTGCATACATTCGTACGTTGTTTACGAAGACGGACTCGCTCACCCAAGCCGAGTGCGATGAGACGCACAACAGGCGGACCTATTGGATACATTTTCCTGAGAGCGCGCACCGGGCGAGGCTTGATAAAGTAAAGAAACGACATGCACGTGATATGGAGTTCTACGTTGACCTCCGTGAAGATTGCGCTTCCAATGCTCTTTTGAAGGTGAAGAGGATTCTAGACCAGCACACACAAGAACATAACAACAGTCACGGACGTGACCGAGAACTTTCGTGAAGTAATTTTTGATGATTGAAGAAGGACAAAAGTGTAAGTGAACTAAGTGAACAACTAACAACAATAAAGCCATGCTATTATTTCCTTGCTTTTTTCCGATTCATCATTTTGCTCCTAATCTTAACCACGACCACCTGGACTTACCGCGGGTCAAAAGAAAGCCTCTTTCCTATGTACCAATAGAGCTGCTGTGGTTCTATCGTGCTCGAGCCACGAGTTTTCTTGTGAGGATCAGTGATGTAGCCTTAGCCACACATAGACGTAGACATAGACATCGATACTTATCCTTGTTTTTGCGCATGAGGATCAGAGGATGAACACGCCCATGCCAGATCAAACTTAGTACTTTACTCTTATAGTATTTGCGTTCGCGTACGTTTGCGATTTGTCATTGCAAGTGTCGATATGATGATCCCTCCTGTTTCGATCCCGCGATTTCTTTTACTGGCGTTTCAAAGACGAGACCTTCCGTTTCCTGTGCCATCAATCCTGTGCTTTCCGCATTTCTCGAATCCCCTTACATTTAAAAGCAGCAGCATAAGCCTAGAAGTCATTCACTATCGAATTTCGCTAGTGAGTCCAGCCTTCGACGAAATCGAAAGATTACGTCTTTTTACTTACTTTACTTTCGCAGTATAGAAACTCTTCTGCTTCAGACACCCATTTACATATTCGCTAAAGGACATCTTCCAACTTCTTTTTGAAACCATTCAACACCTCCGAAGCATCTTCACAACCCAACCAAGATGTCGACCCTCTCCAAACCGCAGTGCAAAGAGACGGACCGTCTCCCCGTGACTGTGCTCTCCGGTTTTCTCGGTTCCGGGAAAACCACCACGTTGACCCACATTTTGAACAATAACGCCGGTTGTAAGATCGCGCTGATCGTCAACGACATGGCGTCGGTGAACGTGGATTCCCTGGCGATTGACAACTTTTCGAAGGAGCAATTGCAGAAGTCCAAAGCCAAATCCCTGGCCGTGATGCCGAAAATGGTGTCGCTGCAGAACGGGTGCGTGTGCTGCACCTTGCGCGAGGATTTGGTCGAGCAGATCGCTGAGTTGGCGAAGGGGGACTACGACTACCTGATCATCGAGTCCACCGGTATCGCGGAACCGGTCCCGGTGGCGCAGACCTTTTGCCACTCCTTACGCGAACTGGAGGACATCATGCGCGGATACGACATTGGGCACGAGCTCGGGGAAGATGCCCAGAAGAAAGGGTGAGAGTTTTTGCTCTTTGAAATTTGTTTGACCGTGACCGAAACAAAGCGGTTTCATTGCAATGGTTTAGTTTTCGTGCGCATGTTTCTGGTTTATGTTCCGAAGCAAACTTGATTTTCAAAAAACCTAGTGGCCGCACGGCTTCGGACGAGGAGCGGAAGAAAGTTGCCGTTCAGGCGATCGAACTGCAAAAGCTGACCCGCTTGGACACCATGGTCACCCTGGTCGACGCGGCCGCGATCTGGGACGTGTTGCAGTGCAACGAGTCCCTGCGCAAAGCAGAGTGGTCCAAGGTGGAAGCCGCCCAGGCGGCGTCTTCGCCGTCCGTTGCGGAAGATCTGGATCGCAGCATCGCGGACCTGCTGATTGCACAGATCGAGTTTGCCAACATGATTTTGCTGAACAAGCGGGATTTGTTGGTGAAGCGGAAGACTGGTGATACGGAAAAGACGACCGACGTTGAGATCAAAGAGGAAGACGATTCTGAAAAGTCTTTGGAAAAGAAAACCGAGTTGATCGAGAATTTGGTGAAGACTTTGAACCCCGAAGCCCGCGTGCACTGGACGGAATTCGGGAAAGTTTCCCCGGAGTGGATTTTGGACACCAAACTGTTCGACTTCGAAAAAGCGACGGTGAACAAGGGCTGGGTGCGCGCGCTGGCCGGCGCCCCGACCCAGGGCGAGGATGTCGCTCTGGCTTCTGCGAACAACGATGGTCCTACCGCCCGCCAGCAGATTTCTTCGGTGGTCTTCCGCGCGTCACGCCCCTTCCACCCGCAGCGTCTATTCGACATCCTCGGCGGTTTTGGTCATTTGGCGGAGAACGTTTTTTCCGAAAAAACTGCGGATAGTACGAAGGGTGAAGAGGAGATGCAAACCGAAGAAGAAAAGGAGCTTGAAACTGCTATCGCGTCCACGCCGCCGCGTCCGGCGGAAAAGCTTTCTTGCTGCGGCATCGTGCTGAACAAAGAGGAGATCGAAACGTGGGAGAAAGACAACGCGGAACTGCAGGCGAAGTTAGAAGCTTTGAAGCAAGCGAAGGTTAAAAAGGAAGAGGACAATAACGATCCGAGCCAGACGTTCAAGAACGTGTTCCGCAGCAAGGGACAGGCCTGGTTTGCGAACTGCGCGGGGCACCGCATTATGTGGGAGTCGGTCGGTCGCGAGTTCTACTGTGCCCCCGGTCGTCCGTTCGACAGTGCCGTTGCGGAAGCCGGTTTCGACCCCGAGGAACTGGGATCCGCCGCGACGGCCGCTGCGTCCGGGTTCGTGAACCACGGCAATGATGAGAAAATAAACGAAGATCCGAAGGAACAGCTGCAGAAGGCTGCCGCCGGTGAGATGAAGGAGCAGATGGAGGAAAATAATTCCTGTAAGGACGAGAACTGCACGGCCTATGCGCTCACCATGCTGGTTGATAACCTTGTTGTGAACAAACCGGCCCCCGATCAGGACAACCTCGCTATCTATGGTTCGGAGAAAAACAGCCACCCGGTTTGGGGCGACCGCGGCACCGAGCTGGTTTTCATCGGCGTGGCGCTCAACGAGAAAAAGATTGTTGCGGCGCTGGAGTCCGCGCTGGTGAGCGAGGAGGAGATGGAGCTCGCCGCGGCGGACAAAGTCAAGTACGAAGAGTGCATTGAGAAAGTGGAGAAAGAGAAGGGCGAAGGGGCGTTCGCGGACCTCTCCAACGAGGAAGTCATCGAAATGACCGGTGGGTTACTGACCCGCTGGGACCGGTTCCACGACCTCGAGGATCCGTTTTTCCGCGGGGAAGCGGCGAGGAAGTACATGGAGTTCGATCTCGAGGAGGATGAGGACATGTGGGGCGAGGAAGGTGATGATGATTTAGCTTCCCAAGTCGAGAAGGAGGAGGGAGAAACGATGCTTGCGGAGCAGGACGAGGAGATGGAGGATTTCCCCGCGGAGGACGACTCCGACGCTGTTTCGGCGGAGGGGGAGGCGACGAACCACAGTTACTGAAGGCCAGTTTGCCCAAGCTTTTGGTTCTGGGAAGAACAGCGCGTATGCTGCTTCTGCTACCGCGGCAGGGGACCGCTTGGTGGCTGCAGGGGAACTCGGCAGCGGACCTGGTGGCGGGGAAGAACGAGCGGCTTCTGGCCTGCAGCGGAGAAGAACGGACTCACTGGCGGCGAAAGAACTGCGACACCGGACGACATTTTTGCGATGGAACCAATTATGGATTACCGTGTGGGGATCGGGATTGGAGCCGGACACTACACATCTGCACGACAAGGGTCGTCCCGTGTCGGACCGATTTCGACTGAGATTTGCGGAGTTTTGGCGGATTGGGATAGTACGAAACCACGACACCTAGGATCGTTTGATTTGCGACACCACTAAATATCAAAGACCACGGAACTGAAAACGAAAGAAGATTTGAATCGTCGACATGCGCCGGTCGCGACATCAATGCCATCGAGTTGTACCGGGTTAAGCGCAGAGAACGCAGAGTTAGCACGGACTACGTTTATTTGTCCCACCTCCGACGGGATCCAAGTCCAACATTTGATTTGCGAATGACTAGCAGCACGTCTTACGATATCTCTTATCCGAGTGGTTTGTTTTACGAAATCGAGCGTGAATTTCAAATACCGAAAACCAAGACAAGTTTTGGAATTTTATCTATAGCGAGAAAGTTGCTCTTCTATCTCGTTCTCGTAAATACTGGGATCTTTTTACAAAATCCAAATGTTTGATGAGTGGTAACAATTCCGATATACGAAAATGAAAACCTCTTTACTTTAGTCATATTACGGATCAAAGTTCGAAATAAGTTCGCGTACGTCAATACTTGTAGGATTCAACTAAGTACTTAACAATTCGAAATGAAGCACTAGCTAGAGTGGTTGGTAACGATTTGAGAATATAGTCAGTGGCTTCGAAATTTATCATTTTTAGAGAAGAAAGTATAAGTGGGTGGCGATCGTCGATAATAACAATCTCACTGAATGAGCTCATGTCACTGAATATACTTTTGTTTTGACTTTAAGAGCACATAGTCCGACACCAACAGCTTGGAAAATAATGCTGCGAAACATTGAAATGGCTTTTTCAAGTATTTCATTCTTTGTCATGGTCGGACCCTGGTCAATTTCGCAATGCTGCCTGAAGATCATGAAGAGAAAAGAAGAGCACCACAACAGCGGTAAAATTGCAGTTCATCTGGATCAGAATATATTAGATCTCCCCCGCTTAGTACTAAAGAGCTGCAAGGATCAGTCTCTCTTCGGGGAATTTTCCTGGAAGGACAGAGGAGAGGCACAGATGCATCTCGCAAAAATGTCGGGACAAAAAAAATTACCTGTGTCGCATGATCTTTGTTTATGCAATCGTCTCGAAATCGGTTTCGGATGCAAGTTCTGCACGACTCCATAGTGTAATTCGTGAGAAAAATCTTCTCCTGTCAGCTTCAGATTATGGAAGTGAATACTGAATCATCTTTTTCATTCGCTTCTTCTGCAGCATCACTAATTGCACACGGTGTTTTCTTTTCCTCTTAATTCATAAGAAAAAAATCAGCTTTCGTTTATCGTTCAAATCAATTTTATGACTTACGCAACTTGTCCGTGTAATGCTAAGCACTTCTGAATATATTGCATTCGCTTGATATTATCTGCATTTGCGAACGAATTTTTATTATCTTCTCACATACATCAATTCTTTTTCTTATTCTTTTTCTTATTCTTTTTCTTATTCTTTTTCTTATTCTTTTTCTTTGTCTTTCAGTCAGTAACAGTATGTTCTTTCAACCGCAGAAGCATCGCCTGCTGGCGATGGGCATGCAGCTCTTTACCTTGCACCTGTTATTTTTGTCGTCGTTCACAATGCGGCTCGTGAGTTGCGGCGGGCTTGGGTTCTCACAATGGACACCTCAGGCAGGTCGTCGATACCAACTGGTGGATCAGGCAATGCGGGGGCCCATCCGCAAACCGTATGAGACACTTTTGAAGCTGTTCTTACTCTCCGAGGTGGACGAAGAGTGGCAAGTGGACGACGATAACCCCCGAGGAACGGACGCGAAAAGTCCGGAGCAACGGCTCCAGGAGTTAGCGGATCTAAGTACCGGCCCGCGGAAGCAACAAAAGAACGAGTTGTCAATTTCTATCCTAAATCGCAGACTGGAAATGCTGCTCAGTGAGACTGCACTGAATACCCTGCTCTTCGAAGGCGAGACGCCAACAAAAAGACACGTAGTAAGTACGCAGACCGACGAACCATCGGCGGAGGTGAAACAGGATTACATGCGGTTGACAGAGGTGATTGACCTGCTCTTCGAAGTCAATTGCATCTTTCACTTTTTTGACCGAGTGCGCAGCATCGACCGCAGGCAACTCGTATCGAATGACGGCGCGGAGCTGGTGCGCTCGTCCGTTGACGAGATTGTCCGCCCTGGTTTCACGCGCCACAGGAGTTATGATAGGTTTCACCATCACAATGCCGTTCTGGCCGCAGCGCAGAACGTGCCGGGGTTGAAACCGGAAATGCAACTTGATGCACGGTGGCAGGAAGTGCTGTATTCCTTTCTGCGGACAGATCTTGCGCGGGGCAGTAGTGAAGATATCCCAATGGAAGAAGTCGCGGACCAGCACGTCATGGCCGACAGGGAGGATGCTGCGTTGCGTGGACTGGAGAAAGAGCAGAGGAGTGCGGTCGCGGCGATCTCAAAGTGGAGCAGCATGATCAAAGGTGCCGTCGCTCGAAGAGAGATGTTCGGACTCCCTAACGAAACCAAGAGGCAGGAGTTGCAAAGCCGCATGTTCTTTACACCGATCAAGTATTTCTTCCATCAGGGTCGGGATGACGAAGCGGTGGCTGCGCCGGTGCAGGAATACGAGAAGACGCGCGCTCAACTGAGGCGTTCGTCCGAAATTGGAACCAGCGAAATAACTCGGATCCCTTTCACATGCACGGAAAAAGAAAAAGATCGGCGTCTGAGCTTGGCGCAGAACCAGGAGCGTAGCCTCGCGAACCGGTTGTTTGCAGTGTTTTCCGATGACTTCAGGGATGATCGTCATGGGTTTGTGAGAGCGGGAAATATCGGCATAGAGTACGTCAACGCCTTGCTTGCGGCCTCGCGGAGCATCCAGAAGACGGAAAAGACGCTCAACGCCAATCTGGTGCTGCGTCGCATGGCCGACGTCGGAGCGATTCAGCAGGGCGACGTCGATTTCGTTTTGCGAAAGATTTTGACTGCGCCCGGCAGCGTGCTAAACGTGATTAGCCCGCAGTTCGTTACGACGCAGGGGGTCCTCACACACGAAGGACCCTGCGAGCCTTACCTGAGAGCTCTTCAGAAAAAAGGAGCTCTCGAGAAAAAAGGGAAGACCGATCTCGGACGCTTGGTTGGTGAAAAAAGCCCGAATAAACCTGGAGCAGCTGCGCCCACGCCGGTTATGCCAACCCGGCCCGACGAGACCTCTTCCTTGCAGACTGTAGTCACCAACGCCGGTATCAAAATGAAAAATCCCCCCTCCCCATATTGAAACGGAAACTTCTGTTGCTGGATTTGTGTACACAAATCAGCCCTGTCTTGCAGCGAGGCACTACAGGCAAAGCCTCAGTCTGCGTAGGGGTGTTTTGTTGTAGGCTCTTGGCATAAGAGAGGCCAGCCATGTAGGTGAAACAGCATCACAAATCGCCTCCGTAAGGCGGCGGATTCTTTGGGTTTGCCTTCTTGCAAGACAGATGTGATTTGTGACCTCAAATCCGCATATACAGGCGCCACCCTCGTTTATCACCTCCAGGGCTACGTGCGACCCCTCCGACGCTGCGTGTGGAAGGAGGAAGTTCGGCGTGTTGGGGGTGAGGGACCCCCGACGTCTGGCCTACGGATATCATGGGGAACTAAGGCTCAAATCCGCAACACAAATTTTTGCAAATATACCTTTTCGATATGGGGAGGGGGGATTTTTCCTCTCAATAGCCGGCCGTCGGTATCAACTCGTGGACCAGGCGATGCGAGCGCCGATCCGCAAACCGTATGTGACACTCTTAAAGCTGTTTTTACTTACAGAGGACATCAAAAGCACTGGTAACGTTGAACCGGAGCAACGGCTGCAGGAGTTGACGCATTTGACAGCGACGCCATGGCTGAATCCGCAAAACGATGATATTACTTCTTTTTCCATGTTGAACGGCCAACTGCAAATGCTGCTCAGCGAGACCGCTTTGAAAACCCTGGTTCTCGAGGGAGCTACGACAGCCGAAGAAGAGGTAGGAACCGAGACGCGCCAAGAATCCGCTCAGAGAGATATGGGACTGAGTGCGCTAATTGATCTGCTATTCGAGGTGTACTGCGTTTTCCATTTCTTTGAAAAATTGCAGAGCATCGACCGCAGGCAACTGGTAACGGATGACAACACGGAGCTCTTGCGCTCACCGCTTGACGCAATTCTCCGCCCTTCTGGCAATTCACCGCTGAAGGGCATATACCTGGAGGATGTATTAAGCTTTCACACTCACAATGCCGTCCTGGCGGCAGCGCAAAGCGAGCCGCACTTGAATCCAGAGACACAGCTCGGCGCAGCGTGGCAGCGAGCGCTGTATTCCCTTCTGCGAACGGATTTTTCGATGATCAGTGACACGCCAAAAGGGCTGCGCCGTTTTGGCGGCCCCGCCGAAACGCTGTTGCGACGCTTCAGCGAGAAGGGAGTGGAGAAACTCACACTACAGGTCGAGACTCGAGCCTACAAGGCACTGGTGAAGGAGGAAGCGAAGGTGGTCGAAGATATTCTAGACTGGAACACTGCGGTGAGGATGACAGAGGAGGAGCGGAGAAAACGTTTCGGGAGTATCAAGAAGCTCACCGGGCACCACGACCTAGCGAACCGCATTTTCTTTTCTCCGATCCGGTATTTCTTTCATCAGAGTCTCTCGCTTTGCGATCCGCCGGAGCTGTACCAGTCGAGCCAATATGCAGTTCGGACAGATGTAGGCCGGCAAGTGCGCCGCCGGTGCCTCGACGCGGCACAGCAACAGGAACGTATTTTTGCGAACCGGTTGTCTACGAGCCGGGTCAACAGCGACGACCGGAGTGCCTCCGTTTGCGACGGAAATAACAGAGAAAGTGACATGGGGCGCGTCCATCGCGTCCTTGCGGCCTCTCGGAAGGACGTCATGAAAGGCAGAAAGGCGCCAAATGCCCTCACGATGTTGCGCCGTTTGGCGCACCGTGGAGCCATCGAGCAGACGGACATTGAGTTTGTTTTGCAAAAGGTTCTGACTGTGCCGGGTGGCTTGCTCAATGTAGATAGCTCTCAGGTCGATGCAACACATGGGACTTCCTCACGTGGAGGACGAAGAAGGCCCTGCGAACCGTATCGTAGAGTTTTGCGAAACAGCTGGGTAAAGAGCCTCGTACGCCTAGCCGGTCAATACCCGGAAATTGGAGCCGCTTTCGGAGCGGCGCACCACGTGCTGACGGCAAGCCCTGGGCGGGCACAACACAAAGGACAACCGCATAGTAGTCCTGAGGATAAACAGGGTCAGCCTGCTGCTCGTGTTGATCTTTCGTCGATGTCGCAAAGAGAAGACACTCAGTACTACAGCCCACGCACCCCGCGGCGATCCAGCAGTACTGCTTCGGATTCTCCAAGGTGGCCGGCAACTCCAGATTCCTGGAAGTGAGCAAATAATTAATTAATGACCTCCGCGGTCGACGACACTGTCGCAGTTGCTCACACTTCATCTTCAATTAAGTACGATTCAGGAAGTACATCGGTATACTTAGTAACCTTCGCTTCATTAGCATAAGGTAGCAGGAGCAGCGGCCAACTTCAATTGTATAGCGCTTTTCGATGCATGTCCATTTCAGGTCGAGTTCAAGAACAAAATCACGCCCTTACCTTGGGAAAGAAGGCACAGAGTAATTTTTACATGCAAGCTTGACTCCTGTAATACTTTCAACACAAGAAGTATTTTTTTCCCGCTTAGGTTGGAAAGAAAAAGATATAAGAGAAAACTGCCGTAGAAATGGGTGAAATGCAAAGCAAACTTCCAAAAGGAGGCGCAAAGACAGTATGAAAAAACAAAAAGTAAAGTTAGTTGTAATTCGTTTTAGTCCGAAAGCATTCATAATCGTGAAGTTCCGACAACAGCAAAACGCTAGCTACTCATAGTTGTGGCTTTGTCGAACTGGTTCTTTACTTTTATGTGCGAATAGATGAGGTGCCCTGATTCCTTTTCAAAAAATTATTCGATGCAAACATAGTAAACAATTGATTGACAAGATGTGGTGTAAGATTGAAATTGCGTGTATAATGATGTACATAAACTTCTATTTTGATTTTACATTGCAATATATAATGTGAAGTCAGTCTCATGTGTCGCGTCTTTGTCGACGTTTACCATGGAGGTGTTCCGAAGCCTTGTTTGTTCCTTCCGGGCCATGAAGAAAAGAAATCAATCGTAAAAATTGTCGCAGTGTGGATATGGGATCGAGGTCGAGCCATTTTGGCATCGTTTGCTTGCGTTGTTGATTGTGAAAGAGAACACGCCCGTCTTCTGGTTACATCCAAAATGGTGGCCGGGCCCCCGTGCTCGTCGCACGCAGTCTCACGGTTCCACAGCGCCCTGAGGGTGACTCCTTGTCGCGACTGCTCGTTTGTCCGTTCCGCAGCAGCTCCACCTCACAGGTTGCTTCCTACTCCCCCTGCGCAGCATCTTTGCAGGCGCTCATTTTCAGGCGGTGGATCCGCGTCTTCGTCCAGCGTAAGACCTATCCCGACGTCCTCAACCTCGCAGCTGGAGAAGCTCTTGGCCCTGCAAAGCGTCAGCGCTGGTGATGAAACAGTGCGTGCGGGAGATAGTGTGTTTGGAAAAACAAATCACGATCAACATTCTGGGCGGGACCAGGATCGTCCCGAAGGCTCCGCGGAGAAGAAGCTTCCGGTGCTCTCACCCGAAGAGGCCTTGTACCTCGCAAAAGAAGCGGGGTTCTACAGCCGGCAAGAGTTGCAGGACCAGATCATCCGGTCGCCCAGTTTTTCCACGGACAGAACGTCCCCATTTTTGATTGACCGCTTCCTCGACCCGTTGCCAACGCCGAAGATGGAAAGGCAAGTCGTCGAATCAGAAGAGGATGACCGGGGACAGAGCTCGTACGGCTTGTACGGGGAAAAACCAGTACCACGGAAAATTCACGACGCTCTGCTCCGCCTTAGCAGCGGCACACCCGCATCTGCAAACGGAAGCTTGGCAAAGAACTTCCGTCATGGTAGTGGTAGTACTGTACCAGCTTTCGACGACCCCCGCGCGACCTTTCTTGTGCCGAAAAACCGCTACGAGGCGAGGGGAAGTCACGCAGCCGGCACTGGAGGTGGAATTGGTCTTGATTCAAGCGAAGACGAGGACTCGGCAGCTTCGGATAGCACCAAACGCACGACGAACGAATGGCGGTGTGTGGCCGAGGGCTACGGTACGCGGGCGCGGGCCTCGGCGCACTGCATTCTCCGGCGGGGCAGCGGGATCATCAAAGTAAACGGAGAAGAAGATTTCACAAGCCGGTGGCCGCTTCTGTACAACCGTTTGGAGGTAGTTTTGCCGTTCACGGTCACGCAAACCTGTTGCTACTACGACGTCTTCCTCGCCGTGAAGGGCGGAGGGACGTCCGGGCAGGCGGGTGCGGCAAAGCTGGCGATTGCCCGCGCCCTGGCACAGGCGCGACCGAGCTGCGTGCCACTGCTGAATTCCAGGCAGCTGTTGCACGAAGATTTGCGGCAAAAGTTGCCGAAAGACTCCTCTAGGCCAAAGGCGCGCGCCGGCTGGCGGTGGAGCAAACGCTAGATTGATTATCGGATGCCCCCTCTCTGCTGATTTTGAGAAATACCTACTTAGTTCTGCTATAATTATTTCAGCTGGAGTTTAACAACGATCAAAACGCACTTCTTCTGAAAAACGTGCCGAATGCCGCCGCCCAAGTCGAGGCGTTTTGAGGCATTCTTCCGCCTACACAAGAACCAATCAGTGTTCTGGATTCATGCAGATGACGCCTCGAAAATTCGTACAAAAAGGGATGCACTATTACTTGTCTGCCTGTGTTGTGGGACGTGAAAAACTCAGATGCGTAGATCCTTTGGGCTCGACAAGTTATTCGCAGATTATTTATCCAAAGTGATCAACACCTACAAAGCAGCGACGCAATTTTCTCTCCCCCTTCTAACTCGTAAGAATTTTTGTTTTTTGCACGCAAGCTTTTCATAATTTTTTTTCACCGCTATATGGAGTTTCTATTTAGACCTTCGAACGGTAGATAGGTACGCTATTGCTCTCCACGATTGCAGATGGACAATAAATTTAGTTTGTTGATGCGTGCATTTCTTCTTGGCACCAATTCAGATCAGCTGCAGAGAAGGAGTTAAACGAAGAAGGCAGAGGAATATATAAAGATAGTCAAAATGGGACCTCCAGGACCGTGGCAGGGCAAACCGCCCGGCAGCAAGGGCGGTGGCAATAAAGCTTGGGCGCCCGCTAAGGGAAACAACAAACCGGCAGAAATGGGCACGAACAAACACGGCGCGGGCAACAAGGGTCAGATGATGAGCGATCACGATTACGCGATGAAGGGAGGCAGCAGCAGCAACATGATGAGTAATCAGCCCCCGCCGGAGAAGAAGAGCGGTGCTAAAATCCTATTGAAGAGAAACAAGAACACACTGAAGAAGGAGGCTGCCTCTAACGCGGTGGGGTCCAACCAGGTTCAAAAGCAGGACAAGAAGCAACACCAGGAACCATCCGGGGGCAATAAAAAGCCGCAGAAAAAGAAAGAAGGGAAGAATGAACAACAGCCTTCTTCAAGTAGCAGCAACGTGGCGCAGACCAACGCCAAAAAAAACGGTGGTGTTGTCGCGGGCGGCGGAAGCTCTTCGTCCTCAAGCGCGATGAAACAAGTTGCCGCCCCAGAGAAGCCTGCCGCGCCGGCGGCAGTAAAGCAGAAGGAAGCTCCGCCAGCTCCCCCGGTACTTCGGAGTTCTTGCTACGAATGTCCGTAAATATCACAGCACTACCAACATGGAGACTCGCTTTTTTATCCGCGGATGAATTTACTGTTACATCTGACCCGCATGAGGTTCTTGAAGAAAACGCAAATGCGCCTTAAACAAAAAACATCAGGCTTCTGCTCCTCCTGTCGCAAAAGAAGAGGAACCCAAGCCTTCCCAAGCAGCGGGCAATGCGTCCGAGGACAAGAAAGCCATGTTGCGAGCCAAGCTTATGGCAGCGAAGATGGCGAGAGCCAAGAAGACGGAGAGTCCGGAGCTACAACAGCAGCAGCAGTCCGCCGCCGTGGCACCCACGAACCAGAAACGCCCCCCGGAAGCCCCCTCCACCTCCGCACGAGGCATGGTTGCCGACGCTGCCGAGCCGCCGGCGAAACGGACGCGCAGCGAAAGCCAGCATAGTCTGCGGTCGGTCCAGAGCATGCGCAGTGTTGGGTCCATGGAAAGTGTGGAGTTCGATCACGAAGAGGAGAGCCGAAACGACGGCCCAGTGCCGATGAACAGCATACCGAGCGTGCCGAGCACTGCTGGCGCCGATGCCGTGCTCGTGCCAGATGTGGTGGTGCGGGCCGCGCCCTCCTCTCCAAAGATCCAGGCGCGGCCGAGCGAGCGCAAGAGCGACGGAATGGTGCCCATAACGATCGTGGCTGCGGGAGCACTGATCAGCGACACGGCTGCTATGCCCCCGCCGGCAGAACCGCCCGTGCCGAGCGTGCGAGTGGTGGCAGCGCCCGCACCGCCGGACGAGGAGCCGGAGTTAGAAGAAGTCGAGCCGCGGAAATCGAAAAAGGCAAAGCTCACGCCGCGTGTTGTGCAAAAGCCCGCAGTCCAGGTGGTAGCCGCGGCTGCTGCTACCACAGGAGGAGCAGTGGCTGCTTCATCCTCTTCGATTGCAGAGTCGAAGCAGATACCGGCACCGGCGCCAAGAGAACCGGCGGCGCAATCTTCAAGTCCTACGGAAGCTGAACCGGTTGCGGAGACTGCGCAATTGGGCAGCGCGCAGATTTCGCTTGGAAAAATTACCGGGACCAAGCGCCTGCCGGACGGCCCGCTGGTAGAGAGTCCGGCCCCTAGTGAGAATGGCAACGAAGGCGACGCTGCGCAAAAGTCGAAGAGCGTGCCAAGGGGCTCGATGAAGGCCGAGAAGCCATCCGTTGTTGAAACGCCAAAAGAAGTACTACAGCCCGGCGCAAAGGGTGCTGAGGCGACTACAGCAGCTCCAGCATCAGGAGGAAGAGCCGCGGCGCCAGGAGGACCCGCCGCTGTGAAAACAGGGAACGCGGAGGCTGCGACAAGTAGCAGCGCCGGCGCACCAGCGACGAAGGGTACGCAAGTAGCCGCCGGAGCGCCAACTGAGAAAGCTGACAAAGGGGCTGCTAAGCCGGCAGATACCGCTGCGAAAGGTGAGAAGCTAAGTGTCGCTGCGGAGAAGGGTAGAAAAAGTGCAATAGGAGCAAAGGGAACGCAGGGTGCGATGCCGGGCAAAGGCGAGCAAAAACCCGCTTCCTCGAGTACCGCTGGTGGGAAGTCTACCGTCACAACATTGGGAGGACCATCGGGTTCGCAGACTGCAGCGAAGGGAGAGAAGTCGACAGCCGGAAAAGGCGAGAAGACGGCCGGTGGTGGAGGAAAGGGAGAAAAATCAACTGCGGAAACAAAAGGCAGTAAGACGGCCGCGGTTCCGGGGAAAGGAGAAAAGCCGGCCTCTGGGAAGGCACAGGGTGACGCACGGATTAGCGCATCCGCAGCAGGGAAGCCAACAGACCAAAAGCAGGCTGCTGCAGTTTCAGCAGCTTCCGACAAAGGTAAGCAGCAACCGTCACCGGCAAAAGTCGACTCCTCAGCACCAGCGGTGAAAACGGGCGGGAAGCCGGCAGCAGCGGCAGATGCAACTACAAAGGGAAAGCAAGGCGAGCCCGCGAAAACCCAACCCGTGACAGGAGCCCCCTCCGATCTACTGCAAAAGGAAGCTAAAGGTAAGGGAGGACAAACACCAGCGGCAAGCGCGACTCCCATATCAAGCAAGGCACCTCCGGTGTCGACGGATGCGGGTGTCAAAAAAGGAGGCGCAGCTACGGGAACAGCAGCTACAGCAGTCCAGGAGCAAGGCAAAGGAAACTCAAAAGGCCCTGCTGGATCAACATCTTCCGCGCCTGGCGCAACCACCGCCGCGCAGCCTCCGGTATCGAAAGGCGGCGCTAAGCCAGTTTCAACACCAACTTCGACAGGTGCCGCCTTGGTCAATAAAGGGGCGCCAGCAAAGGGGGCTCCTGCCGGAAAGCCGGCGACCAACCCGCCAGCCGGTGCTCCAGCTTCCTCGTCCGCGGCACCGCCGCAAGCACCAGTGGCGGCTCCGCCGGCCGTGCCGCCAAAACAGTACAGTTTGAACAAGAAAGTCGGCACGGAGGAGATGCTAAAAAAGTACAAGGACGACCCGGTGCGGCTCCGACTCCTGAACCTTACCCGCGACGAGTTCAACGCTGAGCGTAACACCGTGATCGGGCGCCTAGGGGACGTGCTGTGCCACCCCAAGACGGATCGCGGGGTCTTTGGATTGAGCCGGAACGATGTGGCACTGCGCGTGGCGAAGCTCCGCACAAACCTGGAGGAACGGAAAAAGCAGGACCCGACGAAGCTGCCCAAGTCCGAAATCATCGAGCGCTTGGTGCGGGAACAGGGGGGCGGCGCAAGTCTAAAAGAGGCTTTTGACCTTCTCCAGATGCTCCGGTCCTGATCATGCGACACGGCACGACGTCGTGCTCGTGCACTGGCGCAGCGCTCTGCCACTTGGAGGTGTACTTACCAAAACATGCGACAATCAGCGACATAATTTTCCTCGAGAACATTCGTTCCGATAGAACGAAAATCATCCCGAAAGAACTGCTATATCAAAGCCATCTCCTGGCTTCGTTCTAGGCGCCTTGCCGCTCGCTTTTGTTCTGCGTTCGCCTCAGAAATATGTTTTTTCTATTGCGAAGCTGGAAGCTGATCCGAGGTTGTGAATTTCCGAGTGAGGGCTTCGAAAAAGTGGGTATTCGGTCGCCAGGTTTTTTTTTGAACAAGTTGGTTCCACGGCTGCTCTACTTTTTTCTGAGGGTGTCGTGGTTTCTATATCGTTTTTTCCCATTTAAGGGGATTTGTGGTGTCAGTCTTGGTATTTCATTTTTGGTCCACTGTTTTTGCTTGCGGCTTTTCCTTCGTTTCGTTGTCGCAATCGTTTCAACATTGGGGATGCATCGTGCCCTCGGCGACGGTGGTCAATCCACATCGTATGTCATACGATGGATACATATTTGGCTGAAGTCAGTTAAGACAAAATAGATTTTTCTCCTCCCCAGCTCCTCTTAAAAGCTACTTACAACTTAGTTGACTTCAACTTTGCGGACCTGAACCACCTCCAATCCTGTTCAGATAGCGCATAAGTCATCATCTTTCGGCACCCCCACGGTAAATCAGTCAGCCTAATGGACTTCAACCGTAAAATCTTGGACCTTTTGCAGCATGTCTGCACCAGGTTGGACAGTTTGGAGGCGAACGAGAATGAGAACAAGGCAGAAGGAGCGACATCTGCGACCCCGCCCGATGGCGCACCACAGGTGCCAACAAAGCTGGAGAACGTGGACGGTACCTGTATCGCGACTGCCACAGCTGCCGCACGGTCGCAGCAGATTTTGGTGGAATGCGGGACCAGCGAAAAGCGGTGGGAATCCGAGATGCGCCGCATGCTGATGAGCGGGGAAAATCACCTCGAGGATATCACGCTGGCTCTGGACGCGGTAAATGCGGACTTGAATCGAGTGAAGGCACAAGTGGCGACTCTGTCGAACGCCAGTGGCGGGTCGTCATCCTCCTCGGGAGGGAGGCAAGCGGACGGAAATGGTGCGTTTTTAAGCAGGGTCGTGACGATACTGACCGTGAGTGAGAGCAGTCCGTACAATTAAGAAAGATGAAAGTAGCTTCTACCGCTTTGCGAGAGGGTGGTGTTTCGTTTCATGCTTTTTTCATGCTATCGTGCGCCCATGCGCATGCCTCGCCCTTAAGCCTTAATTTCCCTTGTTCAGAATCATACTCACCAATACACATGCAGGTGGTCCCTCGTCTGCTGCCATCTGGGATGAGCGTAAACAGGAGTTCCTCGCGGCCGCTAAGGCAATGCTGACAGATCCGAAAGCGCTTGTGGACTTGCAAAGCAAGTTTGACATCCAAATAGAAAGCAAAGCCGCGGAAGCAGCAGCAGCAGCAGCCGTGAGTCACCACGCAACCACGGCGCTGTCGCGTCTCGAGGCTGATGTGAGATCTTTGCAGGAAAAGCAACATCTTCTGGCGCAGGAGTTCAGCACTAGCATGAACGAAACAAGAAACAACCCGAGTGCCAACTCTGGAACAAACAACGTGCAGAACCAGTTCGCGTCGGTAGTGGAGGGCAAGCTACTTCGCCTAGAAACCATGGTGTCTGAGTGTCTCGACGAAGTGGGCACTTTTAAGCAGCAGACCGTATCCAAGAAAAAAACTGTGTTAGTGTAGGTCTTTTGGGAAAACAGCATCACAATTTCGTCTGCCGTGACAGGAAAATCTTGTCATGCGCAGATAGGACGGGAAAACACGTAGGAAACGAGCCTATCATGCATGTGGAGCATGACAAGCGTAACTGTCTTGCATTTTCTGCATCACAGACTTACACTTACACAGTTTTTTTCTTGCATAGACCGTGGCCGCGATTCAATCTATCGAGCAGGGCATCGAACAAAACGCCGCCGGGCAGCAGGTACTTCGCTCGTTTCTCTTGAGGAGGGTTTCTACCCTTTTCTGTTCAAGGTCCAGGTCCTCCTGGGCTTCAAGTCGCTGTCTGTTTTTCTATCCACTTTAGTCTTGGAACTTGAGTTCCTAGTTGTGAAGTCCACGAACTCAAAACAGGAACGCCTTACGGAGGAACTAAACGCGGTCAATGAAGCCACGGAGGTCCAGCTAGCTGACGTGGTTCGGCGTGTAGGAGGGCAGGAACTGAGGGTGAGCGGGCTATTCAACGACATCGTGGACGCAAAGAAGAACCTCACTGAAAAAGCAGCGGCGCTGGACAAAAGCATTGAAAACCTAAAGACACAGGTAGGAAAAATTCCACTTTTGGTTGCGAATGTGCTGTGGAAAATTGAACTGCGGAATGAATGGGCCTCGCTTGAGGTATTTGCTGAGGTTTTGGCGGCTTATTTCCATCATTCAACCGAATTTTGGTACTCTCATCCAAACTTCTGCAGGATTTGCCGCAATTGGTGCAACAAGTGCAGTCGGAATTAGAGCGCAAGCAGGGGCACGCCAGCGCCAAGCTCGAGGCGCGAATAAACGCCCTCACGGAGCAGCAAAACACATTCGAGCACGCCGACTTGCTTCAGGAACTTCGTTGCGGGTTCGCCCACTGCGTCCGCCTCTCCCTGAAGCTCGCACAGCTGACCGGGCTGCTGCCGACTCTGGACAGCGTTGCTGAGGAGCTTTTGGATCAGCAGCAGAGCCACAATCAACAGCACCTCCCCGAGCTGCTGGACTACACGGAGTCGCTTGTCCCGAGAATGGAAAAGTTGTGGCGTCTGCGCCACCCGCATGCAAAAAACATTTTAGACGTGCTGGTGCGGAAGCTTGACGTGCGCGACGCCATGGCTCTGGTGGGATCGACCTGCAGCAACCAATTCTCTGACGAACACCAGGAGCAGAATATTCGAGGCTTGCAGCGGCCCACCCCTGCAAGCCCGCGCGGAGCAGAAGTGTTGCGCTTGGACGGGGCGGCCGCCCACGGGGGTTTTCACGGAGGAGGAGGCGCAAGCCGCTCTCCCGTCTATCGCGACTACCACCAGGAAGTGCAGCAGTATTACCAGGGTCAGGAGCCTTTTCACGGGAGCGGGGACCGTCGAAATGTTGGTCCGATGGGAGTCCGTGCGGCACCGCCCTCCTCCTCTTCGTGGACGAGACAGCAGGGGGAACGAGGGCCACATCCTACCATGCCACACAGACCACAAAGCAGCTGTGGGACGAGACAAAGTGCCCGGCTTCACAAAGTAGCAAATGAAAACTACCTGTCCTCGTCCTCTTCCCGCAGTCCCCGTCAAACACGAGCGAAGCAGCTGGTGCAGACCAACACCTTTGAATTACCGGACGAGATACAAGAAGATGGACTACACCAGTACTGCCGGACTCAACTACAGCAACATCAGCAAAACGCGAGCAAAGTGGGAGCTTCGTTAAACAGCGGGCATGGTGTCACAGGGGAGGTAACCGGTCTGCTAAAGAGGTTCCAGCCAACCAGCGGGACTATGTCAAAGCAGATCGGTATCGTCGACGAGTTGGGCGGAAGTGGTGTTTTTTCAGACACCGTAGGAGGTCTGACAGACTTGCAGCAGCAGCAGCAGCAGCCGCGCAGTAATCAAATTGAAACGTACGAAGAAAGGCAGCGACAAATAAAGAATTCAACCAGAGAAGATCTTTTTCAGCATCAAGATGTGATGGAGAACTTGCACGACGGAGGCTTCGGGCGGAAAGAATCAATTTGCAAGGTTGTTGAGCAACCGCCGTCCGCCGAGATTCTGGAGCTGCAGGAAAAGTTTTACCTCCGACCCCTGCAAGCAAGTAAGGAGAAAGTCGTTCTGGCGGGACACGGACAGATACACCAGCAGAAGAAAACGGGTACTAGTTCCTCAAGAGTAAAGGACAGCGATGAAAACTGGCGCTCTTCCGACTTCAAGAATGCGGAGAGAGACACTAGTACCGGTCTTGTCAACCTTGCGCGAGCACCAGGGGAACAGAACTTCGTCCTTGAGGACTCTGGTGCGCTTTGGAATGACATCTCATGCGCGCCATTTGCGAAGGAACGTGATCGTGAAGTCCGCATCTGGGAGAGCAAGCATTATCAGCAGCGCGGGGGCGACGAGCGGTATCGGGATTGCAGCAGTAAGAGCCAGGGAGAAGAAGTTCTTGATCGGGGCGTGGAGATCCAAAATCTTCGGATGCAAACGCGAGCGCACACCCGGGAGTTTATCGCGGTTCCGCCGACTTTGCTCTCCTCCGAATAGACAAAATGAAATGTACGTAGTTTTAGTTACTTATGCGAGCAAGGATCGGCCCATTCGTGAGTGCACATTTTTTTCGGATGACAATTTATTATGTATGATGTAGGGAAAAAAAAATAAACAACTTTCGCGTGATTTAAGTTTAACGATGGAGCTGGTGTATGATTTCTTTTCAGACGAGCACGGCCTCGACTACCAGGAGACTTCCAAATGCTCGAAACGTAGACTCGGCATCGCAGGCAGCATCTCTGCATTTGTGATAGCATTTTACTAAAAATATAGGCTACTGATACACATGACACACACGCCGAAACCATTGATCATTTTCGGGCAACATATTGTGTTCAAAGTTTCTACGATGTTGTTTGAGCCTTTTTAGCCCTAGGAGTTTTGGCCTTAGGAGGCGAAGGAAAACGAGGACGAAAAAGACTTTTTTTGTTCGGAAATTGCCGAAGTACCCCTCTTCGGTCGTTTTTTTTGTTATGTTTTGTCCCATGCACCCAGGAACAGGAAGGGGTAAGAGCTCGCCGTTCTAATCGCAATCTGATCGGGTTCGGTTTTCCAGGGAGCTGCTTGCGGACCTCAGAAAAAGCGGCCACGCTCGAACACCTTTACTATGTTTTTGCCGGCTTGGGGTAATTTCCATAGTTTCCCACCGTTTTTGTAGAAAAAGGCAGTTCCTTATTCGCCTTTTCTTTCATTTCAAGAACAGAAAAAAATACGGCAAGGAATCCATTTCCGATACATAGATAAGGCCAAAAAGACCCTGCGCTTCCCTTCTCTGCGCTCAACTAGTAAGAGCATTTACAAAAATTGAAATTTGTGATCAAAAGACGCAGAGCCAGAGGACTGCTTCTACCCTCACAATATAGTTTCAAGGAATGCCGCCCCAAGCTTTGCACTGTACGTAGACGTGTGCCCGCTATGATCCACAAATATGATCCACAAATCCAAAAAAGGCCCCTAGAGGGGGAGCGGGCCGGGGGTCATTTTTTTGTCTTCCTCGCTGACTGTAAAAAAGAGTATGTTCATGTTGCTCCGCGAGCTGTGCATTTGATTTTTCGTTAGAATGAAGAAAGAACCGCAACCGAAACAGAGCACCTAAACTGAATCCCCTAACATTTTTGATCGAAATCAGCACAAGGCAAGAAGATCGGTCGAGTGATTCAGATTCGGACTCGTACGGAAAACCCCAGCCCCGAGAGGCAAACTAGTAGCGGGCGCAACCAAAAAGCATCGCTGCACGCGCAATGCATGAGGTCCGGGCCGCATCTAGTTGCTTTCATTTGACGCCTCTCGTGAGTCGGCCACGAGCCTCAACAAATTTCCTGAAATAGACACCCACGCCACACAGGTCAAAATACACGATATCAGCAGGCATTTTCTCCCCATGCTTTACCCTCCACCCCACCTGGCTAAGCAGGTACTAATTTCCAGCTGGAAATTCTTTCCGGCTGCTAGTTTTTGCTAGTTTCTCGCCTATTTATAGTTTTTTTGTTGTGTTGCGATTTTTCGACCCCAGGTGTTCGCTTTTGAGTCTGTTTGGTTAAAATGGCTGAAGTCACGGTACCAGTGAGCAACCCTCCGGTCCCGCTCCGGGCCCGATCACCCGCGACCGCAGCACCGGGAAAGCGGCAGCGCTCGGAAGATGGCGAGGACACTGAAGCGAAGCGGCCTCGGCCCGGCTTGGAGGAGAGATTGCTGCCGGGCGGCTCCGGCTTTTTACTGTTGCCGGTGGGATTCACTGTGCGGAGTACCTTGGAAGGCCTCGAGGGCCCCCAGGAGTATGCCCATTTTGCTTTTTTTGCTTATATTGCCGGAGAGCCGCAGTGATATAAATCAATGACATGGGCCCGGCCCGGCCCCCGGCCATGCCCAGTTTGCTTTTTTTGCTTTCCGTGCCCGAGAGCCGCAGTGATATGAACCAACCCCAAAAACAACCCAAAAAACTTCCCAGGTTTATCCTTCGAGACGCCGGCGCGGACTCCTTGCGGGCCAAGTGCTGCAGTGTTGTCTACCTTTCTACGCCCGCCACGAAACTTCTCGGCCGGGGGGCCTTCGGTTGCGTCTATTTAGCTACGTCGAAGACGACGGGGAAGCTGTGCGCCCTGAAGGTTGCCCGCTCTGGACGCCCCCGGGACAAAGCAAAGCAAGAACAGGAGGCCGCGCTGCTGAACACCCTCCGGGCCAAGGCGCTAGCGGACCCACTGGCATCTGGGCGCGACCCCGCGGCGCCCTCGAGTACCTGCGTAGCGCTGCCGCAGGCGCCCTGTGCGTTCTTTGCGGGACACCTCTGCACGCCGTACGAGATCGGGGTCCTCGACCTGCGCCAGGCACTTGATTGCTACCGCCGCGAGGTCTGCGGGAAGGTGCCCGCCCCGCGGTCCCTAGATGAACGAATTGGGGTTGCGAAAAAGTGGGGTGGCAGCCTCTTTGCTTCGCGGCGACCCTCGAACCCGCATACTGCGCATTGGCAGTCGCACGGCCTGAGTTGGGATGTCGCGCAAGTGCTTGCGAGGCATATTTTTAGGGGATTGGCCTGGGTCCATTCGCATGGGTTTGCGCACATGGACCTAAAGCCCGAGAACATGTTGCTCTACACCGATGAAACCCGGCCCACGCCGGATTCCGCCCGGTCGCTACTGTCGAGCCCCGCGCAGGGCCTCTCCCTCAAGCTTTCCGACCTTGGGGAAATGTCGCCCACCTCGGAAGTGCACCCGCAAAAAGGCGCCGCCGATCCGCCCGCCCGCCGGACGCAGCGCATGACCTGGACTCACCGCGCTCCGGAATTCTTTTTGGGCTGCCCGGAGCCTTCAGAGAGCGCGGACATCTGGTCCGCAGGGCAGCTGGTCTACGAGCTTATCGCCGGCGTGGAGATGTTTCGCGACGACTTTGTTTTTGAGGGGATGCGACCCGCGCCGGCGCCTTTGGGGCAGGCACTACGGGAAATCGATTGCTGTGTGGATCCATCGCCGCCTGTTGCCGCCATGCACCTGGCGCGAATGCAAGCAGAGCTGGGGCCCCTCCCGGTGGAAATGGTGCGCGACGCCCGCCGAGACTTCCCCAAGCACGCAGGCACGTACTACGGCGCTGGCGGCCCTGCGGTGTTCCGCGTCCCAGGCGGAGAGCGGGGCCCTGTTGGTGGTCGGCTCTATGGTTCGGGCGCGGCGTTTCCCTTTAGCAAGCTCCAGCAGATTGCAGGAGTGCGTCAGGCCTTTCGGATGTTCTCCAACCTTGTCATCCCGGCGGCGAGGCCAGGGACGCTCGCGGCTGTGTCGAAAACGCCCGGGGCGCTCTCGTTTTCCGGGGCCAGCGCAGCAACCGCGTGCACCCTCAGCGACGGCTGGGACAGTGCAACGAGGTCACCCGGCTTCGATGTTTCCGTAGGCAGTGACTTCCTGCAGCATGCATGGTCAGAAGAAGTCGCACGGCGTGCAGACGCGGCAGAGACGCTAGTGAGAAGCTGCCTGGAGCTCATTCCAGGCCAGAGGCCCACTGCGCTAGCTGTGCTGCAAGAGAGCCATTTTTTTGAACTTTCCGGGAACATTGGTAGCAGTCGCAGCGGCAATAGCAAAAGCCAGCCCGCACAAACTCCGCGAGCCACCTCCACTGCGGGCCCCTAGTTCCCGGGCATGTTTCTCCAGCTGCCTGCCCACCGCGATTATTTCCAGCCCCGCCGTTCGGCAAATTTCGCCACACCGGTCACGCCTGCGCGCAGCAGCGAGCTCCCGCAGATTCACGACAAACGGACGAGGGCGGCGCGTTAGATTTGCTAGATTTGTTTCACGTCTCAACTCAACAATATTAGCGACAACAAGCGACATGATAGCAAGAATTACTTCTACAGCTCCACGGCCCCGGGGGTCTCGGGCCTATTCATTGCTCACAATGATAGATGGCAGCGAAAAAAATCCACGCCCCCGCGCTACGTGTTCCGCCGGTCGGATGTAATACGTGCGGGTGGCTTTGCGCTCTTGGGATGCCCTCCTGTTCTGCCTCCAGGCGTTATTTATTGCATGTGGTTCGGCTGGCTGCGGCAAAGCTGAGCAGTATCGTGCCATTGGTCACCCCCGTGGGGGTACGTAAGTAGCTCCTCCATGTTGCCTTTCAATTTTTGTAGTGCGCGGGCGCACTCCTTCGGTCGTCACTACTTTTTCTTACGTCATTACAGGCTGTTGATTTTTCCATATGTTCAAGTGGAACGGTTGCGCTGTTCCTTTCTGGGGCTTAATCTGTCTGTGTTTCTGTTTCGAGGTGCCAACTCCGAGAAGGCCGTCCAAGATTTGTTCATCAATTTGTGAAAATCATCTGTGTCAGAGTTGCAGCAGCTTCTGGGGATGTGTCTGCTCGTTCTGTGTAGTAACTGGATTCGGTGACAACTACATTCTATTAAGTAAGTCGCGTGATCGTTGTGCTGCTAATCAGCCAATAGTATGAATATGCTAGTAGTCCCCTGCAGATTTCGTAGCCATGGTGTCTCGGTCTTTGTTTTCAGCAATATTGTTTCAAACCGCGTCAATCCATCACACATTGCTTTCCAATTTTGCATCTATCTGTACTTAAAAAAAATGAAGACTTGCTTGTTGTGCAACTTTTTATAGACTATGAGCGTGTGACTGTGACAGATACAGATTGCGTCAGCTAGTGTTAGACAATATTCGTCAAAAAAAGCCTAAGTGATTCTTCTTTTTTTTTCAATTTCCGTCACCAGGCAAACGCAAAACCAAAAGTAAAGTAATGCAGCTTGCCGTCCAGCCACGCGCTGGTCGCCCGCCTCAGCGACCGCAATCGGCGTCGGATCCATGGCGGGAGCACACATTGGAACTGCAAAATGCGCTGTGTGCAGATATCCAGCAACTTTTGAGCATGTACAATCTAGGAAAGGATGATCTCTGGGCAGGCTACGACGAGGTGCAGCGGCTGGGACTGCATCAAAACTTGCACAATTTGGTATAACACAGCGATTTTTGTTCTTGTTCTCCTCGTTCTTGCATTGAATTTCGATTTCCGACACAAAGAGAACCACATCTTCAGCCGCGAAGTGCAACCCCCAGCGGGTGGCATTGTTGATGTGGCCATGATTTGTTTCGAGAGGACAGAAGACATTTTAGTGCTATCCATCGATCCGCACTCGCACACAAAGGTGATGCAACTGCAATCTTGGGACGAGACGTGGTCGACGATGATCAATGTGTCCGAGGAGATCCTGCAGGCGCAGAAAAAGTGGAACATTTCCAATCTCACCGCGGCGCACATCACCTTCAATCTCTACGCGGGTGGACCGATCCAGATTGTCGATTTGAAGAAGCAGAACTCGTCGTGCGCAGCAGAGCCAGGGGCGTCGTCGTGTGACCACGACCCACTCTCGAGCACCACCTCGACTGCGTCGACTATGACCGGAACCAGCAGCCTCAGTAGCAGCAGTTCTTCCAAGGGAAGCAATCCCGACCGGAGCCGGAGTTTTAGCAACGTCGCCTCCTCGACGGGGGAGGCTTCCAGCGCCGCAACGTCCCCCACGGGCTCGGACGCTGGGAGCTGCAGCGACCCTGCGCAGCACGGGGAGACCGGCGGGTCCAGCTCTAGCAAGTCTACTTCCTCCACCTCTTCTTCGCAGCCATCGATCGTGGCCGGATTGGAGCAGGTTTCCAAGCAGGTCACGGCCCTGCACGAGAACCACTACCCACCCGTTACCATGATGAACCATTCCGTTGCGCTCGTCCGGCAACTTCGTTCTACGCTGGCGAAGTTCCACCACACCAGGTGGCGGGCTCTGATGAAACAGCGCGACAGCTCGGAAGACACGTTGGCCAGGGAAAAGCACGAGTACGACAAATTTTTGAAGGAGTCCGAATTGAACGACGAGGAGATTGGAAAATCCGCGTTGAAATCGGCCCCGTGGCTCATGTTAGGTGTGTTCGGAGCAGCGAAGGTACATTCTTGTCATCATGCAAAAGCCCAGAATTCTCATCGGCTCTGCGATAAGATTTCCGGGGGATACGAATAAGCACCGTCGTTTTGCTCCTAACTATTTCTTGTCGCGCTCGCGCGCTTGCACTGAATTGTTTTGCATCATTCAACTAATATTTCACGAGGAAATGTAAACGCATCAAACAGATTGCTTCCGACGTGTACGGGAAGTATTCCACCCGGCGAAAGGAGTACGAGCGTGTGGAAAAGGCGGAAGAGCTGCTGAAAGTGCACGAGAAGGAACTGCAGCTCCTCGAAGCGACCACAAAGAAGATTGACGACCAGGCGAACGCCATCGGGGAGAAGATGTGGTGCTACGCGGGCTGGTGGGGCTTCGTGGTGAACGACTGGGAGCAGTTCAACCGCGCCTTTCTCTGCTTCAACCAAACCGTCCGGGCGGCCGCCGGGGATTCGTCCCGCAAGCAGGCGTTCCAGACCTTGGACGCGAAAAAACTGAAGAAGATGGAGCACACGTGGCTCGGCGGGCCCGAAAAACTGGCGGAAATTTTGCGCAAACAGCAGCAGGCAAAGGAAGAGGTGTTTGCAGAAAATCCCACTTCCTTCGCCGAGCACGAAATCGACGACCAGAGTGTGTCCATCGACGAAACCATCGACTTCGAAGAGGTGCAGGCAGCGAAGGCGGGGAAAAAAACGCTCGAAGAAGCCATCGGCAGCCACCTGCTTCACTTGCAGCGACAGCTCTACATGCTGGTCGAGACGGCGGAACGGTTCTACCTGAATCGAACCAAGGTGCGCTGATCTGCCACTGCGCGATTACTTACGGAAGTGGTTGGTACTTTTGCACTCTGTCGACGTTGTGATTTGTCTGTGTTCACTTCTATAGGTCAACTTGCACCAATTTTGTTTTTCAGCGCCAAGCTTTTACTTGGCGTCTACAGTATCTTTCTAGGAGAAACCCCGGTCAACAACATCATCTGTTTTTTTTTTTTTCGTGTGCTTGCGCATGTGGATGTGCATTTGATTTTGAACAAGCAACATTCATTGATTCGTTCGGACTCCAACGAATCAATCAGATTGGCACAGCATCAACACATAGATGAAGTGGCGTTTTACTTCTTGTCAAGAATTTCAAATATTTTCCGCACAAAATATATGTGCAACTGCACACTTCTGCAGTCTTCACTACTTCTTCTTCTGACACTGTAGAGAGTATTGGAACGCAACTTACAGTAGGGTCGTCCTCTTTGACATGTTGTACACATCACACTCGAGAGTCTCGTACGTTTTTTAGAAGAATAAAGAACACTATACAATTTTCGATAGCTCTCACTCTTCGGACGGTGGCGGTGCCCTACCCGTTGTCATTTTTTTTTTGAAGAGAAACATTTTCCGAGTATGTAAACATTGCGCTTTTGATTAGCGCCGGTGTTTTATTACAGTTTTCTTCCATGTTGAGCACGACCACGAGGACGAACATACAGATTGATTGACTTTGACAATAAAGGATTTGACACGACAGCTGATTTGCTTTTGTTTGAAGACAAGATATGCTGAGTTTGTGTCCTCTAGAAACCGAAAGTGACGATTTATCGCTTCATATCCGTACACTGCCGGTGTCTCTTGAAATAGAGCAAGATCTTCAGAAAATTGTCGTAATCGTAAACACGAAGTAGATCATCGCGCGTTGACCAGATCTGATCCAGAACTGATCCGAATGCAAAGGCTGAGACGAGAGAAGCGAGCGCAAGAGACCTAGACGAGCTCCTCAATTGCAACGCCTAAGATCCACAAATAACGATCCCGAGGCAGGCTGAAGAACTGAAGGCGAAACAGACACTTGCGATCGAATGCTACTTGATCTGTTGCCAACTGTGCGATCTTTCATCGTTGTTCAAGCTCGGAAGAATACTAGAATTTGTGCCAACATTTCAGCTGTGAATTTCATACAAACCAGGCGTATGGTGTAGCGAGAGTTAGTAAGAATTTGCTTCATTTTGCAAAGTCGAATTGGGATGCATACATGATTCTATGAGTCATATCATGTCTTATGGCGGTGAGTATTCTTTATCCTTTCTGCATAGCGCAAGACTCTAAAAACCAAACGCAAAGACACGCACCTCAAGATTGCATCCGAAAAGGCGAACCAATAATCCCACCCGCATATTGATATTTTTCGCACAGAAAATAAAGGATGAATTGGGCGAACAATCCGATCCGACACCGCTTCCGGCGGATGCGCGTACTCACCGACGAGATTGCCATGACGGTGGACGAGGCCGCGACGGAACTTGAACAATGGTGCCGCAGCCACCCCGACGCCACGCAGACCGGGGATATCGAAAATTTGTACCGCGCCCTGCAGGAAGACGAGGGGTGGCGGGAGCTGGGCGCGGAAGAGGGGTACTTTTCCCGCAGTCGCATCACAGTGGAGGTCGCGCTGATGCCGAGCGCGCTTGGGCGCATGGACGAAGCATTGGACTTACTGCTGCGTCAACTCCTGCTTCACTACTTCCCGGAATGCCAGGGGTACCTCCTCTCTTTTACCGGCGCGGAGAAGGCGGTGGGCACGGGTTTCTCCCACACCTCGCTCGGGTTCATCCACACGCGAGTAACCTTCAACGCAATCATTTTCAACCCCTTCTGTGACCCGAAGAAGTTCTTTCCCGGCCGCGTGATCACCTGTAAGGAGAATTTCGTCCTAGTGCGGTGTATGGATTTTTTCACGGTCAAGTTCCCCGCCAAGATGCTGCAGGAGCACCAACTTGTCTACGTAAAGGACCCCATTTGCCGCTACTGGGTGATGAAGGACGTCGACAGGAAACAGGCGGTGAAGAACCAAAATTTGATCAACCAACACGGAGTGACAGTGTCCGCGCCGAAAAACAGTATGGCGCTTAAGCCGATTTTGGCGGACGAATTGGACGAAAACGACGAGGAACTCCAAATGGAATCCGCAGGAGATTACAACTCAACCAGCAAGGTGCCATTGAGTCAGGAAAAGCGACAGGAGCTTTTGGCGTATATGAACACGAAAGCGCTGATTCCGGAGCAGACAAGAGTGAAGTTCAAGATTGAGCCGCACTCTAACGGGGAACCGGGGAGCGACGCGCAGGTTGAGGTAGCAAGGACCAACGTGATCGCAAAGGTGTTTCAATTCGCGGAGGGCGGGAAGCTGAAGAGAAAAAGAAAAAACAGGGAAGGTGCGGACGTTCCTGGGACAGAACAAGGTGTAGCTGCTGATGCTGGTGGAGTAGAGAAGGAAGAACCACAGAGCATTGCACCGGACGTGGCGTCGTCCGCAGAGAAGAAAAAGAAGAAAAAGCGAGATCGGAAAGACGCGGAAGACGAAGACGAAGTGCTGGAGTCGGTCGATCAAGTTTTAGGAGCACTTGAAAATGAACTGGGCGGCGCGAAAAAAAAGAAAAAGAAAAAGCGAGCCGAAGATCATGAGAGCGAGCGCATCGGCGGTGCATGAGAGTAGAGCAGACGAGAACAAGTAGACCTTTACAGCGACTGAAGGAATTAGCTCTCACTACACGAACCTCCGAACGCGAGTTTCTCGTTTTTTCACTTTTTTACCTATCTGCAAAATTACCTGGCGCAATCATTTTGGCTGCTACAATTTGCTTAGCCATTCCGACGCAAGTGACATGGTTGCTGTTGTTCTGAAGCGCCACTCAAAAGGCACCATGTGCAGCTGCGAGTTAGATGAGATCGTATGAAACGTAGTCGCAGCTGCAGTAGCCTTGCAGCTCCCGCTTTTAAAGTAACACAAAAACAATCGGTGAAAAAAGACGATATATAGTTGTTTTCTTCGGTTGCTCGTACTGCAGAGGTACAGGTCGTACTCAAAACAACGGCTCATGATCGGTCTGCGCTTGTAACGTCCATTTCATAAATCCAATGCCATTTTCACTCTCGGTTCGTGCGCCCTTGAAAGAAAAATCGGCTTGTCTGACATTTGGAATTTGTTTCCGTTTCGTTCGTTCTGATCTTTGTCGTGCGAGAAGTCGTGCATTATGAATCGAGATTGGTATCTCCGTTACCGTTTTACCGAAATCAAAATCTCCCACCAGGATTCTTAGTTCATTGACATTCATTACTACTCCAGCCTTATTCGTGTCATCCCTCCCCCAAGCTACCAGCCATGCATCCATGCTGTAAGTCGTGTTCCCAATGTAGTTTTTGAAGTTTCTGAGTTTCCAGCCACGACATATCAGCGCCCTACCCTTCCCCTAAAAACTCTGTCACTTGATTCCGGGTTTCACCTTCTCGTTGCTCCCCCCGATGGGAAAATCCGAGGTGGCGAGGGCCTCGGTCGCTTGTGCCGTTGGTGCATTTAGAATCGCGTTGTGGACCTAGTGCCATCAAGCCAGGCCTTTGCTTGCTGGAAGATCGCTGGATCGAGTACGACGTGAGGAAGCTTCGTATATCAGTCAATCCAGCGAAGAACAAGGTCATCCTCGATAATGGATGGAAGACCTCCCTCCAAGAGATCCAGTGGACTGGTAGTGCACCGCGAAGGCAAGCAGTTTCATTCCGTAAAGGAGTTGTGCGAAGACTGGGCGGGATTATGCGAGCAGATCGCCAATCACCCACTGGCGGTCGTTCGCGTTTACGAACTTGTGGACGCTGACGCGGGGATTCTGTTGGCCGAATGCGGCGCAGGTGCACTAGGTTCTCTTGCACCGCTGCCAGAAGCGGCACGAGGAGAGGATCCTGCGCTTGAGTCGCTCCGAAACTCCCAGATCGAGGACGTGATCGCCCAGAGATTGGAAAAGCGCAGCAGCCGAAACGCCAACGCAGAGGATGAGGAGCATTTGCATCCCCACCCTTTGGGGGGGCATACGAAGAAAGTAACGCGGCGGCATTCGGTGGGGTCCTCCAGTCACATCGTCGCTGCAGCTGGTGGAGTTGCTCAGAGCAGCGCTTCGCGCATCAATGCTCAGGGTAACCAGCAGAACTACGCGAAAGCCATATCGGCTGAGATTGCTTCCGAAGACGAGCGCTTGGAGCGGCACCGCCAGCAAGTGCTGGGATTTGGTGGAACAAATGAGCCGAGGTTTTCCAAAAACGCGGAAAACAAGCGGCGAATGCTCTTCCAGCCCAGTTCGAGAAGTAGCAAAAATTCAGCCACCTCCGCTGTAGACCACGTAATCCAGTTGGACGCACGCGCGGCGCATGCCTGGCACACGGCGAAAATTTTGCACGAGGCGGACCCAATCTGTCGTTACGCCCGGGCGCTGAACCGGGAGGAACGCCGAAGGTTTTACTCACGAGCGGGTGAATCAGCTGGAAATGTGCAGAATGTGCTTGCGGACGCGGTGCAGCATTATCTTCCGAACAAGGCGTTGCGATTCGATCCGTTGACCATTCGGGCCCACTCGGCGCGGCTCCACGAGGCTGCTGACGCGCCAGCGCTAAGGGAGCAGCACGACGACTTCCATTACTACGCCGATGAAGAGGTCGCTGCTACAGATAATACGAATAGAGCGGACGTGAAGAGAAGCTCCGAAGCCATGCTGTCGCACGCCAAGGACAAGGACCGGCTGGCCGGCATTGATATGCTGCATACGGCAGTGTATCGGGCGTCCGTGGTGGCCGCCGCGCGTCTTCGATCGGAATCCCACGATGGAACGCGCTCGTCTGCGGGTACCACTGAACTAGAGCGCCAGGAAAGCTCCGCCGAGCCGACCGCCCGTGATACGACGAGTCAACGCTCGCCCCGAGGGCAGAGAGGTCTGCAGAAGGCCTGGGACCAGGTGCAGAAGCGGAGATTGCTGGTCCGCACCACGCTTCGCATGGTGGGCAGCAGAGACACCTTCGACTTTCGGGACTACTTTAGCGGACAGTCCGTGACCACCCGTAAGTCCGGGGTTTTGGCCGCACCGAAGGCAGCGGAACCGCGACGGATATCCCAAAGCGATCGCATGCTCTGCACGGCGGCGAACGATCCGTGGTTTCAGTTTGGCCTGCAAGCGCTGGCCGCTAACGAGCCCGTATTGGAGTCCACACGGATGGCCTTTCCCTTGAAGACGCCACCCGCACGCAAGGCGTTCACCAGTTTGGCCGCCATGGGCATGGTAGTGATATCTACAACTGACGGCTTGTCGCTCGAGGCGTACGCAAGAAAATTCCTCGGTGACGCAGCTACATCAGTAGATCCAAGAACTTCGGCGTTGTCGTCTCGCGAGCGAATGAAGGAACTGGAGATTGACGTCGACCGTTGCGTGGATTCCTTGTGGGCCATGACCAAAAGTCTGTCGCAGGAGTGGGATGCCTGGAACGCGCGGAGAGCCAAACGCGTGTTGGAGGGCGTGACCTTTGCCATGATCCACGCGCTAGAGGAAGTGACCACGCACGAGGGTAGAGCATATCACGATGACATTCTACCGGTCATCTGTTCGGTGGCGAAGGAGCTTGTGGGCTGTGAGCGCGTCGCCTTTTGGGCTCACGATCCGCAAACGCACCAGCTGTACCTGAAAGAGCAGACGGGCGGGGCGCTCATGCGCGGGACACGGATCAGCGAGAACGCGGGGATGCTTGGCGAATGCATGCGGGCGCACGCGCCCATCACTCTGGCGCAGAACGCAAATGCACACCCGGGTTACAACCCGTACACAGATGCAGGCGGGGAGCTCGTGAAAATCGGTGGCACAGTGTTTCATCGTGGAAATACAGTCGAAAATATGATCACGGTGCCCATTTTCGAATACGATTTATTGTCCTCGGGAGATGCGTACATGATTGGCCAAATCGACCAGGGACAGGACGCGGTGCTTCGGGGCGCGCTGAACCAAGCGAATGCAACCCAGCCAGGCCGCAGAAAGACCGGCGGTCGGAGAACCACTGCGACGTCTTTGGCGGGTCGTCTTGACTCGAAAGAAGTGGGAGGTGGCGAGGACGCATCTTCCAGCGCGTTCGTGCACTCTGCCTTTCGACCGACGTCCGTAAACGTGGCCCGCCGGCGTCGCACCGAAAAAGTAAAGGGCGAAGACTTCACCAGTTTCCGAAAACGAGTCACAACAGAAGCACTTGAGGACGTGCTAGCGGTGCAGAGACGACCAACCGTCTTGATCGTTGACTGGTTCAAGGTATCAAATGCAAAAATGTCTGGGTCTGGAAACTTGTGATGCTAAAAGTGAATGGTAGACGGACTGCAATACGCAGCTATGCATGATAAGTTTTTTGGCTCCCATGTCTTACGTATTCCGCATGGCAAACTGCGTTTTTGCATGACAGTTCAGAGGGCCTTTTCGTGCCTATGCAACACAGATTCTCAAGTCATGCCAGACAAGCATGACAAACTTGCATTCTTCCAGACCCAGACATTTTTACAATTGATACAAGGGCGACGAATCCCGGGGCGGCGGCACCACCACAGCGGCGTTGACCGATGCCAACGTCCAGGGTTGCCGACAACAAATCCAGCTCTCGGACCAGACGGTATTGTTATTTTGTGGCTTTATTCTAGAAAGACATCCGGTTCCGAAAGCGTGACACGCCTGTGCAAAGATATTTCAATTTCGCGGAAGCATCGTTCTGGATCAGAACCAAATTCAAATCTACTACCCTGCAGATTTGCGGCAAGTGGCTGGTTGTGTACGTGGTTCTACCCCTGATTTTGTGTTGCTGCGTCTGCTGCTGTGCGATTGGGGTTTCTTACGTGATCCGGCAGAACCGACATGTCGCGGAAGATCCCGAGCCCTATTTCGAAGACGACCAGGGGTTTGGCCCCGAGGGCATGTACAACAACTACGGTGCGGCAAGCATGCCGCCGGGGCCCCAGAAAGTCGTCATTACTTCTGCGCCGGTGGTGGTCACGAAGAACGTTTCTCCCGCAGACGTGTAAAAAGGAGATTGCGGGTCAAATTGTTTCGTTCGTCTTTGTTCATTCAGATGTATGCCGAGCAAGATCATTTTCCCTAGACGGAATCAGCTTCATTCATGTTTCAATTTGGCTTTTATCCTTTTGATTTAGTTTCACAGACAGAACATATCAAAACCTACTTACAGATTTCGAGTTTGTTACGTGGTCTTGCCCAAATTAATGTACAGTACCGTTTTTCTTGAAAAAGCTACACAGAAGTTGACGATCACGATACAACACCTGTACTTTAGCAGTTGCAGTTTTGGAATGTGGAAAGTAACAATTGCATGATATGTAAGAGACCTATCTACGACGATCCAGCTCTTTACCGTGACAAGAGAAAACCGAAAAACATAGGCTGAAATGTATACACGAAAGAATGCCAATGAATCGCAGAGCCCAACTTGCGGTCGCGGCGCATCCAGTTTCTGGCTTCATGCATTCCGAGCACTACTGCTTTTCTTGAGTACATCGGTATGTACTAGAGCCTTTTTGTTTTACGATAGCAAGCTACGTACGGAAGGGAAATTTTTTGCTTCTCCGAAAAATTGTTCATAAATCTCTGACTCCGTACTTGCCGCTGATGAAGCAACATTCGCTTACCACACCGAGCGCGAGGAAAACATCGCTTGGGGACCACATGAGAAAACACTTGATGTACTATATTTTTTGACATTCAGATTTATTGCGAAGCATGTCGCGGTCTCCGTTTTGTCCTCGCTCCGGAAGAAGAAATCCGACACGAGGCTTTCATTTTTGCTCGAATTCTTCTCTTCTCCTCGCGTACAACTCCCTTCTGCGGCTGCTCTTTTTTCCGTCATCAAATGTCGTGCCGGTCTTTCCAGTATTGTTGAGGAAGAGCAACTACGCGCAGATCGATTGGATCTCGGCGAGCGACTATGAGCTGGGGCTGGAGGGGGGAATTCCCGAGGTCATCATGGAAGACTTTGCGGCGGCAGAGCAGGTGCGCCGAGTTCAGGGCCGGGAGAGCGTTTGGGGCGACCGGCTGACACCCACGGAGCGGACGCACTTTGTGCCTTTTTTGCCCCAGCACGGCCGCACCGGCGCGCGACGCCAGGACATGGAGGCGCTAACGCAACGCATGCGCAACGTGCAGGACTACCGGCGGAGATTGATCTTCTCCGGCAGCTACGCGGTTTTGTCCAACCACGATCGGGCGACCCCGGTCGTCGTTTTTGACAAGACCCGCCGGGTCGCGCTGCCGTGGGAGCAGTTTGTCGGCGAGTTTTCCCGGCACCTGGCGGAGGAGTTTGGATCCGTGCAGTTTTACGTGGGCACCGGCCGCGACCGCGACCCCAGTCGCCCGGTCGCGCTTGACTTGACCTACTCCTGCACCTCCACCGTGACAGCGCTGCGTCACGCGGACGCGGGCGACGGCACGACGCTGAAGCTGGGCGGCGAGCTGCTGGTCCAGGTGGAGCACAACAGTGCGCACGGTAGTGGTGCTATCACCGCCAGCATGGCTTTTGTCGAGGTGAACAACGTGCGCGTAGTCGGTCGCACCGTGGGCGTTTTGCAGTCCATGCTAGGCGGGCAAAATGCGTTCGGTGCGGATCGCATTCCAAGCCCGTCAAACATTATCAATCCAAATCCGATGATCACGAAAACCGTGACAATCCAGAACGTGCGGCCTTTCTACTGGCACCAGCAGGTGGCGCGGGGAAACCTGTACAGCCTCGCGAACTGTTTCAACGCGGTTTCCCCCGCTGGCGCGTACCACGCGGGGCTGGAGATGCGGTCGGTCCCGTTCGGGCAACTGAACAACCCAAACGAGGAGCGGGACCAGAGTGCCTCCTATCTCCACGCGCTCGGCGTGTACACAAACGCACTAGAAGAGCAGAAAATGGGGCTTTTCCGGCTCACGAGTAGCCCGGAGCAGCAGCAACGTCGGAACTCATTCGAACATTTCGGGAAACGCGCACGGGACTTTTCCGACTATCCCTTGCTGTGGGCCCCCATGGCTTTGCCCATGGGCACGATCGACAGAAACGAGGTCTGCACCTGGAATTGCGTGAGTGCTCGCAAAGCGCGGCCGCAGGCCGTCCGTTACACCTACGACGATCAGCAGGAGCGGATGCCGTGGCGCACGACGGCGAGCCAGCTCTTCAAAAGCGCTGGTCGGGGGTACTACAACGCGCAGCATGTCGTCGGCGAAATGGGCACTGTTCTCAGTAACGGGCCGGCGAATACGGACGCGATCTTCAACCTCCGGGACCAAATTTTCGCGGAGTACGATTTCTCGGTCAAAAATGTGCTGCAGATGAGCGAACCCAAGGTCAGCTCCAGTGCGTATGCCGAAATGTTCAAGAAATCCATCTACTTCGGGTACACTTTTCTTTCGAAGGCGGAGTTGCACCACTTGCTCGACATTGTGAATGCGTCAGAACTTTGGAGCGGCTACAATTTGCTGCAGAAGAACTGCTGCCACTTTGTCGCCTTCATGGCGGAGCAAGTGCTGGGTACCGAGTACGGGCTTCCTTACCGGCACTACTTGCTCGGGGAGTGTGGAAATTACGTCCTACCCTACTGCTGCGCAGGACAGGGATTCGAAAAGACCCATTCCCGACGCGCTCGGAGTACATGCTGCTAAGGGGGGGGCCGATCTCGGCAATTTTTGTCTGATACCGGTACGTAGGTTTCTTTTGTTTTATTCATACAAACCTCAGCACATTTTTTTGAGCGATCGATTTGTTTCCTTTCTTATTCATCGTTTTCGCTGGGAGTTCGAGTTGGAAACAAATGAAAAAACTCCAGTTTACGCACGAAAATGTCCTGCTGCTTCTATCTTCGTTTGATCTATCATCATCCGCATGCCGTTTCTGTTTCGCTCCTGCCTGTCAAAATGAACAGCCTCTAGCAGACAAGAATAAAGACTCGCTACGGGTTGGTGTGCCCTGAAAGAATACTTCTGTATGGATACGAGAAGATGCTACGCAGATTCGTTACACATACGCTCCATTTTCGCGGACCATTATCTGCCTCGCGATTTTTGTAATCGAATTGGGGTGTTTGACCCCGTCACGTGGCGCAAAGGCAAGACTTATGAATGACGCGAAGCAGAACTAAAACTTTTGCGTACTAAACTAACTTTGTTTCTACTTGAGCACGCTCTGTTATATCCATGTCTGTCAAACCAAAATCGAACAAAAGATTGATCGTGCATTTTAGAAAAAGAAGAAAAGCATCTTTTTCTGTTCGTTGTCTCGAGCCAAGGAGAAGCACTCCATCAATGAAACAGAAGTAGAAGTTTGAAGAAACGTATTCTGATTCATTGCGTTGAAGCAATGTGCTGCTGCTTTTGCATTGCTGGCGACACTAGCTGGCCTGATGCTGTTTCTCGAAAGAAGTGAATGCAAAAGGAAATTCCGATGGCTGTTGCAGCTCGAAAGGTGAAGGAGGAAGCGCACACAGATCGATAAAGCATTGCCGCAGGCACTGTTCTGGAAAATGAAATCAAAGAAAGAGTAGGACAGCGAAAAAATGGGTCTTACTTACCTAGAAGATGTGATGAAGGAGCAATTTCTATTTCGGTCGCGTCTGTGATTGTGAACGAACAAAAGAATTGTCACGATATGCATATCTATTGGATCTCTCTTCTGCCGCTGTTATTCTATTCTTTCGTCAACATCGTGCCCGTGTCCGCCACGCATCCATAGAAGGTGTTGCTCTCGTCGTTCCACTCACTCTTATGCAAGATCCTTTCTGGCCGCAGTGTGAAACGCAAACGTCGAGGTCGACCCCCTACATTTTTAAGTATTCCATTAGTTACTTTTCAGTCTAACATCGATTTTCATTTTGCTCAGGAACAGGATTATTTTGTTCAAGATCTAGGAAAAAACATATCATGTCCGCTAGCGCTGAAATTCTGCATACGGACCCCTCCGTTCTCGAAATGGTTGCAAGATGGAAGACGGACGGGGACGCCCCTGACTTGGAAGAGTACGACAAGCCTATCAGTGACGAAAACTGGCTGGATCCTGGCCGCGTGGCGCGGCGGTGGTTCTTCTTTCCGAGCGAGAGGAAGCTACGCGGACTGGTGTATTACTTCCGAAATACCGAGGGTCCGCGCGCGGTGGTTCACGGTGGCTGCATTGCGACGGTGTTGGATGTGGGCATGGCGCGGTGCGTGAACAAAGTGAGCAACAGCGAGCGGTGCGTCACTGCGAATTTGAGTGTGAACTACAAGAAGCCCGTGCCGTGTGAGTCGTTCGTGCTGCTCGAAGCACAGTTGGGCGACATTCCGAATGTTTCCAGAGAGGAACAAGGGTCGCGCGAGGACCCAGGAAGTGCCGCCACGGAACTGACATACAAGTACAACACAAACTGCAAAGTAACTTCATTAGATGGCACAGTTCTATTCAATACTGGCAGCGCGCTTTTTGTGGACTTAGCTGCGCGGGAAAAAATGCACAGTTCGTCAGGGAAAGGGATAGCAAGTTGATCAGAATGCGGCGAGCCTCAAGAAGTGAAACAGTTCTGATGTGCTATGGCTTGTCAAACATAGGAGAATGAAGAATGTTTGCAAACGTGTTCGGTGATGCATGCTGTAAAAAGCGTGCTTGTTCCTTTCAACGTGGCACGTCAACACGATCAATTCTGTGTGCATGGAGAGCCTGTCAATCTCAATGCTTATGTTTTTCAGATGTAAGAAGATCAGATACTTACATCCACCACTACTGTGTTGGACAGTGACGTGAGCCCTTGTCCCCGGTGCGTGGTATGACCTACTCTCCGCGTGGGCGTGGTCCAGCAACACCACAGATGGTTTTTCGTTCTCTTTTTTTCTTTTTCATCTTGATGAGTACTAGGGGCGAGCACACAGAACAGATACATGTTGTTATTTTCATTTCTCCCAACACGGAAGGAAGCTCGTTTCGATGTTTTGTTTTCGTTCAGTCGTTACACTCGAACTTTATTGTTTCATTGGAAACGGCTTAAGTAGCACGTGTGAGTAACTTCTGTTGCAAAATGAAGATAAAGCGTGACATGGGCACCCCAGGGTTAACCCTATTTTTGCTGCTTTATTTCGCATTACATGCACCCTGTCCTCTTGCCAGCTTGCTGAGGGCTCGTTGGGGCAGTTTACCGCTTTCAACTCCCGTGCGGAACGAACGCACAGCTGCGGTAGAGCCTGACAATGAAGAAACGAAAACATCATCGCAACAGCGCCTGCTGTTCGCATCTGCGCTGGGTGTCGTACGCGAGCAAGGGTTTTTTTCCGATACGTGCTCGGTGTCGGATACGAACGAACACTACCGGAACCGCTTGCGCGCCAGCTGTCCGAAGGTAAAATGTTATTTGGACGACGCGGCGCAGTCCGTGCGGATTTTCTGGGGCGCCCGAAGCCCGTCGATGTTGAAAGCCATATTCAGCACTCGTCCCGCAGGGATGAAGCGCACTGCATCCAAGGCAAGCACGTTGTCTTCGCATCTCTCATGTGCCGATGGTTGCGATTCCGCGCAGCAGCGCTGCACTCGATGCGGCTCTAAATCCCGCTGTCGGGGGGGCTCAACATTTGCGACGACAAGTGGAGCGTCTTCTTCCTCATCGGCTGCACCGGTCAGCCAACCAGAAGGTCGAGAAGTATGCAGTAATTGTGCAGTTTCGGGCCACGCCTGCGAGGATGATCAAGGTACAGAAGCGTGTTCGTCAAACGACGCCAGCACGGCCGATGTGCAGTACAGCCGACTCGAGGAGAAAGAACACAACCTGAACAGCAGTGCCGAGAGCTCCTTCGGTAAAGCATCGACCTCGAAAGTCCACCAGCAGTGGGAGAATAGGCACAGCTTTTTATGAATTGCAAAAGTATCGTACATACTCGTATAAATGCATTACAAATTTCCTCAGCATGAAAAATAAGATTTGTAATGCTAATTTGCGTTAAGAACAGGATTTGTAATGCATGATTACAATACGAGTACGATACTTTTGCACAGGATACTTTTTCAACGAGGACGACGTTTTCCCCCGACTGAGCTGCGCGGATTCTTGCTTCCAATGGCACCGGCACGACTACGCCAGCGTGCTGGCGCGCGCACGGTGCCCCACGTCTCTGTCCCGTTTCCTGTACGAGCGCGTGCCGCGGCACGTCATCGAGTTGTACATAAACTGCCAAGATTGGGTGGGTCCCTTTGCGGACGCAGAAGTGGAATTGGACTTTGTGGCATCGCTTTTGCCGAACCTGAGACGTTTGACGCTAGTACACTGTACTGCGATTCTACCCAAAATCGAGGCTGGTGGAGGTCACGATCATGTCGTCCCAAGCGACGCGAGTAAGCGTAGCGGCTTCTTTCCGACACTGCTTTTTCCCAAGCTGCAGAAGCTCAGTCTGAAGAATGTTGGTCTGTTGTTTTCTTCGCGTGATGCTGCAGCTGGAAAAGTTGAAGTTCCCCGGGAAAGGAGGGCAGGGGGTATGATGAACGACGATGTCATCTCGTCCTCAGCTTCGAATGAAAGAGAGAAACATCATCACCAGGAACTGCTCCAAAGCTTGAACAGTAACCCGCGGTTCCTCCCGGACCGGCTGCAGCAACTTTTTCCGCCGCAACTGGAACACCTGGAAATTTTTCTGGTCAGCATCCAGCGCATGGGCATGAGGCCCATCCCGCTCGAAAGGGCGAAGCTCCGCTTCGAAGGGCCCGTTTATAGTTCGGCAGTAGGTCGTGGTTGTGGTACTTCTACAAGACGATCTGTTGCAACTCTCGTATCCGCTCTACACAAAGTCGAGTTGCCACACCTGAACTTCCTGAAGTTTTCGACCAACTCGGGCGCGGAAGGCTTTGTGAACTCGGAAAGAATGCCGAATTTGGTCACCCTGCACCTGCACACGGTTGATGACTACTCGCTGCGGTTTTTGAAATCGTTTGCGCACCTGAGCGAACTTCGTGTCAGCATTACGGGCTCTTTAAGCAGTGATGCACGCCGGGAGGAGATGGGTCCGACACTGCGTACGGATTTTTCGCCGAACAGCCCGTTGTTGACGCACATGTGGCAAGACCCGAACACAATAAACGTCCCAGCCGTGGAGGAGGTGGAGGACCACGGCCTTCGTTTGCTTGAGGAACAAGACCTACGCGTCCATGACGCATGCGGTCCTCGGGATGCTGATGAAGATCGTCTCTTGGTCGTCCCAGAGACTCAGCTGAACTACCTCGCGCCTTCGGGTAAAATCGGGTCCTTCTACAACGCCGGCGCACATTTTTTGAATCTCGCCGATGGTCGCGGCCCGCAGGTTTTCGCATCAGAAGAAGAGCAGGCATCGGATAATGAAAGTAGGGACGAGTTTCACGCTTCTTCTTTCCTCGACGACATCGCCTCCGCAAGTAATCATGCTGTCACATCCAGTACTGGCACTGCGACCACCGCGACGGCAGTTCTTGAACGACGGGAGCAGGAAGGGGATCAAGCAACATTGGACGTCGGGGAAGAGGAAGATCCCTTTGTTTTTGACTTCCTAGTGCTCCCGAGCCGACTAGTGCGGCTCCACTTGGATCTTTGGGCGTGCACGCGTCGCCGCCGGACGCGGAACTTCGCAGCAGGACTTGCGAAAATGCGGAAGCTGAAGGTGTTAGAGCTCCTCGGCGTGCAGGAAACGGATTGGCTGCAACCTGCGGACCACAGGCTTTTGTCGCGGATGTACTTCGCTCGTGACCTGGACGCGCAAACACAGTGGCACTACGAAAAATCCCTGGAGTTCCTCAACGAAGTGCTGGTGTCCAGGCACCTCGAGGAGCTGCATCTGCGGGTTTCCCCAAACCCCTTCCAGGGGTTCCGCAAGCCCTCAGAGCAGCAGCTGGCGCGATTTGGGGCTGACCAGGAGGACGAGGTGGCATCCCTGCTCAAGGAAATGTTCCGGGAGCGGCACCCAAACCTGCGCCGGGCGGACTTGGGCGACACGTGGGTGCGAGACTCTGTTATCTTGGACTTCATCACACCTCCCACCAGCACAGTATCAGCAACTTCGACTTCCTCCGAACACAGGGAAGCACCTGCAAGAGCAGACGATCAGTAGTTCGGGATTTACCTATGTGAAGGAAAAGCAACTTCCTGCAGCTGTTTTTGCGCAGAAGAGTAGACGCTTGTGAGAATAGATACTGATGAAGATTTTCGGGACCGGTTTTGCTTCGTTTTTTCAACCTGAGACGAAAAACGTATTCCATCTCGCTACGTGAGCTGGGAGGTAAAGTTCGTCTTCATACTCGCACCTGCAGAGTATAGATTGATTGATAATCTTTGCTCTGTAAGTAGTATCGATTTGTTTGCGAATGTTTTATAGCTACTAATTTGAGCTTCGTGCTGTCTCGCATTGACATTGGCACACTTAAGCGTATTTGGCGCGCACTTGTGTGTCTGCTGCATCATTTTTTGTGTCTCGGTCACTCAATCTGAAAGATAGAATTTGCTTCAATGACAGTGCTTATTTTTGTTGCTACCTTTTTTTGTATCCACGAGACTTATAATCAAGATCAACCTAATCAATGCAGAGCCAGTGTCAACCTAAAAAAGACATTTATCTATTACATGGATGGGAGTCCACCTGGTTCGTGAATACTTTTTTTAGCCGACGAGGGCATCAGTATTTATCAATCCTTGCCGTGGTGTACATTTGTTCGAGCACCTTTTAGCAGCACCTCTTTTGTAGTTTTCAGATCCGCATCGATCTGCGTCTTCAGCTTCGATAAATCCTGTGGCTGTAAATGTACTGAACCGAGTTGCAGAGAAATCAAAGTCGTGACAGAGGAGCAACCGGCGTTCTGGCCGTGGTCTTCACATGCGTCGAATAACGGATTACAGGTTTGTTTGCTAAAATCGAACGTTTTTTTACGGGAAATGCCACTGGCTGCCATCTCCGGACTTCACGCCATGCGCTCCACCAGGTGCGTTCGCGACGCTAGCAACGCATTAAATGGTACGCGATCCGTATCACGCGTCGCCAGGGACGTTGTTCGGGAAGCATCTTTGCGTGGCTGCCAGTGATGAAAGGCGAGATCAAGCGCGACCTGGCTTCCTCATGAACCAACGATTTTGGATCTCCCAAGTACAACACGACCACAGAGCTGAGCTCGTTTTTTTTTTTCGCACGGGAGAGATGATAATGATGCATGATCATGATTTTTTTTTTGGATGGAAAAGAGCGAGCAAAACATCGGATCAAAAACGTCATTATTCCTTTCTTCACTGCCTGATGATTTCAGGCCAAGTGACGTAGCAATGCCAAGGTCGTGGTGGCAAGAAAGTGCTCGATAAGTAGTGGCCTCAAGGTCGTAGTCAGTATTGCGTTGCAAAACCAAGATATTATGTCCTCTGGCATTACTAGCATGGAAATGGATGTCAGTACTACTACTAGGTGTAAAAAGTAAGAGTAATCATAACTAATTACGCTTGAAAAGTTCAAAATCTACTTCTACAAGGGAGCTAGGACAGGCGACGTTAACGCTGGGATGTAGATGTTGTGCTAATTCTATCTCTGAAACATCATCCATCAACCGATTGCGAATCATCAAAAATCAATACTCGCAGCCGATACCGACATTATAAGTGTTAGCTAAGAAAAAGAGGCGATAGCCTAATATCGTCCACACTTCTCAAGCTTTTCGAATTATAATCGTCAGCACTCTATTTGTATTTTCTTGGAACACTGATTTTTTACACCGAGGCCTAGGATTAGAACAAGGCTACAACATAAAAAATAGTTCTTCCTGTAGTAGCAACGAAGACCAAAACTAACAAGCCTTTTTTGGAATCGAGAAAGAAAAGGAAGATCGCTCCAATTGACGCTGACTGGATTTAGCAACTGAAAGTGAATCCAAACGAAGCCAAGCGTACTTATGTTTATATGATTTTTGGAAAGACAAAACCATAACTGATATACGTCCGCTAAGGAGAAAACAAGCATCAAGCTCTATCTTTGGATAACTATTTTGTGAACGTTAGAAAGAACGAACGCAGAATCTCAATCTGGCAAGATGGGATCGAAAAAGAAATCAATGGACCGCAATTTTTCAAGTTTTTCGCAGTTCATCGATTCCTCTTGTCAAGACCTGATCGCCTTCTTGGAGAATTATGCCGACAAAGAAAACAAGACGCAGAAATTTAGCAAGCTTTTTTTTCAACAATTGCAAAGCTCGTGTCTGAGAAGTAGAAGTTCCAGCAAAGAAAGCCCTCCTTTTGACAAAAAGCACAATAAACATCTCCACGAGAAGCGTAGTCGACTCATTGCAAAGTCCAGCAAACTTTGTCGCTGGCTTTTCTCATCATCCAAATCGAAAGCGCATTTTCCAAAGCCGCTTTTTTTGGACCAAATTTTTTTAGCTCTCGCCGTTTTTGAATTGATCGCGTTCTTTTTGGCAGTTCTGAACAACATAGCTTTCCTCGAAAAACGTTCCTTTTTGATCACGAGCTCTCCACGAACAGCAGCACGAGAGGACGCAGCGTTGTATTTTTTGACGAAACCACCAGACACAGAGGAAAACCAAAACTACGACTTTTTGAGATCTAATTCTAGTTCGCCAACATCTACATTCCCTTTCCCAAGCACGTCGCCGTTCCTGTTTGCGTCAGCACTTTCGATCTCTAGCACCAGTCCTGACAAGATCCGGAGCACGTCCACACCGCAAGAACGTATTAGTACCTCTGTTTCACCCGCGCATTTCTTGCAAGGTGGGGGAGCCGCAGCCGCCAGCAAAAGCAGCTCCAACCAGGAGGATTTCAACGAGGTAGCCAGAGGCCCTTCAGGTGGCCCAGCGGTGCGCGAGAGCAGCAGGGTTTTCAATCCTATTTCGCGGCCGACGTCGGCTCATGTAACTACGCAGCGCCTGTCGTCGAGGGTTTTTCCTGTTGCACCAGAAACGCCACACGCAGAAGTACCCCCGGTGCAAGAAGAAGTGCAAGAACAAGCAGGAGTCAACATGTCGGACGAGGAGCAGCTTACGATCGCGACCTTCATGAGCACCACCGGGTGCGAAGACATGATGCAAGCGCGGCATTTTCTCGAGATGTCCGGACAGGTGTGGGATCTGGAGACCGCCGTCGCACTGTACCTGTATCACACAGAAAAAAGCTGGCAGGGCATATTTGTGATGCAAAAATAAATACACAAAAAAATCTGTACTGCATATCCGAAGCAGCATGCTAGGAGGCCGCCCATGACAGATTTTTCTGTGTATCTATTTTTGCATTACAAATATGCCCTGCCAGCTTTTTTCTCTGGGATAACCTGGACAACATGCCCAATGCAGCATCCACCGGCGGCGCCGGGCCGGACGGGAGCGGGCGGCCTCCGCCGGGCGGCGGCGACACGGGCGCGGCGCCCATCGATGAAGAGGTCCGCGCTGCCATCGCGGCCTTTGATGACCAAATGATTCAGGGCCCGTCGGCAAGCGAGAAAAAGTATAAAAGAAAAAGATCCTATTTGATTTCATGTTTTGTTCGATGACAAGGAAGCAGTACTTCTACTGCGCCCTGTCCCCATTGATGACGGCGTCGTGGAGAAGTGGGCTAGATCACACTACTAGTTTGTGTTTTTACACGTCGGCAAGATACACCTGTATCTTTACTGTGTCAACATCGACACCTAAAAATTTCATTTCCACTAACAGAGCGCAAGAAAAGCAGCTGCAGGAAGATCACAGAAAGTACCTGCAGCGGTCCGCGTGGTGGGATGCAAGCAAGGATAAAAAACAGGGAGCCGCGACTGAAGCGAACGACAGAGTGAAGCATCTCAACAAGATATTCCAAGTGCCTGATTACAACGAGGTTTGTTGTATTTGTGCTTATAGTTGCATCTTTGGTTCATCCGGTGGCGGTGGAAAGATTACCGCTGTCACCTAGATATTGAAGCAGTAGCTCAACTACTCGACGTTTTATTTTCTGTGTGACCACTGCAACGGTCGACATCTATATTGTATGAAATAAAGGCATTTAATTCAATACCATTACAGTCCGGGGCATTTGCGATCGCGCACACGCGCGCTATGGAGGAGAACAAGTATATTCTGGTGAACATTCAGGACCAGGAATTTCCCAGTAGCCAGTTGAATCGAGACGTTTGGAACCTATCATAGAGAAAAAAAGCGTGCATTCAACCTATTTGCAATGTGAAACTAAAAACCAATACACAAAAGATACTAATCACGACATGAACAGAAGTAACATGCTACGGTCTTGCGTGCCAAAATTTCCAAGTGGGTTTTTCATTTGTACCGCATTGATTAGTTCCATGAATGCGCTGGCGCTTTTCTTCGTGATATTTTCACGAACTTGTGAAGGATACGGTGACATCGAATTTCGTCTTCTGGCAGCGCGATGACGTGTCCGAACAGGGGAGCACTTTCTCGCAGTATTTCTGCACTTTGTTAAAAGTCATCTTCCTCCCTCTTTATCCTCATCCTTTTGCACCATATGCTCGTGCGCAGTCGTAGCTGTAACGAACAAACGAGGTCGCGTAGTTGTCTACATTCATAGAGATTATAGACCGCGTCGTAACTACGTTTTCGTCTGCAATTTTTTGAAATCGACTCTTACTCATCTCAGGTACTACAACGTGAAATCGCTGCCGTACATTTGTTTTGTGGATCCGCGCACGCGAATGGCCGTGGAGTTCTGGGAGGGCAAAAAGTGGATGGACCCGCACAACCCGAAGAACTCGTCTGTGGTGGCGATGGAGAAGATCACTGCCTTCCTTGAGAAACATGCCGACAAGCTGAGGCCGCAGCAGCCGGGCTCCAGCTCCCGGGCGGTTTCTTCCTCCTCTTCCGCGACAGGCGCGACCTCTACGTCCGGTGCAAACGGGACCGGCGACCTGGCTGCCGCGAGCGGGGGCGGGACCATTGACCTGACCGGTGGTACTAGCGGGGGCTCCCGGCCGGCGCACGGGGACGAGCCGATGAGCAAGAGGCCGCGGTCCGCCGGGGGTCTCACGCAGGGCGGCGAAACGGGGGCGAGTAGCAGCACCGCGGCATTCGGCTCCACCGGCGAGACCACAGCAGAGCAAGCGGCCGCAGCGGAGGAAGATGTACCCGCGATGCCACCCGCCCCGGCGGCGGGCACGGATCCGGCCACGTTGGCAAAAATGTCCTTCCGCCTATTGGACGGCAAGCGGTCCGACCCCGTGCTGTTTTTGAAAACGGATCCGGTGTCGCACGCATTGCAGGCCGCCGCGCATCTTTCTAAAATGGGAATCGAGAGCGTGGACCTCTTCACTGCAATGCCACCAAAGTCCGCCAGGAAGGACATCGGACTGGACACGACCATCGGAGACGCGGGTCTCAGTGGGAGTATGCTCAACGTGCGGAAGGCAAAGTGAAAAAAGATCAAGTAGACGACGTGCAGAAATGTACTTCCTTGTTCGGTATCATGCGTGCGGTTCAAGAAATACTTTACTTACACAAGTGTGGAACATTGAAAAGCGAAACCATGTAGTTTCTTGGCATCACTGCCGCGGAGAAGCAGATGGCTAAAGGTCATCTAATAAATATGGACAATAGATTTTGGAGAATTTCGAAATAATAATCATGGAAATGGTCACGGTATGTCATTCTTTATGATAGATGGAATCGTCATCATACCGATTTATTACATTTTCCACGCTGAAGAGAGGGAGCACAGATAGACCTGTATCGACTACACCGAGGAAAAGTGCTTAATACACCTACGATCGCGGTACATAAAATTGTATCAGACCAACAACTTCTTATCTCGAACCGGAACGAACTCAAGGAAACAACTGCGCGGTGCCTTATTTTTCAAGATGCTCTTATTCTCCATTAAATGAAGGGGAGGCGATCGCGATCCACCCTCCTGACCTTCATCTCGCTGCAGTGTAGTATTGTGTTTTTTTATTATCGCATGGGTGATTACACATAGGTTTGCGTTTACCCCACTGGTGTCTAGTGTGTCCAAACGCACAAAGCAGTATGTGTGGCGCTATCACCAGCGCAATTGCGCGCATGCTTATTTATTAATGCGTTGTTGCTTTTTTTTTGGTTTTCGTTGACTCCACGACGCATTTGATTCGTTTGGTCTGTCGTTTTTGTGTGAGATGAGCAGGGACGTGCCTTTGCGTTTCACGTGCAAGGCCTTTTTTCATCTGTTTTTCTGAATAGAAGCGAGTGTCTGCGTCTGTAGTCTCTGCCGCAGCACATTCAGAATAGAGTGGTTCTAAGGTGCCGACATTCTTCGTATTATCTGCAGTTTTTTTTTCGGAATGAATAAGAAATATGTGAAGGAAGTCTCCATTTTTGTGCCAATAGAGGTTCACGATTTGGATACGATTTTCATAATGATGACATTGCAAGAATCTTCGTGTGTCATCGGTGTAGCTGCTGTCGTTGCAGCGCGTCGGAGATTTGGGCAGGGCTCCGTCCAGCTGCTATCTTGTAATTCCACCCGTTCGGATGGGTCGACTACACTGCGCGGAGCTGGAAAAATCTGACAGAATTACCGGTGCTGAGAAAGCTGCCACTGCCTCGGTTCTTCCTGTGGACGAGCTTGTTCACCCGGTTCTTTTCTCGGGCAAGAACTGCAGCAGCAGATTGCTGCTACTCGGAGACGAGAGAGTATCCAAGGAAAAGAGTGCGCTACTGCACACGCTTGTATGTACAACGAGCATATAACCCGTACTACAGAAAACTTGTGATGCGGAAACAATAGTACGGGACATATATCCCTCACACTGAGAGTGAGCGTCTAATGCATCTTCTTCACGACACGTTTACTTTTACATTGAAGTGCATTGGCGCACTTTTTTTGTTGGATAGCTGGAGTCACCACAACGTTCCGATTCCGCGACCTGTCGCACGGCCGCCGTACAGTACCTCCCTGTTCTAAACACAATTTTTATCCCATTGCTTTTGTACCAGTGTAGTGCAGCCATCTGATGAAGCGAATCGGTTTAGTAGAGGGAAAATTTTTATTTTACAACATCTTGACCTGCAACCATTTTATGCTCTTTCATGCAGGTTGTTCCAGCGGAATCCGTGACGTGTGACAAGGACCAGGGGGTCCCCACGAAAATGGCATCCGCTTCGTCTTCCATCCCGAGCTCCGCCGTCTTGAACGTATCAAAAGTAAAAATGTCTGGGTCTGGAAACTTGTGATGCTGGGTGGCGTCTCATGATGAGGCTACAAATGCTGGCTCAGCATGACAAGTTTCTGAGCTCCTAGGTGTTGCCTATTCTGCATGACAAACCGCGCTTCTGCATCACAGAAAAACGGAGCTCTTGGGTAACGTGCATGACAGATGTAAGAGTCATGCCAGACAAGCATGACAAACATGAATTCTTCCAGACCCAGACACTTTTACAGTTGATAGAACGGGCGCAAGAGCAAAACGGCGAGCGTGATCCTTGCCGAGGGTATGGGCAAGGTTTCCACCAAAAAACTCTCGGAAAAAGGTAAGGCGCAACCCTGGAACTGGGCCCCGCTGTGCACCCCCAAGACGCTGCTGGTCATTTTCGTTTTCTACACACTGACGATGCTGATTTTCGGCTCCCTTTACTTCTCTGGCGCCGCGGGAATAACCGAGATTTCCATCGAGCTAAAGCCCAATATTGGGTGTGACGACTACGGCAATAACGACGTCGAGACCACGGTGGACGGTGCCGAAAATGTTCAGCGGACGTGCGTAGACAGCACCTCCGCCACCTTGGGCACAGCCAGGATGCTCGAAAGCATCACCTTCACGACCACGGAAGATATGGAGGGCCCGCTGCTACTGTAATGAACCGCTGGTTGAGTACTACTGAAATAGTCGAGATTTCTATATGATCGTCAAAAATGCGGAAACGAAGTCAACACAAGGTGGCACTGTAGCTAGACTAACCGAAAGCGACAGATCGAAATTGTCAGATCAGGATGTTGAGCACGCATGACTAGTTCACACCGGAAAGAAGAAGCACAAGCAGCGAGCTCAACCCGGAAGACGTGTGATCATGTGAACAAATATACAACACTGAACAGGTATTACGAGCTCGATGGCGTTTACCAGGGACACAGGGGCTTTATACGTGGGTCCGAGAACGCGATGTCCGCGAAGCAAGTGCGGACGGGATCTTGCATGGCGTACCAGAAACCGCGGACGGATTGCGTCGCAGAATCCAACGCCGTGTTCATGCTGGGCACCGAGTCGTGGGAGTCCGCTGCGTACGCGCTGTGGTACCCGTTTGAGCTGTCCAAGGACTCCAGCGGGTGCTACATGTGGTGGAGCAGCTTGTCGAAGCAGTGCATCAAGGACGGCAACAACGACGAGAGCAGCGTGTGCAAGTCCGGGCCGAGCGGGCAATGGCCGCCGCCGGTCACCGACAACCGCGTGTACTACCCCTGCGGGTTCGCGTATGGGCGTGTCAGAATTGAAATCGTCAAAGTTGAAATGATTTGCCATGCATAAAATGCAGCCCACAAAGTGCTTGTCTTGCAGAGTAGGCAAGTGAGGCAGATTGTAAGCCTGTATAGGGGTAGCAACTAAGCTGCTAAAATAGCATGACAAAACGCGTCTTCCTTACCCAAACAGCATGACAAACTGGGTCTCGGCTCTACCCAAATTTGTCATGCGCCACTTAGAAACTGTGTTACAACTGGTATCCATTTTATGCATTACAAATCTATTTCAACTTTGACGATTTCAAACCTGACGCATCCATATCGCGGCCAAGATGGCAACCGAGGACGGGCTCGACACCATGGTTCTGACCGTCCCGGACGCCTCCGTGGCGGGGAACAGTGTCCCGCTCGGCACGGCGGACGCCAAGCCGGAAACCGTCGCGTTTGACGCGGATTTTTCCTACGCCAAGCGGAATCTCGACCCGGAACGGGTATTCGACAAGGCCAAGGACCAGGTCGAGGACAAGGACCTGTCGGGGCTCGACCTGGTGAACAACTTGGACGGCAAGGAGTTCTACAAGATTCTGGACATGCACCTGCTCCGCCACTTCCCGCCCACGGTCTGTAGTGACGACCCGCTCCGGCTGCAGCCCCTGCAGTACCTGGCAGACAACAAAACGCCGAACTGCGCAAACTACAAGGACTTCCAGTTTGAGGCAGCAACGAACGGCGCGACCTGCCAGTACAGCACCACCAGTGTGCCTAACCCGCTGACGCCCGGCACCAACATTGCGTGCACCACAAAGCTCCCGAACCCCGCTGGCTGGGGGCTGGAGCACTCGGACTGGCTCAATTGGCAGAGGTATGCACTGTTTTCTTTCATCATGTTGTTGTGCGGGAAAGTAGACAGGGAATGTAGTTGAATTTGAGGCTGCAGGAAATTTTGCGATCACTGCATACAGCACTATAATCGGAGCGTTAGAAGCACGTGCCAGACCTTACTGGTGTAGTCAGTTCCTCTAGCACGCGATTCTAAGCTGGTGTTATATCCGAACACAAAAATAACATTAGCTGGAGGACTTTAATCAGGATGATAGATACTTGATGTTGAAACGAATGAAATGCTGGTGACGACCACTGGGAACAACATGTTTACCTTCAGGATCGCGGGTTACTGGCAGTTTCGCAAGCTGAATAGCAAGATTACGCTGCCAACCAGTACTATCCCGAAGGGCACACAGCTCCGCATCTTCTATGCCCACCGGTTGGATCTGAAAAAGCAGGCCGGGAATGAGCATGATATCAAGAAGCGCGTCGTGCTGACAACCGCACACTGGGTGGGCAGCAAAAACGTCATCATCGGAGGAACCTTCATCGCGTGCGGGGGGATTTGCTTCTTCGTGGTGCTCCTGCTCCTGTGGATCCAGGTCAAGGATCCCGACCGCTTGGATAACATACAGTACCTCGCGTGGCGTGACTATCGCTGGTCCAAAGCGGCTGCCGCAGCGAGCTCGGGCGCCGACGCCTGAGGCAAGGTCTTGAGACACGAGGGGGTAATTTGCTTGAAGAAAGAATCTAGCGTTGTTATTCTGTTGTGGTACGCGGTTCGCTGTGCTACCGGCAATGAATGTGGTTTGATCTTTTTTATCCGTTGTGGACCATCTTGCTTCTCGAGTGAAGAAAACTTACTTACTTATCCAGATATCTTTCTAGTGGGCTATTTGTTCAATACACTCCCTCGAGTCAATGTTTTATTGTGGGCGCAGCATTTCAGTGTCAGTGAGTCGAGTGAAAGAATACAGTATTGACATCGGCTGCGGCGGCTTCACGTGACCTCGTTGAGCATTTTGTGAAGTTGTTTTTGTAGTCGCACATGTGCTGATGTACTTACATCATGACACAAGTCACCTTTTTGAGTCGGGCTAGGGATTTATTATTCGTTCGTCTCTTCAGTCTCACTCTCAGACAACTGGAGCCGGGGCGCATCCACCGAGCAGGTTGCCTTCTGCAATTGCATAGAAGGAGAACGAGAACGATATTTTATTATGTATACTGCTGCGTGAAGTTGTAGTTGAAGGTATCGCAGAACAGTTGAAGGACACAACGCAAATGACGTGCAGGCCGCTAGTTGAGCAAACATAAGTTCTGCAATACGACTACATGAGGAGCTCTGGTGAAGTACACGTGCATTCGTCCCTCCGTGTGAAAAGGCTCTCGCAGCAGGTCCTCTTCAAAAGCTTTGGCTCGATGGTTCCACCCTCAGATTCGTTTCTGAAGTGCGCCGCACCTTCATTGTTCCACCAGATGATTCTTTGTGACCGTTGCCCCAATCGTAAATCTGCTTATTGAGCCGGCATTTTGGTACAGCTTGTTATCTCACATAGTCTCGTTTGTTTTCCTCATGCTCGTACTCGTGCCTTTTCGTTCACATTCGTTAGCAGCCAAAGCATGAAATCCTTTCATCGTGAATTAATGGAGGCAGTTGAAGATGTAGCTACATGATCGTTGTCGCATATTTTTAGTAGCGAGTACGTAAGCGACACCATGTCCATCGTATGGGTTCCTCGTCCTGCGAAAACCTAAGCCTACCGACGTAACGCTGCGTGTCGTGAAGGAACTTCGTTAAAGGAATTGAGGCGTGACACTGCTGCAGCGGATGAAGTGCACCTCCCTACGTAGTAGACTTGAGGTGCCTTCATGGTTGCGACGCTGTAACACGGCTGAGGAAAAGATCTTCCAAATCGAAATTACGTACGCCAGATCTTGCAAGTTTCGGTAGAGCTGTGCACGGACACACAGCTCTAAGGAAATGCACAGACACGCGATTCCAAAAAAATGAAAAACTTGGAACTCCAAATTACCCTCAAATTTTCACGTAAGAAATTAAAATCTAGATCCTCGCGCAAGGCCAAAATCAAATCTCGTTGCTTCTTCGCTTTTGCGTGGTAGGTGATTCCCATATATCACTTGCTGCTACAACGGTGGTGCAAGGTTACGTTGTTAGGCTCAGTCATTGCATTTGCATCGTAATGCGAAGAGAAGTTTACTTGCTGTTCCTCTTCCTCGTCGTACGAAAAGCAGTCAAGGATCCAGAAATAGATGCAAACATCAGCAAAATTCATTTTTCACTTGGGCGGGACAGGACACAAAAGACTTTTTTTGAGCGAATGTACTAAGCACATCCCTGGACGACAGAAGACGCAGGGACAAAGAACAAAGGCGCAGAATAAAGATAATTTACGTGCATTGTATTGATTGCTATACATAGATAGCTACCTCTTTGTCGACTTTGTCACTTTGACTTTCTTGCAAACGGTACCTCGGCGTCGATAAATGTAAAGCAAGTGAATCGAATTCAAACACGAAAAGTCAGGGCGTCATTGATCTTCTTGATTGCAAAATCTGTATTAGTGGATCGAGTAAGTACTTAAAGCTATACCATGACCCTCGAAGCCGCAGCGAAATTTGAAGCGCCGTTTGAGGAATGAGATGAAACAAGAAGATTTCTGAAAGGAAGACCATCACAACTTGCACTGTGTTTATTTGCTAGAACACGAAACCAAGAACCGTAGCCTCGTGCTTCGCGCAACGAAGAGCTTTCCATCGCACTAGAGCAGAAGCCGGAGAGTGGATCTTTCCACGAAGCAAAGGCTGCGAGAGGTTCTTGAGCACCATTTTCGTCATGGCGGACCGTGCGGACCATTTTCACCGGCCAAGTGGTGTGTCGGCTAATGCGATCGGCTTTGATGCGATCGCGAGCGCGAATGGGCGAGGTATGGTCGTGAACAATCACAGCATGATGTCGAACAAGAGGCCCGCGGGGTTTCCTGATCCATCCCTCTTTCCGGCCGCCAAGAAACCGATCCTGACGAGTAGCAGCGGGGCCGTGATCGACCCCGATCCGCAGCTTGCCGAGGTGTTTCGAGCCAAGCTCTCGGATCAGGTTACTGCACGAAACGGAAGCAAGGCCCTCACCACGGAAGAGAGAAAACACGTCCTGAAGGCGTTTGCCGCCACTACCCTTGCGGAGTTCAAGATGAGCGACCTGAACTACTTCCTGCAGCACGTCAAGCGGGGCGTGGAGCAGGTAAAGGCGCTCAAGAAAAGCAGCGACGTAAACAACCAAAGCCAGCCCGCTTCTGCCTTTGCCAACATCAACAATCATGCGGTACCAAATAGTGCAACGACATCTTCAGGGAGCGCTGCTGCTGCTACTGCTGCTGCAACCACAACTACAACTACAGGAGGAGCATCAACAAACAACAGCTATCCAAATGTTAACGCAAGCGTGAGCAACACCGCCGCGGCGGCAGCGACGGGGTTGATACTTGCGGACGACAAGGGGGACAAGCCGAACCTGAGCGGGTCGTTCTACCCATTGAACAACCTGCAGGACGCTGCGGACAAGGAGGCCAAGGACGAGAAGGTGTTCCAGCGCGCGAAGGCCGAGCGGCGAGCCCCGGAGGAGGAGCAGCAGTTCCAGGACCTGATCCACAGCCTGGGGGAGTCCCCCGTGATCACGGCGGAGGGAAAACTGGAGGAAACCCGGTTTGCGGAGGTGTTCTCCGAGACCTTGCGGCTGGCCAAGAAGTTGAAGGACTGGTTCCAGGTCTGGTCCCACTGCAACCTGAAAACGCCCGAGCAGGTCGTCGCCGCCACGGTGGCGCTGGTGCAGAAGATCTCCGCCGAAAAGGACGAGGAGGAGCTGGCGGACATCCTGGCGCACTTGGTGAAGGAGAAGGAGATCTCGCCCAAGTGCATGGAGGACAGCATCGCGAAGTTCTCGGCAGAGGAGGGGAAGGAGATCGTGAACGGGAAGGACGTCACGCTGCTCTTGTCGCACCTGTTGGTGTTCATCTACCCGACGCAGAAGGGCGACTTCGGCTGGTCCCGCGTCGGGTGGGGGTTCGGGCAGTGGTGGCCGCAGTGTAAGAAGTACATCAAAGTTCTTCCCGAGCCGATGACCGCTCTCAAACTCGTGGTCTCCAAACTGCTGGAGTACAAGGCGGATTTCGAGCCCGCCAAGCAAGAGAAGGTGCTCACCCGGGCGACCGAGCTGGTGGGAAGTCGGGCGGAAGCGTGCGAGGCGCTTGGAATCACCGGGGACGATACCGTCAACCCCAGTCCCACGCCTGTGTCAAACGACGAGTAGTAGTGCGCCACACAATTATGGTGGATGTGAGGAGTTTAGTAGAAGATCAAGAAGATGTTGCCAATCTTATGTTTTAATCTCGCGCAATAAATTTTTGGGAGAAGAGCAGCTGCAAGAGCAAGAAACATGCGTCGACGATCCGAATTCGATTGACGATGTTTGTGGTGCAGTGCAAAGTCGCAGCACCAGCATCAGGAGATGGCTCCTTCTATGCGCGTGAGTCAGTGAATGATAGCAGACTATCCTGTGAGGCTACAACGTCGATCTACCATGTTTTCAGTTACATCAACAGGCTCTAGTGTGTTGGCAAAATGTAATGCTATCACGGGGACCTTCAGCTTCAGGTTCAGGCGTAGAGTTCAGCAGCGTAGGAAGAAACGATTTGAACGACGTGAGGCCTCGTCTCGTGAGGCCTCGTCTCGTGAACAACGTGATGGTCAGGGTCATCATGAGGCCTCGTCGCGTGAGCCACCCAAATTTGTAAGTTTACACGATCTGTGATTTTCATCTGATACGAGCCTAAGGTCGTGATCGTAATCGTGGTCTCGCAGGTCCTTCGAATCGTTGCGTCAAAACTATGACGTACTGAATAAAATGTGCTGCCTGTTGTAGTGGGCTCGCTCGTGGTGGATGGAAAAACCTGATACATGTTGACTATCGTGCACTTTCGAGATGCGGACTTCCTCTTCGGACGCGATTTATGATCGCGATTAACCTGTTCCTTGAATTTCTAGCTCAGTACAGTACTACCTCTTGGTACATGTTGCAGATACACAAAAAGAAGCGGAACTTCGCGGCGCAGCTATGTATGTACAGACACATGCGCAACAGGTAGTGAGTCGGTATGTGAACTCGTTTTTGGACGAACAACGCGGGAAAACTTTCGATCACTGGAAAATTCAAACATTCGGCTATGACACGAGGTGCTTTAAAAAGTCGGTACGTGCTGTTATCCGCTGAAGAGTTCAACGAGATTCATCGGTACTCGCTGATACCCATGTGCTTAAAGAGAAGGCTCAGAAATGCGAGGATCCCAACAGCTCGCTATTCTATATGATGTAGATCGAAATGACGAAAGACAAAGGCGATCTTGGTTTTATAAAAATTTGTATGGCAACTGGTAGCACCGAAGGAGGAGTTTGCAAACATGATCAATGGTTACATGCAACCATTCCCAACTGATTGTGCGCAGCTACATTTTACGGAAGCCGTGATTCGTTTCCCTCGAAATCACTTCTTTCTCGCGATACTGAAGAGAAGTAACCGCCAAATTTTTTCTCAAACATTGGACCGATTAGCAACTACTTCTTAGTACTAGGACATCAACGAGTGCGAGTCATCTGATTCTGTTGTCTCCTGTCCAATCAGTCTTGATGTAGAGTTCTATCTCAAGAAACAGTGTAATAGTTTTGCGTAGGAGCGGTTTTCCTATTAGATTGTAATCTCAATTATCGCTGTTAGATTGTAATGCCAGTCTGGAAGTCGAACTAAGTCTGTCACACGAGTTTTTCACTTTGTCCCCCCAATTTCTGTACACCCACAGACGACAGATACAAGATAAAAACCAAAACGACAAATAACAAGTGATCTTTTAACACCTTCACAAAACCGGAAAGACGAGTCGTTGCAGCTCGAAGATGAGTTTGGGCCTCGCCTTCGTCGGCCTCAGCGCTCTGGGTGCCATCCCGGGAGCGCATTCGCTGCAGGTCTCGAAGTCTGCTGGTGCCGCTGGTGAAGTGAAAGGTACGTGGCAGGACCACGAAGACGGTGTGATCTTGCTCAGCCCCGAGTCGTCAGTGTCGTGGAGCATCACGACGCCAAGCACCGGGGAATCGTACACCATTTCGCTCTCTGCGGCGACGTATCCTGTCGGCCCTGAACGCGGCCCTGCGGACTTCAATAAAGGCGCCGGCCCGGCCGCCAAAGCCGCACTCGTAAACGCGGCTGCCTACGGCTGCGCCTCGTACATGGGCGGCGCGGCTAGGGACGCGGAAGGGAATATCGTATGGCATTACCCCAATGACGAGAAGTCACCAAACAAGGTCGCCGGCCTGAATGGAATTATTACGTGGAGGTTAGCTGGTGGGAAAAACTTAGAAAGCCTGCGGAAAAAGATTCGCAGTGGTTACCAGGGCGGACAGGCGGTCCACGACGAGAGCGCTGACATGGGCACGGATTTGCGCCTCGCCGGGAAATTGTGCGCGCCGGGCTTCGCAACGGCGCTGAATGTTACCGACCTACAAGATGGACAAGAAAAATGGGGGAGCCTCAATGTCAAGTACCTGATCGAAGCGGTGGCTCCCGATTGGAACAATGCATTTCCTATAAGAATCGGGGAATACCGCTACGAATTCAACAAACAAACGCCGGATCATGTGGCGCTCAGCCAAAAGGACATGCAAAACATGCAGCACCTCGGTGCCATGGAAAAGATGCTCAAATGGGAGAGCGACCGGCATTTGGTCGGCGACGCGTACCGAGCGGCGTTGCTGGCGGCGGGAGGCACAAATGAGGTCGAGACCGTCGGGGTGTCGCTGCTGGGTGCCGCTATTTTCAAGGGTCACAAGGAAACCGGCGACATCTTGTGGGAGGCGGTCACGGCGCTCATTTATGAGGTGGACGCGGAAAAGAAGCGCGTCGAGGCGGGCTCGGGCAACAAGCCGGAAGAAGCGGAGGCGCAGGGGGGCGATGCAGAGGCCACAACCGAGGCAGGCCACGCTGCGGCATCCGCGGAAGATGGCGTCGTTGAGGAGCCGGACGAGGGGCAGCAGGACACGGATGAGGCGAGAGAAGAAGGAGGTGCTGCCGTTGGCGAGGAGATTCCTTTTCAACAGGGACAGAAGGAGCAGGTCGGTGAACCAGCCAAGCCTGCTGCGGGGTCCAGCACGACGTCCTTTTTGGCTGCGGCAGGTAGCGGAACGCCGGAACAGCACACGAAATCTGAAGCTGTAGAGGGCGCAGCAGGAGAGGAGGACCTGGAACAAGAGTCCTCGGCTGGTGCTGTCGCTGCAGCGGCGGCGGCAGAGGGAGCGACGGCGAGCGGAGAAAACGGCTCCCTGCTTCACCAGATCCGCCGCGTCAAACTGCTCGCGTTTTCTCCTGCGGAAAAGATTTGCTTGGAGCTTGTTATCCGGACAGCTGCCATGGTGTACGAGGCAAATGGCAGAGAAGGAGAGGGATTCAAAGCAGCTGCTGCGGTGCGGCCGGAGGCGACGCGCGTGGACGAATGCATGTAATGTTTGTGCGAAAGTTCATCGGGGAGCGCAAAAATAGTGCACGAGGTGGATTGCAGTCTATGAAAGGTGGAGAAGCATTGCAGTATGCTTTCAAACAGTTTTCTGACTGCATACTACCGAATGCCAGAAGAAGCAGCTCCGCAACTTTACGTCGGGGAACTTGTAGCAATGAAAACAGTCGGTTCGTCATCTAGTCGCTTGCTCTGAAGTGTCAAGAGGGAGTTCGACTGATGTGCCGGTTCTGTAAGCAGCTTTTTGCTGAACGTGGACAATCGATCTGGGGGCATGATAGGACGGCTCCGATACCGCAGCGGCTTGTCAAGGAGAAATTTTTTACCCAGAACCTTTCAAGATGAAACATCTCTGCCGAGACAGAGCAAGCATGTATGATTAGCTAGATCTATCCATTACTTTTTCGCCATGGTCATGACAGCAGGTTTGTGACGCTGCACGCTTTTCGGAAAACGGTGTGAATCTCGGTATGCGGTTTTTGCTGACGGGATGTATAGATACCGGGTCCGAGAAATCAGTGTTTAGCTTACTTTGACTAGTAAGAGAGTCGGGCGTGTCACAGCTTCGCCATTACGTGCGCCAATGCACGAAAGCAATCGAAAAACCTGATAAACACTACCTCCGTCCGCTCTTGACGTTTTATGATGTGAAGACAGTGCAGCTACTCCTACTTACGAAAAAGCAGAAATGCCTCCGCTTTTTTTCAAAAAAGCCATCGACCACTCAAATCTAAATTTGATTTGAGTGGTCCGAAAATACCTTTTACTCGAGGCACCGCCACGGAGGCACTTTCTTCGCGCAAAGACCAAAGACCTCTTCGCTTTGATGCGTACCCGTTTTGAACACAACAGAACCTTTAGATATGGCGTTTGGCCCCTCATCTAGCACAAAAACGAAAGAAACCAGTGGCGCGCGTCGACTTGGGTGAAAGAGAGGATGCCCACCAGAGCGCCTTGTCCCGGTGTTCAATGAAGATCAATCTTAAGTCACAGAAGATCTGTCGATCAGTGAGATTTTGAAAGTACAATGAAAAATGTCATCGATCCATTTGTCTCGAGTGGTATGAGCTTGTCGATTGCTGGCCATCAGTTTTTTTCACGTGGAAACAGTTTTCCCTCGTTCTTTTTTGGGCTTTGTGTGCCATCTTTTTTGCTCTTGTTGGTGGCAACTGGTCAGTCTAAGTGGACAAAGACAAAACCAAAATTTTCTTCCGACTTGATAGGAGGCTGCAATAGTGCCTTTAAACTAGGAAATAGACACATGATGCGGTCCCTCTTGCTAGTTTCTAGCGTCGGCATTGCCTCTTCGCTGCGAGTGCAGAACAAACAGACCCCAGATTTTGGATTCGGCGACGGCGACAGTTTCCCCGACGTTTGCAAGGCTAACAAAATTCCAGATGCCCAGAAAGCTTACGTTAGTCAGCTGCACAAGGCGTTTCAGCACAGTGGTACATACTTTTGTAAAAAAATAGACTTGCTTCGGTAAAAAAACGAAGGAGGACATGTAAATTTAGATGTAGGAGGTAGAATATGTGTCGGTCGTTGGTTCTGCGGCTGCAGAAATAAGGCTCAATCTTGGATGGCTCTTTGCCTCAAAAATTTAAATTTGTGTTAGATAACCTTGTCCAAGTACCTTGATGTTGGCTGAGATGTTGTTGACTTGCGTGTCGAGTTAACAGGTTTTGGATTTGAAGTCCTTCATACATTCTAGCCGTTTCTTTTTTCCTTTGCGACATATATTTTTTTTCTCTCTATCTCCTTTTGGAAGATCGCAAACAAAACCAAAACAAGGTGTCCGCAACCAACTAGCCACGGCCTTCAAAGAACCACTGGAATGCTGGTACGGCTTCATGCGGGCTACTGGTTGCGGGGAGATTCCGCCGTTGAACTCTGGCACGACCGCGCGGCGCGCGTTTCAGGAACAATGCAAGGATCCGTCCGTCGCCTTCAACAAAATGTTTACGTCCACGCCGAAGAAGCTCCAAATGTACCTGATCAAAAACTTTTTGCACCAGAAGGATTCTGAGGGAGAGCCGGTGCCCGGAAAGTACAACGAAGTCATGAACTTGCTCTACAAAATGGGCGGCAAAGAAGTTTTGTGTACAGCATTTTAACAAGTGCTTTTCCCGCATGGGCATTAAGGACATGTTTTTGTGGCTCTTTTTGTTAACAGTAGGACACGAGTGGTTGTGACTTCTGGAATTTGCCTTCGCGACACGAAGATGAGAAGAGAAACGGAAGATTTGATTGTGGATTCCCTCCACGATGCGAAAAATAATAGAAAAATCACTTACACCTAATTCTAAAACAGGCCAGACGGTGGAGCTGATCGACGACGGGTGCCAGGATGTCGGTGGCTTCAAGGAGTACTAGTTGACGCAGCGAGAGGGATCCGGGCAGCTCGTAGCGGCGGAGCTGTCGGTGTCTGAGATCAGCGATGGAGAATTCTAAACTGCGCGGTTTGTCAAGCAAGATCTACTGGTTTCTGTGTATGATTCTCGCACATATTATGTAGCTTTTGCAGATTTATTTTGGAAAAAAACACTTTCAAGTTTTGCACATAGTCCAGCGCCTTCGTTTCACTCACTATTCGTCTACACAGCGCTTTTTTAGTTATCATGTTAACAGGCAGACACAGAACTCTTTTCTAAATCTTAACAGGCAGATCATTCGGTATTTTTAGAACTTATTTTAGAGAAAACAGGCAGCTCAGGCAGATATCGAACTTACGGTTTCAAATGTAGACAAGGATCCGATAGCGAGTTAAGCGATCGCACAGGACTATCGAACAACATACTGCAGCGCAATTTCGAGCCAAGGTGAAGGGATCCGCACAGCGTGTTCCGGCACTTCTGAGCGTATCCTGAGTGCGAGTACTTACAGCCGCAATCAGTATCGGAAGCTGAGAGAGCTAGGATATAAAGTTTGCGATCGAGATTTGCTTTCCGCTTGGCCGCACTCGAGAAGACGTTTTTTTTTTGTTTGTTTGCACTGGTCGCATGTGAGGAGTGTGTCATCTTGAGTGAAACTGCAACTAGAACTACCCTGACAGGACCCTATTTCTGTTTATTTCTTCTCGCGCTTGTAGCACTTTTGTTTCGCTTTTCTTCTCAGTACCCGTGCGGCTCTTCTTGTCGAAGTGGCTGTTCGTGCTGCATATGGCCGCAAGTGAGACATGATGACACGAGTGCTCGTCCCGCCCCGCGAGACAACGAGGTTGAGTGCCTCGCTTTTCCAACACAGTAAACCTGCCTTAGTGTTGTACTCACAGAAAGCTCGACGACTCAAGAAGAGAGTAGCTTGCCCGGTTTGAAGCTCGCGCGAAATGGTGTCTGGCAAACCGCAAGCCTGCGCAGACTGACTTTTGTACCGACAAGGGCAGTACCATTGGCCTGTGAGCCAGAGGCGCAAGCCGTGGATTCTGATGCCTATCTCTATGCTGTTCGTGGTCATACCTGCTCTGGTCTCGCTCGCATTGCCCGGCCCTGTACTCGCCGCCCCCGCACGGCTGTGGCGTTTTGTGTGTTTGAATCCTGCCGGGACGGAGTGGAAGTTTTGCCAATTCGCAATGTACACCGACACGGCCTGCAGTAGCTCCGTTTACGACGCCTCGCAGGCCAGCAATCCGATGACGGAAGTGGACTTTAATGGGCAGCTCACTCAGCAGGACCCCGTGGAGTCTCAGGCAACGACTGTCCGTGGCCCATACACTGCTGCGAATTCTTACTTTGGCGTCACGCTGTCCTCGGCTTTAGAAATCAACTGCGTGAAGCTGAACAACAATATTTGCGTGGATTCGGGCTTTTCGCAGATAAACACCGTGTGCACCTCGGGATACCACCTGAACTACGCAGATGGCGGGGAATGGAAGACGCATGGCACTTTTACGACCCATTCCACGTACCAAACGGCAAAACAGTTCGTCGTAGGAGGTGGAGCTCCTGCTCCGGTGCCTAGCCCCACACCGACGCCATCACCAGGTGTGCCTAATGTGTTTTGCGCTACCTTCGTAGACATGAACATGAAAAACAAGGGCTCGGTTTTGGTTTGTGATTGTGTGGCGATTCATGCGCGGCTTGAAGGTGGTTCTGAGGATTACTGCACTTTCGTACTGCACACGATTACTGTGCGTGGGTGCAGCGAAAGGGTCCATGATCCCATGAACACATTGCTCTGTTAATGCTCATTTTATTTTTCCAACAGGAGCGCCATCTCCCACACCAACTCCAACGCCAACAGTGGGTAACAACGCACCGACCTGGACAGTGACCAATCCCGATCCAGCTAATCCGACCAACGTGCAAAACACTGGTCTAGTCATACGAGTCTCCTTCAACGAGCGCGTGACGGCAACTGGCGGTTTTGCCCGACTCTACCTCGCAAACTCGGTGGTGCAAAGCGAGTCGTTGACCAATACGATGTCTAACCGTGTCGGGATTGGTGGCGGGGTGATCACTGTGATTTGGTGGACGTTGAGCAGTGCCTTGTTGCCGAGCACGCAATACCGATTCGAAGTGAACCGTATGGATGTACAGGACCTAAGCGGCGATCCCCCGGCCAGCGACATCACGCTGACCTTCACAACAGCGGCGACAGCGACTACCGGCACTGGCACTGGCACTGGCAGCACGCCGACGGCCAAGACGCCCGCGCCAACAGCCGGGGGAATCCCTGCCACTGAAGCCGACGACGAAGACGACGGCGACGGCGGCATGATCGCGCTGATCGTCATCCTCGTCTTCGTTGGCCTCGCCGCGGTGGCATACCTCGCCAGGAAGCTGTGGATGGCCCGGGATGCACAACAAAGCCGACAAGCGGAGCGGCCGTATGGAAAGGTGGTCACGCCTGCGGGGACCTTCCAGGAAGAATCAACAGCGAAGAACAAGTACCGCAAGGGGGAGACTAACGCGACGATTCCCCCTGAGGATCCGGTAGATGATCTAATCAACGGTGGTGCGAAGCAGGAACGAGCGACGTACCGTGACAAGGAATCCTTTGAGGAGCTTCGATATGCATTGCAAAAGTATCGATCCATCGAGGATTACACAGCAACCGCATTCATCTGATGTCAACAAGGACGAAAAAAAGTGCATGATGATTAATACTGTAAACGGGAAGACTAGCCTAGTGCAGTATATCGCAATTGTGGCGCTATGATCATGTTGGATTGCAATACTTTTGTGCAGGATATAGCAAAACGCAGAGAGAAAGAATTTGAAGAGCGACGGGCGAAGGAGCATGCGCGGAAGGTGCAAGAAAACGAGGAGAAGAAGCAAAAGCGAACGACGCAAGACGACAGCAGTGCTGACAGAGGCCGACAGCGGATGAACGCGGAGAAAAACCGCAGGTCGTCCTCTGCGGAAGAGCAGGGCGGGCCGAAATTCAACGCGAATGCTTGGAACGCGAAGGGGGCGCGGAAGGCGTACGGGCGGAAGCGGTCAAACAGCGAGACGATTGACCCAGATACAGAATTTCTGGCCGAGGCGAACGAGGGTGAGGAGGTGCTGCGGATCACCACGAGCATCGCGCAGGACTTTCGGAGACAGAAGACGGAGGCGATGGATAGCCGGAAGAAAACCATGAAGTTTTTGAAGTTGAAGTGGCATCCAGACAAGAACTCGGACCAACCCGAGCTAGCCAAGAAAATCTTCCAGTTCATTATGGAGCAGGAGGAGAAGTTCTTAGCGCTCGGTGCAGAGAACGCAAAACAAGGCACGGATGCATGATAATGGCCGAGCCTCGTCAAGGTCCACATTGAACTTCTTTTGCACATCTTGACTGTAGTAGAAGCAGAACGAGGTAGAATGCATCCTCGTGCTTCGTATGTTATGATTTCTTGATCGCGGTCGCGCGTCGACGTCGTACTGAGTATAGTAAAACCAGTCTGTTTGTTCGAGAAAACAGTACAGATAGAAATGAGTGGTGCAGCTGCAGCTTGGTGCTAAAATAGATGCTAGAAGAGGGTAAGACGAGCTGCGGTTGCAATGTCAAGATTAATACATCGGCATGTAGTGTTTTCCGCTGACCTATATAAATCTAAAGAAAACTACTCGCATGTTCATGTGCTGTTCTTCCATAATTATCTATCACCGTCCTCGGAGGGCTGCCAGTGCCGGTCTGAATTTGCAATTCGGCAAAGCTGCATTTACTTGTTACTGACATAAGTACTACTTTACCTCTCGGCAAAAGGCTACACCACATAACATTTCTTTTGGAGCTCCCAGATGCGCCGCGAGTACGCAGATGCGAGTGTGTGCTGGTAAGTATTGCCTCGTCGTTGTAGTTGTTCTTCTTTGTTCCATGTAGCGGTTTACCTGCTGTCGGCCTCAGAGGATGAAATTGTTCTATGATCGAGGTCGTTTTTTTTTTGTCTCTGCAGCTAAGTGTTTGCTCTTGCAGATAGCCTCAACGATGACGATGATCCCGGCACTGGTTCCTCGAAACTCGAATTGGTCGAATTTCTGACGTTTTTTTTTTCGCGGATAATTCGGGAGAGTCATTGAGGTCACTAATAGACCAGTATTCGAATGGGTTGTGGTTGCATCGTTGTCGTCTGAAGAACATCGACGAGGAGTGTTGATTTCGTGTCACATGTAAATACTTATCGTGCGTCTCTATTCGTTTATGTGTCCTCTGTTTGTTTCCTTCTTGATAACGAACCGTTAAGTAGTTCGCTTTTTACCTTCGGAGCAGCTGAAAGATCGCTTGATAGTGATGCTATGGCTAGAGCGTGTGCAGCTGCAGGAGTCGTTTGATCGTTCATTCTTCGTCGACCTCATATTTCTTCTCGTTTTCCGTAGTTTTCTATGAAAGGCTTACAACAGCACAATTAGAAGAACAAAGTCAAACTCAAAGAAGGTATTGCGAACGTTTCAGTCGAGAGGCCGTCGTTTCTGGTTTCATTTTCTGAAGTGGGAATTCGACTTTCTTTCCATTCTTTACCGACGTCGACGCGTAGGCCCCTAGTGCGCGTCCGGAGGAAATCAGCGAGGTTAAATTGGATAAAGTTTCCCGCCAAGACGTCGCCATGGCTGGCGCGTTGCAGCACGTGAAGTCGCACGCGAGTCTGTTGGTCTGCTGTACCCACCTCTCGGCTATCTTGTCGTTTTTCCTGTGCTTCTACTTTTCCGTCGTCGACATGGAAAACTGCCCGGCTACCGCCAGCAAAAGGATACCCGAACTCCCGCGAAGAGGTAAGTCCTGTCTGTACACACATTTTGCCGAATTTTAAATCTAATGTAGTACACGAAGAAATTGGACGCATAGATGCATAGTGCCTACTTGTTTTCTTTGGCCGGCCTGGTGGACCAGAGTCGAGGCTGTTCATTTTCAAGCATGCGCTCAAACAAAAAATTAAATACGAACAGTAATTAGCAGTCCGGTATTACCAGAGACGAAAGTGCCGCGAGAAAGCTTGCTGACTGCCCCAAGCTACCAAGATGGTGACAGTGCCCAGCAGCCCAAATCCGAATTGGAAGATGCATTTTTGAAGACATATGCCGCTGCAAAAGGCCAGATTCATACACGCTTCCCTCTGGGATTTTAGAATGTGTTTAAAATACCAATTGGTTTGGGATCCTGGGAGCCGTCTTTTCACTTTCATACCTGCATCATATGTATCTGCATAGCGGGGTGGTATGCTGGTCGCGTGTTTGAGTCCTCGACTTTGTGGATGTTCATATGACGGACGATCGCTGGTGCCTGCGGGTACGCGTAGACGGCCCGGAGAAGACGAATTTGCGTCGGCGTTCCGCACGCGCGCAGAAGCAAAGGTAACCTGTTCTTCAAAGGAATTTTCAATAGCGACAAACATTTTGATTTTTCGAGTGCTATTACTGTGAGTTGTCTCTGCTTTATGTTTATGTTTTCATTTTGATTTAAACAAGGTACGTATACAACTCGGAGCGGTACGAGGCTGCGTCAAAATGCACCAGTACTTCGGTAGCTGCGCATAGGTCGGCTGTTGGGCGGAGGGGCCCACTGAGTGTCGCGCTCGATTACTACATCCCGAGCCTGTCTGTATCTATGCTCGTACCACGCCGAATTCTGGACGACCTGGAAGCTCGCCGAAATCCGCGGAACACGCAGGAGCAGTTTGCTTCCATGTTGTTCGCTGGGAATTTTGGAAGTACCTGCTAGCAGCTCACGCGAGTTATTCATGTATCAGTGAGAGTTACAACGTCTGTCCTTCTCTAGTTCCACGACTTCGAGGTTGCATTTATCAAACGTCAAAAAAAGTAGAAAAACTATATTTTGTACCAAATCCAAACACAAACTGTCCTCAAACTAAATGTAGCATGAAACCGCATGAGTTAAATGATGTATCTTGAATAAAGATTTTGATTTCCCCAGTTGTACGTAACCCCATACAAAAACCGTTGATTTTGAAAGTTTTGACCCTACGTAGAAGGACTCACGCTTCACACCCCGGTCCTTCTTTTCAGATGCTCTCACAGCCATTTTTAGGTAACGAGTTGGAATACTGTCAACGGCTCGACTTTCGTTCTTCTCTCTCGACTACAATGAATGTGTATTTTGAAAAGTAGCAAAGCGTTTTTTTTCTGACGCGTACGTAAACGTATCATGCTGAGTACACACCGACGCACAAGAAAGTGCCCTTGCAAATTCGATTATTCCTTCGGGCTTTCAATTGGTATCTTAGTGCTTCAACGATGAATCAGCACGATTCGACGCGCCTATCAGTCTTGATCGAACCACAGTCAGATCGTGGAAATATGCGACTAGTTAGTTGATGGGTAAAGAGTATTCAGTGCTGGAGTCATTCAATATTTGGCTCTGCTTCTCGTTTCCGAATTTTATTTTTATTCGTGTTAATACAGTCCCGCAGTCGCAAACAAAAACATCCCCATTATGGTTGTTGTCTGCGTAGTACAAACCGTTTCTATTGTATTGACCCTGTGGCAGTCCCTTTCGGTTTCGCTCTCCGTCTCTCCGTAATAGAAACTGTGTGCTTGTATGAAAATCATATTTGAAAGTTGCGCGGAAAGTGATACTTCTCTCTCATCCTTCTGCTGTAACTTGTTTCAGTAAAAATTTACGAGCGGCAGCCCCCTTGTCGTCAAGTAGTCTTATCTACACTTTCTGTACCTGTACCTCCGCCTCTCATTTTTCCTTCTAATGTAAAAAATGACGTCCCGTGTAGTCCTAGTTTCATCTTGATGCGCTAGCCATGCAAACGCTGACATCCTATGCAATTTGTTAGAGAAACAGAATGGGTATGGTTATGGAGTAAATTATGGGCTACAAAATCCGTAGTTCCTTCGTGGATCTACTCATCACATCTTCTGACACGGGCAGATTCCATGCCGTGTCCATTACTCTTTGCTTGCCATTGTTTTGAGTTCATGAAGAATCGGGCTCGGGGCTCTTGAGTTTGAATATAAAACATAATGAATTGTACAACAAGAACGAGGCTTGCACCATTTACTGATGAAGTCGCGCCCGCGGAAAATTGTATCGATAGTCGTGGGCTTACTGCGTGCAAGTCTCGTGCCTGTGCTTTCACATCGTTGAGGAGAGAAAAACACGAAACAAAGCGGCAGCGGAGAGCGACGCGATAGATATTTGAAAAGGTATCATTTGGATCATGTGTTGCAGTTTCCGATTGCTTGGACGATGCAGAATTAGATAGATTGGACCGCGGGGCGATCCAAAACATACGACTCATTTCTACGAGGAGACAGAAAGCACGACATACCAGAAAAGCATCGAACTGTTTGTTCTGTGATGCCACTCTCGTGAAAAAATGCTGACTCAGGACGAAATGTACCATGAAGAAAAGTTGGCCCCAGTCGGGGCCGCCGGGTCTCCTGCAGCACGGAGAAAAGGGAATGTAGGAGCCCCTGTCGGTGGTTCTGCAGGAGGTACATTGGTTCCCCCACCTCCCACCCTGACCAAGCGCTACTTGATTGCGGTGGGCTGTGCGGGAACCGCCATGGCTGGCTACGATACGGCAGTGGTAAGCGGAACGATCGACTTCATGGCGGAATCGCTGAAATTTTCAAAGCAGGATGACACCTTTCAAAGGACAGCGGTGGTTGCCGCGACAACTATCTGCGCCATGCTGTCGGCCTTCGCCATGCTCCTCAGCACGACCCTACAGAATTGGGGTATTTTTAATCAGGGTTTGTCCAACATTAAGCCCGCAAGAACCAGAACTGCCTTCCCTTCCGGCTTAGCTCTAGCTGTGCTCCTTTTCTTTGAAGATTTTTTACTTTGACCTGTGTATGCTTCTCTGCGCTTCTTTCGCTCGAGGCGGTCTAATGACAGGCGTCCACCTGCCAGACCGAAAGTCAAAATCTAATGCGATTTGGGTTTTGCAAATGCACCAGGACCAGTGCCATCAATCCCCAAAACATTTCTCTGCTAAATTTATAACAGTATCTTCCACGACGTTGCAGGTCGCCGGCCAGTTCTCTGTCTGGGGATGCTGTTGCACATTAGCGGCACGATTTTGTGCGTGATCGCGGTCCATTTCGAAGCGTTGATCGTCGGCCGAGCGGTTGTCGGGGTGGGCGCGGGCCTGATCTTCGTCGTTCTGCCGATGCACCTGTCTGAGTGTGCGCCCGCAAGCTCTCGGGGCTCCACCATCGCTAACCTGGATCTGTTCATAGTCGTGGGGCAAATTCTCGCCGCCCTGGTAAACGCGGTGCTTCAAGAGGTTTTTCGCGATAACCACGACCTCTCGTGGCGGTGCTCCTACGCTTTTATCGTCGCGCCCGCGGTGGTTTGCCTGCTCCTGATCTTCCTCGGTTTTATTCCGGAGTCGCCCCGCATGTTGGTGCTACAGGGCAACATCGAAGAAGCGAAGCGGAGTCTCGTGATGCTGTTTGGCGACGACAGAGAGCTGGCGGCAATCCACACGGCGCAGGCCGAGGAGCGAGCGTACCTGCTGCACGGAGGGTCGCGGTCAGAAAGAATCGCGGAGCAGAACGGAACGCCAGGGGGGTTAAGCAAACGGAGGCAACAGAGCAATCACAAACGCGAAGGAGCGTCCAGGGATCACGAGGCAGCTGCTCTTGCCGAAAAGGATGAGGACAGCGAGGTGGCTCCACATCCACAAGGGTCGGTGATATTGACGCCGAAAAAACCTCTCGGGGCACCACAAGTGGACAGCGGTCGGAGCGAGGTTGAGCTGGCGGCCAGCGGCCCGCGGGAACACCCGGTCTTGACACTGTACCGGTTCTGGACCCTGCCCGGTTACAAACGGCTTCGCACCGCGATGAAGTCGGGTCTCGGTCTCACGGTGATGAATCAATTGACGGGCATCAACACGGTCATGCTATTCGGCGCGACCATCGTTCAGGAGATGGGCTTTAGCCTCCGCACGGCCATCTGGGCCACCGTCGCACTCACGGTGACCCAGGCCGGCGGCGTTGTGCTGGCTGTGGTCGAAATCGATTCTGCCGGTGGGCGCCGCCAGATAGCACTTCGATCCTGCGCCCTGGTGTTTCTGTCTCTTATGGTGCTAGGCATAGCCACCTCGGTGGGAGAGCCCGAAGACTACCGAATGCTCGCCATCTCCTCGTTGCTGGTACCTTACTTTTTACGGACTCATACACTACTTTTTATTCACTTCGGCTACGTAGCGGGGTCGGGTTCTTCCCCTTCGACTAGCTACTCCTGAGCACACCGGCACTAGTTCTGATCACCATTTTTTGTTCCGCAGTCATTGATTTTGTACCAGTTGTTGTGTAGTCTTGAGCCCTCGCTCTACTTTGGCTCTGTCGCATAGTTTGTTGATGCAAGTACAAATAAAAAAAACCAGCTATACCTGTTTGCTTTTGGATACGGGCTTTCGCCGTTGTGCTGGGTATACAACGCCGAAGTGTATCCCACGTCGGTGCGCGCCCTGTGCTCGGGCCAGGCGTTTTTGGTCAACATTTTGTGCACCAGTCTGGTCACCACCCTGTTTCTGCCACTAGAGAAGGAGATCGGGTTGGGGGGCGTGTTTGGTATCTTCGGCGGGGTGGCGCTCGTTGGTGGGATGCTGATTTACCTCTACCTTTCGGAAACTGCCGGGAAAACCTTAGAGGAGCTCGAAAAGGAGGTTCTCAGGAGTGCCTCGACCTCCTATCAAATTGAAAAGTGCTCTGCCAGCAGAAAGGGACTGCGTTTGTACATATGCAGATACAAACTAGGCAGTACCAAGTCTGGGGCTGAAGCGCTTGTTTGCATGTTGATAACTTCGCAGTGCAATCAGGGACAGAGGAGGGAGGCAACAAGCAGGAGCCTCGCAGCAGCGCGGGGTACAGCATGCAGGACGAACAGACCATGCTGCTTGCTGGTGCGGGAAAGAGGTTGGAATACATGGAAGGCGCTCGTGGGAAAGACTTGGAATAACCATAAAATTTTTCTCCCCTACTTGCTGGGAATCACTACTACTTCTGATGTACCCACTTCGCTGCTTTTGCACCAGTACTTCTTCGTTATAATACGTGATCGCAATGGTCAAGAAGCTACACTGCTTCAAAGAAGGACACTTGGGCAAACGAGCTCGAGAACTAGAGTCACCTGCTGTTGTTCTGGAAATCATTGGTATAAAGTGGAGTAGGAGATGACGTCGAACACCAGCATGCATACCGAATTCACAACAAGGAGAATTCTGGACACGGCAAGGACGAGAAGGCCGCAGAGAGACATGAGCTGATGATTTGGTGCGGGCGATGGCTCTGAAGAGACTAGACTTACATACGAGCGTAAAGATGCAGGCAGTTTCTTTGTTGCGCATACTTACAGCTGGGTCGTTCGGAAGATTGAACAGCCATCAAAACTAACTAGGCGGCTACTAATACGTGACGCAAAAATGCAGAAAAGTCGAGGATGCTTGTACCGGTCACCAGAAGTCTGCGTTCGAGGCTGTTGAACACGTCACTGCGTCAGTCAAGACAAGCAGGAATTTTCCGTTCTGTAACACTTGTGGAGTACCATGCAAGGCGGAGCCTCCACACTGCGACCGTTCATTTGCCGCGAATCGCCCCGTTTATTTTTCCTGCGGAAACCTGCTCAGCACGCAAGCAGCTGTCTGAAAGAACTGATCGGGCCGCGACAAGCTGGGTGCAGCTTCAACGCGGTCGTGCAGCAGCAGGGTTTCATCGCGCCGTACCTGCGTTTTTGAAGGACAATCACAATGCGAATGACCTGCGTCACTCGTCATCAACAACAAGCCCCAGTAGCGGGACGGTGCAAAAAGAAACGGTCGGACTGGAGCTGTTCATCTTCGCCGAGCGACTGAAGGGAGAAGACTCAGTCCACCACTCTTGGTTCGAGGAAGTATCGTCGAATCCGGATCCCCTGACACCAGAGGAACAGAAGGCAATCATCGCGGCTGCGGAAACAGCGAGCCAGAATGATGGTTCCTCGTGGTCGTGCTTTGGACCGTCAAGTGAGGCGAAGCCACGAAGTGGGGCGGGTGACCAAGAGGACACGACCGGTAGAGCGCTTTTCGTCGCGTACGCGAGTCGCTACATCCGCGATTCGCGGCTGGCGGAGGTGTGCGAGTGCAAGAGCCTCACCGCGTTTCTCAATTACATAGAGGACTGGCAGAGTCGTTGCATCCCCTTGCTGCCATCGCTGTCCGCCAAGGACTTGTTGAAGCTGCAGTACTTGTTGAAGGAAGAAATTTTGAACAATCAAACTGCACTCGGGAAGTTGATGGATGCACAGGCCGCGACGTCGTCCAGTATTTCTGCTTTGTCGGACGAGCAGGCGTCGCTGCCTAGTAAGGATTCGCCGAGCGGTACTAGTGACCAGCCGGTGGCACCAAACTACATCCGCAGCCTGCCGCAACTCAAAAAGATGATTTTGGGCCCAAGGTTCCTCGATGAATGGGAGAAAAGCGCGGGGAAGTGCATGGGCCGGGGCGACTTCACTGCCGTAGATCTGGCCAATGTTCTGCACCTTTACGCTACGACCGGGGTGCGGCCGAGCACTGCGTTCTTTGAGCAGTGGCAGGAGGCTTTAGTTCTTGGACCAAGAACGGCGGAAGAGAATACTGGTGCTGTACAAGAAGCGAACGACCTGCAACTTCGCATCCTGCAGGAGTTTTCGACGGAAACAAGCGCTGTAGGCAAGAGCGACACAGCGAGTCCCGGAGGTACAGCAGCAGGAACTACCCAGGTTCTTCTGCAAAGTTTTGACAGCCATGCGTTTTCCAACAGCGTGCTTTCGCTGGCGTTTCTCTTCCGAAAGTTTCGCATGCGACCATCGAGACCCTTTTTGAACAAGCTGGTCGGGCATTTCCACACCCTCCTGCGCCAGCACACGGAAGCAACCAGACGAATGCAGCAGCAGAACGCCGCTGCTGCGGAGGAAGCGGGTTCCCTGCAGGCCTTTCTGTTGATGTCGCCGGAACAATTCGCGAACTCGGTGTACGCGCTTTCGGTGATGTGCGATCTCGCGCTTTTCACACCGGACATCATCGACCTGATGGAGTTAGAGTTTTTGCGCATCCTGACGCAGGGTCTGCACCCAGCGGGCATTCCGCATTTGGTGTTTGCTTTTCATCGGTTCTGGAGCGCGGGCGCCGGGGCGAAAAGCAGACAAGCTGTCAACAGTGGGAAGTCAGCCGAGCTCGAGATGTGGAAACGAAGCGAGGGCGAGCTCTTCCACGTGTGGAGGCAACGATTTGCTGAAGTCGCGGAGGCCATGGAGCATTTGCTGAAGCTAGAGGAAGAAGACGACAGGGAGGACGCCAGTCAGAAAAAAGCAGAGAGAAAAGAAGAATCAGGTCTAGATAAGATTAACGCGAACAGGATCATACCGGCCGAGGAGCAGCACGCCAGACGAAAAAGCGAGGTGAAGATTGACGACGAGGCGTTGCAGCAATTGCAGCAGCTGGCGCTCGCTTTCGAGGACGAAATACTACAGTCAGAGGCCCAGCACTGTGCGGAGAAACTGCTCGCGCTGCTAGAAATCTACACGAGCTTTGTCCTGCACATGGAGCGAATCCTGCAGCGATGTCGTAAAGACTTCTATTGTGAGGAAAAATCCCCCCTCCCCATATTGAAAACGCATTCGTCTGCAAATTTGTGATGCAGATTTGAGGTCACAAATCCTGTCAGTCTTGCAAGAAGGCAAAGCCAGAGAGTCCGCCGCATTATGCAGGCGGTTTGTGATGCTGTTGGGCTTACAGGGCCGACGTCTGTCATGCTAGTCCCCTACGTCAAAACCTCTCGACCCAGGCTTGATATATGCCTGCAGTCATCCCCAGCAAGAGAGACCTGATTTGTGTACGCAAATCCAGCATCAGAAATTTCGTTTCGATATGGGGAGGGGGGATTTTTCCTTTTGATAACTTCACGGAGACCAGTTGGAACGCGACACAGAATCGGCAACGACTGTTGCTGGAGGCAAGGCAGCGCCTCAGGGGCGGCGCCCCGGCTGGGAACAATGCGCAAAGCAAAGCGGGAAGTGTCGTCAAAAACGATTTTCTCGTACACTGCGAAGGGGTTCTCGGCGGCACTGGATCAGTTTTTGGTGTCGAACAACAATCTGGCGACCTCGAGACAACAGCACCGCGGACAGACACAGGCCAGAAGTTGATCTCCACAACAACGACGGACCTGCTCGGTCAGCGCGCCGAAGCCTTGCGACTGTTCGCTTCTCTCCAGCACATCCCGAGCGATGGATTCCTGGTCGCAGTGTTGGACCACCTGGCGTCGGACCTGGCCACGCTCGAGACCACCACGGCAACCGAAGAAGAGCACGCGAACAAGCTCGCGCAGCTCGAGAGCGTGCTGCGGTCTGTGAAGGTGCTCCTCGTACGAAAAACGAAAACGTCGACCAATGGCGCCGTGTCTAGGCCCGTCGCTGGCCGTCTCGCGTCCTTTTTGCACGCGTGGGAAACCGCTTGCTTGTTCAGTATGGAGCAGTGCCCGGGGGAGTTTCTGGTCGAGGTCCTTGTGCAGCTCGCGGACCTGCAAGCGGAGGTCGTACTCCCCGCGCCCGCAGTCGCACAGTTTGCACCCTCCGCGGATGACGGTGCTATGGGTACCAGCGACCACTATGAGGGGAAATCTCCAGCTTCCGGTGAGGGTGACAAGATTGGCAGAGAGGTTGCGTCCTCAAAACAAACGAAGTTTCTGCAGGTGTGGGAGATGAAAGCGATGGAGCGGCTGCCGCAGCTGCAAGCCCGCGAAATCATTGTTCTGGCGTTGGCGTTTGGTCGGCTGGGTCACTCCTGGTCCGAACAGTTTGCCGCACTGTACGGCAAGAGGGTTGAAGAAATCTTGAGCGTCGGCCGGTGAAGCGAAGGGGGAAGTGCAAGTAATTCCCATGCTGTACCAAATCTAACGACTTTTTCAACGCAAACGGTTTTCGCACAAGAGAGCACGACAGCAAGGAGAGTTTCTCGCGTGGCATATCAGATACTTAAGTAGCCAGTTCCTAATATCATGGAGTAACAAATAAGTACCTTCTTGCAACCTCCGGTTGCAGTGGGCTATCATGCTTGTGGAGCAAGAACGTTGCAGTTCGTTGCGTGATTGCTTATGCCAGTTTTCGGAACCGGAGATCGGAATTCAGTGCCTCTACTTGTTGCTACCATGAGGTCTGAAGTTTAGAATTTTGTCGTGCACCACTTGCACTCTGATGGAAGGGTAAGGGATCATCAAGGCAAGATCAGAAGTTACAAGTCTGCAGGGAGAGGATATTTGAGGGCAAGAGACGGCGAGAGCAATCAGAAATGATAAAGAATATGTTCGATATGATCAGAATTATGTGAATTAGGTGGTGCTTCAACTCTTTCAAAGATTGTTGGACGTCAGGACCTTGATCGTGATTTCAAGTATGTTCTGTAAGTACAAAGGTGACCCCAACCCGTGTTGAATGATTACTACAAGGCTTTTCTTCTCTGGATGTCACGCTGTAGTTTTCATCATGTTTTTTACAAATTTATTTTCTCTTGCCGAAGAGCAATGTGATTTTCCACAAGAAAGGGCCCACTGAAGCTGACGCCGATCGCTCTGTCAAACTGAAAGACCAAGATTTGGTAATCCTGCCGTGCCTCCCCCTCCTTGTACCTTGATGTCTACCAGCGCACGTTCGTCGTGGACCAGCTGGAGCAATCTTTTAAAGAGGGTTCGTGGAGCTACAAGGAGTCATATCAGCCATTACCCGCCTTTCGTGACTTGGCGCGCGAAGCTACGAAGTAGACCTAGGCGCAGCTACCACCACTTTCATGATAATTGCGGGGCCCCCTTTTGGAACAAGAACTCGTGGACCGGCTCGCGACGACCAGCATCGGTCGGAACGGTTTTTTCCACCAGTAGCTGTCTGAGTGTCGTGGAGTTTGGTTCTACCGAATCGTCTGCCCGGACGTACAGCGGTACCAAAAATCCGGCCACTGTTGGTGTAGCCGCAAGGAATACAACGGAGAATCCTGCTGATGCAGAGGGTCGTACAGATTTCCCCGGACGGGAAGCACGGAAGAAAACTCAATCGGCTAGAATGGACGTAAACGAAGCGCAAACTACCGGCGCCATGGGTTCGGAGCCCGCGGCGCCAGGTTCAACCTCGAGTGAGCCGCGCACGTTTCTCCAGCAGTGGGAAGACAAGTGGAAGCAGGCCCACGCGGACGGTCTCCGCACGGGCTTGCATGCAGTGCCGCTGATCGCAGCCGGGGCCCGGCTCGCGGCGAATTTCGCGACCGGTGTCGCGCACGACGTGTTGCACACAGTACAACCCGCAAATCAACAAAATCCACCGCAACAGCTGCGAGGCGAAAATCAGGAAGACGCTGCTGTGGAGGCAACATCGACCTCGTCCTCCGCGTTGGATGCTTTGAAGAATTTTCGCGAAGCCTGTCTGGACAAAGCGGACCAACTGGAGTCGCAGGCTCTGCAGAAACTACAGGCCGACCTGGCCAAGACGGACAGTGGCGCGGCAGCCGGGAACAGGAGTGCTGGCGTCAACAGATTGCCTGACTTCGTCAGTGGCGACCCCGCTGCCGAGTCAGTGTTTCGGATTTTTGAGACGCTGCCCAAATTTATCGGCCCTATGCGGGACCACCGAACGCCGAACCAGCTGTATGCCGCGATCCTGCACTACATTGACCTGCAGAAGAAGTTTTTGCGCAAGGGCTTCGAACCGGAGACGGCGCCCACCTACCTGGACCGCATGATTCGCCGCATGTTCCTCCACGCGCACGAGATCGAAAGCATTGAAGAAGGAGAACGGGAGATCGGTGATATAGCTGCTGCGCCAGTTGTCCCAAATGCGGATGCACACAAGGCACCAGCAGCCCGCAATATTCCACAGGAAGCACATGCGAAGAGCTCGTCCGACATGAGCAAGCAGCAGGCGGCTGCTATAAGGTCGATCTGTGAAGAACAAGCTGAGCGGGAGCAAGACCTAAGTCCCCCATTCTTCCCCGTGCCGGATTTGGACCTGTCCGGCAATCCCCCGGACCCCGCGGCTCTGTACCGGCAGGACCAAGAGATGCGGCACTTTCTGTTTAGGTCCATGTTGTACTGCAACTGCCTGTACAAGGCCTGTCTGCCCAGCGCACCGGGCGATTTCCGCGATTCCATGCAGAAGCTGAACACCTACCTCTTCGAGGACATCAGCCCGCTGAACAAGGTCGAGGTGGTTGAGCCCCACACGGTGTTTACCTCCAAACCGTTTGTCCCGGCCCACGCCGTGCTTATTGACCACGTGTCGAAGGCCGTAGTGGTTTGCGTCCGGGGGACCCTCAGCGTCAATGACGTCCTGACGGACCTCATTTCCGACGCGGTGGCGCACTCCGAAGTGCCCAAAGTCGAGTTTGCGCAGAAGAGCGAGGAGGTTCTGGTAGCGCCGGCTGCGAAGCAGTTCAAACCCAACAGTCGGGTGGATCGGCAGGGTGAAGCAGGGCTACATCAAGCAGAACAAACGCATTTAAGCAACAACGGCGTCGGTGGATCCTCTTCGGGCACAACGAGCTCCACAAGTTCATCGACGTCCAATGGGGAGTTCTATGTGCACGAAGGGATGTGGGCCTCCGCGCAGAACATCTCGACAGCGCTAGCGGACCCGGTGCTGAGCCTACTGAAGGAGCACAAAAACTACAAGCTGGTCTTAACCGGCCACAGTCTCGGCGCAGGAACGACGTCGCTGTTGTACGCGATCTGGAGCCGGTCGCCCTACTTCGCCCACGTCAACATGTTTTGCGCGGCGCACGCTTGTCCGCCGGTCTGCACCCAGAATTTGCGGTTCACCGCGGATATGACCGACAAGGAGTTTTGGACGACGAAAAACCCCGAAGATGTTGCAGCCGCGGCCGTTCCGGAAGCGGAAGTGGATGCGACATTCTTGTCGCCAATGAGCAAACCTTGTCAAGACGAAGAAGCTCAATCTACTTTGCTGCCCCCACGACTTTCGGGCCTGTCTTTCACTTCCTCCGGAAGTTCAGGAATAAGAACTCGTGGTTCTCACGACCAGCAGCACGGGCAGCCGGCCCGTCCCCTTGGGACCCGGTTCTTCACTGCCACAGTGGTCGGTTGGGATGTTGTGCCGCGGCTTTCGCAGGCCTCGGTGTTGAACCTGCGCAAGTGCGTGGAGCACCTGTGTGATATCCGACAGGAGCTGTCGTCGTCCACTACTTCAAAAACGAACGGAGGAACTACAAGCGGTGGAGGTGATAGAAGTTCAGCATCTGTTGCAGCATCACAAACCGATGAGAAGGACAAAAACCCGAGCAGCAGAAAAAGGCAGCAAGACCTGGAGTTTCAATTTGCGATCTGGAAAACGCTGCAGGCGATGAAGCAGTCAGGAAACGAGCTGGTGTTCGACGAGGAGACAGGAACGCGGCGGGTGATCCACCAGCTCTATCCGCCCGGGGAAAAGGTACTGTTTATGGTGTACGACGAAGATGAGTCTTCTTCGTCTTCCTCAACGCCTGGAGCCGTTGCCACAACCCCGCGGGGGACCCGCAAGTGCTGGCACTGGCACTCCCCGGGGTGGTTTGACGAGATTGTGCTCAGTTCAAACATGCTGAAAACCCACATGCCAGGCTCGTATGCCGCGGCCATGAAAAAGCTGTTGTCTACAAGAATGAATGGAGATTACCCAAATACTTGATGATACAGAAAGATACCAGAAACTTTTCCGAATCATACCGCATGAGAAGTAACCTCTTCCGAAAAAGCGACGATAATTCCTTTTTTCTTCATGATGACATGAATATGAAGCCTGATCTTGCTCTTCATCTTTGATCGTTTTGCTGACGTGTTCATCGTCCTCCAGTTGTCAAGAGTTGAGTGACGTAAACCACGGAGATACTTACACGTGTGAGAGCGAGTGCCTTTCCTTTAATTTTTTTTCTACGGGACGGGGACGACGAGTTCGGCCTCGGCCTGCCGCTCCGGGCTTGTTCGATTTGTGTCCCGCTCGCCCACGATGGCGCGTTCGTGATTCTCCTACTCTAAAGTGTAAAAACTGTTCATCAAAAGTAGTTTGATTCACGATGGACAGACGCCGCGTGTACGATTTTCTCGATGCCGACGTGGCTAAGGCTGCCGCGGCCGCAGCACCTGCTCCAGTGAGGGGTGGGGTTGTCGTGGAGCTTGACGCTGCTCCTCTGCCGAGCAGCACGCGACGTGAGCAACTAACAGCAGACGACAGGCAGGTGGCTGCAGAAACGCTTGCGGCGGAGCTGCAAGCTAGGTTACAGGAAATTCGGGCATCTACCGCCGACGTCGGACGACGAGAGATCAACAAGATCGCTGCAACTGAAACTGCGGCCGCTAAAAATCATCTCTCGGTGGAAGGCCTGGCGACCGTTCGGCCGCTGTGGAGAGAGTCGGAGGTGCCCGGAACTACGGACCAGCGCGGGCGTCCGGTTTACGAATGCTTGTCTTGGTCGAGGTCCAGCGTCTCGCTGCACACTGAAAAGGTGGCGCGGCCAGGGGATCCTGCGGGACCGGAATCGGCGGACCGGACGTTTGCCGAAGAAGGACAAAAAACACCCGCGAAGGAGCCAGAACTCGTCTCTACCGATTCAACGTCGGTTGATCGCGCGTTTGGACCTGACGGTCACGAGGACCTCCTCAACTACCTCACTGCCGCTGTGTCGGAAGATCACGCCGAAAATCAAAATTTGGTGGTCATTCTCCACGGACAGACAGGGGCGGGAAAGACCCACACGGCACACAAGGTGCACCGTGCGGTCATGCGAACGCTGCTCGGTTTTCGCGATCGTCGTCAGCCGATATTAGCTTCGTCGAAAAACAGCGACAATCGTGTCTTGGGTCTTTCCGATGTCACGATGGAGTACCGAGAATTGCAGGCCGGGAAAACGCTCTCTGGTGCAAAATTGGTTGACCTGCTGCTGCCCGAGGACGAAGACAGCATTTTTGACGGTGCTGGAAATAGCAGTAAGGGCGGTCGGGCTTCTCCGCGTTCACCCGCAGCCGCTTCGACGGAAGCTGAGACCGCTGGTGACGCCACCGAAACGAATGCAAGTCTCTCGCCCAACACAGCCACCGTTATGATCGGGAAGCTGGAACAGAGGCTCTCTCGGGCCGAAGCGCGCCGAGCCTCGCGAGAAACCAACTTGCACGAGCACTCCTCCAGGTCGCATGCGATCTGGACGTTTCAGGTTAAAATTAGGGAGGGAAAAGAACGAATTTGCTGCACTGTGCTGGACCTCGCCGGGTCAGAAAAGAGCCTGGAAACGTTTCACAATCGCGGCCAGGCCATGGTCGAGACCAAGTTCATCTCGTCGTCGCTTGCAGCGCTGCACGACTGCGTTCGGGTCATAGCACGGACGGCAAAGGAAATTGCAGATGATGAAGACGCGGTGCGTACTACTGCGTTCCAAACTTTGAAAAATCTGCCGGTGTGGCGCGGGAGCAAGCTGACCCTGCTCCTGCGAGACGAAATTTTGGCGCCCTTGTGGGATGTGGCTGACCCGCCAGAAGGTGATCTTGTACAAGGAGACACGCCGAACGCAGCTCCCTCTTTGTCGTGCAAGATTTACTGGGTCGCTCATCTTTGCCCGCTGAGCTGTCATTCGAACTACACGAGAAGAGCGCTGGCCACCCTGAAAGCGGTGCGGGCGCTGGGAAAAAGTGCCACCGCCTTGTCAAAGAGCAGCAAAACCAGAAGGGCCAGCGGGCAAGAAAAAAACGCCTTGCAGGGTCAAAACCCCAGGGCATGGTCAGACCAGCAGGTGCAAGAATGGCTCTTGTCGGACGAGAAACTCAAACACATGGCACCTGCCTGCTATGCTTGGTTGGACGGTCCTACGCTGGGCCGAGAGTGGAGAGGCGACCTGGCAAAAAGAGTGGCAGCAAGCGGCCTGTGCACCGAAGAAGACGGCCTTCTTCTGTACGAAATGTTTCAAAAGAAAGTGCTCGCGTATCGAAAAGTTGAAAAAAGCGTTTATGCGTCCGAAAGATATGGAAATCTTCGCTCTGGAGATGCTGCTCCCGTTCACAGTGGTAGGTTTGGCCTCAATTTTCTTCTTTGGGAATCATTAGTACTTGTTCGCTTCTTCTTCATATGAGTTCACCGAGCCTATGATCTAAAAGAAGACGATTCCGACCGACGAGAGCGAGAGGTGGAAGTGAGGGACGGAACATTTTTGAAGAAGATACGGAGACGAGCCATACAGAAGCGAGCAGTTGCTTCTCTCAGATGTGTTGTGTATCCATGTGCTGAGCAGGCAGAAGTTGAGTTGTGCTGCTTGCTTAGCTCCAATGCTAGACGCGTCCTGTTGTGATCTCGCTAACAAAACACGCTCATGTAAGTAAGTACAGAAGCTCGGCACAGAGCTCGCTGCAGCTACAAAGGCTGTCGTAAAGAGTTGGAAAGAAGAGATGGCGGATCGCGCGTTCCGTGGCGGCGCGGGAGGGAGAAGCAGTGTGGGGGGAGGTGGCCGCGGCCTCAATGAGATGAGTATGCGGATCCCGACCGGCGCGGAAGGTTCAGGTATATCGCGTCGGCGCGCCAGTACGAACGACCAGGCCATGGAGGACCTAGACAACATTCTGAGCGACTCGAAATCCATCATGCGGCAGCGCGGCACCTTCAACGACGAAGGGCCGCCGGTAAACCGGAGCACTTTCCAGACCTCGACAGAGGACCACGACGACCTGCTCGGCCTGCCGTCTTCCGTGCGAGGACGCCTCTCGGCGCAGCAACTGGGCGGGAGTGGAAATGCACAATCTTCGACCGGCGGTCCTCCCGTGTTGCGCGGCACCGTCCCGGACGAGTTGAAAGCCGCGCTGTCACAGGCCGCTGCGCTGAGCGCGGCAGCGACCGGGAAGATCGGATTTGGAACAAGTAACACGAAGCAAGTTGGTCCTGGCGGAGCGACGGCTGTCCCGCCCGGAGTGGGAGCCGCGACCGGCACAGGGTCAGGAGGAAGCAGCACTTTCACGCGCATGAAAAACCTTTTCACGGGAGCGGTGTCGTCCTCGACGTCCTCGAAGGATAAAGAAGTAAGCGGAGGCGTCGTGCCTTCTGCTGCAGTTGCAGCAGGTAGTAGTGCAGGAGGTAGCGATCCAGCTGGAAGATCAGCAGCGGCGTCAGGTGGTCCTAGCAGCAGCGCTGGGGCGACCAGTGGCATCCCTGTAAAAGCGAATCACGCAATTTTTGCAAACGCGACTCGAGCAGGAGCTGCTATGAACCCACCCCTTGGAGGCGGGGGTGCATCAAGTAAAGCCAGTGAAGGGTCTACTTCCAAGGACAGGGCTCCACCTGCTGCCGAAGCAACAGCAGTAACGTCTTCTGCGTTTTCTGGATCAACACCTTCCGCAAATAACCTTGCAGCGGGTAGTACGAAGGACAAGGGTGAACCAGCAGCCTCTGTCGGCGCCGTATTGGCGAAGCCTCGTGATGACGACACGGCCCTAAAACATCAAGCTGCGAGCGAGAAAAAGACGGCCCAACCGAACCCGTCTTCCAGCCCAGCACCGACATCTTCGAGCGCTGAACGGAGCAAGGACACTGAGGAAAACGATGACGAATTGATGTCCAACTTGTCCGATGACGACTGGCTGGGTGCGTTGGAGCGACAGACGTCCACGGAGACCAAGCAGAGCCAGGCCGCGCGGCAGGACATCGACAGCTTGTACGAGAAGGTGCGGCGTCGCAGCTTCGGCGCCTCCAGCAGCTTGGCGCCAGAGGACTCGGTCGGCACCCCCACTGTGCGTCGGGCGTCCCTGACGTTCAGTGAGGGCTTCCGCTCGCGCCGGCTCAGCGCAGGAAGCGGTTTGGCGTCGGAGGAGCTCTGCGGCATCCCTACAACGAGCTCCACCACGTCCGGGTTCATGGCGCAACTCGCAGCAAACTACCCGTCGCAGTTCGGACGACGTGGTAGCGTGGAACGAAGTATCCCGCTGCAGAAAGTGATTGAGGACCGGGTATTGCCCCCCGTTCCCGGCGCAGCAAAGTCCTCCGCGTCGTTCGTCGGCGGCACGACCAGTGGGCCGAAGCCGGAGAGTAGCAAAGACGTGAGCGGCGGATCAGGAGCTCCCTCTAGTACTACTTCCGGGACGTCGAGCATGACACCCACCAAACCGAGAGCGCCGAGCGGGGATGCGAATTCATCTCCTGCCTCCCGGTCGCCCCGAAGTACAAAAATTGGCGTCAATCGCGCGGCCACGACCAGCTTTACGCTCGCCGCCGCCGCGGGGAAAGGGACAGAGGTTGGCAAGACCGTGACGGAGCCGGGGGCGACAGGAAGAGCCCGAGCAGGCGACAGTGCAGAGCCTCACCAAAACAGGGAACAACCGTCACCGCCGACCGGTGCCCCTCGACCGGGTCCAGCGCGTCGGTCTTTGACCTTTGCAAACGATAGCTCAGACGCGAAGAGCATTGCCGCTCTGGACGACAAATACGCGCTGGCAGAAACGCGAAGCCCTGTGGATTTCGGCCCGGCGAACAAGGCCAGTTCATCTTCCACCGCCTCAAGCGGAACAAGCGCCGCCGTTGCGTCTGAAGCAAGAAACCGGCTACACCAGCAGCCCGGCGGAGGGTCATCTGCCACAACATCGAGAAGTGGCGAGAGGGAAAAGACTTCAGCAGCTGCATCTCCAAATAGAGCGGCGCGTGTTGACCACGCAGAGAGGACATCCAGTGCAGCGGACCCAACGAGAAATAAGAACGAACGGGGGCTGGTGCAACCGGCCGCGCACAGTGTCACAGCCTCCTCGTCGCTTGGAAGTGAGGATGCCGCAGAGACGGACGTCCCGCATCCGGGTGGTGCCGACACTTCTATGCCATTGAATCCGCTAGACGCGCTGCATTCGGTCCGGGCCCCGATGCTGTTGATAGAGCGGGATCTCGAGGAGGACGTCCTAGCGGAGCGGCACCACGATGCGGACCACGAAGCGCGCGTGTCTTTTCACGAGCAGCACCAAGCGACCATGCTACGCCAGATGCGGGAAGAGCAGGAGGAACTGGTACAGCTGGAACAATTGCGTCAACAGTCCAAAGATTCCAACCTGAGCGGCACGCCCGCGAACCTGCTGCCTGCGGCGATGCTGGCGAGCAGTGCGGCCCTGGGCCCGCTGTGCGGGGACGCGGACCACTTTTACGGCCGCAGCGACACAATTGGGAATCAGGGGGAAACTTCCTCGAAGAAAAAAGCAACTTCTTCTACCACCGCAAATAATCGCCGTGCCAGCGCGGGTAGCAATGCCACTAGAGACCCTGCAAGTCGAGTAGCAGTAGAACAAGTAGCGAGTCAGCCGCAGTCCATGTCGAGCGAGAAGCAGGCAAAAGTGCAGCTGTGGCAGCTGATATCCGGCGTCCTGGTCCCTTCCTTCGACCAGCCACTCAACCGGCAGAACGCCTTTGTCGTTTCGCAATGGTTCCGCAAACTCCAGCGCTCCAGCACGAATTCCGGAACAGCTGGGACGGCAGCGGGGGGAGTGAGCGCCAGCAGTGGTGCGGCCAATGCCTCGTCTTCCATTGGCGGCGCACCCGGGGCGTCCGCTTACCGGTGGGGTGAGTTCATTTCATACGTGAAACAGGCACAGAAAAACGCTCTGCTTGCACTTTTGAAAGTGCAGCTGAAGAAGTTTTATCCAGGTATCAATCTGCTTCTGAGCTGACGCGAAGACAGCGGCCAATAGTGATTGGAGGTCCACCGCAAAGCAAAGATTTCGCTCTGCTCGCTACAGAGATCATGACTTTCGTGATTGATTGATGAGTAGTTCTTGTCCTCAGCAGTGTACTTGTTTTACCTCAATTTATTTTCGCAGACTGTCCGCACGTTTCGGAAGAGCCGACGCATTTGGAGAAGATTTTCGAAATCCTGTGGCCCACAGAAGCAGTAAAGCAGCTCGCCCAGATTCGGCAGTGGATCCTTTCGTTCGACTTGCAGGAACACAACAAGCGAATCAAGGTCAAGCCTCCACCTTTGCTACCGTCGGAAAAGTGCGAGGAGCTGGAGGCCATGTACGCTTTCCTGCTGAAAAACAAGACGGGAGACGAGGTATGCTTCTGCTCTCGAAGAAAACTCCTTGTCTTGTTTCTCATCGCTGCTCAGCAAAACCACATGGTTCTTTTTTCATAATTCTTTTGGTTAGTATCTATGCACTGATCAGCATTTTTGTGCAGTCGGACACGTCAACATGTCAACATGAATCTGCATACAGGACTTGCAATTTGGCGATGTGTTGGAGGCAAAATTGTTGTCGGACGAGGAGGCGCAGCAGTGGAGCCAAAAGTTTCAAAAAACTTCCGGTCTGTCCCAGGAGCAGTTTATGGAAGTTGCGTGCCCCAACGGGTTTCGGGCCTCGGAGACCGTGACTCGCTGCGTGGCCGCGGACGGGAAGGAACTCACGTTAGATCCCGAACTTGGTTGGATTTTGCAGGACAACAAGTAACGGCTCGAAAAAGAATTGCACAATAACAGAAGCCCAGTGCATGTGCAATAGTCATATTTAGTGCATCACATCTACAGTACATGTTGAATGAGTGAAAGGCTTGTGTAAAAATCTGCCAGAGCTACAGAAAAATAATGTACAAATAAACTTTACTGAAGGTTGGTGCTATGATAGAAGTTGTACGATTCAGTCCATAAGATTGAAAAATACGCACTTGAATTGATATGAAGCACCCTCTTGTAGTTTTGTTGTACTATCGTAGTGACAGCATGAATGCGGCTGGCGTTAGTGTCAGCAAGACTGTACTACTTTCAATATCTTTTGGCATTGTACAATTCACTTTGACAAGATCACTCCGCTCAGGTCACTGGGCTGAGTGAACCACTCAGATCAGCACGGCATGAAGCCGTGTCGGAAACTTCCAAAGCTTTTGCAAGGCAGCTGAAACTCGGAGTGGACTATCGGGATCAAAGCAAGTTGTCCCTGTATGACCAGAAATTGTGTTTTCGTTTTCCGGATATTATGAGCAAACGAAACCGTGACGCAATTCTCTGAACTGAGTGGACAACAACGACAAGGAGTGCGGGCAGTATATACTAGGGAAAGCAGTCCGGCCCCTGGCCAGTATAGTTAAAGCAAAAAGTTACAGACTGAAGGCCGCGGAATTCGTGCGGCTAGCTAGAAAAACCGCGCGCTGTCGTTCGTTCGAAAAATAAAAAACTGCGCGCCAAGATTTTCGTCCACACGCTAAGTCAAAAAGTGCCGTCGGTGTCGTCCAACCGCGCTTCGGCGCCCAGCCCCATCCAAACGTTAAACCAGGGGCCCATCGGGAACGGGCCCCCATCGGGTCGTGGCGCCCCCGCCTGGCCCGCGGCCGGTCCCTGCCGCCTGCCGGCCCGCCCGACCCGCGGCCGCCGC